ACAAAATGTTCTTGACAAGTTATCAAGTAGGAACCGAGTTTTGCAATGGGATATCGCAGAGATAAAGTGTTATACCCGCACTAAACCTATCTTATATTCCATTTCAAGGTTTTTGTTGCTGTTAGTGATGCTTGGCAGTCTTCTGCATTACAAAGATCAAGATAATCCAAAGGCTTCACCAGGGCTAAGAAGGAAAGCAGTTAATTTTGAAAGCACTCATGTTTACCAATAAATAACAAACCTTAAAGATAATCAAAGATTCCACGACATACTTGCTTAATTGCAGCTATGAAGAGGCTGACATCCACTTGATATTCCATTCTTTCCTCATCGATAAAATATATTAGTTGTCGAAAGGACACTTATGTAGTTTTTACTGCTTATTGTGTGAAAAGCCTTCAAGGAAATATTCCTTAAAGATTGACAACGAGAAGTACGTTAATTTTGGAACGTCGTATCTTACCTGGGTTTAGATAGTTCCAAAAATCTACCGGCTGTTCATGCAGTTATTGGCTGCGAAACAACACCGGTAATGTTGTTGTAAGGAAAGCTAACATTTTAAAAAGCTTTAGGAGTGTTCTGGAAAGGGAAAATTGCTCGAGAGAGTTACGATGAGACAGGAAATCTGCAAAGACATTCTCACGAAAGTGATAAAATTTGTGCAAAAATAATCATACAAAGGGAAATGTGATAAAACACTTGTGCAGATAAGAGTAAGAATTCGCAAGGCAATGAAAAACAGCTAATCAGAAGCTCTACAACCAGATCCATACTGGTTGACACAAGCATTTACTACTGGTTACATTATCAAAAGAAGATTGTAAGAGAAATTGCCTTTAAGCTTTGGTTAGACATACGATGGAAAGAATGATCTGGCCCACAGGTGGTATTAGTGTGGTTTATAGGAAAAAAATTTCTTTACATATTCTAATTTTGAACATACATTTGATAAATAAATAAGAAATGGCACGAAAAGGATATACAGAGAAAAACGTTTCTTAACGGCTTGAAGACAAAAATATCCGATCGTCAACGTTAAAAAAGCTGTGAATATCTGCAGAAAATACTGGAGTCAGCAAAATAATTCTAAAATTTTGTTCACACAAATTATGTTCATCTTGTGCAGGGCCCCGCACACCCTCCGCTAAAAAACTGCAAGGTCTGCAGCGCTCTAGTGATGAAATCGAAGAAAATTCCGTAACCAATGAGGACTAGGCCATGGGAAAAATTATGGTGAGGTGATCAGCTTAAAGCAGACGATGATGAGTGGAACTACATTTTCTTCTGGAGTTCCAGCAAAGGAGACAGTGATGAAGGATGAATGGATCCATATCATTTTCTATGCAACGAAATTTTAATTCTGAATGACTTTTTTAACTAGCTAAAGATTTTTAGGCATCCTTTCACGCGTTATTCAATTACCTTTAAAAGGCGATGACATCAAAAAATGATGATGACGTCATGAAAGAACGTTTAAAAGTAAGTATAATAGAAATTCAATACATCTTTTAAAAGCACTGAATGTGTGCAATTCGAATATGGAACATATTTGACAATGATAGTTGCGAGAAAACAATTAAAAAGGTTCAAAGTGAATTTTCTCCAAGTTGATGACGTCATCACAAAATTTGACTTCCGTTGCAGATATTTTTCATTTCATCTCAGATTTGAAATCTGCATAGTTAATTTAGTGCAGAAATGCAAAAAAAATTGGGTTCGAGTCCTTGGCCGATTTTTAAAGATTTTTTATCATTTTTTTGATGACGTCATCAAAAACAGTAACTTCCGGTGATAATTTTTATTGGCCCATCTTGGATTTGGAATCTCCATGGTCGATTTAGTAAGAATATGAAATAAAATTTGAGGTTAGGCAGTTTGCTAGTTTTTTCTACAAAATTCCCTGTCTATTATATTGGCAGGGTACAAGTCCCTTTAGTACAAAAGTGTTTGTAAAACAAGCAAGGCTTTTAGTAGGATGTAGGGATTAGAAATGTAAAATTCTATCATAGCTTTATTTTGTATGAAACAAACGGACAACAGTTGTAGCATCTGCACCAGAAAAGAGCCATGCTTCATATAAAGTTGTCAATATTTGAATTCTGCTCTGTCAAGTCTTTCTTAGCATTAATTCTTTATTCTGTACCTTGGCTTTGCGACTTTGTATTTTGCAGATTTATTTCAACTCCATTTACATCATTGTCATTCTTTTTATTCCCAGCTTGAAATTGTGATAAAATTCACCATAGCAAAAGAAAGGCCGAGCGGAAAGACTTTAGAATTCAAAATTGAAGCGAGCAGGTATCTTAAATTAGTGTCTTACCTTAAGAGACGTTTTTCTCCTAATAAGATATATCTTGTTACGTTTGTATATTTTTTTTTGAATTCAAAAGATGCGCAATAGTAGGCTGTGAAAGGCAGTAATGTTTTAATCAACCAGAAGAGAAGGACTAAAAAAGTGACACGTCTATTTTGACGTTATTATGATGGGTCGCTAGCTTACTTTTCATTCAGCTCTTCCAGGGCCCTTATATATCTTTTCCTTGATTTTCTTTAAAAATTATATCTTGAGTGACTAATTTCTTTTTATTCAGATTGATTTGATTAATTTCTGTCTCTTGAAGGTTTGTGTTAATCTGTGTTAAAAGGAGGGTGCAAATTTTTGCTGAATAATTTCAATTTATTTTTTTAGTGTAAGCAATGAGTTGACACCAAACGATAACATCGCCATAGTGAAAGTTGAAACTGGCTTGTTAGCTGATATCACGATTTCCGGGTTGGTATATCCTCTACTCATAATTCTGTATTGCATGTTAACCCCGATATTTTTAAATTTTCTTGCCTATCGCGTTTGCGTTTTAAAATTACAGACGCTGACAGAAAAAGGGGAAGTTTGCACTTCATCTACTCCACTGGCGCTTTGATTACGCGAGGGGTGAGCGTTCGCTGATTGGTCAATGTAGAAAACCAATCAAATGGCCCATTATTTTCTCGCGTCATTTTCGATTCGGGCTTAAATATTTTTCTGCGCACCTTCCGCAACCATCCTCTTGCAACTTTTGTTATAAGTGGCGGACAAAAAGTGTTTTGGTAAAATACTTCTTCAATGCAACATAAAGTACTATTGTGCGTCTTTATAAAGCCAAACCCTGACCCTATAGTTAGATAAAGATTTTGCTTTGTTTCTACAGATCTGCTAGTCCTGAGAATTTTTTCTATGATAAAGAGGCAATTGCTGCAACGTCTGATTTGAAGAATGAAACACAAGTCGGTCCTGTAGTGGAATACACTTTCTTTGTAAGTGTTGTAGCCTTTTGTTCATTGTAAACATTTATTTCTTTTTCAAGATGTGAGCTATTCGAAAAATTGTCCTTGTTTTTAGAAATATATCACATAAAAACATTTGATAAGTCATGAAGAAACCTGAAAAGTTTGAAGTTTCCTTGTGAGATTCCCTAGATCCTATACAATAGGTCATGACACGTAGGGGAGTCCATTGACACCTTACAACAGATACCTCACGTTCTTACAAATACTGTTATTTTCTTTCGATTTCTTTAATTGTTGATAAATAAGAATGATACCCCAGCTTTAAAGAAGCTCATCTTTTTGTCGAAACATTAATTTCAAACAACGCCAATTTCCCAAGACAAGCTAGAATCTTGGTAATTAATTGCTTAAACTTTGTAATACGAAATTAGACGAAATTATTAAAAAAGTGTCTTTTTGTCATACGCACTGGTAACCTACCACCACCCCCCTCCCCAACCGAGATAGTCACAGAATAAGAAAGATCCTCGAAGTTCCATCACTCCCGTTATAAAATTTATTTTGTGGGGAGGGGGCGGAGTTGCCCTGCATTTTGCCAGAATTCTGGCTCCAATAGCTTAGTCTTATAATGACAAAGAGAAAAAGGAACTTTTTAGCGATCAACTAGATCTCATCCTTAATCAAAATCTGCATGAAATAAAATGAAATATCACCTAGTAGAGCGATGAATTGATAAAGCATTTCTTTATGAATGTAATTGTAAACCTCAAATGAATCAGGGGTCTCTTTACGTACAGAGTTCAAAGAATTTATAGATCAACCCTATGAAACAAAGTCATATCCAACATTTGATTTTTATTATCATCTTTGTATGTCTGTATCATATACCCTTTTTTACCCTCGGTGATAACCCATTTGTAAGTGAAAAGGTTATTGTTTTTGTATGTTTCTAGCAGGAGAGAAATATTGATTATTATTGCCAGTATAGGGGTATGCTAGTCGTTGTGTTATTTACAATAAAGATTTTTGAAATTATTGCAGGTCCAGAACCGAGGTCCCAGCCCGGTGGAAGGACTTGAGGCACAAATCAGTCTAGTTTTCCAGCACAACAAAAAATGGGTTCTGATGTTATTCAGTGCAACAGTGAGTTTTCTTTTCCATTAGCAATTATTTACCTGCTGGAAGGTGCTCTTTAGAGCACATTTATCCCTTATAACCCTGTTCAGATCTTGCTAGCTTTGTAATTTTGTTGACGAGCATTGGGTAAAAATCAAGTTTCTGTAAATAAGTACTAATGGAAAGTTGAGAGTAATTGTAACTGCATAATGCTCCAGTGAGTCGTTGATTCAAATGATTGACTTCTACAATTCGGGCAGCCGGTTTTAAGAACTTACACACTTTTCCTCAGTTTAATATTGATACCTTTGCTATTAAAGTGCATGTCAAAAAGCTTAGAATGGGGGTGGGGCAAATTTTGGACCATACATGCATGTTGTCAGACTTATCTTTAGGGCCTTGTCTTCAACTGCTCTATCTAAGAATTTGAGTACTTACCAACAAATTACAAACTATTGCAATATTGCGATGAAATGCTTTTTGATGCAGTCCAGTCTTAGCTGAAATAAGGCAGCGCTTTAAATAATATTTTGAAGTTTGCTTAACGGTTCCAAATGACAAAGTACCCTTTTTGTCTACATTTGCCTTACACCCACTTACATAGTGTTTCCTAGTATATAGAAAGCCTACCAACGTGATTCCTAATCTGGTATTCTATTACATTTGTCTTTCAAATCCTAAATTTGTTTCTTGAATTTCAGGTCGATGGGATAGCCTCTTGTAACGTTGGTAAAAGATTGAATCCTCTAGGTTTAAACGTAAGTAAGAATACTGTTTTGAGGTTTTAAGTTTCTTTGATTGCAAGACCACCTACACTGTTTGATCATATCCCAAAAATTTATGTGTGTCATATCACTTGTCAGCTTTTATAATAGTTTCGACCAAGATCGGTTATGTGGGATCAAACTAATTGAAATATGATTTACAGTTGACAAGCAGTGATGCCTTGAAGAAGTCCCGGAAAAGGAGAGAAGTAAAGGTTCAAGAGAAAGGAACAGTCATATTGGTTAGTTTTCAAAACCTTAATTTTTTGCTTTGCAGTTTGCTACTGATATTGGCTACATTTATTTGTTATATTAACACATGTGTAGGAGAATGCGTAAACACTTTGTTCTCCCTCCGTTACTACGTCATAATCTGAATTGCTTGAGTGTCGCATTTTTATTTGCTCTATACGATTTATTATAGAACTGCAGAACTGGCACGTGCTCTCCAATCACTTGTAAACTGAAGACCTTGACAAAAGGAGCTAATAGAGAAATCAAGTTAAGAACGAGGCTGTTTCAAAATACATTCATTGAGGTACAGTTTTTATATACAAATTGCGCATGTTTGTTTGTCTGTAGAACAGGACGATTCTAAGTTGCAGCTCCGTGTTTCACGATTAATGCAATCTGGAACAACTCTACTTATACGGCATCGAGCACTTTTTGACACAAGGCATTTGTAACACTTAGTATTTTGCTGCTAACTTACTTGATCATAGATAAAGATGAGCTATAGAGCTGGATTCATCTTTAGTTTTCTGACAAAATACGTATAGCACAGAAGTTCAGAAAGTTTTTGACGCCTAGAATCCTTCTTGTACAAACAGGAAAAACGAGGACCAACTGAAATCATATCCAAAGCAAGCATCACTATTCCGTCCCAAGAATTGGAATTTTTACCTCCTCGTTACAGGAATCAGACAATTTCAACAGAGGTAAATGTCTTTTCCTTTTTTTCAAAAGTTTGTTAAATCATATAAGAGGTTCTACTTTCGGAAATATATTTTTACTTCATTTATTTTCTTGTTTGTATCCAATCTAGCATAGTATCAAATATGTTCTTGTACTTGTAATGCTCGAGCTCAGGAGCGGACAGACTGATGAACATGTGCGTCAACTGCTGGGTTTAATTTTGAAATAACAAAACACCATCATTTCTTTTGAAAATTTTTTGAAAGTATTCCTGTTTGACTATGAAGTCAAACAAGATAATAGTCAGGAACGAAGCAAAATGATGAAGAGAATCCAATGCTATGTTTTAGAATTAAGAAATACTGATATTTCGCCCTGGCAGACAGGGCTTTATTTCCTTCTTCTCACACAAACTATTTCAACTTGGGGATAAATGAAGAGAACATGTAGACGCGTGTTGATTTTGGTCTCCTTTTTGTTTTTGAACCAAGTCAAGACTTTCAGAGCAGAGAAGGGACCATTGACGTTAGTCGGGATTAAGTAGTTATTTGGAAGCCGGAATGACCAACAGTGCGCACCACAGTCCAAAAAATATTACAGTTACACTGCTGTGAGCCGGGAAGTTGTCATCCAATGAAGTAGTTTTGAGAATGTCCCATGCGCAACCTTTAAACGGTATTCAAAGTGAAAGGAATTTGCCGTTTTGATTAAACTTTTTTTTATTCCAGACAAAGTTTTAAGACTAAACCGTAGATCATTTTACTTATTTTCCATTTCTATGAAACTTTTATTCAAAAGATATAAGGAAAATTTAAGAAAAACGAATAGGTCGAGATTTCATCCAGAGAAAGGGTGAGGCGCTTTCTGAGTTCAGTTGCACATTTTTTGTTTTATATTCACATTGTGCTCATTTATGTCTACACCATTGTTATTACTCTTGCCTTTTATCTTGCACCCCTCCTGCCCTGCTACTGATAATGCGCATTATAATATTTTCATTCATGACATTTATTTCAACTGTAATTTTGCTTATTTAGGGCTCAGTTTTATGATATGTATTTTTAGGTGTCCATACATGTTAGCCCTCCTGTCTCCACCAGTCTCAAGGAATCAGAGCCTATTGCTTGGTGGATAATCTTCCTCTCTGTCCTCGGGGCCTTGCTTTTGATTACTGCGGTAATCATTGGCCTGTGGAAGGTACGTTGGCTGATGTTTTCAATTATTTCTTATTCCTGCAACTTTTTATCTAGATAAAATTGCACTTATTTACAGGTATCATAAACCGTATTTTAGAACCTTCAGATTACTTTCAGAACCTTCGGATTACTTTCAGAGATAATTAGTTTATTGTTTAATCTTTTTGCGTATGCAGGCTGGCTTTTTCAATCGCAAGCGAATCAAGGATATATCCGATCCAACCATGGAGGATGACATGGATTAAAGATTTAGAATGATAGCACGACAAATGATGGCAATACATAGTCATGTCCTTGCAGCCATTTGTAAAGGACTCGTTTTTCTCTTAATTTGGTGCTATGTGAATTGATTATAGAACAAAACAAATAATGGGCAAAATGCTCGGTTTCACTTCGCTGGTGATACTGCTGTAAAGGCTAGAAAACAAAATTGTTTGACGTTGCCTAGAAAAAGATAAACGTGTAGCAACATAACACCACCAACGCAAGGAAATCAAGCATTTGCACATTTGAATGATGCATCATTGTCAATTTTTTCCAGCCACAATGCGTGCTAAATGTTCTTGGAACACCCTACAGTCAATGAATTAATTTGGAAATTTAAAGGTTTTCGGCAGAATCCCCCTCCCCGGAAAGCAATGTCTGTTGACAGGCTTTTTACTTGAACTTTTTGACAGAACTACATTGGAAAAATTTAGACTCTGAAAATCTGCTATTCAATATTGTTGCACGAGGAAGCGGGGATGCTGCTGAGGATATGTGGTATTCTAGCGTAGGGTACCAAGATGTTTTGCAGGCATTGTAAGTAATCGATGATAAGTCATTTTCTCTAATTTTTGCAACTTTTCCTAGTTGATCATGTATTGCATTATTCGATTTCCAGCTAGTAATTCTTTAAGAGTACTTCAGGTTTGTAGATGTTTGATCTGACTCGTATATAGAATGAGTCTCAAAGGCTGAAATACAATCAATGTACCGATTGAACAGACATTTATATGACAACTGATAACCTACACAGCCTTAAGAAAAAAATTCAGAGCCTTTTTTATATGCGTTACTATAAATATTCCTCAAAGCAAAAGCAACATTGTTGTTACTGCCTATCTTAATCAATTGACTCATTGAAATCTCTTTTATATCAAAGTAGAAATAGGTAACAGGTTTTGCTTGATATCACCTTATTGCTTGATACCGCGTGACGAGTTTGATATCGCGTTAAATGAACGTTGTTTTCTTACTGCGGAAACTAAGCCTTGAACCTAGTAGTCTACAAAGTCATTATTTCTTATCGTGATAATGAAACCTAACTTGTTTAAACTTTAAGAATATCAAAGTGAGTAACGGGGTGTCAATGGGACTACTTTGAGTCGAAAGGAATTCTTTAAAATTTATTTTGTGAATCAATACGTAATATTTTTATCAGATGAACCTTTTTATAAAATCTGTTTTATATGTTGTTAAAAACAATGGCGTTTTTTATTTAAAGTTATTTTACGCTAATTTACGTTAAGTTAATTTCTATATTAACAAGTTGTTGACATTTGATAGAAAAGAGACGAAATTTCGCTAAGAACTAACCAAGTTTATATGAAATCTGCCTGATATTACTTCATGTAGTATAAAGCTGTTTAGTTTTGTCTTCGATTTTTGTAGAATATATGCGTTCTTGAACTATCAGTGGCGTAGCCCATGAGGTGGCCGTTATGATTGTACCGAAAATAAATAACGCTTTGTTTAAGAATTATTGAAACAGTTTCCGGGGTACCGCCCTCACCATAAATCAGTCTTTGACCATTTAGGGAGGGGCCTTGTAGCGCTCGCAGTCGCCCGTACAAAGCACACGAAACTAACAAACACACGAAACCGCTAGCTCAAAGTCTGCCTTTTCGCCCAACTTTCAGACCTTGCTGCAGACCTTTAAAATTTTCAAGCTACGCCGCTAGTCTTGCTAGTTAGTGTATTTTAGCGTTTGATTTTTTATTCGATACTTTGATACAACTTTTTACAGTATATTAATAGTTTCATATTTTTAAAGTAAAAAATGTTCGTTTTTCTGTATGTATTATTCTGCATGCCATGCCTGTTCTTCAAAGTGCACTTTTGATAGAAAATAGTCACTATGAAATCTTATTTGCTCATCACGCTGACAGTTTTTAAAGTTGAGGCTAGAGATACATTATTAACTGGGATTTTTAAACAGCCCTGTGCAAATGCTACATACTGCAAACAACTGTAACTATGTACTGTTTCATCGTAATGTTTAACTAGAGATAAAAGTTTTTGTTAATTATAATTCAGCCATGTTTAATGGATGACATCGTTTATTTGCCCTAATAATGTCATTAGCTTTTTATTTCACATTAAATGTATATAGGAAAAAATAAACATCCCTAATAGATTCTAATTATGTTTGAGTAACCCCGTGGGCTGCAGCCTTCCCATCCTACATATATTCAGTGCAAGGTTTTATTCATTTATCAATCGATTCTTAATACAATATCATGCGATTTTATATCAAAGGTTGTGTAGAAAACGGCTGATAAGCCCGTTATTCAGAGGAGAGAACTTTGTTCTCACTTCCTTTCGACCGATACTTCACCTCGGAACAAATGTTGCTGTTGTTGTTCAAAGTAGGTGAGGGACAGGACAGTGGGTCCTTGGACCTGCGAAGGTATGAATGTCAATCGTCTGTTTTTAGGCGTTGCAAAAGCACAAATCGCCCTGATAGATTTGTAGGATTTGTTACAGAAATGGAAAAAATTTCAGGTGATACCATTCACAATATTCTTGATCACTTTGGAAAGCGACAAGATGAGCTATTGGATCATCCTTTGCAAGGAGGTAAATCTCCAGCAAGGCCTATCTTAGGCCTATTTTTCTTTTATGATATTTGATATTATGGAAAGAAATTGCCAAAATGATTCCTTCTCTTTACTGTAAACGTGAGATTTTATCAACATCAAGATTACTTTGACAGTGTCCCCTGTTTTCTCTCCAATCGTTTTGGATATCATTAATTGTCGATTCCCCCCTCACAAAGTGTTCGTGTTCCTTGTTGTTATCATGATGCAACGGAACTTTATCAACTTTATGGTTTTTTGGCAAGATGGTTCGTCAAAATAAAGGCTTTAAAGCTTTCTCATTGTAGCGAAGGGCGGAAAACAAAGATTTTCAGTCCTAAATGCAAGTCAAGGTCAATTCATGATAAATAATAGGAAGTTACTAGGTTTATCTATAATTAAAGACAAAATCAAAGTCAAGACATGAATAACCTGATAAATACTTTCAAAGCAGAAATCTAATGATCTTCCCTCTTAAGGCTACATAATCTTATTTTTCAATCACTTAAAGAATTTCTGAAAATTTGCAATTTGTTCTCACCAATTGTACTGTTCTCTATCTCCTAAGAAGTAATCAAGACAAAGAAAATGGCTGATTGTAGGGGACAGAGCTTATAATTGTGAGCTTTAGTCCAGTGTTGCTCTACAGGGGACTGAGAGCAGTGAAAAAGTGTGGTTTTATTTTGTCTTTAATGCTGACCATTCTAAGCAGGGCTTGTAATCGTGCGCTTTAATCCAGTATTGCTCTACAGGGGACTAAGAGCAGTGACAAAGAATGGTTTCATTTTTTCTTTGATGCTGACCATTCTACGCTCAGTGTTTTATATCGCGAGGGGCACTTGCAGGCACAAAGTTCATTCTCAGGAATTTCTGCAGGCACATTTCTGAATCAATTTTTATTTATCTTTATTGTACTACTGTCATGCTTTCTTTAAACATCTTTTTTTACATTAAAATCGGTCAAATAGAATATAAAAGGTAGTAGTTGCAAGTCTTTATTACCAAAATGAAGGTCCTTATTCTAAAGGCGCCATTTGATTCTCAAAATCAAGTTCGCTGTTTGTTTCTTTTCCTCTATTATCTCTTGGTGGTAGAGATCATTCGCAATTATTGTATCACTTTTTTCTCAGAGTATTATGTTATGACTGTAAAACTCATTTGCGCATAGTAGGCTGAAGAAACACACTCCCTTAAGTTAAAGTCTTCAAGCTTTTGAACCTGGTAGCCATTGGTTTTTGACGTATTTGATCAAAATTTCATGGTACACCTCCAAATAATCCATCAAAAACAAAAATTTTTGACAATTAGTGACAACATAAGCAAGCCTCTATTTCTTCGATTTTTGGAGTGACAGCATTTTTATTTCAAAAGTATCAAATCTTCCAAGCATGCTTAACTCAAAGCTAAGAAAAAGAATCCTAATATAATGCTTTTTATGATAAGAATTTTCAACAAAAGTAATTGGGAATAGAATCTTTGATGGCTATTCTTCATATCTTCGAAATGAGAAAAGCCCAGTGTAATATTGAAATTATTGCAACCTTTGCTAACGAAGCATATTTACAAACCTTGAAAGAAGATGTTGTAAACAAAACTGCTCCATTAAAAGTGAAGCTTTTAAGATATCGAAAAGTGTTTTTACTGGAGGTGTCTTTATTTGATGACATTTGATAACAACAATAGGGCTACTTGACAGCCCAAAACAACCCGTAGATAAAAACTTGTAGCATTTATTATGTCATCTGTTCAGTTTTACATGTAGTTACATGTAGTTCATGATGATGATGATAAGGTATATGCTTTTGACAAATGTAAGTTGGTGTAACAGCACTGAGCGTAACAAGGAGGCTCTCAATTTATGACTAAAAAATTGCATCCTATTTTACTTGCAGGCACATTTTTACTCAGCTTTGGGCTCACAGGCACAATATATTATTAATGAGCCCTGTATCTTATCCTGCCAGTGCCATCAGCCCCCCTTCCAACTGCCCTTTCTGCCTTTGTATGTTACACATTGCCTGCATTGTATGTTAGTAAATCAAACTTCAAAGAAACTTTCCTTAGTAAATCAAACACTGAGAAATAAAATACTTGAGCTACAGTTGCTATATATAGTTCTGATCCCTGACTTCATGTTGGTTAAATTACATTTCATTATCAATCAGTCCTAAATACAATTTAGCATACTAATTAATAACAATTACTTAAACAATTAGCAGTAAGGGAAATATGAATAAAAAGATTACTTTACACCATTATATTTAAGGGTGACTGTTTAAGGAGATACACATTAAAAAATATATGGCTTTAAGCAGAGTACTTCTCTTTGTTTGATCTTTAGATCACCAGAGTTGCAGGATACCAACAATGTCATTGTCAACTAAACAATCCAATTCAACAATGTCAGTTGTAAATTTTCTTAATTCAAATTCAGATCTAAACTTACTGGGATACCACAATTATGCATCAATAATACAAGTAAAATTATTATGTCCAGACAACCTGCAGTTACTGCCTATCAAATACATGTTCACTTTAATTGAAGTATACAGTTGTCTACATATCTTCCACTTTTGCATATGCAATTTTGTTTGCATTCTACACTAATATCAAAGCTTAAGATCATCATCTTCATTGTCATCATATTCAGTTTGACATCTGTTCTACATTCTAGCATGCAAGGGTTTAGTGAGTGACTTTAAAGCTGATCTATTTATTGGCCATGTCTTTACTGACCCTTTTCTCTGCCAATTCCTTTCTTGTCACTTTGGTCAATGTTTTTTGGCCTACCTCTACAAACTGGACCTACTACCTTTAAAGCTATTCAATATTGCTTCCTTTACTATAATTAATCAATTTGAAAGGAAAAGCTCTTTACCATTTCAATCTATTATTTTTGTTTTAGCTGGCACACTTCCACCCAAATCTGATAAATTCTTTTTTATATGCATTTAATCAGAGCATTTAAAAAGAGAGAGCTTTCAGACAACATGGTAAATGTGAACATGAACAGATGGATAGATGGATTTAGAACTGCAATGCAGATAGGCTTTGTTAGAGTGGAGCTTAGAGTATGCTTTTTCTAACTGTGCCCTATCAAAAGAAATTTTCAAAAACCACTACTGCTTTAGCTCTTGTTATTCCTAATCTCATGTACCCAATATTTTATGTTTAGGCAGCAAAATTTATAAAAATTCATTTTCAGTAGATATGGTCTTCTAAAATCTTCAAATATGTTTGCTAAATTTCCAGATGAGACTGTCATCTTTGGGGATTCATTGCTAGTCAATTTCCAGTCAGATAAGCAAGAAACATCAAATTTGAACAAAGAAGACTTTGACAATACCCTCCAAGACCCATATGGTGAATCTTCATTGCTCAACACATCCCAACAAACATTTCTTCAGTAAGTGCATTATGACTAAATGATAGTAAACTTCTAACAGAATATTTTTATTGGTCTTTGACATCTATTTGTCAAAATGTACACTTCTTTTTTGCATGAAATGTAGCAATGTGTTATGGATTGATTTTTCTTAAGAATGATCTACAGTCAAACTCGATAAATTCAGACTGAAAAAATGTGTTAGTGGGAGCTGATATCTGACTTTGTATTTTATTTTTAGCTGTTTTATGCAGCAAATTCCAGGAGTTTTGAATATTTCTCCTTTGCAGAGACACATGGCATGATTTGTTTGATGTCGAAGATTATCTCATAGAGGTAAGAGGTTGAGGGTTATGTTTTGCTCTATAACCATATGCTTTAAATTGTTGAAAGGCAACTGCTTACTTGATGCAATTTGGGCTTTGCTAATGGTCAACCTTCAAATTATTCTTTCCATCTAAACTATGACCTCATTGGCTTTATTAGACTTTTTTTATTTCAATGTCATATTCTTTTCTTGCATTTTCTTATACATTTTTTATTTATTACCATTTAGATCAAGAAAAAGGCCTTGCATGGGAGACTTGGACATTCACCTTACCGAGGAGTTTGTTGGAAGGTATGTTTTATGAGTTGCTTAACTTTTTTTCTCAGGTGCTTCTTGCCCAGCAAAGAATGCGAAATTGTGGAAATTATAAATTGCGCATCAGATTCTGTTGCTAGTTTCTATTTTTCCAGCCATGTCTTTAAGAGTTGAGCCTTGAGTTATATCCCAATTAAATTGTGTTCAGAGCAATCTCAGTTCTGTGCTTTGATACTCTGTGTTTGAATGGATTAAGAAAATTTCTAAATTTGCTCATCAGGCAGACATTTTATTCAAATATACATATAAATGCTGGTCAAGATTTTTGAAAGAGTTCTAAAAGACAAGCATTCTATATATTTGTCTTGAAATTTGTTTGAACAGAGAAAGATGTAAGCAAGATCATGAATTTTGGATTTGGCTATCATTTGTCATAAATTTAGACTGTGTGGTGCTCCTTTTCCCATACTGTTTTAGTCTAGTTTAAATTTGTCTACCATTTGAATTCTAGACCATGATGTACTGTAAATCCTTGAATTGCCCCCCCCCCCTTCAAAAAAGCCCCCCCTTCAAAAAAGCCTCCCTCAAATAAGCCCCCACAGCTACGGTAAATTCTCAAATTTGACCGCCTCAATTTGATGATTTTTGCCATCTGAGGTTGCCTATGGTGTTTTATTGAATTACCACAACAAATTCATACTTATGGTCAGTGGCGAAGCTAGCCAAAAATTGTTGGTCCTGCTATATGGACAGGGCCACGCCCTTATTCAATTGGAAAAGCCTATGGACAAAAATTCTATTTTGCAGATGAATTTTTTCTTAAATTCAGTGAAAAGCAAATTTTAAATCGATGTCTATCTTTTCAAAAATAAACCCATACTTAAAGACGTGCTTTAGGGTGCTTACTTTTCAAACAAATATATGTTAAATTGTAGTAAGCCTCTACAGCTGAAGTAAAAGTTCAAATTGGTGATAATTAAATTTGACGATAAAAGGGGGGTAGGGGTGGCATTTGAAGTTGCATATCATATATTTGTGGTATTCCACACATAATATAAACCTGACCAATCTAGATACTCTATTAAAATAATTTTAATAAACAACAGAGTTTAAAGTCTGTAGGGGCAAGTTCACATATTCTGCAGAACAATTATTCTGCAGCTGATAAAGAGAGGTACAATCGAATAATGTGTCACATTATCAATGAAAACAACTTTATTAGATAAACCATTAGACGAGAAAACAATTCAGGTAGAAAAATGCAAATTCCGCTGAAATTGGTTTATTCTCCAACTCAAAACTTTCAATCACACAACAGTAAATTCAATTATGCTTTCATCGTCCTTGTCCAAGTCTAAGAAAATTTTATTTAGGCCACCATGATATACCGTGCCTCAAACGATCGTACAAAGGCCGAAATCAGAGTGCCTCATACAGCCAATTCTTGTTATTTACATTTCTTTCTTGCGAACTTTGGACTCTTTCTTGTTACAAATAAAATTTATGCAGCTCAACTGAGGCAAGTTTTGCTGTCAATAATAATATCATTGGTATTGCCAAAGCAAGCAGAAAATCCGCATTCACATCGCCTCGCCATAATACTTGAACTGGCCTCCTTGCTAGTATCTCATAGCAGAACGAGAATGCACAGGGCAATTCTTGCAGTCCTGCTCTCAGAAATAGCAGGACCAAAGGTTTTCAAAACAATGCTCTTTGACCTACGTAGGTAAACCCTCGACCAATCAAATCACAACTGCTTACGAAATGTTATGATGGTCATTTCGACGAGGTCCTGCTCCCGAGATTGAGCAGGACTGCTCTTTGTTCTAGACTATTGTGAAGCAGGACTAAATTCACAAAAGCCCATTGTGAAGCAGGACCAAACATAGGGTATCATAGTTATGAGCAGGACCAAAATACAGGGCTGCCGTAGAAGAGAACAGGACCTTGAGATTAGCACGGGATGCCTGTATCAGCTGGCGGAACTGGGGACTGTTTATCAAAAAGAATTTGAAACTTCCTTTTTGCAAAGAAGAAATTGTTTATTGTTTACAGTAAGTCTTATCTTTGGAAATTCTTGGTCCTGCTCAGCAGGACCAGCAGGACCTTTGGCTTCGCCACTGCCATGGTAGTAATTAATTAGATGCTCATAAGGAAATTCCTACTAAAATAAACAAAGCCTTTTAATGATGTCTTCTTAATGTCTACAATAATTTTATAAGCCCCCCTCCTTCGATCCCCCCTCAAATAAGCCCTTATCCAAAAATATAAAAAATAAATAAGCCCCCAGCGGGCTTATTCAAGGATTTACGGTATTAACCATCAGTGGCTTTTCTAAGAACTGTTTGTGTTTCAGTTGTTATGGGAATGTCTGCCAGAAGATAGGGAGAAATGGGTTGTCATGACCAACAAACTGAGAGCTGATTATGAAGTCATTCGGGATAAGGTAATAACTTTTTGAGATTTTCCAGATCTTGACAGAAGTTAATGTCCATGTGTTGCACCAATGGCTTAAATGTGTGCCCCCAAAGCAGTTGAAAGTTGGATGAGAGCCCCATGGGCTCATTTGTGGATTTAGGGTGTGCTGGCTTAACCCTTGTATCAAGTGAGTCTTACTAATGAGATTGAGCTAATGTATTTAATGTCTACAAAAGTATCAGTTGTGAATTCCATGCGATGATCATGTGCATTAATTGAACATATCCGAATTTGAGCCTAATTTTCTTTCAATTTATAAGTTTTTATGTTGTTTCTAAGGGTATGAACATATTGAGTGAGTGATCTCCTTTGATTTTAGCATCTTACAGACCCTTATCAGTCATCTGCCATGGACCTTGCTGTCAACAATCCTTTGTCACAAGAGGAGAATGTATGATTAAAAGTTTTTTCTTTAGTTTTTACTAAAGTAAGACAATTATGTTATGTTATTCTCATTTTGTTTTTTATTTTACCACTTTAGTATGTTCATGAATATTTTCTTTTGCTTTTCCATTAAATATACTTTCACACAAAAAATAAATATAGTTTGACATGGACTGTTGCCGAATATAGTCTGTGAACAGAATGTCTTGTTAATATAGAGACTCTTTTGGGTCTGACATTGTTTTTGTCATGTGATTATTTGCTCTGATAGAGTCCTTGGCACCAGTATTTTCAAGATGGCGAGCTAAGGAGTACTATTTGTCAAGACTTGGAAAGACTGTAAGCATTATATGTTGTCATATTCTTTTATGCTTACCAAATTTAATCAATAGGCCTGTATATGCTAAGTAGTTTTGTGACCAATGGTTTTATTAAGTGGCTGGCTAACAGTAAGATGATATCAGTTCTTGTGTAATAGTAGGAATTTATTTGTTCAAATTTCCAAATTTTAGATTGATCTGGTTTTTTTTATTTTAGATTGGGTATCACTCGTACATTTTTAAACCATTGGAATAAACATTTTCATCTCTCTTTGCAGAATGTCTCTATTTAAAAAATTATGATTTTTTAAACTTTGTCTTGGGTTAAAGTTGATATTTTTTATTTCTGATTGGTATTTTTTGTTTCTTAGCTATCCAGAGATGGATTTCTTTAGGAAGAAGAAAGTGGAGTAAGATAACACGATTTTAGTTGAAAATTTGTTATGATATGATCTTTTTTGTAATAATTCATTATTGACAAATAGGTGTTACTAATTTATGAAATTTCATAGGATTTTTCATGCTTTAGAATTTTTAGTATTAAAAATAGAAAAAGTTTTTAGCATGATTCTTATTTTCAGGATTTTATTCCGAAAAATACAACTCTGAAATCTTTTTAAGAATTAAAACTTTCTAGATGGATTGCAAATGTATTTACACCTCGTTTTTTCTTATGTTTTTGTTAACATCAGTGGTTTCGGAATCAGGGTTCCCCAGAGGCACATGCCATCAATCTTCTCTCAATAACTTTTGAAAAGTACTTCTCGTTTCGATATAGTGCCCTCTCCTACCTGTGTCCTTCTAACTTTTAAATGTTGTTTATGTTCCAAATCACAATCACTGTAGTGGCTTTGCTAATGCTGTTGTGGACTGAAATGTGTTATCTTGATGTGATTTCCTATCAAACTTCTTTTTAGTGAAATAATCCTACGCTGCCTGTTTGTGTACGCAAAGGAGCATCCAGAAATTACGTATAAGCAAGTAAGAATTTTATTTTATGACAGACAGTAACCCAGTTATGTAAGGTACTTTGGGAAACGCTAATAACGTTGCATGTATTCATAGTTCGAGACACTTTTCGATTTTACTGTTTCTTGCAAACAACGTGTTTATTTTTTTCAATATTCATCTTATTTGCAGGGAATGCATGAAGTTGTTGCACCTATAGTGTATGTTCTTTGGGAAAACGCACAGAATGTTAGAGAGAGCAAAGAAGATTTGCAGTAAGTTTTGAACGAAACCAATCTCCTTCTAATGATTAAATGCCTTTTTTTTTAAATGTTTCTTTCACAATTAGGGAGCTGTTCTTTATGAATAAGGTAGAAGTTAACAATAACAATATCGATAAAATATATTTTTTCTCATCAACGATATATTTAAGACGACCCTGATAGCTCGAACCCCCGAAAACTCTAATTTACTCGAGTAGTTTCTACATTGTTCTTAAACCCTCCCCGATATATTTGAGCCCCCGATAACTCAAACGCTTGTTAATTCGAACCGTTGTAATCGTTCTTTTGGAGTTTGAATTACCTGGTTCGCACTGTTTTTTTTCATTTTTCCTCTTTGGTCAACAATAAAGTATTGTTACTTTATTGTATTGATTTTGTCATTGCCATATGAAATGTCGAGATCAAAGTGTGCTGAAAACGTTTTAGCTATGACTATCCACAGCTATTACAATCTACAGATTTATCAATATTTATTACATGTTGCTTATTGCTGTTATTTTGACTTTTCATGCACCTTTTCAGGGAGGTAATTTGCATTGTTAATGACCATCGCCATGTAGAGCATGACACATTGTAAGTATTTCTTGACCCATCCAATTGCAGTTCACTGTAAGACATAAGCATTTTTTCGAAGGGTACTTATGGCATTGAAATAGAAAATAGCACCCGTTTATGAATTATCCTGATTATTTGCATAAAACTCTCTTCTTTTAGTGTTTGCTTGTTTGTGAAAGTTTGATAAATAGTTTGTGACTTAAGAAACAGATTCTAACCGTGCAATACATAGTTACAAGTTTGAGCTTTAGGTCGCCAACAACAGTGCCGTGATTTAAGAAATACGATTCAATATAAGTTGTATTTGAATCACTTTATGATATAATAAAAATCAATCTACTACAGAAAAATTTGCTTTTGAACTCATTTTTCTATTCAGCTGGTTGTTTAGTGAGATAATGGATTCTGTAGAGCCGATGTTTGTCAATGCAAAACCGGTTTTAGAAGACGATGGTAATGGAAAGCAAAAGGTGATACTCTCTCTTCCAAGATTTTCATTTTTTATGTACGCAAAACTCTATTCGTCTGCCCTGATTTCCACCATTGTTGTTTAGGGAAAGCTTCATAAATATTTATTACTTGAATACTGGGGCTGGAGCTATATTGTCATTTGTTATTGTTTTTCGACTTTTATCAAAATATAAAAGTTCTCGCTTTTTCGATCTTACCATGTATTTTTCGATCAAAGAGCTTTACAATTTTACAAAATTTTTTAGGTTGCAAATGTGGATGATCTGTTTGTAGCTGCATCTCCAAATCAGCCGGTCAGTGTAGCCTTATGATCTCGGTAGAACTTCTAAATTTAACAGCCGGATTTTCAAATGTGATGAATATCAGATTTAATGAACTGTGATGAATACTGTTTGAATATAGTTTATTTTGATTTGCATGATAATGTTCTTATTTATTCCGATTTGTAATCTAGCTCTGTTACTGTTTAATCTAAATTTCATCTCTTGGCTCACAAACCAGCTGCTGCTAGTGTTATGTAAGCTGATCCCTCATATTTGCACCGTCCAAGGTACAACATCATCAGGCATCCTGCCTCCACATTTTTATCCTTTGTTTAAAACTGTTAAACTTTTTCCCGATGTCACCTTATAAAACCATTCCCGAAAATTTGTTTTAGACGTCAGCTATCTCAAAAAAACTTGTTAGGATTCAGAATTACATGCTGAAGAGGTACGACCACGAATTATACTCAAGGCTGCAAGAACTCGATATTGCACCGCAGCTTTATGGCATGTGAGTTCTAAATTTATTTCCTTTTTTTGTGTATTTTCCTGCTCTCACAGACTTCCTATGTATCATGCTTATCCAAGAAAGTTTCCCTGAATTCAACTGAAACGCCAAAGCATTAAAAAAGTTTCTCTAACATGCCTGGGCAGGCAGTAACGCGGAAATATCGCAATCATATACAGCTGACAATCATAGCGAGCAAAAGTATTGCACTGCCTGAAGCAAAAATGGCGGCACTGCTGCCAAAGTTTTAGCTAACCAAGATTCAAATAGCTGCTGCAAGTTATATAAAGTTTAAGATATCTTTTTAGTTGGAAAACAATGAAATAACAATTCTATGCTTGTAAAAGTCAAAAATTGAGCTTACGATGTCTTATTAAGATGAACTCGAAGATTGATGACAACTATCCTTATCAGAAACAGCTTTTTTCAGTGATTAAACCACGTGACCTTTATATATCTGCTATTTTTTGGTGGAGCTTCTGCTGTCTCTAAATGTAACATTTGGTTTGCTTTTGAGTCGTTGGATCCGATTGCTATTCGGAAGAGAATACCCACTTCCTGGTCTCCTGTATCTATGGGATGCTATGTTTGCAGATGGAAGGACACTTGATCTTGCTGATTTTGTTTTCATTGCTATGCTCATGCATATTCGAAACTTTTGTGAGTAGCCAATCAACATACTGAATTTTAATAGCATTTTTTCCCGTATTTTGTCAGTCACAAGCAACACTATTTCAGAATTGTATGCTATTCCCATACCACCGTGTTATTGCATGAAGTTTCAGATTTGAAAAAAATGCCGCGCAAGCATCTATATTATAGCCTTTTAGCAGTTTTGTTACCTTGAGTGTATATGAAACCTGGGATTTTAAAACTTTTACTTTTTTGCACGTACTAAAATGCGCATAGTTTCCCATCGCCCTGAATATTGTATCATTTATAAAAACCAGGACGTCAGAGTAGCAGACAAATGCTCAAACTAAGCCACCCTTACAAGAATTCCCAAATCATCCGCCATCAAAGTTTATTATAAAATATTTGATACCTGGAAATCCTGAGAAACAGATCAATTCGAATGACCGCGACATCCTCTGTATCAAAAGAAGGTTTTGTTTGAAATAGATTTGAATTTTGTTTGTTTTTGTTTAGTTTTTATTCTTGCTTTTGAGAAGTTGAAAATTTGAATTCCCTTTACTTCTTCATAATAGCTAAAAGCAATTTTGCTCCTTTGCAAAATAGTTTTTCTTTGTTGGTAAACTTCGTATCTTCACAAACTCTGGATACTATCGTGGTTCACGAATACAGGTTCATCTAGGTGTCATGCCAATCCAGTATTGTCTTATTAAGTGGGCATCATGTTAATAGCCAAACCCGAAGGCTTAATTTTACTAGGAAAAGATTTTTATAAATTTCGCCCCCCTCCTTCCTCAATATTCACCTTTATTGAAATTTTCTTGTTTCTCTGGCTTTCAAATACTTCAAGCTTTATCTTTATGCTTCTTTTTGCATTTGTTATTATTTAGTCATTAACAGGCAAAATCTTCTCAACAGTACTCAAAAATGACTACACGGCATGCCTTATGCAACTAATGAAATACCCAGCTTCAGTGGATGCAAAGATGATACTCCGTAAGGCGCTGGCATTAAAATCTTCGAAGGTGAGAAGATACAATAATTCATTAGAGCTATTTTGCCTTCAATTTCAAATCTGAATGTTTCCAAGCCCTTCCGTATTTCAAGCACACATGTAGCAACTGGTTGTGAAAATATCCTCCCCTTCATATATCCCGTGGTATTCAGCTTTATTCTCGAAGATGACCTAGTAAAGATTTTTATCGAACTTTGCTTAATTAGATATTCCCAAGCAACAAATTTTGGAAGGCTTTAAGCAGCTTGCAGGTTTAGAAATGCCGAAATTTTTCAACAGCTAATTCTTTTTCCGTTGCCACTTATGGTTTTTGATATTTTTTTCTTGCGTTTTCATCAACATTTTTATGTTTTGCCGTAATATTTGCTAGCCTTCTTCCATACCAAGTAAAAAGCAACTGAACATGCAGATGAACAGAACGAAAGCTCGAAATGTAGACACATCTCGACCTTTAAGTGATTCACTCACAGAAGAACAAAAGGTTTGTCATTTGAAAAAATTTTCTTCCACTTGACTCGTCCATAATCTAGTTCAGGTATTTATAAAAATCGTGGTGTACTGTTTGCTTGTATTGTCACGATTCATTATATGATTGTATTTTGAAACCGAGCATTTCTTTATAGACCAGTGTGTTTGCAGTAACTATGGTCATATACAATTGCCTGCAGGGCACCGTCCCCTGCCTTCGTAACAACACCCCTGATCAAGTTGCTATATAAACCCTTGCACTTGATTACTTGAATGTACTATATATTACTTGCTGCATTGAAACCGTGGGACACTCCCCTGCATACTTGAAACCAGCCACCGGTCTGGTGGCAGTATTGATTGCTTGATTGCTTGTGTTCTGAAACAACCATTGCTCTGTATATGTGGCCTGTTTAATCCCCCCGTGCCTACAATACATATTAAAAAAGAAAGACATTTTACCATATTATTTAGAACTAATGCTGTAAAAATATTAAACTTTCGAAATCAAATAGAAATGAGATGTAATCCACTGGCTAAATGAAATTTTCTAGTTTAAAACTATTACTCAAATCTTATTTTGGTATTATTATCACTATTTCGTTTTAATCATCATACATTATTATTAACGGCCCAAACCAGATAAGTCCATACTTTTCTTTGGTCAGATTAAATTGAATTGAATTGAATGATTTATATTAGAAGTTATCGCTTTTTTTGTGAATCCGATTTTATGCGTTAGTTTACTCAATAGGAGTGCACTGTTAGATTTTAACAAATACTTTATATGATTACGAAAGTCTATGAACACCTCTGTCCCATATTTTAACATGTTCCTTGCCTTTTTGAACATTGTCTTAGCTGAGAGCTCGCTTCGCTACCTGACGATACTTCAAATGTGATTGGATATTTGCATCGTTTGTGTTTTTTTTAAGAAAACGTTTTTGCTTAGATTTTTTATGATACTGATAGCATTCTGAGAAGTATGTATTTTCTCGTTCCTTTTGATGTAGGTAATATGAACTTTAGGAATTTGACTTTCAAAGATTCGTTTCTTTCTGTGTTTTGATTTTAAATGATAATCTGTGATGCTATTTAGCTTATTCACGTGTTTGGTGTTTTCGATTAAATTCATAAACCCTTGTTTTTATCTAGTTTGCACATGTCTTGGGCTCAAGCAAAAGACCCATTGCTAAGTTGCAAGGGCAGAGTTCGAAAGCTCCTTCTAAGTCGTCCCAGTGGTATGCTGACGCGTCTGACGATACTGATAACCAGAAAACAGCAACAACAACAATAGGTGGAAAGAAGGAGACTTTCGTAGAAGAAGTAAAGCGATCACAAAGATTTGAAACTGACTGTAAGTGACATAACTTTGTATAGACCTCAGTTCGAATAATGTTCAATAAAGCATATCTGCCTTCAACAAAGCTGATATTTTACTGCATCCTCGTGAACTATTTGGAGCTTGGAGATACCATAGATATTTTGAATAGCATTAAAAGCTAATCCATGATGCGTGTGAATTATCCACGTACTTTGAATTTCTTTTCCCCCTACTCTGTATATATTCACTTAGAGGTATTTACCAATAACATTTTGAATCCTCATATTGCACCATTTTGCTTTTATGGTGAGACAGACTTGTAGTTAATTGTTAATGTACTTCCATGCTCCCTTGTGTATATGCTTATCGTAAATATTTGTGAGCATGAAAAAATAACATTGATAATATGGTAAATTTTAGGCAAACGATATTACATTTTAGCATCAATAAGTAGGTTTTTAAGTTCGTATGAAAATAAACCCAGTTACCTTGACACCCCCTCCCCCCTCCCCCTCCTTTCAAAACACTTTACTCAGTTACTCACTTTTGATGTTACAACAGCAACTGAATACCGCGTTCAAACTGATGATTCTGAGATCAAGCGTGGCGAGAGATTGGCTCGAGCTCAAGTCTTAAAGTCAAGTATGGTGTCTCAAATATCAAATGTATTTGGAAGACATACCACTGGCCTGTCGAACGACGTTCTTTCGAAGTTTTCCTCTCGGAACAAGAACAAAGCCAAAGAGAGTAACGTCTCTCAACTTGAAGAGGTTGATTTTTCATTAATTTCATATCTGCAAGATAAGTTGATTTGATTTGATTTGCAAAGGCTCTTTGGGTCTTTGGGTCCATACAGCACCGTAGGAAGGATAGAACTGGAACCGGGATAGGGTAGAACCGGGGCACGAGCATGACCAAAGGAATTGTTCATTGGTCACACTGGTGCCTCGGTTCTATCCTATCCCGGTTCCCATTGCTCATTGTTCAAGGTCCTGTAAGTCCAAAAAAAGCTCATTGACGTGACAATGTATTTAGCATGTTTGTCATTGAGGTCACATTGAGGATACGGAGCATTACTTGCTACCCTGCCACTTATATGATGCCCATAGACAGGATCTTTTCAACAGTGTCATGCTATAATCGGGGAAACTCTGAGATTCATGCATCACAACGATTCCAGTAAACCGCCCCTAACCTCCCTATTCGCAACAAGTGTCTATTTTGTTTTTTCTTTTTTTAGTTTCCGTAATCAAAGCCTGTTCCAAAAAAAGTAGCTGGTTGTATATGAACATGAAAACCCTCTTGGGTTTCTCGCCTGGCATATATTTACTCTCCCTGAATATTTCGCCTAGCATAATTTTTGAAATAGACTTTGAGATAATTGTGAATGGCCACAGGGTTGTTATTGAGATTCAAGCCCCTTGTGGTATCGTTATTTTACTGTAGCTTATAGTAGTGTCTTGTAAATTTTGCTACATAAAAAGCTTGTTTATCAACTTTTCTCTGCTTTTAGCATAGATAATAGATACAATTTGCAAAGAATTAATTAGCTGTAGAATTTGCCCCTTTTAAATGATGCTATACTGGAAAGGTTCGTGACATTGTCAATGTAAGTAATAGATATTGTGAATTCCAAATTTTTGATTTTAAAACTATTTGATAATTGAATGGTAGCATTAAGATTGGTTCCTTATAGCTAGTTTTATTCAGGTCTTATGTTGATATTTTGGCTTGTAGGATCATGAACGACTTCAACGACAAATTTCGCAGCTGCAGTCAGACTTTGACAGGATCCAATCTTTGTGTCTATTCTGTGCTGGGAAAATGGATTCTTACCTAGGTTGTTTTTCAACCTTCTTCTTTTCAAAAAAATGTTTCAATGATTTTTATGAATGACTATTATTGATTGAGCCAATTATGAACTAAGGCAGTTTAGACTGTGTTCTTCCGACTTAATTCATATGTAGTTAGAGTTTTTTAAGTTAGTTCCTGATTTACGTTTCAGGGTTGTTTCTTACAACAACTTTTATTATTTTCAATAACAACTATTCAAGTCTGAAACATAAAGATTTTCTTTGATAGATTTTGACACTAGAGATATCTTATTAATTCTAAGAAGTGATTTTTTGTTTTGATTGTCACAAAATCCGTTCAAAACAATATCGTTACAATTAAGCGTGTGAGTAACCCTGTGTATTACTGTTTTTTGTATGGGTGAATTGTTTCCATTGAACAGTAGAATTTTGATAGTTTTTTTTTGCACCAGGATTTATTGACGCGAGTGTGGATGAATCAGTGGACAATCAAATTACCCAATCTTGTGTTGCTGGCCTACAGAAGGTATTTTGTTGCTTAATTGATGATTTATATTTGATTTGATTGTCATGATCTAAAGCATTTAACTAATTTTTTATAATCAACATTGAAAGCCCGGCGTTGTTTTGTCGTCTGTCGGTCATTTTCAGTTGGTCGTTTTCTTTGTTTTGATCCTCTCCCTCACCGCTTCCTCTCTTTTGCTACTTGCAGGTACGGGATATTTTAGCAAGAACAACCGAGATTGAACCCTCTGCAGAAGCATACGAGAGACAATTTGCTTCCATTGACAAACGTCTGTCCGCAGCTTTTTCTGATCCAGTTATAGCTCCAAACGAAATTTCTACGAAAGCATCGCAACCTTCATTAAGGCACAAAGAGGACCACTTTGGAGATGATGAGAACACCCCAGAAACAAATGATATGCTGAGTGACTCAGAAACAAGGCTGGTAAATGAAAAATCAATTGGGCTCGATTATTTTGGCTACAAAGGTGATAACGTGAATACAAATGAAGATATTATTTCAAGTAACAATTCTGAAAGTAACATTAACGAGGGCCAGTCAAGTTCATCAACATCTTCATCTACTCCAGAGCCATGGAGCTATTTAAAGCCGGAAGATTCTCCTGGTGACTTTGAGAGGGAACTGCTCTCCATAAAAGATAGATACGTGGCTAGTGCTCCTTCCCAGCCACATGAAGATTTAGGGACTGCTTTAGAGTATGTCACAGTACACAAAGATAGCGTCATGTCGCAATCAGGAACAAATGACGATCTGAATGACTCAATCGACCCCTTGTCGGCTCTAGAACAGCATTTTAGTTAGATATCTGCAATTTGCTTTTCAGAGAAAGCAATATTTGAAGATGATTGATTCAAGAGCTTTTTTGTATGTGGATTAAACAGGATTGTTGATTTGTCCTCTAGGTGTTTATAGGTAGGCCATATTCGATTTCCAGACGTTAGATTTTAATGTTATTAACGATGATATTTGTAAAGTAGGTCGTACCAAAAAAATAATAATAAGTTTAGGCACTGCCAAAGCTCTAAAATATTAGTACATAATTTATGAAAAAATTACTTCAAGGAAAATTTGAATTTTAACTTTTTCTCGTCGGGTAGATCACAATACCTTTTTCGATATTTGAATCGCATGCAATTTGTTGTTTTAATTTTGAAAATTGGGAATTAATGACAAATAATGCTTGTCAAAATTACAATGTTTACAGAGTCAGGTTATTTTCAATTCGTGTCTGTCTTTCTCGCGCAAAGCAAACTCCAGGTTTTAGTTATTTTTATGGAGATATATAACTGATCTATAAAAAAAGAATGGATCGAGCTTCTGTTGTGACGCGGGAAGAGGGGCCTCAGAACAGCCCGACATAGGAGTGGATATTCACTACCACTCTAATAACGCTTTCATCTGCTTTTTCCGCTGTTTTTTCGCCATTACACGCATTGTCTGCTTTTGCCGTTGCGTCTCTCGCCTACCCATAACATACAAGCGTTTTGGAAGTTGCTTCCTGCTTCCTGTTGGGGGCCCTCTTTCGTTTGAAACTTTTGTGCTTCAAGACAATATGAGGCTCGGTCCAATCTTTTTTATAGATCAGTTAGATAAATGTGCAACGGCTTTTTCAGTTTCGATTTCTGTCATGTTGATGGGTTACGAATACACAACAAGGCTTTACTTTACAAAAAAGTTTTCGGCAGAGGGGTGGCTGTCGTCGAAAAAATGATAATAATATCGTTTCTCTCAGGAACTTTCTCTGATATAACTTCTATAGTTTGCAACAAGCTTTTTCATGCAATCATCGAAAGGAACAAAGAACCATTTTTGCTTATAAATACTTGTAAATGGTGTACAATTCATGCTTTTCTGGCCTCGCGTCCGCATTAGCCATCTGCCAAGCTGCGGTCTTTTCCTCGCTAGATTTCTGTAACACCAGAGCAACCAATAGAGTCGATATAGGTATGGGGAAAACACGCGATAATACCTGAGTTGGCACTATGATTGCTGCGAAATGGCAGGAACATTTTAGAATTTTGATGCTTCCAGTTCGCTGGAAAGTCCATTCTTCAAAACGGAACGGTTTGAAACTATGAATAGATTTACATAAATTTATAATTTTTGTTCAAACGCTCAGAAATTAAAATGAAATAAAACATCAGTTGGCTGAAAAGCTAGCGTTGAACCGGGCCTACTTGAGATTGTTTTTGTTCAGAGGTGGTAAATAGCATACAGTTAAGGTTGCAAAAATACCCCTTTGTATATGCATGCATAATAATTTCAAACAACTGAGAGTAAGGCAGATCAGTATGGAAGTTCAGTCTTTAGAGGTGCGGTCAAAACATAAATACTCTTTTATGCTGCTTTTTATGCGTTTCCGTTTCAAAGTTCCTACTAAGTGCCATATTTTGGAAGCTCAACTAATACAGAAATGTTGACACGTTGCAAATTGTTGCAAAAAGGTTACAGGGTGAGTACAAAAATGGCTTCTTTAGCTCGGCAAAAATCCTTTAGGTGCCGACGAACAAGGTGCAACGGAAAAATCTTATAAAGTCGTGGCACCTTTGTTTCAATGCAATATTTTATGGAATGTTAACCTCTAAGATGCTTTCAGTGGGAGCCAACGTTTTGCCCGAACACCATGGCCATGTTTGAGATTGGTTTATCATTGTCCACATCTACGAGGTGGGATGAAAACAAGTCGTTATTGGTATGTTTTCTTTTGCTAAAGAAGACGATTGGCGTCAGCACTGACTTTTGCTTGCAGTGGTCGAGCCACGGGGGGGGGGGGATGGGGACTAGTTCCCCCTCCCCACTTTTCAGAAAGTGTTCGTTGAGATTCTTGGCAACCTATGATGAGAAAACTTTCGGGGGGGGTATGTAATGTACGTTATCTAGATGGTCACATTTAAATCACATTTCTTGGGAGACAAGAGGTGTTCCCTCTGGAAGATAATGTTTCAAACAGGGGAAAGGGTCGTGGTCCCTGGCACACCTGCAGCAGCCTTGGATTCAACCGGGAAGAGTGAAACTGAAAATTTTATTTTTCAAGCAGGTCCTTCGAGAGAGAATGTGGCCCCTCTGTAAAGAATCTGGTACAGAGCCAGGGGCTGTGAAGCGAAGCATTCTGCAAACAAAAAACAATATAGCTTTATGTGCAAAACAGTGATTCACATTGCTTATCAACGGTTGATTAATTCTGCCTGAATATCTATGAATTTTTTTGTCAATGAATTATGCATACCATCCATTCTTTTGCCGTCTTTTGAATGGCAAACAATTTCAATGTCCAAGCCACAAACTGAATTGTACATGATTAATTTTTTATTTGCATTACAGAGAATTGTCGTCTATGCGTTTATCGCACCAGCGTATCTGGATAACTTCATTTTGTCGTCAACAAAAATAAGGTTTGGTAGCATTGGTTTGTGTTTGTAGCAAGAGCAAACGTTTAGGCCTTGGGAGACCTGCAGTGTGTAAGGAACTGCTAAACACGGAGCTCTGTTTCTTTCGGTGGCACAGCCTGATTTGAAGTGAGACACCTAGCTGTTGGTATCATACCTTGTTCAATCTTTTATCAGACTTTCACAGCGATTTACAATGAGTCAGCTTTGCAATTTGTTCTACTGGCGATCAATTTTGGCTGAATTTCTCGGAACCGCTTTATACACTTGCCTTGTGCTTGGCGTTTCCTTGTCGTCCGATGAAAGCAAGATAGATGACCAGCTTCGAATCGCTCTTAGCGTTGGACTAACCGTGGCTTGTGTTTCGCATATGTTTGCACCCTCAAGCGGTGGACACATAAATCCTGCTATTTCTTTATCGTGTGTAATTGCAAGAAGAATATCAATTTTGCAGACAATTGGTTATTTGATAGTTCAATGTGGAGGAGGTAAGAGTTAAAGAGAAAGATATTTCCAGATCAAAAGCCAACGATTGTTGGTATTCATAGGTTAAAAGGCAAATGTTTAATGGACAATTTCTATTGCTGTAACAGTTTTTTTACACGTTGATGCTAAGTTCCATTTTTTACACTGCAACTTTAAAATCAATCACTCATTGTGTATCATAGTTTTTGGAACCAATGGTTTCAACCATTCCTGATAATATCAAAGAAAGTTTATGGTAGATAATGTCAACAGGTGGATGTCATCTCGATGAGAAGATTTTTCTCACGGTAGCTGGGCAAATATAAGAAAGACTGCGTACATAACTTATCTGCAGTGTCTTTCAAAATTCTTTGGATCACCCAGTCACCGTATCTCGTTTTGCTTTCTAATCCTTTTTATTATTCATTTACCCTAGTTCAACATGCGCGATGAAAACCACCCCTAGTGGGAAATATCTCTACTGGGCAATCTGCTATTTATTTTCCCCAGTCAGTTCTACGTTCCCTCTTTGGAACGATATCTCATCCCCTGCCGATCAAAGACATTTTTTTGGCCTACGCCGTAGACCCCCCCCCCCCTTCCCCCTTTCCAAACAAAGGCTACAAACTTTGCTGCCCTTGTCATATTTACCTGCTACCCCCGTTAAAGAAAAAAATCTCATCACGACATGTTACGCTTATCTGAAAAGTCACTCCACTTCGAAGCACGCAAGCATCGTCGGCATGATGGGAGGGACAAACTGAATACAACTTTGGAATTTGATCATTTTACCAACTGTTTCACGATGCTTGTTTAATGACAAAACAGAATTTGTGACCACAGCGTTCGTCAACTCGGGTGAAGCCACGTGAATTGAAGTTTGTTTAACTGGCGTCCAGCTGTCCCTAGGTTATGACCACAAAAACCTTACTAGTTGGAGGCACGCCCTGGGAAGCTCATCTACATGTGCACTGACACAGGTTGGAAAGTGGGGGGGGGGGGTCGGTGAGGCAAAGGAGGCACTTAGACAAACATAGCAAAAAGATTTTGTGAAAAGTCCTGTTGTTCTGGAAAAAAGTGGTTGGGGTCATGGTCCCTCCCCTTCGTCGGAGGCCCTGATCTAATGATAAAGAAACCTTAAGCCTTTGGCGGACACTTGAAAGTTCCACAAATACAGGGCCCACGCTAGGAGCCAAAGCAAGGGCTGGGTTCATATCACAGCTTGTGTATGGTACCTGCAACATTAACATAAAGAATGCAGCATGGTGGTAAAATAATCACTTTTTGTGATCATGGTCAGGGTTTAACTTCGAAAAGAAGAACAAAAAGAAATTTCGTCGGAGGCCCTAATCTAATGATAGAGAAACCTTAAGAACAGGGCCTACGCTACCGGAGGGTCGGGGTGGCCATGGCCCCCCACTTTTTTACGAAGCAAGTAGCTCTAAAGCTGCAGTAAAACGGGGAAAAAGCCTTGGCCCCCTACTTATGCTAGCCTTGGCCCCCCTCTTTTGAATTCGTGGCGTGGACCCTGGAATGAATAGAACATTGAAATTTTCCATTATTCACTTGGTAGCGTGATCAGTAGCAAGCTTTTGTCTTGTATAAATATTTGTTCGTCTTGACTGCAACGGTTTTACCAACAGAATAAGGATTTACTGTCCAAAAAACGAACAGAAACAGTTCCAATTACCTTAACTCTAAATGACTTTAACTTCAAAAACCTTTTGGATACCAAGAGGTATCCACAGTTAAATGGAACTCTCTTTTTCTAAAAGTTGACTTTCTTCTTCTGGGAAGACGAAACTGTTTGAGCCACTGTAAAAATTCAAATATTGACCCAAACGTGAAAATACTGTATACGTTGGCCATCAAAGTTTGCATAATTATATCGTTTGCATTAGAGCGTTTGCATAACTATTTCAAAGAGATGTTTATATTACTTAGAAAACGTTTGAAACATTGCATTTCTTTTTAGCTATCACTGGTGCAGCCATCATTTTTGCATTGACACCTAGTGGGCGAAGAGATGACCTGGGCGTCCTCTCTCTTCGAAATTCAACTACGTACTGGCAAGGGTTTGCAATGGAGGGCATTCTGGGATTCTTCGTCTCTTTTGTTTACTTGTCTGCGTTCGATGTAAACAGAGAAGATAAAAGTTTTGGGCCTGGGCTTGCTTATGGTTTCGCTACAGCAGCCGGACATCTGCTTGCGGTACATAATAATCCAACCTTAATACATTTACACAGTTATCACCTTATTATTTAATCATATATACATTCAAGCATTGTAAACTCTTATAAAATCGTTTTGCAAAGCCATCATTTTCACCTTTGTGCTGTTCAAAGATCTTTTTTTGCAAGAACGAAAAGTCTACGAGAAAATCTAGTTCAAGGGTATGCGAGTATGGGATTAAAACATGCTACGATTAAATCTTTTGCGAAAATTTCTTAAAACCGAGGATCCCTTCAATGTTTTATTGCCAATCATTACAGATAGCCACAGATTGTTGCAAACATTCCCAGATTTATGGAGAAAGATTTTGAAAAACATCCCTGACGACTTTACGATATTATGAACCCTATTCTCCATCATCAATCGCCATCATTTTGTAAGCATTTTTATCAACATGATTTTGTATCGCTTTCATTCTCATTGTTATGGTCATCTAGTTATTCATCCCAACGATATTTTCTTGTTGAGTGTATGTTTAATTTGAAATAAACCATTGTTCTTTGAATTAATTATTATGGCTCGCCAACCTTATAAAGACCCTCAGTGGCGCAGGCAGCACGAGACGACGTTCTGAGGCGTAAAGAATATTTATGTCGAAGCATTTCCCCTCATACACACATCCCTGCTTATGACAGTCTCTATGAGTGTGGTGAATTTGATGCATTGTATTCTCTAGCCCTATCAATTCCTTTTTGTTCTTCTTTTTCGAAGTTAAACCCTGACCATGATCGCAAATAGTGATTATCTTACCACCATGATACATTCTTTATGTTAATGTTGCAGGTACCATACACAAGCTGTGGAATAAACCCAGCCCGTGCCTTGGCTCCTGCAATCATAAAATCACACTGGCCTAGCTATCACTGGGTAATTATGATATTATGTCTCTACTTGTTGCCAGCATTTCTTGATGTTTTCCAGGGGAGTTTTGGTAAATGGCTGCTTAGCTGTGCTCCAGAGAGGCAGAATCGGCTTGCAAAAGTATCAGGAAGAGATGTTTGGCAACATACTATGCATGCAATTTAATTTTATGTTCTGTTTTGTTGGAAATGTGAAATTTTCTTTGATCATAGAAGAGTTTTAAAACAAATTTTAAAGAATCTCAAATTTCTTGAAAAATCCTTAAAAAGTGAAAAAATCCTTAGTTTGAGGAAATTTCCTTAGAAGTTAGAAAACTGTTTGAGACACTGTTAAGCTTTGCTCACATTGACAATTGGGTGTTTGTTCTATTTGTGCAACATAAACTACATGATGATTGAAGTTTTTCAGATTATCAAATTTTCGGACGAAACTTTAATTGTCCGAAATCTAGGTTTGTTCAAAAGTTTCTTTGTATGAAAATTTAAAATTTGGATGAAAATAGAAAAAAGGAAAATGAGCTATATAGTAATACTTTGTGATAGTCGCTTTTGTCATAAACGTAGTAAGTTAGTATAAAAATATGTGCCAAATATAATTCAGTCATAATCTATATCATTTCTTGTTCTTCACGAAGAACTTCACGAAGTTGATGATGCAGCCTTGTTTCTTAGTTTTTTCAAGTGAGAAATGTTTTAAATCAAACAAATTTCGATGAAATGCATCAGAAAACTACCATTTCTAAAGGATGCTGGGTATTTCTACCTTAATGAAACGCATCCACGAGGTGCAAGTAGACTGTGGTCACTGAGAACCTCACGTGATTAAACTGGAGTTTAAATTCAAATTGTTGATATTCTTTGTGTTTGTTTTTATTAAGATCTACTGGGCTGGACCAATAGTCGGCGCTGTGCTTGCTGGAAGTCTTTATGCGCTGGTGTTCTCAGTCCCTGAGGAGAGTTACAGTGGCAGAGCAGACTTTACTCGCTCAAACGATTACATTATTGAGAGACCTCCTGGTCTTGATGGTGATAAAGCGAGAGTAAATGGAAGTAGTGGCTATGGAAATACTACGATGTAATGGTGGTGAACTGTGTTGATGGTTGTGGAACTACAGGCGATTTTTCTCCGAATTGCCTTCTCTTCTTCTACTCTGTGAAACAAGTAATTTGGCTGCTGCGAATTTTTAACAAACTGTATTATACATCATATCTTTGAAAAGAACCAAAACATTGTTCTAAGAATACCTAATAAAATCAATACCTAGCATTTTAGCAATTTCCATATGCGAAACCTGAGGAGAGGTGTTTTTGGCCACAGGCAGGACCACCCCTTCGAAAAGTTCAGCACTAAGAATCTTATGATTGCTTATACAAAGATATTGACGGGCAACATTCTTCTATAATGAATTTCCTAAGATGTTTTTTGGCTCTTTGGTTTTTAGGTCCTACACCGCCCCTTTAACTCAGTATAAAGTCTCTAAAAGCATGAACGATAAACCAGTGAGAGCCATGTCCCTGTTTTAATTGAAACAAATGAGCTTATAAACAAATATTTGCAATTTTCATTGAAACAATGCTTTTAAAAGTAAATAGCAAAGAAATGTTGCAAAAAGGGTGGAGTCGTGATGGCTCTCATGGGCTACACCTAATAAACTCATCCCTCTGTTCAACATTAAACGTCACCTCCAACGATTCCTGTATAGGGAAATAGCTATAGTAAATTTAGCTGAAGGCTGCTATAGAGTTCTAATTATCCACTTGTTGAAAAATGGTTTATAATAGTTATATTGCCTTTTTCAATGTATTAACATAATTTTAGAAAATATCTTTATGATGTTTCTATCGTTTGCAAACTTTGCAAAAGTAAGCAAATGGTTAGCTTTTTCTCAATCGCGTAGTCCTACATCTGTAATCCTAATGGTAATTTTCACTACATCTTTCATATTGGTCTAAAAGACAAATTGAAAATACTAAGTAATGAAGAAACTCGACAGTAATAATTAGGCAATATTTTGTAGATAATTAATATTTTCGGCTTTCTCAAGAATATGTGTTGAAAGGATGACGAAAAATGCGATTGACATCCACTGGTAAACAGTACTTTTGCTTCTTAAGTAGACCTTTGCCTTGACGTTTGTCGTCTTCCGGCCAAACACTTTGCATCCTTACTTTATTAATCTCTTTCGAGCTTCCAGACCATGCCCCCGGGCCGGAGTCCATACCCTTGAATGAAAAATTCCGATTGAGATTGGTTAAACTGGACTGGTTAACAATCATATCGCAATTCTGTACGCAACTCTAGCCCAGTGGCGGAGCCCCCCACTTTTTAAGAAAGTTGGTTCTTGAGATTCTTGCAAATCTGATGAGAAAACTTCACGGGGGAGGTATGTACGTTATCTAGATCGTCACATTAAAATGACCTTTCTGGGAGACAAGAGGTGTTTCCTCCGGAAGAAATTGTTTCAAACAGGGGAAAAGGGCGTGGTCCCTGACACACCTTTTGTCCCCTGCACTTATCCCAGGCTGGAACTGCCACTGCTCTAGCCCTTTGCTAATCTTCAGGCGCCGGCTCATTAATAATATTTTGTGCCTGCGAGCGCAAAGCTGAGTAAAAATATGCCTGCAAGTAAAATAGGGTGCAATTTATAGTTATAAATTGCACCCTGTAAACTGAGAGCCTCCCGGTTACGCTCAGTGCTGTTACACCAACTTACGTTTGTCAAAATCATATACCTTATCAATATCATCATGAACTACATGTAACTACATGTAAAACTGAACAGATGGATGACATAATAAATGCTACCAGTTGTTATCTACGGGTTGTTTTGGGTTGTCAAGTAGCCCTGTCGTTGTTACCGATTTCATCAAATAAGGACATCTTCAGTAAAAATGTTTTTCGATATCTTAAAAGCTTCACTTTAAATGGAGCAGTTTTGTTTACAACATCTTCTTTCAAGGTTTGTAAAATTTAGGATTTTGCTATCACTTCCTTGGCAAAGGTTGCAAGAAATTCGACGTTACACTGGGCTTTTCTCATTTCAAAGATATGAAAAATAGCCATAAAAGGTTCTATTCCCAATTACTTTCGTTGAAATATCTTGTTATAAATTATAAAAAGCATCTTATAAGGATTCTGTTTCTTAGCTTTGATTTTATCATGCTTGTAAGATTTGATACTTTTGAAATGAAAATGCTGTCACTCCAAAAATTGAAGAAATAGAGGCTTGCTTATGTTGTCACTAATTGTCAACAAATTTTGTTTTTGATGGATTATTTGGAGGTGTACCATGAAATTTTGATCAAATACGTCAAAAATCGATGGCTACCAAGTGTGTTTCTTCAGCCTACTATGCACCAATGAGTTTTACAAGGCATAACATAAAACTCTGAGAAAGAAGCGATACAATAATTGCGAATGACCTCTACCATCAAGAGATAATAGAGGAAAAGAAACAAACAACGAATTTGATTTTGAGAATGAAATGGCGACTTTAGAATAAGGACCTTCTGTCATTTTAGCAATAAAGACTACCTTTTATATTCTATTTAACTGTTCAATTTCAATGTCAAGAAAGATGTTTGAAGAAAGAATGCCAATAGTACAATAAAGATAAATAAAATCGATTCAGAAATGTGCCTGCAGAAATTCCTGAGAATGAGCTTTGTGCCTGCGAGTTTCGACCGCGCGCCCGCGCAGATTAATGAGGTCTGCCGACGAAACTGGGGGTCCGGGGGCCATGCTCCCCACTTTCCTGCAGAGCAAAAAGAATTTTGAAGCAAAATTGGAAAGAAATGTAGTATATCATCCTGTAAGTTACGGTGCCTAGTAATCCCTTAAATGTGCCTTTAGCTTTAGCTTGGTTTCTATGTCTTTCAGTGGCGTAGTGTTTATGTATGCTACGCTTGCAGCGCAAGCGTAAAAAAATGCTGGACAAATACGTCGTAGTGTTAAAGTCAATGTAAAATATATCCTGCAATAAATGGCCTCTCTTTCTGGTCACGAGCGGCATTTGGTGAACTCCAGCGTAAACAATACCCATTGGTTATTGGTCAGAAGTGTAGCTTCTGATAAAATTTTCTAGACTGGAGCTTGTGTGCGGCCTGAGCACAAGCATTCCCAAATAATTGATAATACTCGACATTTTTCTGCATATAAGCTGCTTTTTGCAAATATTCTTAGATAGATCTCTATGTACCCTAGTTAAGGTTACGGTAAACGTTTTGAACACGAAAATTGGTTTTTTCTTCCTAAAGGCCAAACGGCTCAAGGAATCTGGATAAACTATATATCATTCGATGCACAAGATTATGTCGTATCTAGCCAGATAAAAAGTATTGGCAAATAATGTTAAATGTTATTTTCCACGCGAATTTACTGGTCAAAAAGTGTACCACCTTCAAAAGCTATTATGTACCCTTGCGTTTGAGGTAACAAAATCTGACTTAGACCAGCAGGAAGTGCAGGTCCTAAGCTACCAAAGTGTGTCTCAGATTTTTTAAATTCCTCCTCTTCTTGAAACTATACCCTGTCAAAAATTGACAAATAATTGTTCCACCCTCCCGCAGCTGTATTTGGGTATAAAAGACGGACCAGAGAAAATAAAAAAATTTTGAGACACACTTTGTTTGCCCAACGTCTGCCCTGGCCGTGTGCAAATTTTCGAGCCATTCGATTGGTTCCTTGGGTACATAATAGCTTTTTCGTACCTGCATGTAGAGGAATTTCGAGTCCGGAGAAAACGGGATTTTACTGATCGCACTTGCAAGATACACTCGTAAACCACAGTGTAATCCGGGTCAAGTCACTTAAAGATTTAAGATCAATAAGCCTGTTTAAATAAACACGGCCGTACATTGGGTATATGGTTGTGCCATGCGATATTGTAAATGAGACATGCGACTACAACCGCAAAGCAACGATAATCGGCTAAAAAGGTCAAGAGATTTTCAGGCCTCAACTAAAAGTTTTGATAAAGAAATTATGGAAACCTTCGTTTACATGGGATTTTTTCCACTTTCAAAATTTCTGTTTGTTTCAAATTTGGTGTCATTGTGTGCCTTGAAAGTTCGGCTACTTGAATGTGAAAAAATCGAAAAAATGATGTTTTCATACAGCAAACGTTTACCGTAACCTTAAGTGAATCTGGTACCCACGGTATTCTATATGACGTCATGCAAGAATGTATGCGATGCGCCACCATAGGCACAGTTCCTGTGAAAGTGAAAGTTCCTCATCTTGAACGTGCAGCTGCATTGGTTCCTTGATAGCGCCGTGGTATAAAACTTCAAAACGTAAGTAAGAACATTTCCAGAGTTACAATCAATGGTTCAAGCAGTAAGATTTACAATAAAGTTCCATCAGAAGGGAAATTTGCCACATTGTTGATCAAGTTAAGGCACATACTGTGATCTTAGGCTCAAAGTCAGAAGATCAGGATTAGGCCGAATTTCGAAAGAGAGCAGCAAGCAGGTTCAAACAAGATTGCGTATGAAAGTTTTTAGTTAATTCTTAAAAGTGAATCAATTTAATGTTCCTTTTTATGTACCCACGATTGAAAAGTTTACGCCCGGTAACTTGCGAGTTAGCAAATCGTATTGCAGAGCGATTTGTTTTACTTACGGTTTCACATTAAAACTCTTTGTCGTCAGTCCGTCTATCAGCCAAAAATCTATTTACAACGAATTTATTCACAGATGAGTCTATAGCCCATAAACCAAGAGGCTCAACCTAAACTGGCATAATAAAATGAAGGCCGGAGTTGGCAAAAGGTTTTTAGCTTTCCATGATCAGTTCGTTTTGTAACTTTTCCTGTTCAACACTAGAGGTCAATTCTATGCTATTGAATTTGAGGAAAGAAGGTAGGTATCCTGTCGCTGTGTACGGAGAATACAGGTACTGTTTAGATGCTGTTGTAGACAGTTATGATATGTCGAAATAAGAAGATTTTCTTCGTACACAAAAATTGGTTTTATTTGTTGCTACAAAAAATAAGAGATGCGTATAGTGTTGCTAATAACAGAAGGAAAAGTGAAAAATTGGCTAAAATTCTCCATTAATATGGGGGGCTCAGCCCCCGAGCCCCCTACCTCTACACTCCTGGTCTAGAGTCAATAGAAAGAAGGCCTCACATCAAGCTAAACAGCTGTTGCCAGTTATAGATGATCTTTCTTTGCTTGCTTTGTATTTGTCTCAAGCATTGACTATGTCTCAGGGCACTCGGGCAAAACCCACCAGCCAGGAAAGTTGAAGCCTTGCAAAGCGTACCTCCCTTGATGTTTCATGTGCTATAGTCAGCGTTTTTTGATTATTCAATTTTCTGCTGGTCATTTGTCAGTTGGTTAAGCTATCAGCCTAAATTTAAGATTAGATACATTGGTTGTGAAACTCTTTGAAGTCAAAATCATAAAAGTTGGATAATTTGGTATTTTATTAGTGCTATTTAGACTTTTACAGTATTGCCTGGACGCTCTCTGGATTGTGCTTGGATGTTCATTAAGTAGTGTGCTTGTGAAGGTAACTTCAAGGTAGGAACACAAGGCCCTGATATGCAAAGAAAACAATGGCATTATTTACTAGCAATACATTTTTGCCAATCAAAATTTTTATTGCTGCTTTATCCGTATTAAAATTACACGATGCCACAAAGGGTTGATTGTTTTTGCTAAAAGCTGTGCCAACTTCTCTTTTGGCAATGAGACGATAGTTTCTTGGATTGCTGGCGTGTGTGCCCCTCAACCCACCACCTAGTGTACTCATTCTTCGTACACAATAAATGGGCACATTCTCTTTCCCAGGTGTTGATCAAGCCAATTAATATTTCCTTTGGATGGAGAATCTTCACTGCTAAAATTACCCAATTAAATTTCATTTATATATGGAGAAGATTTGATGCCGTTTTGCTGTTCACTGGAAATCTACCTTGAATAGCTGCTGGCAGTAGCTCTGTCCTGTGTTATTAAATTCACTAGGGGGAAATGTGCTAACTAAAATATTGTTATTCCTCCAAGGTGTTGGGGGAGACCACCCCCAGGTGTCCACAACTGCTGCCGTTATCTTATCATATCTTTTAAGCTCTATTTTGTTTAATTTCAATTTAATCTATTTTCATTCAAGCAGCGAGTAGTAATTGATTTAGATATACCATTGTAATACATCAACTATGAATATATAAATCCCCAAGAAAAAAACTGCAGGAAGAATATGCAACACCATAAAATGCGCTTTGATACTTAAATCAAATGCACAAAGGTGCTGTCAAGCTACTAAATTAGGGGAATTAACATCCCTTTCTATGTTTGAGGAAAATTACCAAGGATAGTGAAAAAATGATAAAAAGATAAGAAAGTAAAACAATGTACACATATGGTTAAAAAGTATTGAGAAAAATACAATAAAAGAACTATGGTGTTGTGCTATTGGGGTTGGCAACAGAACCTTGTTCAGATATGAGCAGTCTTTTTCAAAAAATCTAGGCCTATGTATCCCAAAAGTGTGGTGAAAAATTGCTTCAGCTTTTGAACAAAAACTCAAAAAGCAAAGAGTTCTTAAAATTTTCTTTTAAATATTAGCAAAATCTGAAAAAGAGTTGTATGCTCTTAAATGTAAAACTCATGTGTATGGCCTTGGCAATTTTTTAGATATGTCCAAACAAACACGTTTTTAGATTCTTCATGTTGCATAACAAAGAAATTTACAAAGAAAATTTCAAAATCAAACCATAAAGTCTCAAATAAAGTTTTCTGTATCAAGGAAAATGTTACAATTTCATGAAATTATTGAATTTACTTTGAGAGCTATATTTCTTATGATTTTTATAACCACATTTTTGCAAATGTTCCACATTTAGCTTCTTTTTACACAAAAATAAAATAACTGGTGAGAAGTATAACCTATTGATTTGCAGTTCCCTCAAAAAGGATCTTTTGTCACTCGGAATCGTAAACTTCTTCGGTCTGCCAACCCTTGGTAAATTTTTGCTCTTCTTGTAAGTAAAAACTTTTTACACACCACAAAAGCTGCACTCATTAAGCAGCCAACAAGTGATGCAATTTCAAGAAATCCATTTGTGTTATTTTCGCGTATGAAGGGCTTGCAATTTGTAAGCCCTTCTCGTAACTCAGTTTTTTATTTTTCAGTTTTGACTCCCTTGTTTATGGTTTATGACTTAAGGCCTATAGATATTTTATGGTTGATGTTTTGTGAACTTTTTGACATATATACATAAAAGGCATTGAAAAATCAACAATGTCTTGAAAAAATCATGGAAATAGCTGTCATACTTTTTCAATAAAAAAGATTTTTAAAAGTCTTTCCAAACTCACTGCAAAAAATGTCTTCAAATTTTTTAAGTTTGTCCCAGCGCTTTTTGAACGCAAGTTTACTATTTGCTATAGTACATTAAATGGTGTTAGCCAGATGCTGCTAGATGCTTAATGGTATAATGATGCTAGATCTTATGTACATTTCTAGCCAGCTTTTTATCTCTAAACCCATATATACTTTGCTGTTTATTGTCTGATTTTAAGGGTTGTTGTATTCAAGACCTCCTTACAATCTAAATTACAATTTGTATTTGGCTTTAGCTTTTGTTTGTGAAAGGTTTCCAAAAAAGGCCCTTGCAAATGTTTTACTTTTGTCATCATATTTCTGTCCTAAAATGATTGCTAAATAGAATGGCCCACTTCCGACTGCAATACCAAAAACATTGGTTTGTCACACTCAAAGTTATAGTAACTTTCAAAATTGAAAGTTATTCAATGTTTGAAGATTGGTCTGCTGTGATGTGAACTTCCCTTAAATTTCATAAGTCATCTTGGTCCTGTTTTTATTTTCAACATGCTAAAGGACGATTACCTGGAGATCCCCAGGAGGTTTATCAAAAGTTAATGTAAGACAAAGTAACAATATCATTTCCTGACCTGATTGGTTACATGATACCTCATCTTTGTTGAAATACTACTCTTAAAGATTGTTAGACTGAGCTGTTGAATTTCAACAGTTCACATGGGAAAAGGTTAGGCAATGAAATAATATGAAACAAATAAAGCTAAATTTACCTTTTGGAGCATTTGTTTGAGCTATGCATCATTATTATAGGTACGTTGGTGACCAACACTAAATTTTCAGAAAATGAAAAATCAAGAAGAAGTACAGCCAACTAACTGGCAGCCATATCCTCCGAATAACACGTACCCAGCCAATTCATATCCAGCCCAACCATATGCTGGTCAGCCCTATCCAGCTCAGCCCTATCCAGCTCAGCCCTATCCAGCCCAACCATATGGGCAACCATATCCAGATCAACAAGGGATTCCAGCAGCTGCCCCTCCAAGCTATGAGAATACAATAACCAATACTACAAGCACCACTGTCATTATTACAGATTCTCATCCAGAATCATTTCACGAGAATGATATGTTTTCATTTGATAGCAAATCAGTGCGACTTGGTAAGTTAATCTTTGGATTTTTCATTAGGTATTTACTGTCGTTTTAATATCTTTTCATTTACCTTTTATTACAGTATGATATCTAGTGTGCAGCCAAAAATTATTAGCAGTTCTGGTAACTATAAGAGTTGTTTACCCACAAATGAATTCAGTAATTTTTAATCCTTTTTGCTATCAATGTCAGGCTACTGAAAATTGATTAGAAGCAGGTTTTTCCATAGTCAGGGCTAACTTATTCTTATGAGACTTTTCTGACAGAGCTAGAATGCATGTAATTAAAAAGAAATCAAATTAAAGGTAATGTGTCCATATAAAAGGACTGCGTATACCCAACTTGTCAAGCCACCCATCAAAATAACGGTTTGCGATTGGTTAGTATTCTTGCGATGCAAAACTGCTCACATGAAAAGCTGACCTCGCAGCAGGATAGATAAACAGAACGACCGTAATAGCTGGGGCGATGACATGAAGAATCACATGTTTCTAAAAACTCCCGCAGAGTCGCTTGCTTTAGCTGGACACATTACCTTTAACAAAAACATGCAGAATGCAAAGAAAAGTAACACAAAGACAATTTGTTTGCTTCAAGAAGATACGTGACCTGCAACCTTTTTTCTCTTTTCAGGATTCATCCGAAAGGTTCGTAAATTTGTTTTCATCCTTAAGAGATTGCATATCTCTCTTTCCAAGTTATTGACTGGGTCAAGTTTTGTAAGAAGCTACTTGTCTAGCAATCTTGCTCTTTGGCATCAAGTAGAAATCTATGTCTTGAATGCAAAAAATAGATAAAACTTTCAGATTATAGAAATCATACACTCCCCTCACAAAAGTATTGCACCACCTTGTTCAAAATGGCGGCACTTTCTGTCAATATTTTGACAATACAAAACATTTGAATGCATGAATTGGGTGAAATAGGCATATTTTTTATCAAATTTCGGCGGGAAAAGTTTGCAAATTTTGCTGACGCCATAGAGAACCTAGTTAGAAATGTAAATTTTACGGAAAAACATTATTGTTTGAAAAAATGTAGACCATGCCTAAGGGAGAAAATTTGTCAAATGAGAGGCGAGTCCCTATATAACTTTTACAGGTAAGTGGTCTTTAGTTTTTGAAAAATTGTTGACCATGTTAGATGCAGCCACACAACAGCTTCAATAAATCAAAAACAGGTTTCTCGAGAGTGCTTCAATAGTAATAAATCGAGAAGTAAAAAAAGTTACGTTAGAGGGGTGGCGATTTTGTCTGTTTTATTTCACCATGTTTACACCAAGGAACATTAAAAGACATGTAACTTGACACTGAGCAATGTTTGTGTCTTACACAAATATAAAATAGAAATTCACCTGCGTAAAAGGAAACCATTTTTACAACTATTTATTTCCGAACAAGATAAATTCAAGTTTTTCCCTGGCATCTTTCAAGTCCAGATTTGTACATCATAGAAAATGTTTGGCTTCGTATGAAAAACAATCCGAACCATGATTTTAAAGGTTCTTGAAGAACCAAAGAATCGTTAATTAAAAAAATTGTTCAGGTTTGGAATGAAATTCCACAATAATACGTTGCCCAATAATATGCAACCAATTCAAGGAGGCATAAAGAGGTTTCAAAGTTCATAGCTCTCGTCAAAATATTAAAATTTGAAACTGTTAAAAGACCTTTTGAAACTGTTATTTTGAAAAAAGTTTTCTAAAAAGATTGAAGTTTTGATTGGTGGTTGTTTCAATTCTGACACACTTCCATTCGCCACTTAAACACAATCAATTCGCACAAAAATAGCTTTCGATAATTGTTGCGCCATTTTCCCTCCTTCAAGGTGGTGCAATACTTTTGTGAGGGGAGTGTAAAAACATCCACCTTGTAAGGAAGTGGACAAAATCTCAAAAGCCAAAATCTTTGAAACAGCCAACCCTCTTATATTAATCTCTGGGTGTGCAAAGAAGAGTACTTTGTAAATAAGCACATCAGGTCTCTTAATTGAAGAAATATACTTTATTTGTAATAACCTAAGGATTTTAAATCAGTTTTGTTGTTCTTTTTAAGGTGTATGCAATTCTGGCTTTGCAGATGGTTGTAACAATTGGATTTTCCTGTCTGTTTATGTTTCAGTAAGTTCTCAGATATATAGAGGATTTCTACCAGAAAAAATTCCTTTATCAATGGCAGTTTGATCTCTCTCTGAATTCTTAAGTTGCAATATGTTTAGCAACTAATGTAGGACATTAGACATAAGACCAGGAACTGTAAAAGCAAGGGAGTTGAATTGGCTTAACAAATGATTAAAAAAATGTACCTAAAGCCATGTAATAAATTGTCATGATCTTGGCACAGAGCATGTTGAACTCCCATCAATCTGTAAAATGCTCCGCAGTCCATGTACATGGATGCCTTGACAGATATCAAGCAACTTGCTTGATCTTTCGTAAGCTATTGATCACTTCTTTTGCCGTTTCCTTGACCATGCTGACATTACCCTGGATCCTAATGAATTTATAACTAACCAGACTTTTACAAAGAGCTCTTCAGTTTATAACTAACCAGTTTGGTGATTTTATGCTAATTTTGCTGGATATCCTTATGCCTTTGGATCAACTACCCTGGTGTACTCCTTTAGATACCATCCCTACGCAGCAGAGTTAAATTGGCAGTGTAGATCCAAATTTGGCCAATGAGTAAGAAAGGTTTCTGCCTTAAGCCTGTTTCCCAATAGGGGAGTCTTTTTGCTTGAATTATCTATAATATCCCCTTGGGACATCAATATTGACCCTAGAAGGTTCAACTTATAGTACAAGGAGCCAAGAAAGACCAAAACATTGCTGGATATCAATACCTGGGTTGGGTTACCATAAGTGCTGTTGTAGTTGAAAGATATTGGTTGCTAAGTTTGTGTATCAAATTTTGTATCAAAAACTAAGAAAACAAAATACAATAATAATCTCTATTCAGATGAGAAGAAGGACAGCTATATTTCTAAGTTTTATTTCTTTTTCTTTAGCATTATATTGCAAGTTTCTATTTGGATTGCCTGTTTGCTCTTATGTTCTCCATGTTAATTTCTGGTTGCTAATTGTTGTTCAAAATTATATATGTAATATTTTTTAGAACAAAGCTCATCAACCATTTTGCTTTTAGTGAACCAACAAAACTATATGTACAAAATCATATTGGTGTTTATATTGCAGCTTAGTGAGTATTTTTTACAAACTTCCAACTTTTCTATTTAAGATTGCCTATTTCTGTTGAAAATTGTAAATCACATAAAAGATTCTTCTATATTACACATGCAAAATTTGTAATAGATTGTTGTATGCTAAAGGTATGATTAACTTAAGTGCTTATACAAGGAAGTTGATAGAATTTTTTATTTGCATCAAGCATAGCATTTTTGTGTTCCAAATGCAATAACTGTAACTTAAACCAGTATGGATACAATGAACCTTGTAGCTAAAGATATAGTTCAAATTATGGTAGGATGTTCCATTTTATGATATGTACTTTTATAAGGTAAAATATGGTAACACAACTGGTAAAATATGTCTTTCTATTTGTTGCAACATGCAGAGATTAAGCTATTTTCTTCTTTGTACTATTCTTATGCTTTCTTTTGTATAGTAGTTTAACAAAAAAAATTTTGTCTTAATATTTGATGTAACAGTTGGTGTTTATTTTACAGTGTTACCTTTTTCATCCTTTACTTTGTTCTGGCATGTTGTACAAATGTTGCCAGGAGTTATCCAGCAAATATGATACTTCTCTGTGTCTTTGTGAGTGGACTTTTTCTTTTTTGTGATCAATTTTTGCATTCCTAAAGCCCCCTAGTTGAAAAATAATTGTCAAGGATTTGCAGCTTCTGTGAGTTGATTTTAGTCATCATAAGCATAAGATTTATTCTCACACCAAGGAGTATTGAAAAAGACAGGAATAGATGAATGTAACAAAGAGCTATTAGTGCCAGTTTTGCCTTAAATTACCTTTGTTGGTTGTCTCCTGCCTTTGTTGGTTTGATCATTTTTATCCCTGAGAATTTCCTGATTTCAGAGAGAATTGACAAAAAGATGCAAGAACCATAAAATTTGTTAAGACTGTTATTTTTTGTATGTGAACTAGAGAATTAGGTAGAATCTTGCAAGTAAACAATTTATAGCAAATCATTTATAAATTCCTTGTTTCTGATCTTTTTAGACGATCAGTTTGTCTTATCTTGTTGCTGCAATTACAAGGTAAATATCCTTTTTTTGTCTTTTACAAAATATATAGGTTTTAGGAGCAACTGGGCTTGCAAGTATATGACCTTTCCGTCCAATAAATATTAAAATAGGAAAAACCTAGGTTGGTAGTAAAATTCAATTGCAACGTTTTTTCAAGAAATTGTTTTCAAAAATGTGGTTTATCGAAGATCATTTCAGAATTTAACCTCACAGTGTTAGCATACTTTAAACTCTTTCTGACAAAGCCGATGCTTGCATTTGATATAAACAGTCCCAGTGCAATAATGAATCATTTCAGGTGTGTTAATGCCAGTTTCTTCTCTATAGCTTTCATGACACAAAGATCGTCCTTTTGGCCTTCGGAATAACATTGGTACGTACTTTTACTCTTTCCATATAATATGTTTGTTCCTATTTGTAATCTCAGGATTGGAGCCGCGAATCTGTTTTGTTTCATTCGCGTATTTTAAAGCTCTTTTGTCTAATTTCCAGGTTGCCAGTGTTTCTGTGATGCTGTTTGCTTGTCAGACAAAGGTAATATTTCACGAATACCAAGTGGTTATTCCTTTTATCATATCTCTTTGTTTGTCTGTTTTTTTTACTTTTATCATGTTCAGAAACGTCGCGTTTGTCATGTCTCTACCTGTTACGGAGAGCCCAAACGTTATTGCAACATGCAAAAATGCACATCAACTGATAGGTTTTATATTGTTGATCAAAGATTACAATTGTATTTCTTCTCAATGCTTTTCGTTTTGACTTGGTAAACCGTAGGGTCGGTTTTCGTTACAAACATTATCAGAACTTTGTCTTGTTGCAAATAAAAATGCGTAAATTTGGATTTTCTTAAGCATTGAAATATATAAGATTTATTTATGGTTTTTAATTGCATTGTTTGTCAAATTGTATTTTAATATTTGTTTTGTCTTTTTTGCAGTATGATTTCACAGGGTGTGGTGGAGTGCTTTTTGTAGCATGCATCAGCTTGTTGCTTTTTGGCATTTTCGCTGGCATCTTTGTCCCATCGGGCAGCATCAGTGTAAGCAGCTTTCAATAGTAACCAATGTTGAATTGTCTATTTTTCCATAACTAAACTAAGTTAACGATTCTCTGTTAGCTTCTACAGATGTGATATGTTTATATATGTACAGATGAATCCCAATCGGACCTTCAAGGGGTATAAGGAAATGCTCTGTCGAATATCTAAATGGTCCCGGGTACGACTTTTCACTTCAATAAGGTAGAAAAATCCAATGGGAATTCAAAATCAGTCCGATTTAGTGAAAGTCCGACTTATCCGTGGCACGACAAAACGGGATTCAACTGTATATGTCAATGTCTGTTTTATCTTTATGCATATCCTATAATGTAAATATATTAATATGTCTCTCAATGATTTTGTTCCCTTGGACAGATTTTTGGATAAGTACATTTTATATCCGGGAAAATCTTCTTACTTGAGGAGATTTTTCAATGGCTTACGAAATTTCTTTATCTTTTTGCGTTAAAATCCCTGTTTTCATGAAAAAAATTGTCATATCAAATCTAAGGTATTTTTCATTTTTTTTTTATTTTCTTGGTCCTGGTTTTCTGTATCAGTGATGTTGTCTTGACAATGAGGAAAAAGTTTATTTCATTTCTAGAAATATATTTTAAGAAATTTAGATCTATTGCTTCATGTAAGCATTAAACGTCTTTTTTCAGATCGTCAACATGGTTTACGCAGGACTTGGCGCTCTTTTGTTCATGGGGGTAAGCTGTTCACGTTTATTTTTAGAAACTCGAAACTGATCATTTTCCTTCTGGTGATTTTTGTTTCTAGTTTAAAACGTGGTTGATAACCATTACGTGAATTTCCTCGATCCAAATCATCAATGTCATCATTTGTTTATTTCCAATAGCCTATCAAGGCTTTATATTTGCATTTTTAAATTACAATTCAATCGAAAATTGAAGTTTATAATGGAATTGCAACTCAAACGACATCAATCGATATAACATCAAATAGAGCATTATCACTCTGTCTACGTTTTCTAGATATTTGAATCGAATATCGTTCTTGAACTTATAATCCAAATTCTGTAAGATTGGGAGATACGAAAAACCTAACCTTATAAATGACAATTATATGCGATTGCAATTAAATGGCACTTTGGTATCCTTCTTACATTGATTGACGAGTACTTGCGTATTTTGAGAAAGAAGCCTCTACAACGATGGCTGTTGCCAGTTATTTTGGTACCTGCTTTTTGCACCTTTAAGGGACATAGATCAGACTGCGCTTCTTGTTTAAAAGGAATAGTAGGCTTATGTTACTTTTTTTCAAAGCTATAAAGACAATTATGTTTCCACTCACTAGATTTGAAATAGGCTCTGTTTCAGTCTTCTAGAAATATAATAAATGCACGGGCATAATTTGGGTCGAATATTGCGCCAATCAGCTAGATATTTAAAATGTCTAGTGAAAAAGATTATTCAGTAAGCGTATTTTATCAAGGATGTATGTCATTATCAGAGATTGTCTGGCTGATGAAGTTAATAAAAACGTTTTGCTTGTTTTAGTTCCTTGCCTATGACACACAGCTGATTATGGGTGGAAGAAAATTTGAAATCTCCCCCGAAGACTATGTCTTTGCTGCAATGATGTTGTACATTGACATCATCTACATCTTCTTGTTTATTCTGTCTTTGATTGGAGGAAAGAACTAAAGGTTGTTGTAATCCATGGTGTCAAGAGTAAGATAATTTGATTGACAATAACTGTTTTATTATTTGAAGTATCTTTAAGCCAAAGGTGATTTCATTTTAGTAATCGATCTTTTTTACTACTTGCTATCTTTTTACCGGATTTTATTTGATATTTTAATAGCAGGGCTTAACATCATTTCAAATTTGGCTTCTTCTCTACGGCTCTGGTAGCTAAGATTACAAGTAATTCAAAGTGCAGATCATAAAGCGTTTAATTAATATAAGTATTAAGGTTTTATTCTGTTTTGGTTGTTCGATTGGATTAAAGATCCAACGTAGAAATCACCTGATCTGGCTTGTATTCCTGTCACTCAGTACTATTTAGCTGCACCCTCTAAGCAAAGGTTCGTATTCATACGGATAATACAAATGTTTACGGAGGCGGAAACCTTTTCATTGTCAACGGCGCTGTTATGAAATAAAAGTCTTAATAATGTTAGAAACAGAAGAAACTTGCATATTAAGTTAGATATCGTAGCAATAATCTAATCTAATATCAAATCTTGTAAAGAATAAGATTGCTCAAAATTGTCCCTGATATGGCCTAAGGGCTCAAAACTTTTTCCCAAGTAATGCGTGCATATAGCTATAGATTCGGATGCCCATTAGGACTTTTGCGGTAGCAAGGGCCTAAATGATTTTCTTGCAGCTTCCGTTGTGTTGATTTCAATCGCTATTTGTTGTTCAATACCTTTTTCCCCATTATTATTGTTTGTAAGTATTTATCGTGGCAAAATTATTCTTCATATTACTGTTTTGTGATTAAATGTACAGGAAGTAGTGATTAAATCAGAGTAGCAAGAGACAGGCAATTCAGGGGTAACTATCGTGTCAGGAAATTCTGTAACCAGACTATCATTCCTGTAAGCATAAAAGCTTTTCACTTTCTTGCATTTGATTCAATAGAAGTATTCTCTAGCGTCTACTTTAGCTCAACTCTTTTGCTACGGTAGAAGAATGCTTAAACGTATTTATTCAATTTATATGTATGTCAGGTATTAAGGCATTAACCATACGGCACTAATTATTGTACTGTTTTCTTATGGTAGTGGTCTTTAAGTGATGATATGAATAATTTAATTGATACTTTAATTTGTTTGATTTGTCACACCTCGGACACCATTCACTTGCATTTATTACACGAACTTTGTTCACAATCAATGCACATTTTGATATGAAACTTTTCTCAAGTCTGGAAAATCATCGCCTTTTTATAAATTCCTTTACCTACTGGCGAGCTTCGTTGTTCGTCCCCAGCAAACGAGTTGCATCGACAAACAGATTGCCTTCTACCGTTTTACTTTTTTGCCTAAGCCTTTGATCAAGGCATATCAATGTGTCTGCTAATTGTTGTTAATCATTAATTTTTGGATGGAGGTTACTAGGGATAACCTCGTTTTGCATCTGGCAGAAATGTGCATTAATGACTGCTACCTAAACATATTTATTGACTTAAAAAGCCTTTGCAATCGACAATCATTTTGCCTTATTGAAAATGGGTGAACTCTACTGGCCATTGCTACCTGCTTATACATGTGGGGTTTGACAAGGGTCCTGGTCAGGCCTCTTCTTTTCTTCACATGTCAATGACCATCCTTGGTCATAAAAACAATTAAAAAACAAAATGTACAATGAAGACACTAGCATATCATTTTCAGCCAGTTCCATTGTGTAGTCATTTAACGTGTTAACAAGGACCAAGATAGCCTCAAAACGTGGCCCTTTTCTCGTAGTTTGGTAAGTTTTGCCTTTTCTCGAAAGGCCACGTTCGCGTCAACTAGCATTCATTAACGAACATTATATTTAGGTGTATCGGATTTTTACATCTTTCAACAACCTTTCCATATCTTACAAATATGCAATGGACGTTAGTCTCGTAAGAACAAAGGTACCATCTCTTCATGCTCCTTTAAGAAATTTCACCACCAAAGCTATTCTAATGCAAACTCTATTTCATTTTTTCTACCAAATCTATTAACCTTTCCCCACAAATGCCCTTTGTTTTTGCTTCCCTACTACCTGTTAATTTTGGAATACTTTGCCATCTTTTTGCTTCCATGTTTCTTTCTTTCAAAACTAACGTGAACAAACTTATTTTCCTGCTAATTCTCCCTCTTCTTAGACCTTCATTCCAGGTTCCCAAGCCTCTCCCTTACTCTCCTCCGTAGAGGCTGTTGGGGAGGGAAAAAGGATAGGGTAAACGGAACTGCGGAAGAAAAGAAAAAGTGGAGGAGCTGCGAGGGAGAAGGTGGAAGAGAAAAGCTTCACCTTTTCTCAATCCCCATCTCCCTCCCCAATAGCCTCTGCGGAGGAGAGTACCTCTCCCTAACAAGACATCCTAAGCAGGCTCGTCGCCAGCTATTGTGCTCACCCATTTGCCAAAAAAATAGGTGAGCCAGGGACCGAGATATAGGGGGGCCGGGGGCCCTGGCCACCCCAAAAATTTTAGTACCATAAGTAAAACACTTTTGTATTACTATTTAGTACTTTGAGAAATACGATCAAAAGGGTCAAAAATCGCTGTTAGCACAAGTTATAATAGTTCTGAAGCTGTCACTTGTAATGCGTGCGACAAATGAGTTTTTCCGGACTACGGAGAATAAAGACATATTTACGTACAAATATGAAGCAGTCAAGATTGAATCATTTGATGACATTACATGTGCACAAGGAAACAACAGAAACATTGATATCGGTGGCAAATGATTTTGTTTCTTTAAATGACAAAAGAGTTTATCATATGGATAAATTTTCACCCAGCGATTTGTCACATTCGTTGAAAGATTGATCTTTATGTGTAGTATAACTATGGTAAATTATAATCTTATTCATTAGGACCTCGAGGGGATATGGTTCCACAAAATCTGTTTCACTTAGCGAATGCCCCAGTTTACCAAAACTCCGGGCAAGTGGGGGCTAGGACGAGCATTTGCTATTAAAAACCTCCATTGAGATAGTATTGGCGGAAATATCATGTGCACATTTCAAAGGAATCAAATACCATGATTACTGCAAAAGTTCCACTTATCGAGGTCCCCCTTACCGGTTGCAACGTCTTTTGGATACTTATATTTTTATAAGAAACCACTTATAAACTCCAATTCTAAGAACAAATCATTTTAGAGACTTTTTGTCGTAGATCTTTTAGTCTAAGAAATCTAATGGCATATCTTTATTTAAGATCTGATATTTCTTAGAAACTCTCAGTACAGATACAATTATGTAGCTTATTATAAGAAATAGCTGTTTTGCCACATATTTTTAAAAAATTTGTTGTTTGTTAAATTTTGTTTTGTTGGAAGTCGGTGAGGTTACTTTATTAATCATCAATCTTTTTGTTGAAAAGATTACTACATAGTTAAGCAGATATTAATGATATTAATGTTTTAGATTTTTTGGTTTGCAGATAAGGAATCCAGATTTTGCCACATTTGAAATATTGATCTCAAAATGTGTGATCATTTACCCTCTTTAGAATAAAATCTTTTTCAGTAATAAAACTTTTCTCATAACCAAAATTAATTTGGTTTGGCACTGCCGGTGACAGCTATTGTTATTCAGAAGGGATCCCCCGGACTGTCAAATTTGCCGAAAAATAATCATTTATTTGCCGACAGGTTTGAAAATTTGTCGACCATAATTTGGCATCTCTTGATGGCAAAACCTCTACGCTTTTGAAATATGATTTTTTTCAAGGGTGTCTCACGCCCCTCCCGCCCCTTTTCATGCCGGCCCTGCTGGCCCCCCAAACAAAAAGTTGTATCTCGGTCCTTGAGGTGAACCATCAATTATTTGCCGACAAGTTTGCAAATTTGCCGACCAAGCACCCCTAGATGGGGAAAACTCCATGTTTTTGCAATGGAATTTGTTCAAAGGGGTTGTGACACTACACATGCCCTCCTTTAGCGACGAGCCTGAACCTAAGAAAAGGATGTCAGTGAAAACAACTGTTAGGATTTCAACCCCTTGCCCCTACAGAAATACTTCGAGACATTTAGTAGTAATGATAATACAGTTAGCAAATAAATTTAGTATCAGAATGAAAATAGTTTGGTTGTTAAAAACACGACGTTTCGAGCATGTATTCGTTATCAAGTGGCTAGAAAAGAAAAGAGAAGAATGCGAGATGCGACGCAACCAAAAAAACTGAATAAGGGAATGGGAGGGAAGTAAGAGAAGAGAAGGAAATAGATATAAAAATAAATTATTGAAGGAGATTAAAATGTTTATTAAGACCATTAGGAAAAAGAGTTTTTAGGCTAAAATTTAAACGTTTCTCCAGAGTCTTCCGTCTGGTGGCGTCTTGCGGTGCATGCAATAAGCCAAGGATGGAGATGTCGGGAGTAGAATGATTGGAGGAGTTAAAATGTTTAGATATGTTGCTATCTGCATCGCTCTGGTGTTCTTCTGTTAGATGGATTTTGTTAGCAACATTTCTCAAGTGTTTCGCCGATGTAAAGAGATTGGCATTTGACATTTAGTAGTAATGTTTGTTTTTATAAATGTTTATCCCGGCTATTTACATTTTAATTCAAACCTTTTTGCCTCTTCCCAGAAGTAAACCAAGTAACAGCTGTGTCCTTTGAAAAACATATAAAATGCAATTTCAACGCAAATAACTGTGTGTGAATATGATGGTAACCTACTGTCGTCAGAAATCTTCACAATGGCAAGGTTTTGAATGAAGTGTCGGTAACATAAAAATCAGACCAAATTCAGAACTCACTTTGTTGCGCAAATTCTGTTCATGCAAGTCTAAAGATATTTAAGGAATTTCAATATTGTTATGAACAGAAAAGTTAGAGTGAATAGAATTGAAATGAAAAATATTACGCGTTTCATTATTTTAAGGTTACATCCATACCAATGTAAAGTTCTTGCTCTTTTGACAGAATTTGTTTAAAGTATAGTTCCCTCTGGGTGGGAATAATGTTCCATGATTCCGTACCCTTTCCTTTTCAGCATTCCGTAGCTGATAGTCTGCTTAATAGCCCATTGTTGCGTCACAAATTCCTGTGTGTGAGCATTTCTTTAGTACTGTAACCAGCCAATAAGCCCTAACCTGTGCCAGCGAAACATCATTTTCGTTTGAAAGATCATAAACTGTTCTGATGAAGTCTTGAAAAATAAAGGATGTAAGTCAAGTTCAATATAAATTTTAAAGCAGTATTTAAATGTTGATCTTCCAGAGACACCGACTTTTTACACTGCTTTTTAATTTATTTCGTGAGGCCTAAAAACTAAAAGGCCCCCTTAATTGGCCTAGGTGGGCTTGTGTACGGAAACCTGTATTTATGGATAAATTGCCGTTTTTTCTGTTTGTCTAATGATTTGACGGATATAATTTAATACAAGGTTTTGAAAGTTTTCGCGTAAAATGCACATCACTTTATGGATTTGGGGGTTTATTTGTATCATGATAATTATTTGTTTGGGTTTCATGGCAGTATCAGCCATATCTGAGTGCCAAAAGCAGTACGCAGGTATTCAAGTGTGCACTGGCTCTCAATGCTTCAAGAATGTACCTATTTTGTACAATTTTATTATAAGTTGATCCAATTTGTATAACAGGCAGACCCCCTCTAACCAACCTAAGCAACTAAGTAACCATTTTTACCAACCTTGTATGTTTTGACTTGTTAATTTGGGTGGGTGATTCCTCACTCATCTATTGCCTTACATTGACTTTGTTTGAGGGTCCGTCTTATATGGTAACATTGGCTGTCCCGTCATTTCCTTTTAAAGGCAATGTGTCATTTTATAGATAAAATGTTATGATATTTTAAAAACCTGTTCTCTGAATTCAAATAATCACACTTACCGGAAATTTAGTAAAATCTTTGAAATTCTCCAGCAGCAATAGAAAATATACATATATTGTAAGGTAGGGTAACAACTATTTTTTCAGGATTCAATCATTGAATTAAGGGTGCATCTTATGCAAGGGTGGATCTTATACACTGCAAAATATGGTATATGCCCTCAGGAGCCTGAAGATCCATATGATGTCCTTTAGTCAAACCACATTCATTTAATTTTACCGATATTGAAGTTTTGAATATTTTATGGAAATAAAGATAAATGTAATTAACAGATAATAAACAGGTCTGAATGTTGAGTTCAAGGACAATACTTTTTAATAAATATAAATTATTTTCTCATGATTTCCTACTCTTAATTTCATCAATTATTATGCATTCTAGGTACTCCACTTGAGATTTCTTGAAGAGCTTCAGAGAATGTTTTTTTATAATCTGAAGTCAGAGGATTATCAACTTGCAAATCAGAGAAAGAAAATCAGAGAAAAAAATTTCGAAAAAAATATCTCATACATGATTTGACTGTGTCAACATCTCAATCATCTGGTGTAAACTTTTCAGTGATCTAACAGTCATAATGGTAAGTCCTTACCCTCTGCTTTCACTTCTTTCTTTTTTCATCTTTGTCAATGCTCTTTGATTTATTATCTCAGCAGGGCATCATGAGTAGTGAATTAAAATTGACAATAGGGTTGAATTAAAATTATGACATCGTCAAGCACATGTGCATTTTTTCAAAAGACGTTGCAAACAATATGCATCTTTTGCAGTATCACTTTTACTGATTTCAAGAAATCGGTCATAGAAAAGCCAGCATCCGTATTCGAACATTGGATAATCATAATCATCAGAAATCAGTATCTGTGATGAATAGTAAAACTCGCAATAGGACTGATAATTAATATCTTAAGTATCTAAAGAAATTTAAAGGGCAATTTTTAATGCATGAGAAGTCTCTTTAGCATCATAACTGAGTGTCAAATAAATCAAGTTCAACATTTATTCAACCTCTCTAGGCCCATTGTTGGCCGCAGCCTGTTTTTTTTACACACTTTAGTTTTAAAAAGCCTTACTCCCATTTAGTAATACCAATTGGCAAGCTTGCCATTTCCTGTACAAATTTCCTGTACATCAAGGCACAAATTTCACTCCCTTTGAATTGCCATGTTTTTAGGTGCATCTGAAATCTGTGACATTTTTCATTTGGTACAGTGAGGATACAAGCAGCTTTGCTTTCTTTATTCTGCTACTTACTGATAAATATAAATAGTTACACAAGAGCATTCTTTGCAGAGCACTGACCTGACAATCCTCCCATGCCAACAAATTTTGTGAAATAATTATAAGATATTTTCTTGTTTCTCCACTATTGGCTTGTTTGCTTGTTTGCTTGTTCACAACCCATTATTTGGCATTTTAAATTGATGATTTTTCTTATTGCTTTGCTAATTTTTCTTTTTTCTAGACAAATAATGACTTCAAGTCGCAGGAAGCAAAATGATCTAGTATTTAGTTTTGAGAGGCCAGAGACACCAACTGAAATCAGAGGCACATTTTCACCCTCTTTACATATTCCATTATCAGCAAATAATTCCCTTGACATAACTGGAGATGAAAGGGACAGCCCTGTGCTTTCTGCTAACTCTCCCATAACATCACTTGTTCAAAGCAGAAACAACAACAATACTTCAGGAGCAGATTCTATAAGTGGCAGCAAAGAGCAGCCACAATTTTATTTTTCTGAAGATGAAGAGTTAAGTGCAGAAGAACAGCTAACTTTAGCAAATGACAGAATAATAGAACTAGAAAGAAAGCTAGAACTTGTTGAGCGAGAACTAAGATCATCGCAAGAGAGAGTTACAAAGCTTGCTTCACAAGGAAGAAGACTCAGGCGTCTGGCACGTAGTGGTGACTTATTTAGAAGAAATCAACCAAACACAGAAAATCATTTAGGTATCAAACATCATCTTGATTTTACAGGCTATATTTGAGCCTTTGAAAATTGGTCCTTTCAATATATGGAAGGCTAAATATATATACAATTTAAATGCCTATATTTGAAAATTATAAAAAGGCTCCATGCTCACTGTTTCCTTTAATTGAGAAGTTCCAAGTTTTCTCCTGTCTCAAGTCAAGAACAAAAAACCATTCTATATAGGCCCATTGTTGTATTCTGGGCTGAATGATAGCTAAAATGTATGACCTTCTATTACTTTACAAGGAGAATAAGATAATAAAAGCTATATTACTAAAGTTGTTTGATACTTGTTAACAAAATGATAACATGAAGCATTTTGCATTATGATTTCTAGATTCTGTTGACCAAGATGCACCATTAGAAGAGTATGTAGCACTGACAATAACAGAAATTTCAGCAAGCCACTCCTTTGAGCAGTCAAGTGAGGCACAAGGTTCTGTGGGTGTTCCTTTGTATCTCAGGCGCTTTGAAGGTCAAACATTTGTCTTTGGGCCAAAGGGAGTGACAATTGGTTCTGGTTTGTTTATTATCCTCATTTTCATCCTACTTTTATGTGTTTAGTTTAGCATTGCCCACTGCTACATGCACAGAAGATCTTCAATTCAAAAAATTCAATGTTAGAAGATATGAGTTTATACCTATAGATTATATTTACAGCAAAATATCCAAGTTTGTGCAACAAATTTTACATTGAAATGTTAATTCTTTTTCACTACTTTGCTATCTGTTGATAAGTTTTTCAAGGAAAGGTTATATCAGTTAAAGTTATATGAATTTAAGATGCAATTGAAAAGGTGTCTCTTTCTAACCCTTTGAACAACCAATTACCTTGGCCAAAGATTTCATGGTTCATGTACCAGTCGGCCATCCCAACAAAATAAACAACAACGTTACATTTTGGCTTATTGTGTGGAGTACTATTGTAATATCATCAAAACAGCCAAACGGCAAACCTTTCTGATTTCTGATTTTACAACCATCTTTGTGTGGATACAATTTTTATTTCAAGATTCCTTATTCTCTTATTCAAGATTTACTGTGCAACAGTAATTAAAATCACTTAATCACGAGCTCTGCTACGCACAACGGATCTCAGAATAACTAAAACTAATCACTCTCTGCCCTTTCTTTTCTCTTTTATCTAATTAAAGTGACTGAGTAATTTTTGTTATTACCTCTTAACATATTACTCCACTCAGGCTTCCTACCTCAGTCAATGTATCTCCGAAATCCTCACCTATTTTCCCGACTGTTCATTCTTTTCATTCATCGATTTTTTTCATTTAATGCTATTTAAACACAACCATTCTATCATAGTGCAAAAAGGTAGACAAACTTTAAAGAATAACAATGATAAACATATTGTCGTTTCCAGAATAACATACGAAAGATTGATAATATATAGCAATATATTATGCGAATCAGCTCAAATTTCCGATATGTTCTTTGCCTTTATAAGTCTAGTCCCCACCACCCCTCCCCTAGACCTTCTTGTTTCTACCAGTTATATTAGCGTTTGAAAGATTTCTGTTAAAGTTTATTTCGTTCAAGGTAACCATTGCGGTGTCTGGATACCAGAAGAAGCATCAGTTAAGGACAGTCATGCCATTATCAGATGGGATGAGGTTTCAAAAGAATTCTTCCTACTTAATGGAGCAAGTATGGATGCGGAAATTTGTATAACAAGCATTCCCAGATTAAACGATGAATCATCTAACGACAGCAGTGTAACTGGAGCTGGTACAATTAAACTGCAGAATCAACTCAAGTTTCGAACAGGGTTCATTGAATGGAAAGTTAGTCCAGTGCCTAAACGAAAGATCATCATTTCTAGACTCTTTGAAGCTTTAAGGAATTGTAATTTTTATGCATTTCAAGAGCTTTGGACGTATGCAGAATCTTGGAATAATTATGTTAGCCAAGTCAAATCTGAAAATTTCTCAAGATCATCTTTTCTTATTGATTGCAATGCAGAGGAAGACTTGGATTACAGAATAATTGATGAAGAAGCAAGACGAACCCCTAAACTCTCTGATAGTTTTACAGAATCTGTTGAGGGTCAACAAATTGCAAGTTACGATAAGCCTCGAAAGTTCTGTCTCCTTCATGTTGCTGTTGACTATTTGTTCTTCGAGGGCGTGCGATTTCTTCTTCAAAATGGGGCTGAGGTTAGATGAATTTATATACAATATGCGAATCTTGACCTTTGTAGCACAAATCACGATTTAGTTAAAATGTTTCTGGAAAAATGACACCGGACAATGAACTCCGCCAATAGTATTGCTACATAAGTTCGAGGATTCTGGGCCGATTTTGGTTTGAATTTCTTCCAAATGAAATGTTTGAATTTAGATAACTAATAAAGTCTTTATTTGGAGGCCAGCTCGTGAGCTAAGCTATTCGGAAAAGTGACTAATTCACTCTGATGAAGCCCTGTATACCGGGAGGAAGTATCAGTCCATTTAATGTTGATATTTTTGTTCTGCTTCACATTCTCCGCTCTGTTCTAATATTCATAGTAATGTTCTAATGTTAGTGATTATTGCCATTGTCATCACAATATTCGAATAATGGCCTATAAAGATGTTTTTCAATATTCTGGCATATTAAAAATATCTACTTTTGCGATTACGCACATTTCCCTGCCGAAAAATTACTATACTTAGGAAAAATTTTGTTTGGTTGCAATATGAGTTACATTCCGGTTTTTGGCGTGATTAAAACGTTTTCTACATTGTGTGTCTCCGTTCTTGCACGAGATATACCTGCTTAGCATATTATATAACCATATACCATAACAAAATTTAATTTTTGTGCCAAGGCCACATCACACTGTAAATTTGTGCATGAATGTTTTATGGCATAAAGGAATAGTTGCCTTTTTATGCACTTTTTAAAATCTCTCTTCTTAAAAAGACTACTTTTATCTAAATGGTTTTTTTAAATGAGATATTCTTAAGAAAACATTTTTAACGACACTTTTCACTATCAATAGGTAAACAAGCAGTGTGGCCAGGAAAAGTTTTCTCCGTTGCATATTGCTGTGAAACGGGGCAGTCTGGAAATTACACGCCTTCTTCTGTTTGTAAGTAATTTTTTTTTCGTTTTCCTTTTTCATGGGAAATTGCACATCGTAAAACTATTGCGGATGCGTCAGGTGAAAACAATTGTTCATCTCAAGTTCCTGCTTAACTGGTTCACAGATTTGAAGAACAGCAGATTCCTTGACGTCACAATTCAAACAATGTTTTATGCAAAAAGAATGATTTAGACGCCACAGTGAAAGCTGAAATAGCTTTGATGCTGGCTAAAACTGAAGTTCAATCTAACACTCACCACTATATAAAATTCCTGGCGATTTTACCAGATTGTGTCAGATTAAAAAGATCTGTATGATATCAAATCATTTCACTCCTTCTGCAATTTTGTTTTTAACAAGAGAATGTGTGCTAATTCGCAGTTATTGTTTTCTAGCATGGTGCAGACCTAGAGCTGACGGATGCCCGACACCTAACAGCGCTTATGTTGGCTGGCACGTATCAGTTAAGGTATGTTTTGCAAATCAAATACTTGACCCAATAGCCAATGGGTATGCCTACCAGCAAAAATTTTAAAATTAGTGTAACTGGTAGGATGGTAAGATGGTTGTGGGATAAGCTACTACCAAGTAGCTAGTACGAAAATGCGGAAACATAGCATACCAGAGTAATTTACCTCTGACATTCTGCATGGCATTACACTTCAAAGTGACAATCTGTAACGATTAGTGAATCGAAAGTATTGTGCGAGGACTTATGGCGCTTACCTTATGTAACATTTACATTCTGTGGAGGAGTGTCGGACGAATAGGTATTCTATGTATCTACCTTTCTGTGCATTTTAAAGATTCACAGTAATAGAGGCGTGCCTGGTAACATTCTATAAAGAATTGAGCTCTCGTCGAAGCTCAGTCCTGAATTAGCCATTGCAATTAAAGCATCAAATATATAATGCAAAATATTTGCAATGCTTAGTTTTCATTTACTTCATTCTCGAAAGGCTTGTACAATCTAGACTGTATGATTTCCCGTGCTGCCGTCTTTTAAGTGGAGTTTTTTCACAAGCTATGTTTAATCTAAATGTGAGAGCAATTTTATTGACATAAGTTTCTTTTTTAGGAAGTTGTTGTTATCATCGTTGTTACTCTGCGCTGCCGCTGAAGGAGGTGATTTTGAAGAAGTGCAACGGATTATCGAGGCTGGTACAAGCCCAAATGGCAAAGCATTATGGTAATAAACGAAAGTGTGATATATGCTTATAAGATCACATTCTTGTGTGTCTGTGCTAGTTAAGATACATTAAAACCATATAAATGAGAATGTGAGCATTTCCTGCTTTCTTAATTTAACAAGAATACCCCATCAAGAATACCTGCAGTGTAAGCAAACCACCTTGAACAGATTCTCCTTGCTTGAAGTATTTTTCTTTAAGCTCTTTGCTATGGTTAAATAGCTATATTTTCATTTTTGGATTGCTCTTGTGCGATTAAGCTATTTTAATGGATTTGCGGTTTCATAGAAGTATATCTATTTTATTTCGCATGAGTTTGATTAAATTTGTAAAGTTTCCTGCCATTAGCCAGTTACTTCGGTTTTCACCTGAGAGCTTATAAGCTTCATTCCCAGACCGCTGACATGTCACAGGCATAAATGGTAAATGTACTAGTTTTTGGGTGTTTTTTTCCACACTTTTTCTTAATCATGCGTCTGTCATATTGCATAATTTCGGTGCCTAAAAATTTCTCCCTTACGTTGTCGTCTACCTGCCCAATCTACGAATGCTTTATCAACTAGTCTAATATTTAGTCAACATGTATACTGTAATTCACTTTCACAAACTGTCTCTGCTTCCACAGTCACAAGGCACCATTGCATCTTGCAAGTCTTAATGGACACGTTAAAGTTGTAGAGTACCTGCTAGAGCACGAGGTTCGTATCAGCTATTTTCGATTAAAATTTGATTCATTCCTGTTGAGAATAAAAGTACCAAAAGCTGCTATCGTTTTTCACTATTTGAGAGAATCCACCATGATTCTTTTTCTTCTAAAGGACACCCATTTCTAGTCACAGAAGTCTCACGAGGCAGACAATTTTCTATTATAGGCATTTATCAACACGACAGGTGGAAGACGCAATCGAACATCTTTGCACTACGCCAGCATTGCCAACAATGTTGACGTAGTCAAAGTTCTGCTTAGATTTAATGCTGACCAAGAAGTGATTGATTCAACTGGCTATACGGCTTTAAATTTGTCATCTGGTGGCGAAGTTTGTCGTCTTTTACACCAGGCAAGTACTTTTTCAGTATTTTTACATTGCAAGTCTTTTTTAGTATATAAACAAAATACTCACATAGCAATTTCCTTTCCTCTAAATGTTCAAGAATTATTTTTTGAAGAACTATTGGCTCAAGAATTATTTTTGTCAGAAAACTAATTAGATTTTTCCGATCGGAATGTTGTTCTTTATTTATCACCTGGGGGGCCATTATTTAAATGGTAAAAAAGATCTGTTTGTTAAAGGTGATTAATGTTTAGGTCGAAAAGAGGGCAACTCTCCCCTAACCGAGTGGTAGTTACAACCGAGTGGCTATGTTTATGACACATCATATTGGATTTGTTTATTGATACGCAAACCAGTGCTTTATATACCCAAGATGAAAAGACACTTAACGACCAAATTGTCATTTACGCAGAACCCACTGTCGCTGTGCCTTGCAAGCCAAGCCGGAGATATTAACGAAGTGAGACGGATTCTGGATCAAAATGCAAGTAGGAAAGGGTCGAGGAACGAGCCCTCAAGGAATAAGATGTACAGTGGCCACAAAGTCAGTCAGGCTATTGCCAATTTTGGCCGGTGCCTGGCAGTTGATCAACGAAACGAACAAGGGCACGCACCATTGCATTTAGCTTCTGCTGCTGGAAATTTGTGAGTGGATATACTTAACTTTGTCTTCGTTTATATAGAGCTCTGACAGCTCTACGTGACAGGCAATAAGAAAATTCAGGTTTTATGTTGAGCTCTGATGTGTCCCTTGCACCAGTGGTACTTAAGAATCAATCCTTTCTAGCTTGGGTGAACATAGAAAGGTATTTTGCAGTGTTTCTTCAAATAGAAAATGGCTGTGGTTGATTTTGTAATGAACAATTAGATTTGTTTCTTTACTGCTGTCAGAGCTATTTCAAATTTTTCATATTTTGCCAGTCGAGTTGCGTCAGTCTAAGATTTTTAGTTCTGGTGTCGTATTTTCAACTTGGAGTCACATGGTGCATATAACTGGTTCTTTTTCCAACAGAGAATTGGTACAGCTACTTGTATCACACGGAGCCACAATCGAAATCCCCGGTGGACTTGATAAATGGACCGCTCTGTTTTATGCAGCTTTAGCCGGTCACGTAGACGTTGTCCGGTTTCTTCTTGCTATCGGTGCCGATACAACCCGAGTTGATGCTAAAGGATTGCGAGTTATTGATCACGTGGAACAAAATATTGATGACTTAAAGGAAAAGCTGGAGCTGAGGAGTTTTCGTGAGAGTTCCTTTGACACAGATGGGCTCATGCAGCAAACCCAGTCTCTTCTAGTATGCATCACGTTTGTTGTATTTTGAAAGTTAGAATATTCAGAAATATGATTGAGACCGCTAATGGTTTATTTCTGACACTCTGAACCATTTTTATTACCATGATTTCAAACACTAATGATTGTTTATTATTGTTTTTATTTCAAACTCCTTTCAATTCAAATTTGGAAATCTCACAGAAACCGTTTCTTACCTTGCTGATCAACGATTCAGAACGTGGCTGTCAATAAAATTTAATTTTTTCCCTGCTAAATCTGTAAATATATTTGAACAGTAAGTTAGGACAAAGAATCTTTAAATGTATTTTTGTCTTTTACCTGTTTGACAAGTTTTGTCCTTCGGAGGCCATTGGTTTACTGCAACTTCTTCCATTTACGTTGGTCTCTTTGTTTAGGTGCCTGCCCAACTCGTTAGGCAAAAAAGTGACTCCTCACTGGACAGTAAAGCCCAAAGATCCTGGACCAAGAGACAGATTGCTCGATTAGAACAGGTGTTAAATGTTCTGCAATCCGGGCAGCAGAAATTATTGAATGCTTTGGAGCAGCAAAACTTAACTTTGTTTAAAACGACGATTGAAACAGAAGATGTAAAAATCAATGGACCTTTAAGGAAGCATTCTCATACAACAGCACTGTCTTATGCAGCCGCAAATGTAAGTTTTGCATCTATAATCCCTGCCAAAACTTGTTGTATTGATTAATTAACTCTTTCCCATGCGTGCATTATTCGCTGTATCTATAATGATTCGTCATAGCATGGCAAAGTGGAAACGCAGTATGTTATTTTTTCGCTTTAACGTGCTATTTTCAAATTTTGTTATTCGTTTTAGGGATTGCCAGAATTTGTTGAAGTTCTATTACAAAATCATGCCGATACTAATATAAGCGATGGGTATTGCCTCTTCCCCATTCATGCTGCGGCGAAGGCAGGACACGAAGATGTGATTGAAGTTCTTGTTAACCATGGAGTCGATATCAACCTTCAGTCACGAAACTCTCGGCAGACGCCTCTGCATGTAGCCGCTGCGCATTCTAGGAAGGAAGTAGTAGAGCTTCTTGTTAAGAAAGGTATAAAAACTCAAATTACTTAGTAAACCTATAACTTCACTTTTCTAGAATTTTACGTTCAACTTTCAACAGAAGCTGTCTTAGATGTGCTCTATTGAGGTTTCTTTGTGGATTTTTTGAGTATTTGAAAAGTGGATGCCCTTCCTGACACCGCTAGCTCAGATGGAGAGAGAGAACCGCACGATTTCTGAGCAGTTCCGAGTCGAGCGCTATGCCAACTGAACTACGGCTGTTCAATCTTGTAACATCCCTCTCTCTAAAGAAATTTTATCTGTGAATGTTTTTCATGATCATATGACACAAGAATGCTGCCAGAGCAAATCCAGGCTCTTGTTTTACCCCGAGGCCTTACAGAGAAAGATAAATCTCATTGCTAAGTAAGACTTATAGCTGGGTATAGTATTTTCTAAGTTTCATCAACGTAAATCAACCTTCATGAACTTTTCGTTTTAAACTGGTTTCTAATATATCGAGCTTTGAGAATCATCAAAAATTTTAAAGCAAATAATTTTTGCAAGAGTTTTAAACAAATTGTTACTTTGTTAAAATTAGGCAAAAATGATCTCAGAGTCACAACTTGAAACTGTATAGCTCTGCAAGTCGATATTAATTAAACGATTGATAACCCCCCCCCCCCACCCCCTTTTTTATATCTAAACAGTTCTAATCATCTAGCTATTTTATCAAAGGTGCTGATCTTGAGGTCTTGGATACAGAGCGTCAAACTGCGTATGACTTAGCTGAAGAGCTCGAGATAAAGTCCTTGGTTGCTTCTGGCCCCAATTTAATCTCTCTTGCCATTGCAAAGGGAAATTTTGATGCTTTGCTGAGAAAAATAGAAGTAAACGAAATGACAGCAAATACGGTGTTTACCTCAGGACTCACGGCTTTACAAGTCGCATGTCAATACGAGCAACTCGAAGTTGTGGACATGTTGTTGAAAAGCAGAGCCGTTGTAAATGATCAGGTATTTTACCCTCAGATCCATGTTATTTTATGATTCATATAGCCCATGTAATGTTATTCAGTTTCGGCCATGTTATATTGTTGTAATGATAGTGACGTCAAGGAGTATCTACTAAGATAATGTTATTTGACTTGGGCAGAAGCAGCAATTAATGGCGAAGAATTCGTTGTTTAAATATTCATTGATACAGCATAGCGACTACGTCATGAGGAAGTGCATCCTTTATAAATAGCCTCATGTACTACACTATCCTTTATAAACAGCATTTAAGAGAGAATGTACTATAGTATTAGATTGTCTAAGCAATAAAAATTTTGCGCTGTTTGAAAAGTATTTTGAGAAAACCGACCACAACTATGCAACATGAAACAACCAGAATTCAATGAAGATTTTACAGTTTTAAAAGATTTTATTTTTCATTTCACTTTAGGGGCCTGAAGTTATAGCATGAACAGTGCGTTTTTGCAAAGATAGATTATTCTGTATAAAATTCGATTTATTGTTATTAATATACTTTTTAATCATTATTATGTTTAAAAACACATTTTCAGCTTATCTTTCTCATCAATTCAGTTTCAGAATCAGTTAAATAAAACGACCCTCTCTCCGTATTATCTATCTCACAAACCTTTTAACGTGCATATATGCTTCAACTGCAGGGAACACAAAATGGGTCATCACCTCTGCACTTAGCAGTTCAGAGAAATAACCTTAGCCTTGCAAAGATGCTAGTCGAAGCTGGAGCCAAACTTAGTTCTACTAATGCTGATGGGAAAACCCCATTTGAGGTTGCAACGTCGAATTCAATGCGAAAGGTGCTTGTAGATTCAAGGCCATCAACCAAGCCCATTGATTTATCATTAGCAGAAGAGCTTTCTGAGAACAGCGGGGACGAGGAGCTTGCCTCTAAGAATCTATGCAGAATATGTTTTGATAACCCAGCAAATACAATTATTTTGCCATGTGGGCATCAGGCGTTTTGTAAAGACTGTGCCAGTCAGTTGGAGATTTGTGCTTTTGATAGAAGAACTATTTCGCAGGTCGTTCCAGTTTTTAAAGTCAATGAAGATTAATTCAATGTTAAGTAATCTATGATTTTACCATTTTGGCAGTTTTACCATTTGCCAGCCGACAGAACTGTGTATATAGATAATATTTAACACCAATTTTCTAATTATCTTGCCTTGCAATGCAAGTGTTTAGTTTTATATCGGCTTAAAAAATGTCATTACAAAGTTGTTGTCAATAAATATGCTTATTCTAATGCACATTTTATTTTTCCACTGACCGATTGACAGGTATTTCATATTTTGTTTCTACAGATTTTTCCCTCTTTGTTTATTTAGAGAAGCACTTCTGCTGTCGGAAATTTCTCATTTGTGCGTCATTTTTCATCGATATTTACAATTATTTATATTTGATTATGAGCGATATTTTCATAACTCGTAATATATTGTGGAATATATTTTTGCAATATTTTCTAATTTAGCAGCAATTCGCAAAATTTTCAATCATAATATATCTTGAATGTAATTCATATACGCTTGTGTAATTCTTGTCTTCATAGCGCTGCATAGCCTGGTAACCAGACCGTCTAGTTATCAGGCTAGGTGCTGCAAGATTTGATAATATTTGGTATTCTTATGTTTTCTTTATGGTATTTATTCCTATTCACCCAACAAGCCATATATCAAGGGTAAAAAATGAAATTTGAGTACTTAATCAAAGCAAGTAACTGCGGTGCCAAGTTTCCCTTTGATCTTTTTATTTAAAAAAGTGTACCTTAAAAATGTATGTTTTTTCGAGATATTTGTATTACCTGGTTAAGAGAAACAGTCAAGCTAAAACAGAACTATGGAATACAAAGGAGAAATTTATGGTTATGCGTGCGAGGAAAAAGGTTAATGTGACATGAAAAAAAGAAAGAGAGACAAGAAAGTAGCTCAATGTAAGAAAGTTGTTTGTTCAACTTCAGTGGTGCCGTCCCCTCCCCCCCCCCCTTGTTAAAATTCAGAAAGATTTTGTAGGGCTCAGTCCCCCTTAACAAGTGAGTTCATATTTGGATAGATGAATTCTGTGTTGGCTACTCTCTATTTTACTATAGAGACGAATGAGCAATTTCTTGTCAGCATGTTTGTATTATCAAATAGTTTGAATGACTTCTACACCCAACAGAGAGTCTTTAACACAAATGCAAGTATATTGGGTGCGGTCACAGGTGTTGCCTCTTGAATTTACCTACAGCACAGCCCCCCTTCCTAATATTTTAGGACGGCACCACTACTCAACCTGTGGGACAGAACCACAGAACCCCCTCAACCCTATGTGTTCGGAAATTCTCAGATTACGAGTATGAACATATCACATATATTTCTTATCAACTGGCAATTTTTCATAGTCATTTTGAAACTGTAAGAAAACAAGATGAGCATCAGACAAAGCTCAAAATTTTTGCTCATTTTTCTGATTCACACATTTCCCGGATTTCTGCAAGAATTGTTTACTTACTTCATGCCCCTAACCACGAACATGAAATCATATCGCAGTCAAATATTCCATTTACAGGAGATGTTTGATTGCGAGGGCGATGCATAGCCTCGTTTTTGAAACGCATATCTGGCCTGGCCTAGACACAGCACCACGGTGATCTTGTGAGTTTCAAAACGACCCTATAATTCTGGCAATAGGAAGAGCAGCATGGATTCAAAACGACGTCTTGCACTTGCAATAGTTAAACATTTAAAGACTGAGATAATCAGTGGCACTCATTCTGACGAGATCGGAGAGAGCCTTGAAGGTAAGTACGAAATATTTTTTATAACTTTAATGGTATTAGGTACCCAGAAACCTGGTGGAGAAGACTAATGGTCTGCCTTGGCCTGGGTTTCAATCACTAAGTTTTTAATCATCTCTCTTTTGCGAACATATTGATGGCCTCCCACTCTGGCCTGTCACCCTTTAAGAATCTTCTCTATAGAAAGCAGACAGAAATTGGCAATGTATGTGCGTAGATTAGTATCATAGTAATCAGCTCCTTGATCGGACTGCAAGGTCAAAAGGTGCAGAGCTCAGTGGACAGTTTGTACATTCTGTACGTTTTGGTGGGTGCAAGAGCACCCCCTTTTTACGAGGAGGAGTGCAAATCTGCTCTGGAAACTTTGAGTGCACTCCAATCCATTACGTGCTACAAGAATTCAGAGCAGAGTATCAAGTTTTTTATGTTATTAACAAAATGATTATTGATGATATTTTGAAATGAATGCCTTCTTTAGTCAAATAAATTAGCAAATTTGAAATGTATGTCACATTTGTTTATATGATTATACTGCCTTCAAACCATAAAGCCCTGGCAAAACAACTAAACATTTCACTAAACATTTCACTCAACTTTTGTTTAGTGAAAAGTTTAGTGAAAAGTTTAGTCGTTTTGCCACCCTGTTTAGTGTTGTTTAGCTGTGTTGAGTGTTGTTGAGCAAAGTTTGATCCTGTTCAAAAATGTTTAGCATTGTTTAGTGTTGTTTAGCAAATGTTAAGTCGTTTTGCCACCAATAAAACATTTTTTATGATCGTGCAAGTGCACTAGCTGTGGAAATCCAAAGGTTTTCATCTGTTTTCGTAGGTTTTCCTGTCTCTACGTGACATAGAAAGCCTTTGTGTGACCTCTGCATATCTTGTTGTATACTACTGTGTCTTCTTCAACAGTCAACTTTGTTGTTAATGTGCTAAAAAGTCTTTTCTTTCCCCGCCACTTCATCCAATTCTTATTTTTATCCACTGCTTGTGCATGCAACAAAATAAATTAAAAACAAACTCCTATGCAAGATCCCCAACAACCCAACAGTGTCATAGACAGCTCGCAGTTCAAAAAAGGTTGAGTGAAGTTTAGTGAAAAGTTTAGTCACGTTTTGCCACCCTTACTAAACTTTGCTTTACTTCACTAAACAAAAGTTGAGTGAAATGTTTAGTGAAATGTTTAGTCGTTTTGCCAGGGCTTAATTGTTTCTTACCTTTATTAAATGTGTAATTGGTCATGCGGCTCCTTTATGCTCTTGCCAACGCCTTATGATTTGTCTTACAGGTCTACACTAATAATAAAACAGACCTTGTCTTGTTGACAAAATTTTTAAAGATAATGTAGTGTGCTTTGAAAAGGCCAAGGAATAAAGTGATGTCCTTTAAAAAAGTTACAGGATCTCATGTTTAATTGTAGCCCATACATCTACTGTTGAAGCAAAAGTTTTGAAAAGTTGAAGTTAAAGCAAAAGCAAAAGACTGTTGAAGCAAAAGATTTCTTTTGATTTTATACATGTTAGCAGTTATTATTGCCAATTTTATAAAAAGAAAGTCTTTTCTGTTAATGTTTGAAAATACGTTCTTTAATTAAAGTTTTGATAAAATTATTTGTTATTCAAACAGTTGCAGTTCAGTGTCTAGAAGAAGCATACAACATTAAATCAGACAAAGATATATCAGGACTAGATTGTGGAAAATCACTTATGGACATTTTCAGTGATGGTCTTAAGGTATGTTATTTTAATTTGCAAATGATTTTTAACTGAAACAATTTGTCAATGGCATTGAAACATGGAAAGATTTTTAAACATTCTTATGCCTCTCATTTGATATTCCTGACAGTCCATTAGGCATTAGGAAATAGAAAGGTGGAAAGCTGATGCCTAAATATGCTTGCTTTTCAAAGCCTTTTTAAAATCCTTTCAGTTTAAAGTTCAGCTTCCAACATTTTATGTACATACCATTTTTATTTGAATTTCAAAGGTGCATAAATAAGCAAGTGTTGCCTTAATGAGTTGAGCACATTTTTCATCTTATTCTTTATCAAGTTGTCAGTGTGTTTACTTATGAACTGTCAATACTCCTGTGCACCTTAAAAAATTTACATTTGGATGACATATTGTGCACAGGATCTAAGATCTTTCTGGTTTAAGAACTATTTGTGGAAGTTGAAAAGCATAATGGTGGAGGCTAGATATCAATTCAAATTTCAATGTGCATCCTTTATGATTATAGTTGTTCTATTTGGTACTATTTTTTAAATTGTTTTCAATAACCAGATGGACATTTTGGCAGTAAAATGACAGAAATATGAAGGATTGCACTGTATCACTGGTTCCATAAGGATTTTTTGATACTTTGTGTGGGCACTTAATGAAAATCGTATCAATTATGTTGGCTAATTTTTATCAATGGTAATAATGGGTTTTCTAATATTTTAGGCACCAGAAGCATCAGTATCTCAAAAGGCAATTGCTGAACAACTAAAAATTGAAGGTGAAGTATCCATGTATTGCCCTTTATTTGTGCAAAAGAATTTAATTGTCAATTTTAATATTTCTTACCTTTCTAGGTGCTGTTTAATTGCCTACTAAAAAGTATTCTCCTGCTGAGGCCATAGCTGCTTTCATATCATGCTTTTATCAGTGATATGGCTGAGATGAATGTGAAATGACATAATCTTGATAATTTTTTAAATTGTGAAATCAGAAATGTTTGCTTTACAGATACGTCTATTAATTCTAAATAACCTTAACCCCCTCTAACCATTCTCTTAATAGTAATAATCTTTAAAATCCCTAACAATATGCTACATGACAATCATTTTAGGCAATGACCAAATGAAAAGTGGATTGTATCAAGAAGCTGTGGATACATACACAAAAGCAATTCAAGTCGATTCAAACAATGCAGTTTATTATTCAAATAGGTATGATTTCTCATAGTGCTCTTTTCACATTCCCTTAACTGTAATATGTTATTGATAAACATGATTTTAAATGCCATCTGATTTTTAGTCATTAGATTTTGATTTCCAATTCTAGTCTATACAAGCAATTCAAGTTAATTGAAACAAAGCCTACTATAGATTTTTTCAAAAGCTGTCATTAATTGTGTTTTTATGGAATAAGAGCTTGGTTTGGTATCTTGTTCGTGTATATCTTGATCTTAAAACTCAGAAAATTTGAAGTTTCGTCACAAAATTTTATAGACATTCTCAAAGGAAACTCAAAAACATATCTTAACATACTTGTATGCTCTTAAGGTTTATTATGATTAACACCTTTCAGGGCAGCTGCATTTACAAAACTTGGTGAAAACCAAAAAGCGATTGATGACTGTAAGGTAGCAGTTGGGATTGATCAAAATTTCAGTCGGGCATATGGTAGAATGGGGTATGTTAATTTTCTTGGTTGGTCATTTATGTCAATTTTATGTTCTAATTGTCAGTGAAATTCTTATTTTTCTTACTGCTATGCAATATACAGAATGAAAATGGTTAAAGTGAAAATGTAGACTTGTATTTGTGTGAACTGTTGAGGCAATTATGGCATTTATGGTTATAGTAAGTTTTCAAGCAGGGTGGTTTTCATAACCCTTTGTATTGTACAGCAGGCAGTAACTATTTTTTATTGTTGACAGTGCCTTAAATGTATGTCATTCAAAGATCAGGATGAAATATTATTGACTAGTTTGATAAATAAGGGAAATTCTTGATTTCTATTTTGTTATAGACAGGTTACATGAGAACTAGAGGTTGGGTACAGAAAGAAATTTCAATCCTATTCTATGAATTTTATATCCTGCATCTCGTTTTCAAAGTCAAATGGCTGCACGCAACAAAATGTACATGTGCGGCTGTATATGTGGAGGAAAAGCAGTTCTGTTAACTGAATTCAAATTTTCTTCATAGCCTTGCCCAAATGAACATAGACAAATTTTCTGATGCAAAAGAAAGCTACAAAAAGGTAAGATTGAGGTGTCTTTTAACATCAACTTATATCTTCTAAAGAACATAATTTTTAAACAGCAAGATCCATTTCAAATGGTCTGAAATAAATAGAAAACTGTCCCGGGGCTCTCTTTAGACAAGAAGGGGATGGAACCTTCAGTAATAACTTTCTTAAGAAGCCCTCTGCTAATTGTTCAATTGAAAACAATTATCTGTGAACAAATATTTGTTTGATTTTCTTAACAAAGTTGGGCTATGTTTTATATTTCTAATTTTAAATAAAGCGCCTTTTCGACTTATGCTATAGCTTGCAAATTATGATTAAATAGTTGATTGTTTTATCTCAGATTGATTCTTGATGGGAATGGCAATAAATTTTTTATCGCTTTGGGTATGATATGTTACTGAGTACTTGTTACTGAGTAAGTGTAGGATCACCCTTAATAATGGAAATTCGATATTATCAGTTCAATATTCTATTTTTCATTTTGTAGTATAAAACACTACTTTGTCAGGCTGAATTTAACTCAGTTTTTGTTAAATTTAGGCGTTATCCTTAGACCCTGAAAATTCTGGCTACAAACAAAACCTCGATATAATTGAACAGAAACTAGCACAAAATAGAGGTGGTGCTGCTCCAGGTATGGATAAAGGAATTTTTTATGTTTTTGTCTATAATGCTGGCACATTAAATACCTCTGGTAAGTAAATGCTTTGAAAATTTTGTAGCAAAGAATAAAACATAGATCCACTTCAGTCAGTAAATGCACTCGTAATTTTGTAAGCACAAGTTAATACTGGTGCGTCTTTTTCTCAGTTTCAGGGATGGCGCCACCAGGGGTGCTTTGGGGGGGGGCAGGAGCACCCCCAAAAATTCATTGAGCCACCCATCGGCACTTCAATTTTTGAAAAAATTTAAGCAATGTCGGCACTTTCATAAATTCCACTTCGTGATTTTTTTTATTTTATTTTCATTGTTTGATTTTTTTCAATTTTTTTTCATTTTTTGAACTAGAATTACCACAGCAGAAAGGGTGTTATATTACATCTTTATGGGTGGTTCACTCACTGTCGGCACTCTGACATTACAGCCCCCCCCCCAGCATTTCTTTTCTGGCGCCATCCCTGCAGTCAGTTTAGTATCGCAACCTGCATTCTTGCATTTGCCCCTCTTTGCCTTAGCAAATGTGTTTCTATATGATGTTTAGGTGAAAGAGCTTATTAGTTCGTACATCCATTTTTGGGTTTCTCTAGGTGGATATTCAATTTCATCGTTCCGGCTATTGTAAACCATTGCTCTGGCGTGGACAAAAATGCCCAATTTTGAATATTCTTTTGAATCCTTGTTATCGTGTTTTTTATTGATTTGTTCTAAAAACCTTTTGCTAGCTAACTTTTTGTTAAGAGATATCATCAAGATTTGCTATGTCATTACGAGGGACTTCTAGGCAATGACCGCCTCTTTTCACAACTTGCCACTTTCAGAATACCAATGTAAATTTCTTTATCCCGTTTTGAAGAGCAGCCAAAAACGATCTCGGTTATGTAGAATAACATAACCTAAGGTTCTACCAGTATTTGCAGTTGAAAAAGCTTGACAAGAATTTGTCTTTTATAGCGTCACACGAATAGTGTAACGTTCCTATCTAACCCCTCTTTCCTAAAGGGTCACAATTTTAATGAAAGGGTTTTAGAGAGAGAAGATACAAAACCAGAAACGTAAGCGGTAAATGCAAAAAGAGGGTCTGATTCTGAACTGCCAAACCGGAATTCAATTACTGGCATGGCAGTATGACATCGGTAAAAATATAATTCATTACAAAACCCTAAGTGAATGGTCAGTGTTTCCTGCCAGTTACCTCAGAAACGTCATATGATCATGGCCTATCACCGCAAACTAGGCTGCCTCATCTAGGGGAGGGTTGGCAAACTTCTTTCTAGTTTCTTTAATACTCCTACCATCTCATTTTTCCATGCCTTTGTCATGCGTAGTAAGAATGGGCTATTGGTGACTATGCTTTTCGCTCACTTGCTAGATAGACTGAACGACTTTTTATGGTCGCTTACCAGCTAATCAAACGATCAGTAAAGACACAAACAATACCTGTTGCCAAGAGCTGTTTTCGGCTTTTCAAATATATTGTATCGAGATGTCACCGGAAGTATTGTTCATAACCACCGACAGCCACCCATTGCTGCCAAACTAGTTTGACTTTTTCCAACTTCAGACTGCATGTCATATTCAAAAGCTTATGCAGCAGTCGTTTCACCCTTGCAAGAAGTACGACGTATCCAAAAAGTAAAAAGCATCTCAAGAATTTCTTCCCTATTTTTATCTTTTGTTTTAAGTCTGCAATATGGTTCTACTATTTTGTGGAAATTTCACGATATTACAGTACCCAAATTTTTTGTCCAAATTGCTTTCATATTTTCTTCTAATTTAAATTGTCAACTCTTTGCCTTTCAAGCACTCAGGCCTTGAGTTATCAACAGGCCTTGAGAGAGCAGTTTTCGAAACATGATGCTGTTTACGACATTTTTTGTTTTCTCCTAGGTGGATTCCCTAATCTGGGTGGGCTAGACATCGGCTCTTTACTTTCGAACCCTGCTGTAATGAACATGGTCAGTTCCTTCGTATTTTTTGGTTAAGCAGTACTATACTACTTATATTGTTATTCAGTAATACTATTCTATTGATACTTTACTTCAGTAATACTATTGCATCAACACTTTTCTTCATTCAATACAATTCTACTAGTACTGTACTGCTAACACTATTCATAAGTGAATACTTTACTACCAGACAATATCCTTCACAAGTACTATGCTACTAATAGTATACTTCAGTAAAACTATGCTACTGATACGATACTCTTCTTCAGTATATACTATACTGCTGAGACTACACCTCATTTACACTATGCTGCTAATACGTAACGTCAGTGAACACTATACCACTAATATGTAAATACTATGCTACTATGTACTATTGCTAAGCTTCAGTAATACTATGCTACAAACCCTTTACTTAAGTAATTATTGGGCCACTTACGCTGTACTTAAGCAATATTATGCCACTAATACTATACCTCAGCAATACTACTGTATTAGTAATATACTCACAATAATATTATACCACATACACTTTACTTTAGTAATATTTTTAAAGAAGTCTTTGTCTGAACCAAATGGTACAAGTTTAGTCGTAAAAACATGAAGATAGGACTTAAAAGTTTTTCCTTAAAAGGCTCGTGTATTGATTGTTATTTTTTGTACGCCTAACCTTGACAATAAGTCACTCATATTGCTTTCTTTTTGTACACTTTTTCAGTAATTAACGGATAAGCCTTTCAATCAGAAGCATTTAATGAACATTTCACTTTACTCAGTCCCGTCTTCTTTGTTGCCTGTATTGTTTTTCTTTCCCAAATTAAACAACCTTTCTGCGTTTCCTATTAACCATCAGATTATTTTACATGAAAACTAAACTTTTTTTCAAACTCCAGTTATTCGAGTCTTCTTTCTGTTTTTATAAGAACAATATAACCTTAACGTTTATATGGATGACTTGAACCGCACAATTAAAGCTGATGTTTATTTCTGTTCCTTTTTGAAGACAAACTATATAATCAATCGAATAACATTCAAACAATTTCTCCGACAGGCACAGAGTTTCATGCAAAACCCACAAATGCAACAAATGTATGTACACAATTTCTAAAAACATGTAAAGTGTCATCACGTTTTTCAAAGCCCTTTATTTCAAATGAGGCTATTACCGCAAATCTGGAAAAATTTTCATTATATTTCACTGCCTCCTTAGTAGGGTTGATAAGATGAAAATCGTGCAAATTGCGATAAAAGCATGAAGCTTTGACATGCATATTAAGATAGGATTTAGACCCCGTCTGGGAAATTTAGACCCTCCTTGTGCTATTTTCCGACTGGGGTGCTAGAGTACTGGTGTTCAGTACTCGGAAGGAGTTACCGGTGGTAAATTCCTTCCTGTTAGTTATAAACCCTTGATATTTGATAAGCCAACATAGTTTGATATGCTAAAAAAGGTTAAAGTGGTCCACTACCTCAGAAATGCCAATTTGCACAGGATTTTACTTGTCGCAGTTAGTTGTTTGTCTAGAAAAATATCCTTATTTGTGTAATGTTAACAAGCTTTGTTTTTATCCGTACAATTTAACCTTGGTAGCAACTTCTCTAAACCAAGTTTTTGGTATTTTACCAGCTAGTTCACGGGAGTTCTGATCTGCTAAAAACTTTTTGTAGCGCAACGGAGCTTTCAGTTTCTTTTTTGTATCAATTTTTAAATGTTTCCTGATTTCCGGTACTTTGGGAAATTGCATTTTGACCACATTTAGCCTTGCCATAATGTTTGTCAGTCCATCATTTGGGCACTCATCCAGTGTGACACAAAAGCTAAGGCAGATGGAAGGATTTGGTTACAGACTAGTTTTTACCCTTTTCTTTGTTGTGCATTCTTTTTTACTTTATCTCAACCTCGTCCACCTTCTTTGTCTTTTATAGAAGAAAGCATTTTTCAAAATTCTATGTTATATCAAAATTGTGTAGCTTCTATTTACTGTTATTTCAAACACACTTACAGGTTTTCAAACATGATGGGTGGAGGCGGCGCTGGTGGACCTGAGGTACCCGAACAAAGTAATGCAAACCCCGGAACTGGCCAGCCTCCATTTAACTTCCAAGATATCGTCGGAGCGTAAGTTACCCGTCTCTTTACAATTTGACCTATATGGCTCCGAATTCCTGAATTATCAACTCTGCATGATGAAGCCTTTCAAATCAGAAAAGTTTCCGCTCGAGAAAAAGCGATTTTTACACAACAAAAGCCGTACTTTAAAAGTGTTACATGATGCACATGGATAGTTTCAGCTGTTTTCTAGCTTCTAAGACTCTGCGCATCCTGAAAAGTTGGCTTCCCGCTTCTACTCAAACTCGTTTGCAAAATAAGACTGTCCATTATTCAGTGCAATTTCATGTGCTTGGTTTCAATCAAGGAATTCTGTGCAACTGTGGGGTGTGGAGTGGAGAGGGCGATTGCTCCCCTCCTGTCACTTGCTCTCGAAAATACAGTTCTTTTCTTTACTTTGCCTTTCTTCTCTTTCATTTACTTTCGCCCCCTTGACCTTTCTATGTAAAGAACCTTTTGTTTCAATGATAATACCTCACAAAGTGTGTTAAAAATTTTGAGGTCTGGTACTTAGTGGGTTGTTTGCTGGAGATTTGACTTTTACGCTTTGACTGTCAAAGCAAATATATCGTCTGATTAAAATTGTCAACCCAAACAATTTTGGCCCTATTCACAGACCGTTAAGGTTAAATCAAAAAGTTTTTGTTATTCAAAGAAGCCGTTAATTCATATCAGATTATGGTTTTAAGATTCTAATCTTATGGTAACGTCGGATGATAATAGTATTGAGAAAAATTTTATCAAAAACAAAACAGTTAAGCATTCTTAAGAAATTTTTTATCGCTCATTGAACAAAGAGGAAATTGTGAGAATTCTGGTGGTTACTCGATATAACTTTAGTCGACGAACTGCGGAGAATATAAGGTAGAGGGCGGAGGAGAAGAGAAATGAAAATATAGCTCCACCTTCTGCCACTATTTTCTTCCTCCTTGTCCCTCGTAGCTCCGCGACTACTCTTTTTCCTCCGCAGTTTCCTTTATCCTATCCTTTTCCCCTCCCCATCTCCCTCCCCAATAGCCTCTGAGAAGGAGAGTGTGGTTCACCTACAGCCGGAACTGCCTCTGGCTGCCGCCACCAAGCACATCATGAATGCTCACAAAATTGCTTCGACCGATGACCATGCCGGTAGAAAAGTTACCAACAATCCATCTCATTCTCGTTTAGGCGCATTTTCTCAACTCTGTGTTAAGACTAGTCTTTGAAGAGAATTCAAAAGATGGCTCAGCTTTGAGCAGGAGACTTTTGATGTCATGTACACTTGGAATACTAGCATGGTATTTTGCATATTTGAGATGATGGAAGCAGAATGTGCAAAGCACGGATAAGTCTTAGTATCTTTTATTGTATAAAGCTGGGCAATTTTGGATGCAATCCCTAAGTGCTTAGTTGCCCGGTTCAATTTCGGTTTTTTCAGTTTAAGTTTGTCATCAACGCTGAGAATTTTTTTCTGAAATGGCGCGAATTGTTGGTGAATTTTTATTGGATGAAAGGTGTTACATGACGTTTCCAAACAACAGGCTTCCGCAGGCAGAGTGGTCATTTATAATTTATACCATGTCGCTGGTAACATAGCCACGAAAAAAGTTGGTGTAGTGAGCACTGCTCACTGCCGGTGTAGTATACTAATCTGGCACCCTTGCAGAAGTGTTCTCTCTGAGGCAGTATGTGTTGCAATGACTAAATGAAACCGATATACGTTTTGGTAACCTTGACGATACGGTTATCGCCTGCGACTACGGCTATATTCGAACCAGGCTCTAAACTGCAGTTTTATGAGTAACCCGTCTTCTATCCATAGGCAATCACCCCTTGCCGATCAACTTGCCTATGAGATTTTGTTTTTGTTTTTCAGAACCCAAACGTTTGCAGAGCAGATGCAACGAGATAACCCTGAGCTTACCGAACAATTAAGGAGTCAGTTTAAAGGTCCAAACCCTGACTCAGAGAAAGAAGACAAGTGACGGAAGTAGAAAGACGTCACAATGTGTGTCACAATAACAACAGTTTCGAACTAAGAACTCTTCAAATACTCGATAATAAAACAGTGTTATATTTTGAATACAAGCCGTTTAGTTTCTTCTTTGCACAAATACTTTTAAGTAAGCACATTTCTTTTACATCTATGCTTACAGCCGCTTTTGAGAAATTATGGAAGGCAGAATGTTAGAATATCAGTACATATTAGTGAAAATTTGAAGTTAGTGAAAAAATTATAAGCTGTTATTACGTGACTCAAAATACTGAAGATAAAATTTTGAAAGAAACTCTCGTCCTATTTTAATTGAAAATTTAATGTTCATTCTAGAATTCTTTGTCTGTTTATTTTCTTTTTGATTTTAACATACTACTTTTACAAATTGACTTTTCTTAGAACTTCATTTTGAAGGACTGTAACCATGTTTTCTGGCGTTTATAGCAAAAAATCTTTTATAGTGAAAAATAGACAATGAGGCTACATAAACCAACACCCCTACGTCCCTAACATGTATTCCCCTTTTATTTTCATCGTTGCCATTAAGAGAACGAAAAGTATTCTGAAGAAACAGCTTTCAGCATTATCAAAATTTGTTTATATTTGGAAAAAAGAACTTTTTGATAGACAGCAAGCAAAGCGAGATTAAGAGCAAAATGGATAAACGTGACATGAATCAACACGGAATTTGTTCAATGTTTGGTCCTGGTTGATTACTTTTAGTAACCCAAGGCCTAGAAATGTGCGTCCCTATGTTCGCCTTTCTAGACAAGTTTGCCTTATATTTGATAGGTACTAATAAGTTAGAAAAATTTGATATTCAAATTCACTTATAATTTGGCAAAAGAGATATACCTGCTCGAAAACCCCTGCAAAAACAAAATTATTCTTGATTCAAAAGCCCTAAATGGAGAACACTCTTATCCAGGTATTGATTGCTCCTTTGATTAAGCATCACACGATTTTGCGAAGTTTCCATTGAAATAACACCTGATATACTTTCTGTAGTTCAATACTATGCCCTGCTTAGATAGTCGAATGCTCATTCGTTTGAGAGCATCCATTATTTTGCGTCACAGAACAGATAAACATGGGACGAAACACATTAAATATGAAGATGCATTTATTCATCAGCTGAGCTTTTATACAAATAAGATTGCTCACTTGCCCGAGCAGGTGACAGCTCCTGTGCCATGTTGGTATGGGCATTTTTGTAATGAAGAGAATGCAAAATCGTAAATCACTCTCACTAGAGATTGATAGGAAACAGGTACCCGCTGCAGTAAACAACTGGCCATCAAACCTGACACTGAAATAGCAATGCCTCGTGGAAAACATTGTGATCAGCATGTTCTTTTGCATCTCGGTGCAAAATTCTAGGGAGAAAGCAGTTAGCCGTATGCTCACCAATATCCCCACTCGGATAATCCCTGGTTATGCCAACATTCGAGAATTCAAAGTTCCTAGCACAAAAAAACCCGTATCACAAGGGCCTACCATTCAAAAGCGGTCTCGACATTTTTCAACCTGGGCAACCAATTGTGGTTTTAACAATGCAAAGGACGTTTTTCTTTGGCAAAGGAGGTACAGAACATTTCTTGGAGAAATAAGTCTTTATTTCAAAATCTAAGTTTTGAGTCAAGCTCTTCACTCATCTAGGGGCTCATGTCATTCGTAGAGTGTTAATGATGCATTTCAAAAGGAAACACACCAAGGTCCTTTTGATAGTGAACCTCGACTACGAAAAGTAATATTTTTTATATTCCTCCAAAATCTGCATTCAAAATTGGACCGTGAGTGGTTGAGCCACCTCTGTAAAAATTCGCAGTTGGATCAAGCCTAGTGTGGTAGGGTTTGCCGCAACACTTGTAAACAACAATCAAGATGAATCTATGTTTTTCCATAGTCCTACGCATTTTCCGACGAAATTTGAGTTTCTTATTGTTTGACACTACTTTTAAGTATCAAGTATTGGCTTGATCATGGGCTCCGACGCAGGTTGGAAAGTGGAGGGGCCAAGAGAAAGTGTAACAATCATAAAGTTTTTTTAAAAAAGCTCTATTGTTTTGCAAAAAAATGAGGAGGCCATGGCCCTCCTGGCCCCCCCTCCCTTCGTCGGAGGCTCTGTTGATGGGTTGATTGGTTGCATTCTGATTAGAAAAAATAACATAAAATCAATCTAGATTCCTTAATCGTCTTTTTACCAGTATAATCTTTATCTTCATCTCAAGTAGATGCTTTTAGGAGAAACTTCCCGGAAGATACCATTCTGCGCCGAACCCCTAATTCTCCAAATTATTACATTGCGAGGAGCTGAGACTGGGAAGGAGCTTATGAAAGTTCACGTGCTTCAATTAAACGCTGTTCTACTGCGGCAAACAGCAAAGAGAACAATGGTGTGGCGTCAATGCACCGAGAAATTACATGCACGGGTTGAAAGTCCATGTGTATAAACAATCGGCAGCACGATCAAGCGTCGGGAGTCTTCTCGGAAAGATGAATTATTTTTCTTAGGAAAAGGAAATTCGTTTGCATTTTCGTGCAAAGATATCATTTTCACGGAAGATTGTTTTTCTCGTAGAAAATCCAGAGATTTGCAACGGCTTACATGTTTATGTGCTTCGCAAGTTATACCAGTTGAGTTCAACCTGTCCTTTATTGGATTACATCGTCTCTTGGTCAGTAAAAGAGTAGAAGGCATATGCAGATCCGTTGTGTGGTAACTTTGAAACTGAACATTTTGGCTTTGACAACAAAGAGCTACAGCTAAAGAGACCGGCTTTTGCTTTAAAGCAACGTGAAATCAAGAAATTTTGAATCAAGCAAAACAATGCCAGCGAAACTTTTTCAAAAGATTTGTGGTCACGGGAGAAATCCTGGAGACAGTGGAGGGAGCTCTCGGCGGCTGCCTCTCATCCAAAGAGTTTGCTATGGAGTTGGACATGTTTTTAACGATCTTTGCGCAAATTGCTGGTTTAGCTATTTGCTCATCTACATGACCAAAGTCATCTCACTTTCCAATGCAAACGCTGGTCTTATATTATTAATTGGCCAAGTGGCAGATGCCATTTTCACACCGTTTATTGGCTACGGTTGTGATAAAACCAACTGCAAGTATTATGGACGTAGAAAGCTTTGGCATTTGATAGGAACATTTTGCGTCCTTCTCTCCTTTCCTTTTATATTTAACAAATGCATTAGTTGTGAAAATGCCTCGTCTACAACCCTAGTGTTGTACTATGCCGCATTTGTTGTGGTTTTTCAATTTGGATGGGCAGCAGTTCAAATATCACATCTCTCCCTTATACCCGAAATTGCCAACAAAGTTAGCGAAAAAGTTGGCCTAAATGCAATCAGGTAAGAACACATTTCCTTCGATCTTAATTTTATGATTCCAAGGCGTTGTAGGCCTTTTTGTAGATGCAGGCTGCCACGAGAAACCTGAAAACAATGGCGATTTTACGGTATACACGTTAATACGACAAGAAAACAAAACTTAAGCTTGTACACGTGTTAGTTTTTGAAATACAAACAAAGGACAAAAGACGTTAATTGAAAATTGTAGCCTGAAACCCGTTCTTTTTAAAACATGTTCTTCCCTGCTGCTATCAACAAAATTTGTTTATTTATTAATATTTTCATTGTGTCGAATCAGCATGTTAAAAGACCTTATTCGCAAGGATTTGACGTCAAAATCTTAATTTCTTGGACAGCAGGCTATATCTCCGGCATATGAATTTTTATTACCAAATAAGAGAAAGGTAATGTTTCGTTAACGAGAACGTGGATTTCTTTCCAACCTTTTTATAAGTTGAATAAACTGGCTGCTGAATCAGTTTATTCTACGATCTTGTGTCATAAGGATAGGAATATCATCGCGCCGTTCTAGAGGGATATGGCCCTACACAGTATTTAGGCTTGGCTTGCTCTGTTTTGCAGCGTTGTTTTGAATTCGTTTTAATCCCCTAATTTATTCGATCGATCGCAAGCCACATCGTGTTTCCGGACCATTTCGCAACAGTGTTTATAAAGCGGAAGTGTTTGTGTTACTCCTCCGACTGATGACGGACACAATATGAAAAGGGTGGGGGCGCGGTGGATGATCAAAACTACATTCAATTTTTGTCAAAAAATTAGTACTGAACATTCAGAAAAAATTGCAAAACTTTCAATAGCTCTGAATTTTCGGGTTTTCCATCCTGATTGCATAGAAGCATTGCATAAATTCTTCAAACATTCTTCAAACCAACTTCACCCTCTGAAAGACACAGTGTTATTTTATGGATTGGAAATGTAATGCTTATGGCCCCTTTATCAGTTTGTAGAACGCTGTCTTACTAAATTCTTCTTTCTAAAATCCCTTCGCCATTTGCCGTTTGATTTAGGGTTGCTAGATGGTTTGCAAAAGGCGGGCAGACGGGTGACCAACTATACTCTTTTTTTTATAAGAACAATTTTATGAGAACACGAGCCTCAAAACTGGTCAAAAGTTAAGAACAAATTAAGAACAAGCTGAGGCTGAGCTTCTGCAAATTGCAATTTTGAATAACGTTTTTTTTTAATCGAGGAATTTTTGGCGATGTGTGGGTTCCTTTTCGGTGAATATTAAAATTTGTCAGCAAATTAAGGCTGTCTCACTCACTTTGTTGGCAAATGAGGCCTGAACACATCCTTAGAGCGAAAAAGCTAGCAATAGCACTGCTTACACCCTTGTAATTTAAGAACAAATTAAGAACAATCCAGCCTCAGATTTTCAAAAAAAATTAAGGACAGTCAGCCTGAACTTAAATTTACTGGTTCTAATAAAAAAAGAGTGTAAGGCCAAAAAGCGCTTAAAATGGCCAAATCCAAAAATTTCTTAAAATCCACTACGCGAGTTTAGTATGCATTTCAGCGCATGCACGTTTTAGATGATTTTCCAAACTAAAAAAACTGAGAAACTTTCTCCTTCAAAAGAATTCATTTGCTAATTGTTTGGTTAGGTGATAATATTTTGAGTTTGTTTTACACAGTGTAGTATTATTCTATCAATTTGAAATGTTTGTTACCTAGGATGTCAAGTTAAGATAAAACAAGGGGATGCCTTCGAAGTTTCTCCTAAAAAGGCAAAATATAAGTAGGAGGCCAAAAAAAAATTTCCCAGGCAATTTATCTCTGAAAAAGGCCACCACTTAAAAATTTTGACCTGAAAAAGGCTAATCTGCCATCGCTGGTTTGATTCTAAGAAAGGAAATGGTGATGCCGTGGATAGCTTGCCCAGGCAAAGTCTTCAAAGCCAGGCAAGTGGTCAAGTTTCAATGGTTAATGGTTCCGCTAGTGATCAAATGATACTCAAAAGGATCACGATTCATGAAGCATGTTCAGACTCATTAATTTATAGCGTGCATCTGCAGGTCGTTGCATTTATGGTTTCTTTGAAATGCATGAAACAACTCCTTATCAATATTTTATAACCTGTCAGCTTTTCAAATCGGGGGACAAATAAATGCTTTTCGTGTAATTGGGAACGTTCTCAAGGCAAAACACTATTTGTTCACGCATTTTGGCTGTTTTGCGACCTACGAGTAACCTGCTTGCCAAAATTACCAAGCAACTTGGCAAATATTGCTCCTATTCATCTTCTGCAAATATTCCACCGAAAAACAGTTTCTTATTACTATTTGCTTGCGTCATCTTTGTCAAAACGATGACAGGAGGCGTAAGCTTTCTGAGTAATGTTGCGCAACAGGCGTTGAACTTTAATGCAATCTGTTCATTTTAAAACCATAGCCTTTTTTGCTAGAACTACAAAGGGGCTCAATGCACTTGATATCCAAACTCTACCTGCAAAACAATAATGTTTATTTTAACCGTTCGCATAAACTTTAACATTAATTAACAAGTTATGAATTTTTATTCAAAATGGCTCCGAGCCATTAAAATCTTTAGGCGTATGTTGAAATGACATTTAATTCAGTATAAGTGTCAATTTTTCCCCATACAATGCCATTGAACCTCGAGAAACTAGCTTTGAGAAACAAATGAAAACAAGGCGGGTCTTTGGTGTGGCACTTTCGTTTCCTCAGCGCCGTCGACTGTGTGACCTCCATGTTTCTGGGCTCTGATTGAAATGCAATGTAAGGATCATAATTCGCAATATTTTTAAAAGTATAACGATTAACAGTATTGAACGAAAGGTCTCAAATAGATATCTGGGCTCTGATTTAAGCATTTCTTACAATGACACTGATTTGAAAATGTGAAAATATGTTGCATTGTTTGTCTTTTGTCAAGAAAGCTGTTCTATCGTATTCATGAAGTTCTGTTTTTTCTAGATCTGGACTGACATTCGTCTGTGGTATTTACGTGTTTGGTGCAACCTGGTTTTTGCTTGGAACGAATCCGGAAGAGAATGTGACAGGAAATGTCGCCCCACAGTTCATGGTATTACTTTTATCGTTATCTATTGGCATAGGGGCAAGGACCGCGGAAGCAAGGAGCTACGGGGGCTTTAGTCTCCCAAGGAGCTACGGGGGCTTTAGTCTCCCAAGGAGCTACGGGGGGTTTAGCCTCCCAAGGAGCTACGGGGGCTTTAGCCTCCCAGTAATTTCCAAAATGTACTTAAAATCAACCCAAAAGCTCGCTCTTGATTTTTATCATGTTTATCCCCCCAAAAAGGTTTTAGCCCCCTTAATCTGTAATATGCTCCGCGGTCCTTGATGGGGGAAATATCCTGTCACACCGTTGTCAATGATTAGTTGATCATCCATCCTGGCCCGGTTCAACCTTGAGCCTTTTCAGAACAAAATAAATTACAGAAAACCTTCGGCTGTATATTTTTGAATTTCTCTATTGAGAGAGGATCTCCATTCTGCGTGTGACTCTGGCATAACGCCTGAACGCTTTCACGATATTTTTCTTCGACTTCTTTCTTCAATGGCAAACCCAACCACCCAATTTATTGTAAACTTTCATTTATTTAAAGATATCGAATGCGTCACATTGGCTGGTTTTTGGTTTATTGCAGTTGGTTACTCTTATGAACATAAATATATCTGTCATTGACAAGCTTTCAAATCTCCCTGTTTTGCTGTTTAGTGATGTCACCCTATGGACATCCTTTCGTTTGATTTTACCTCGGTGATATCATTGAATAAGTTTGAATATAAATGAGGCAGGAGATGTGAAAGAATTTATATTTCGTTTCTTTGCATTTCGTAGAGTGACCTTTGTTGAAAGATGAGATCAAATTATGAGTAATTTGATCCTTTAAGGAGGATCCTTGCCTTAATTTCTTTCCAGGAGTATTTACTACCTAATAGACTTTAGTCCCTTTTGACGTTGGTCCTTTCATAAATTAGAAAGCAAAAATTTAAAGCTTGGCCAGAACAAACGTTCTTCGTCCATTATTGACAAAATGATTTAATTAGTTAAGTGGATGGATGATTCTGTCATGAAAAATATTGTATGAAAGTTTCGAAACGGATCTTCAACACGACAGAGAGAACACTGTAGAAAAGCTCTAATCGTACAATTTTAGTAAATCGCTTTGAGATATGGCCAGTGAAGCTACTTAAAAATTACAGTTGTTTTGTCTGCTTCAAAGATTTAGAGCCAAGACCAAATATTGAATAAATAGTTCCTGCAAATCAAGAAAAAGGAAACGTTTATCCTCGGTTGTGCTACCTTTCGGCCAATTTCGTATAGCTTCGGCTTTTATTTAGAAGCGTTTTCTTTTCCATTCTATAGATCAAATTCAGGGTAATGAAAATTTGCTATTGTGACGTCATTACTGAGCCACTCCATCGTTCTAGGGTCTGAGGGTCTAAGGTAAAGAGAATATGAATTTTCTTGGGACCATTTTTGGTCTGGCTTTATAAGACCATTCTCGATCTTTTTCATTGAATGTCTAAGTGTGGTTCTTATGGTCAAGCACCAAAATCTTCAATATAAATATGAGCGGTTTCTTATGCCCATCTCTTCTTAATTTCAGTATCTCAGTTTCATTGTTGTTGCAACCGGAATTCTGTTTTCTGCAATTTTCCATGTCGGGACGATTGAGCCAAAGCATTATGTTTGCCGAAAGAAACCAGTTTCACAAGGAGGTAATACTTAAAACGTTATTTATTTCTTTAGTTAAATTGATATGATGACTATTTTAAAAACGTCTATCTCTCAATTTTATTTAATATAGTCGATCATTTAGCCAAGATCTACGCATTTCTAATCTTCACTGGATTATCTAACTTCTAAATGAAGCTTTTAGGGTCGCTTTCAGAGGTGATCCCGTATGGATCCGATCTTGACCGGATCCCGTGTAAACGGGTGAATCTGGTCCAGATCCGATCCGTCTATTTATTTGTTGTAAGTGAGACAGAATATTTTCAATTCAAGGTAGTTTGAATATGTAATCCGTGGCTTTTTTGCGCCAGAAAACCGAACATCGATGTGATATACTACTGTGTCGAAGAATTATTGACAATATGTCGTCGTACTTTGTCCTCATATTTTCCCAATCCTGCCCATCTGAAAGCTTTGCAGTTTTTTAGTCCAATACTTCTTTTGAAAGTAGCGCAGTTTTTTCTTCAGTCAACGAAAATGTATCCTTTTTAGCGTTACCTCCCTCCATGTTCAGGTTTAACTGTGTTTTCATCACGCACGAAGTTCTGAAAACTTCATATGCGCGCCAATATTCGAAATGGTACTTTTGGATCCGATCTGGTTCAGGTCTCGTGTAAACGGGGTCTTAAAGTGTTCGTTTTAAATAATACGGATTTGAAACAATAGATTTTGTCAATAGGAGTTTAATTTGAGTTTTCACTAGGGAGACTTTGTGCATGTCTGGTTCACATAGAGCCTTGACTCTCCGTGACTTGTCGCAGACAACTCTGCTTTATGTGAACACTTTGCAGCTATATGTGAGCCAGAAACGGGTGTGAGGCTATATGAGAGTGAGGCAATTGACTAAAAATTTTTTTGGAATTTTTGCTAAGTTGAAAGAAGCACACACGGCGAGAGACTGGGTGTTTAATGTGACGTAGACCGCAAGTCAATGTCGTTTAAGCTTGCAATCATTATTCGGCGCCTTCAGCAGAAAAAAAGATTGAGAAGAGAAGTCTCCTACTTTCATGTGCTTGACCTGTTACCTTTTGACTGATGGTACAGAATAATGACAAGAACGGGTACCATTTTATGCAAAAGAACGGGTACCGTTCACATTCACACTGATCCGCACAAAAACAGAGGTTTTCGAAAATGCTTTCAAAAGTGGATATCAACAAAACGGAGCAATTTGAATGGGTCACTTGCAAGAAATATCAGAAATTTCTCAATGGTGTAAAAGGTTATAATTTTTGCAAACAAGTTTCATAACAATGATTTTAAAGTTGCATTATTTACTGCAACCATTTCAGATGCCAAGGACAATCTGCTTCATTCTCCAATTTCTTCGAACGATTGTGAGATTTTGCAAAGTGATATTACCACAGTCGCTGCTTCATCCACTGTTGACAGTGCGGAGGAGGCAGATGTCATAGATTCCAATGACCTTCTTGCTGATACAAACCTTAATTCGGAGGAGACATGCAGGCAGTGGATTGACTGGCTGAAGACACCATTCTTCTATAAGGTAATTCTTCTCCTTACAGCTATCCCCCATTCTTCTATAGGGGATAACATTATAGTTGTTCTGTGATTTTCTGTGATTTTCCCAAGGAACCATGAAAGCAGAATTCATTGACCCCACCCCCCCCCCTTCTGAACAATTATTGAATAGTCAGTTATAAGGGTTCCTACTTTATAGCTCAGATTGAAGGCATTTTCATGAGCTTTCTTTGACGCGGTGGTGTAGCTAGAGGGGGGTAAAGGGGGGCCAAAAACCTCTCTGTAAAGCTAAACAGCTATTTTGTCGGGAAATTTCTGATCATGTCGGAAATATAACATGGTTTTTAATTTTTGTCCAATTGTTACATTTTGAGAGGGCGGTCTTTAAAGGTTATTATAACGATTTCTTCAGTTGTTCTGAATCAGATAGGCAACTTAAAAATGCCGTTTGCGAAGAGAAGACCATAAAATCTTCAATTTGTATGATTTATGACACATGACTTTAAGTAAATCATTAGACTTTATATCCTCTGTTTTATTTCAGTTCTAATGTCGTCATTTTATGTCACAACATTTTTGAATCTGTGTCAAATGCTCACCAATATAGTACACGGCAAGCGATGTGTTTATTGAACAGGAATTTTAAAATATAATAAACTAAACTGAAACGAACTGAAGCGAACTTTGTTCAGATGTATGTGAAAAAAATTTAAAATGTTTGCTAGATTTTTGTCGGAAAATCTCAGTTTTTCGCCCCTTTTATGAAATTTCCTATCTATGCCACTGTTGTGACGTATGTATATTTATCATCCAGCCACAAAGTCTCGTGATCTTTGATTTTTTTGACACTATTTTGTTTTCTTTCATTCCAGATGGCCTTGATTTACATGTGCACACGGTTGACGTTGAATGTCTCATCTTCATACTTTGTGTTATATTTAACAGAAACTATGGCTTTTGAAAAGGTAGGAAACTATTTTTCGTCAATGTCGTTTTTTAAAGCAAGGCAAAGCAAGACCATTAGAATAAATCCTTAGACATTTTACGTCCAGTCGTGTTGTGGCTGGGAGATATGGGATACTAACCTCCTCCTATTTCTAAAATTTGATCAGACTAAGCTGAAAGTACGAGTTAAAGGCTCCTGAAGCGCATAATCTGAGATACTTAACCTGAAGCTATAAGAAATCTGTTCCCCCTTCTACCAGATTCCCATTGCCACTTATTTCTAATTCTCTTTTTCAGCCCACTCTACTCTAAAATACTATAAAACTTTTTTGATACGATTTAAGATTTGACAATGGCAAGGAGATTTCTTAGTGTGCTGGAGGAGCAATTTTTGCTATGTGTGTAATTCCTTTAAATGCTGAAATATTTTTGAAAGCTGTGTTTTTGGCATGATTTCGAAATTCATTTCTCTTCAGAGCTACAGCCCCTTTGTTCATAATGAAAATTTACCCTTTTCTACTTTTGCTCTTTTAGTTTATGAACATTTGTTAGAGGGCCCCTTGTTCTTTTCAAGACATTACACCCCTGTTTATCTTGCCAGTGTATATTTGCAGCACATATCTTCTAACGAACTTGATGATAAACATCAATCTAGAGTTTCCTAAGTTACTGAAATGGGTGGCCAAGCTAATCAATGAATCGAATTTTTTTCGTAGGAAGCAATTGCCTATTTTCCACTGCTTGTGCTCGTTAGCGGCGTCATTTCAAGCGGTTTGACAAAGGTTCTCACGAAAAGAGTCGGTGGACGAGTGCGTATTAGATTATTAACCTTACAGTTTAATTTTTAACCCACATTTGCATGACACAAACCAACCCATGCTATATTTTGGTTCAAGGATGATTTATTGTCACTGATAATGCCAAAGTTCCCAATTTTTGGATTTTCGCTAGCCTGCTGCTGTGCAAAACTTTACTGAAAACTATTGGAACTAACGATGATAATCAAAATTTGACTCACAGTTAGATAATATTAAGAGCCCAAAGTATGTATGAATGAGAAAAGTTGAATAATTGTTTAACACTGGCAATATCCTGGATTGTTAGTTCATCGTGGATATTTTATAAGAACATTATGCATCAGGGCAACAGAACTCGAAATTTCAGAAAATTTTATTTTTTGTGGCATAGAATTATGTTACAAATCCTCCTTTCCCCTTTTTGGTATTTTCTGGCATTTCTTCTATTATCTTTGGTATCAAGCATCTGCAGTGACTGGGGTATTTTGCGGAAGATTTGCGGAGTAAATGCAACCTTGTATCGAGCTAAGAACTTTCTCCCCCTTTTTGTTGAGAAATTCTTTTGTACTTTTTCTTAGAGCAAAAAATCTAAGGTATTGCCTTTTAAATAGAAGGAATTTTTCACCTGAAGAGCACGCTCTGTAAAAATAATGAATAAGACAAGTTTTTTCTTTAAGTTCTCGGAATTTTGAAGAAATCCTGATTTAAAACGATTCATTTTTAGCAATTATTCTTACCAATTTCCCTTTTGATTTTTATTGATTTGATTGACTTTATAAACGGTTTGCTTATCAACATCAGTAGAATGCATCAATAATATGTTTTGCTACTGTCTCATGCACAAGCCGTTGCGACCCTGTCTAACACAATTTTTATCGTCACCCTGCAGTTGACGTTTATTGTGGGATGCATAGCAGCACTGGGCTCCTTCGTGTGGCTTTTCATGGTATCCAAGGATGCCAGAGCCTCCGTCTATGTAGCGGCTCTTTTAATGGGGTGTGGCTGCTCCATTATGCTGGTGACGTCACTAGCGATGACTGCTGACTTGATTGGCACAAACAAGGTAATCACGCTATGAACTTGATAATCAATGTAGTTCAGCATGTTCAGTGACTTTGTACATTAAGAAATATGATTTCGAGCATAACTCTTCAAATTTTTCTGCATTACGCTACGAATTGTTGAACAGTCTGTAGTGCAAGGTTATGTAAAGCAGTTTCTCTCGGATGTATGCTCAGCTAGATACGTTTTGTTGGTAAAGCCTTCTTCTTCACTTATCGATGACACTGACGTACAGCGTTCAAAAATGGCTGTTATTAGTTCGTCTAAAGAAATATGGCTCCTATTTTCTTTTCATCGATGGTTTACATGCATGCTAATTAAAACGTTATTAATTGGTCATTGTCATCCTCTTGTTCTCATATCAAAACCACGCATCTGGCTCTTTTCTTCAGTACAGTAGAAACCCACATTTAAGAACCTACATTTTTCAGTGTAGCCAAGATCGGCTGTAATTCAGATTAAGGCTTAGGTTCTAATATAATGGGGGCTTTCAAATGTTTTTTAAGTTGGTTTGTATGTCATCAAGTCTTATTGTCAATCCTTTTTCTGATTAAGCAAATTTTTATTAGATTATTTTACAGAACTGCCATCTGGGCTAATTCAAGTTCTGCGTAGTCGTTTGAAAAGGAATTTTTTAAAGAAAATCAGGCTCTATAAGTTGCTTATAAAAATGGCCTAAAATACAAATTTTAGCCTACATGTTCTTGTAAAATTAAGTTCTTGTATGCAGACATTCAATGTATGTCAATGTAAACAGTATCTTAGTGAAATTGAGGATCCTTAGTTACTATTCCTCGATTGTTTTTTTTCATGAAAATTTTTTCAACATCCTAGGGCTCCTGTGCATTTGTTTACTCCGCAATGAGTTTTACGGACAAGCTTTCTTCGGGAATTGTTATTTACATTATTCAGCAGCTAAAACCAGTGAACGAGTCGTAAGTTACTAATGCCTTAAATTGTTACTTAAAATTTTCATCAGAGGATCTTTTGTAAGAAAATAATGTCCAGCATTTTACACATTTTTCCTAAAAAAAATATACGCAAAAGACCTCTTTAATTTTGACTCGCGAGGATTTTTATCACCAATATTATTTATTTGGAGCATTTGAAAGTCCTTTCTAAGATATCTCTTAAAATGTTAAGACACATACAATCATTGCCAGTGCAACACACACATCTTTTTACCGTAACATTTGTTATTCTTTTCTTGAAAAGGCCATTTTGTTTTTCAGTGGTGAGTTTACACGATACGTACAGACAACTGTTACAGGAGCATCGTGTCTGGCGGCCCTCGTATGCGTTATATTTTTCTTCCCAGCAGACTTCACATGGAAGAAAAAAGGTATAAAGCTTTTTGTAACTTCATACGTTAATGCAAATTATTTATTGTAGAGTAAAATTCCATTTTTAAGCAGCTATAGAGTATAGTACAAAGAGAAGGTTCTACTAAAGTTTTGTCAAAGATGTTAAGTAAAGATATACAGAAGCTATTTCATCTAGAGTAAGATGTAACATTCCTTATGTTTTCCGGTGCGTTTTATGCGACGTTTTCTTCTTGACCTTTTGTTTAATGACCCCCGATATTTCCTGGACTCTCAAAACTTACGCTTGTCATCAGTGTTGACAGATCGGCTATGTTTGTGCCCCCCTCCTCACAACTGTCAACATCACTTTATAAATGACCCTTGTTTTGTAGTATTTTTGCAAGAATCAGGAACTCAGACAGAGGCTGATTCTGATGCATCTGATTTGAAGAAGGGTGTATCACATAGCAGCCTTGATGACGGGCAAGGTATTCACTTGGTTCAATCAGAACAAAATGAGGAGAACATCATTCAGGAAATGGATGCACCAGGTTCATCTTTAGATGAGAAACTCAAGAGACTGTCGTGGCATTCTTCTATGACGTCGTACATCGCATGGAGGCTAGCCTCGCCTCATGTGCCATCACCGACTGGGTCACCTTCCTTGGATAAGAAGAGTTGTCAAGATAGCAGCCCTGATGAGGTACTGTAACTAATGATAATTCATAGGGATGTTTTTTTGAGGTAGTATGTTTGGTGGATCTTCGGTATAAAGTCAGTTAAGTGCCATAGCTTGTCTTAAAGATTATAGTCAGAGGTTTTAAATGACGATTTCATTTCGTTTCAGGATAATTTATAAATGTTTGTATTGTAGGTGCATTTTACTAGGAGGGACTCAATTTTTTTGAAGAATGTTGATGTTAAGTTAATAAAGGAAGTAGATATGCTATTATCTTGTTTTATATCTGAAACACATTTTTATGGTTTAGAAGCGTGTTTTGAGAGAGTTGAATCTTCAATGCGGCAATTTTAGTATAATGCTGTTTCGTCTCGACATCGAGGCTGCTTGGTAAATGTAGTTTCATATGGTAGTTCTCAAAATAGAATCAATAGCCATGCATAATTTCAAGTGTTGCATACAATGAGTTTTGCAGGTAGGACTGCTTTTGCCTGGTATTTTGTTTGAGTCAATAAATCGTTGGCAAACAACCTATTAGAAATTGTAAACATTATTACGTATTTCGGGGTTTCATAGAGTTTTAGTTGTAAGATAATGCTTTGAGCGAATCGCTAAAATCTTAAATATGGGTGTTTTTACAACCATCCCGCATAATCTCGAATCGTTTGAATCGTGTTGCCATTGTTTCAGCTTATTCACTGATTTGTGTGCAAATGTAATTTTTATCAAGCATTCCTTGTGAGGAAAATTCGTACTTCCATTGCTTATACGTTGCTAGTAATAGATTAGTATTCTGCTTTTTATTAGAGTTTAAATTTCTGTATTTTAGATCTGTTTGATTAAACAGGTTAGTTAAGAGAGAAGCAACGGATATAGAGCAGCAAACCTATACATCTATATTTATAGACAACCAATCATGATAAAATTCCCTTGTGTTACCAGATATTCCGTACAGTTATGTCCTTGGATACAGCTCAATGCAAATTCAATTGCCAAGAATTTGAAATCATTTTTCGAAACTGGGATATATGTCCATAGGTTCTCTTCAAATATTGTTGCAAGTAAAGAGAAGAAAACTCTGATCGGGTAATAATGACCACGTCAGCCATGTGCTGTGCCATAATCATAATTTCATTTGTTTAAATCTATATTCCTGGTCTACTTTTTAAAATGAGGATATCAAGATATCTAGGGAAGTTTACTTTATACAAAGGAACGTTATAACTTGAGTGTTAACTGCAATCTGATAGATCTTTGGCTGTGTCCCAATGTGGTATTCATGAAACAATTAGAGATTCCTTTTTGTCAATTCAGCGAACCCTTAGTTTCCTTTTGACCAACCCTGATCCTACATATAAGTCACACCTGTAAACATTAATAGATTGACTAAAATATCATAGATGTCGAGCTATAAGTTAAAGCATTGACAAGAATCACCTCAAAGATGAACAGTGAATGATTATGAATACGTCTAATGAAGCATTGCTTTTGGAAATGAATCCCGAATACCAATAAATAAGGTTTTCGCTGTTTCCGTCTCACAATGCTTGTGGTATACTTGAAGTGCTCCTTATAGGCGTTACCCCAAGCCTTCGATAGTGATTGCAGATCAGGCCGAAATAAGGATAGTTCCTCGGCCTCGAATTGGTTCAGTGTCACAAACCATTAAACTCTTATGCTTTTTTCTTACTGAATTAGTTAAAATCATAAAAAGAACATTGGGCTATTGGGGTTATGGTGTCACATGGGGTGAAAACTGGATTCATCCGCGTGTCAAAAGGGAGTCTTCGAAATGGATCCGGGTATCTAAACCGTCACAGGTAGCCTTAGTAAGTGCTAACGACGTTTGTTTAGGAGATATCCTTCGAGACATTCATCCCACATATTTTAAGCCACTTTTCGACTGTCTCAACAAGGATTCCTCTTCCCCATTTATTTATAGCTTAAAGATTTTTGTCCATTCACTGGCATTTACAAATAAACCCTTTAGTTAGGTACTTTATTTCCACTATATAGTGCATCCAAATACTGTACACAGATTAGGCCTAATAAACCTACACTTCTTAGTATCAGCACGCATTTGCACTTTTCCTACATTTACTAGAACTTTGCCGCAATTTTTTAGTTAATAAATATTGTAGACAGAGTATTCAAATACGAATTTTTTAATTGCATGTACCTTCGTAATATTTTATGTTTGTGAAAATCATTGTTTTTTACTGTGACAATCCTAGTGTTTGTTGTTGTTATTTCATTGTTTTGTCCAAATTATCGCTCTTTTTATCATTATTATCACTTCTTACTTTTATGATCATTATATTTACCATTCGAAAACATTTTCAAAAAGTTTCGTTTCCTTATATTTGTTGGTTGAATTGTTAAAAACTATTTAGACTCCAATTTTTTTCATCGTTAATTAAATTTCTCCACTTTTCACGTTTTCTTCTCAGTTCGAATATTTCCAGGAATTATACTTAACACCTCTGTGTAACAAGTCCAATAAGTTTTTCTTTTGACAGGGGATAGCGGGTAAATATGGCAGAGGGCACCAAAATTTGCCCTCTGCCATGATCGGGGAAATGGGCTTCAAATGGAATTGTCAAAGATAATTTGTGTGCATTCTTAATACAACCATATCATAAGTTCAGATTTATAGAGAATCTCTACTGCCTTTTATTTCCAGTTTCTTAAATGGAGAAAATATATACAGCTATTTTACTTTTCCCCAGAAGTCTACTTTTTTGTTAAAGAAACTGCCAGGGGTCGGCTTAGCTCCCTCTTAAAAAATCCCTGGGGACATTGAGCCCTAAATCCCACACATAGTGTTGTTCTTCGGACGTGGCTGCACCATTACTTGCACTTTCCAAAAGTATTGTTAAGAATATTTAGTTGTAATCAATATAGTCGTTTGCATTTGAAGTGTCACTATGTTAAATATAAGAATCTCTTTAGTTAAGTGACATATTTCATAAACCGAATAATATGAGACAGATTTCAGCAGTGTGTTTTTAAGATCGTGTAGAACGGCTCAACCCTACATGCGATGTATCAGTAAAATAATGGTAAATATTTCTATGCGTAACACGTATGTAGTCAAAGCCCATGTATGACAACAGCTAAAATATTTTCTTTTTATCAAAAACGTCATGTGTTATTAAAGTTCTTCTTTTTTTGGGCTTTTTTTGTCCCCTGTAAATGTTGCCAGGAAGTCTTCATTGACCTGCCATTTGTCACCTCCCCAAAGTGCCCAGTCAGTGTGATCTGGCACAAGACAGCCAGAATTCGGATGTATAAAAAGGTCCACCTTTGTTCCATTGGCGCTTCGATGTTGTGCAAACCAAGCTACTTTTGAAATGTAGTGCTCAAGAGGAATGGAGACGGCCCATTGTGCTACTGGGAATGGTCCTCCTGCACTTTCGGGTGGATACAGACAAAGATTTTCTTGATGGAACAGTCCCTCGCAAGGGGGGCCTAACTCGTCACCAAATTTGGCAACAAACTTTTCTAGAAGAGCCAATGAATGCTTCTTTATCTACAACAAAGACAACATGAATTTATTTTGACGTTTGCTCGAATGAGTGCATTTTCCAACGCACTGAAAGCATCAAAATTCGAAAATTTCTTCATCTTCTGCGGCAACCATGGCGCCACATCAGGTAATAACTATCGCGGACTGAACATTCTCGGATGAACTGTTAAAATGCAGTATGCTCGACAGCAGCAAAGAGCAATTGAAAATTTGACTAAACATCACTCAACATTGAACTGCACTGAGCATGACTCAATGGTCTAGTTTCTTAAGCATGGTATAGCTGCTTGAAGCCAATACCTGCCGAATCGAGACAGGTACTTTTTTAAAGGAATGCCTCAATTGCTGCTTAGCCTCAAAACGATCGACAAAAATCTTTTGGTAAGAGCCTTTAATTTCCCCTTGCCTTTCCCTTGCATTGGAGTATGGTCGGCGTCACGTTTTAAGCAATTTTGAGCCTACCAGACCCTTTTTTTGGAAATCGTAGAGCAATACACAATATCAACAATCAGAAGATGGTTAGGTGGCAAGCAGCTGTATCCTGAACTGCATTAAGAAGGATATTCCTCCAAAGAAGGATATTTAGGATCCTATGATTCTTGTATTCTTGCACGACTGTTTGGCATTATTAAGAATGTTTCAAATGGGAAACCTCAAAGAAAAAAGCAGGTGAACTTTCATCAGTGAACTGGCAAGTCACCGAATTTGAACCGCCTAGCTGCTATTTTTGTGATGAAAATGATGGTAATTCAGTGTCATTTATCTTAATAATTGCTTAATAATCAGGGGCAGTCATTTGGTCAGATATTGAGGACAAGCCCCTTTCCCCATCTCGAATGTACTGCTTACAGTACAGGAACACAAACAACCAACAGCTTACAGGGAGGGAGATACCAAAGCAGAGCCAAATAAAGGTAGAATTTGAGAAGAAAACATGCAAGATCATCCTATTTTGTCCATTTTCACATACTGGTAATACCATCCTTAATTAAATTATAACTCATTCCCATAAGAAAGCCTTACTGCATTCACGGCTTTTTGCCAACCTGTTGCTACCATCTCTGCACTCCATGGGTATTACCACAGAATAAGAAATCTTACCTTACCGGTGCTCTCATCATAACCCATACCGGTCAGTGTTTGGGCATGGACACAAATTAGCGATAGGATATTCTGTGCATTCATGCTGAGTCATTCACAGCAGTGGCAGAAATTGCGGGGGTGTTGGGGGGGGGGCAAGTTCTCCCCCAGATTTTGTTAAATTTTTGTTTGTAAATTATGTCATTTGTCGGCAAATTTGCTTGTTTTTGTGGGCATTTTTCCCCCAACTGAAAAAATAATTGCTTCCACTGATTCACAGTATAAGAAAATACTGCATTTGCTGTCTGATGTACAGCATCTCGATTTTCATCGTTAAAACGATAACAGGAAAGTTCAATTTAATAGTTTCTTACCCTTTCGTTAAGTTCGTCGTACATAACATGGATATGCCACGAGAGAATATCAGGCGCCTGGCTACAGTCGACCTCCTCTTTTAGTTTCTCGTTTGGAGGCGAGTGGCAGAAGGATGCAACAAACGACGATGCGAGCAAGACTACTATCTTTAGCATGTTGACAGCGATTTCTCGTTTCTCTGCAAAATGTGTGTCGAAGAAGAGTATACGCGAAACGAACCTTGTCTAGTTTAAAAATGCGCAAAGTTGCTTAGAAGTCCTGCTGTTCTGCAAAACAAACCTCTATGCAACATTATACCTGCATGGCTTGAAATCGTCGTATGTTTGTTGTTTGTTGTCATCGTCTCGGCTCAAGCCTCTAAAACCCCGCAGACTACGTGGCCTTGACCGCACATCTCCGCTTGATTTAAAGTACACTATGGGAAGGGGGCAGTTTTGCAGAGGAAGAGGAGAGTTTGCTCTGGTACCCAAGCTAGCTTTTACGCGAATTTTATTGTTTGCTGAATTCGATGCTATATTCCTTTGAAATTATTCACTGCTTTAGTACTGAAATCTTTTAACGATGCTCCAAGTAGGTTTGAATAAGCCTGCTTCGGATAAATCTCCAGCCTTTATCAAGTAAATTTATGAAAGTTGGCTTCCCTCGGACCACTGGTTGACTGTGGCAACACTAGGCGTTTACTTCATTTTTTGGCTAGTATTCCACAAAACGTGAAGAAATATTTGCCTTTTCCCTCTCCCAGAAATTAGATTTGCATGACTAAAGCAGAGCCATCGAAAGCGGGGAGGCTGGAGGGCTGGAGCCCCATCCCCTAATAATTGTCAAACTGTAGATGAGAAGGAATACAACGGGCAGGCCCCCAATATGAATTTCCTCCTGACGGCAAAGCAAAGGGTCCAATCAAAAATATCTTTGTCGTCAACTTTATTTGTTCAACGCTGATGAGTTGTGATGTCAAAGTTAGTATGTAAATCAACATGGGTCAGATTCAGGGTTGTAGTGCTAGGGATCTCATGGGGGCTGAGCCCCCATTTTTGATGCAAAAATTGGCAAATTTTTACTTTTGCCATTTTTTTCGCAACATTTTGTGCAAGAGCTTCCTTTGTTCGTTTGATAGCACTATACCACTGGTCAGATAGCGATCCATGCAAAGGACATCGGGTTCCGAATCCCTGCTTTTCAAAAACATTTAATTCGTGATTTGCCCAAAAATACAAAGAAAGTGGTAGGGTGGAGACCAGAACATTTTGATGTCATGTCATTGTATCATTGTACAATGTTAAATTACAATTAAAAACAAAATTATGTTGATGCCAATAAAATCGAGATGACGTGGTGTCCGAAACTCAGACCTTTCCCATAAAGATGAACCTTTTTGTTTGGGGTGCCAGCCAGAGGTGGCGCCAGAAATCCGACAGAGGGGATGGAGCTTCCGACAGGGGGGCTAAAATGACTAAAATAAGCAGTTTTCGTACGTTATTTTGTCAAAATTGCTCCGACAATAACCTAAAATTCCCTCCGATGGGGGGGGCTAGATGCTTCCGACGGAGGGGCTGTAGCCCTCCCTAGCCCTTCCCTGGCGCCACCACTGGTGCCAGCCCTGATAAATCAGGTCCTTGCTTTCCCATTTTCAAGGAGCCTGCGTTGATGGCCTGCGATGCGACGCGGGCTTTCGTCGGTTATGCCATGTGATTTCTGACACTCTCCAAATGGAGCATAACAACAGCAACAACAAACATATTCTAAGACCACTGGCAGGAACTTTATGTTATGTCTGGCAAAGTAGCTCTGGTAAGCAAAAATATGATGTTATTATTCCCTTCTGTAACCTTCTGAAAAGGACTGCAAAGTACTACATAGAAACTACGGATCGCATAATAGTTTGCACCAGACACACCCCTTTTGAACCCACCAATTTTTCAAAATCTCAACTGTGCCTAATCTCCAACCTTGGGGAGATTCAAAAATTTGGGCACCTTCCTTCTTTATATCAAAGTCTTTATCAATAGTTATTGACACATATGTAACTTTGACTGCGGTTGTATATACTATTTTATTGATTGATGGATCCAAAAGTTGCTTTACCTGAATTAATCCGATAACTAGTGTATTGCAATAAGTAGAGAAGCCTTGAGTTGCATAAATGTAAACAAACCATCACAATATTAAATCCCATTCTTACATGCAGCCTCCATTGTCTTTGGAAGAATTGCAACATTGGCTTTTTGGCCCAGTGGGGTGGGGGCCAATCAGTACATATAAGACGTTTTCAGTGATGGGGGCTACTCAGCAATGATTTCTGATTTTATTGGGGTTTGAAACTCCAAGAACATCATGACACTGTGGACCTTATTTCACTCTTTTTCTTTACCATTTTCGTGGAGAAACTCTGCATGGCAAATTTGGCAACAGGGCTGGGGAAAGTTGCAGACAGGGCTGCTGAGTAGTTTTAGCGGCCCTGGGGCAAAACCAAAATATGACCCCCCTGAGAGCAGTCAGCACATAAGATTTGTGATCACACACTTCCGATTAGCTTGAGATGCATTTCAGAATATTTCTTGTAGTCATTTCTTGCAATTATTTAACACATTTTACTCTTTTTAGGCATACTTTTTTCTATGTTTGATTAATCCCGTTCTTAAACAATTTATTGAGTTACGAGGCCACTAAACCTTGAGGATCTGGGGTGATTTGCCCACTTGCCAAACTCATGGCGACCTTGGTTGCAGCTACATTTCCTTTTGACTATTTGCTCTAACTGGTGGGACAAAACCTAATAACTGATTTCCAGTGTAGTTTCTAACTGTTCTTAAGTTATTGATTTTAATCAATATATGAAATATGATGCCACTGTCTGAAGATGATACTGCTCTATTCAAACACTGAAATTAACAGCACTTTATAGGGTTTTCAAAATTTTGCTTGAGGCCCCCTAAATTTAAGAACCATGGTGCCCATGGGTAAATGTGTTGACTGTTTTTGTCCAGGACTAATAAAACATTCTGCAGTAATTAAGTAAAGCTAAATGAAGGAAACATTGAGGAAAGCAATCAATATATCAATGTTTTTCGATCTGAAATATATTGTTGCGCTTTGATTTATGCTTTGGTTTGATATTTTAGTAAAGGTTATTAAGCTGAGCTTTATACAAAAAATCCATTATAGGTCACTGGTGCAAACAGAGGTATTGGCTTTGAAATTTGCAAGATACTTTGCCAAAAGCTGAAAGGTACAAATGGAACAGTTATTCTGACAGGTAAATATATTTCACTTTTTTAGCAATTAGGGCCCTCTGCTGATTTGCTCTCTCGATTAGGAGCATCCTAGTTCCAGTTACCAGCTGTACTAAAGACTCTCAAACCTGTGACTTGAATACAAATAGAGGATAGTTCCTTAATTGAGGTTTTCATTCATGAGAGCAGTAGCAAAAATGCTTGTTTGTAAACAAATAATTGTTTATATGCTGAAAACGATGCACAAAGCCACACCAGATTGTTTTATCTGGGGTTGAACAATGGACAACTAATTCAAATGATGGAGGAGAGGAAAGATCATGCCCTCTAGAAAAATTGGTTAGGCTTTTATTAAAACAAACAATAAAACAGAATTCTGTCGGTAAGTGAAATATATGCCAAAAATGTGATTTAGAACAGGAATGTTCTAAGATGCTATTCCCAGGTTTTTCACTCTTAATGCTATCCTCAAGCACCTGTTCAGTCACCAGGCATCATCGAATCTTTCAAACTGAAAGATTTATTTGTTTTCCATCATATTGCAATAACAAAACTATATTATTTCTTTAAAAGCTTGATTGCAATTGAAAAGTCAAAACATTTTTGTTTTGTTCACATCTCTGAAATAGTTATTTGCAAGTTTTGGCTTTAAGCTGAAGATATCATTTTAGCGCGTAACGAGCAAGAAGGCCAGAAAGCATGCGAACGGTTAACAAATGATGGCTTCCAGGCACACTTCATGCAATTAGATGTTACATCTCGAAGATCTATACAAAATACAGCCAACAAGATCAAAGAAAAATTTAATGGCTTGGATATTCTCATAAACAATGCTGCATACATGTTTTCACCATCCAAGGTAGGAAAATTTGATTTGTCTTATATTCCCTTCCATACCTATCTACTGTGTTCAAGTAGCGTAAGATTACAGGTTGGTTGTCTTGAGTTAAAAAACTAAGAAATTTTTAACCCCATCATAGCCTTGAACAAGTCTACAGATACTGTAATGGCCAAACATAGCCATCTACAGTACTGTCATAAACATGATGAATAGTCAGCATTATCCAAAGCTCAACAACATTTTAAGACTGATCCTTGTATCATATTTCTTACAAAATTGAGTTTTCTGATGAAATTGGACATCAGATTTCTTTTTCCATTCACTGCTTTGTAACTAAATTAAAATCTAGACATTTTCAGATTTTGTGGGACGTTTGTTAATCGAAAGTTTGTTATCCAAAGTGCTTCTTGCACAACATTCATTTGTATAGCCTGGTCATGATGGTGCCAGTATCTAGCTTGTGGTATTAAGCATTTACGACATGGTCAGTTTAGTTGTTTCATTTCTTTTAAGCTCCCCCCTGGCCCTCAGGCCTCCCCCTTTGTGGTTTATTGACCGGTGTGCCTCAACCAAGACGCTTATTTCGATCGATTAACACTATTGAACACTGTAAATGTTTCTCGTGACCATAAATGTAAAGGTCTTGATAGAATAGAAAATAAATCTAATTCAAAGGCTCTAGACTCTTAGTAAACTCGATTGCAAACCGAATGTTGTTGCCGTGAATCATACAGGCTGATCTTCTTATCAAAGACGGATAGTTCGTCTGAAAAGAGAATGGGCATAGCAATATAAGGCAATCATAACCACGCCTATTTTCCAAAGAGGAGTGTAATCGACGTCGTCCTTTTGCCACTAGACCACCACTCAACTGATGTTGCAAAACAATTCTAATGAAAACAGCTAAAAAGGACATTTTTTCTGAAACGTTAGAGAACGTGCCTTTAGGTGTTCCCAGACTTCTGCGCCCTTTGCCATTTACATCCTCTTCGTTGGAAATTTGCCAGTCAAGTTGTAATTACATGTTTCCGAAAATCATTTTTGACGATTCTCTTTCTCGCTAGTCTTTTCTTGCAAAATATATATTTGACTTATTTGATCAAAATGGTTTGAGATAATAACCAGTATTCTTGTTTTTCAGAGCGAAGGCATGCCGTATGCGGAACAAGTACAGAAGACACTAGAAGCAAATTTCTTCGGTGTTCTTTATGTTTATGATGCAATGTATCCTTTACTCAGACCCAAGGCCAGGTAGCGGAAATTTTTTAGGTTGAAATCGTGCCAAAATCTTATCAGAGGCAACCCATATTTTCTTAATGCTGTTTATAAAGTAGTTATTAGAATATGTTTTTCTTAAGTCTATATATTAAATCCAGGGGCGGACTGGCTAATTTTTTTGGCCCGGGCAAATTTTGATCAAACCGGCCCACAAAAATAGCAAATAAAAAACTCCTCGGAAAATGCAAGTAAATGTTAGTCTGTAAGGAAAACAAGTTTTTAAATTCAGTACTTTTGTGCACGGATGAATGCTGGTTAACAGAACATGGTTAACAGAACATATTAAATATGTCATTTGCTGACTAAATAGTATAAACAAAAATCATTGGTTTGACTTTTTTTCTTAAAACAGCAACTTATATGTTGATAATGTGATCGTTTTGGATGTCATCTAACAGGCGTTTTTCTAAGAACATTAACATGAAGGACTCCAGGTTTGGCTGCGAAAAATTTCTACGTAATCTGTTCTTTATATATTTATTGTGGAAAAGCTTCTATCACACTCCACTTGTGACAAGTAACTTTCTAATCCTCCGGGAAACCACAATGATTTTAAGCAGCCCAAAAATATCAATTCGTCAATTTCTGACCCCAAAAAGAAAACATGGGCACCCCTGTTGAATTTTATCGTGTAGCGCCATACCCCTGTTGGGCGGAGGGTCCATTTGACTTATGATAGTATAGGCCTAATAAAATTACCATAACTTGTATGAGTTTAATGAAAGGAGCGAGAGCAAGACCCTGCTGTTTTTTGTGACGTTTGTGGCTTTTGCTTGATAAAAAAGCTTTGTATCGTAGCTGAATCCTTTTTTAAGTCTCGCAGCTTTTCCTCACGAAATTTCTGTGCACCACCTTTGGTTGAAGTCTTCTTGCTCTTCCCTTGTTCTACGTGTGTCCTCTTCATTGCTTCACATCACAGAGCAAATCGCTTAGTGAACTATAATTTTTTGAACTTTTAAATTTATTACATTTAGCAATAGCTTGTGCTTAGGGAAAAACATGACCAGCTTCAAGCAAAAGCTAAGTAAAAAGACATCAGGGCAGTGGCGTAGCGTCCGGGTATTCAAGGTATTCAGTGAATACCCTGAGATTTCTCAGAAAAAATATTAATACGACGTATATTTGTAATAACTAAAAAATGTTTTGGGGCTATTGATTCTGGTTGAATTCATTACCTTCGATATTCTACATTTTGTACAAGTACAAAATATAACGAAATTCATGGAAACAACTATAGCTACTTCATGTTGAATGGAGATCGGTCATGAATACGCAGTGAATACCCTAGACGGTACTTTAACCAATCAAAATGCTCCTTTCCATGAATAATATTTGCCGTTAATCAGCTAAAACAATGGTTTTGTACGCTGAGAAATATGCAGCGTACAGCCTCAAAGTTGGTTCAAAATAGTCTCGTTATGAGATCGATATAAACAGTTAATGGACGTCGGAGCGGTTGGAGTGATGGAGCTGCACCGAAAACAGTAAACATGACTTAATTAAAAAACTATTGCAATGTCCGTATTACTGTTTCATAATCATTCTCTCATTTGATCCCCAATCCTAATCTACCAACAGCAAAGTGGGAAGGAAAGGTAGGCTTCTACATAATACTACACTGACTCAGATCTGTGCCCTCTTGAAATGCCAATTTTGTTATTGCTTGTCAATCAGGGATGCTTCTAATTGTGTTAGGAGACGAAATTAAAGTAAATGCAGATAGGCTTCTATATAATATCTATATAGTTGCCTGGTGCATTCAGTTTGATTGTTGGCCTTTTTTTTGCATTATTCGGAGCGCATTTATTTGCATTATTGTGCAGTCTCATCTCATTACCTTCGATTCTTTCAAACATTAACTTGTATTGAAAATATCACGATTAGGCCATGAAGAAAAAGTCTAGACTGCATACCACAAGCTATTTATAACTCGTGTAATGCCTTATGTGAATAATTTTGAAACTTTTGAAAGCCCTTTTGTATTAAGGTATCAAGAGTAGGTGTTTACAGTTACTTCCTCTTTACATCGGTGCAAATTTTAGAGGATTCAACAACAACTATTGGGACATGTTTCGACCACCAAAATTTTACTGATTTTCAATGATACGTTTTGATTTGAATTACTTTTGATGAAATGGAATTTTGATGCAATGAATAAGTTCGAAGAGTATATTTGCGTTGGGTCCTTTAGCAAAGTATCGTTTTCATCATAGTAATGCCCTGACAGTGCAGTACTTGCCAACCGAACCAAAAAGATAAGTGTTAAAGTAATAGATAAAATGTCAAAAGCTAGTCCTTTTAATCTTCCTATTATCCCTCTATTTTCATCAAGCCCCGTAGAGCCACACTCTGCCCCACCCTTTTGTTTAATAGAGAATACCCAGTTGAAAAAGTCACGCTACGCCACTGCATCAGGACAGGTTAAGATCTTATGTATCGCATTGAAACTGGGGTGTTACAGTATAATATGTTGCCAAAAAAGGAAATACCGTCAAGAGAAAAAATATAACAAGATATCAATAACATATTTCCTCAATAATGAATTCATAATTTGATGGTTTTGAAGTACTAACGTGTATATTTATTCTTTCCCACAAAGTCACTGAAAACTTTTTTGCCTCGCATTGACTTTTTAAGCTAATTTATTTTTTTGCACTTTTATCAGCCGGCCCTTAAACCGACCGGCCCTTCGGGCGATCGCCCGAATAGCCCGACCAGCCAGTCCGCCCCTGATTAAATCTCAAAGAAAGACTCAATAATTCGATATCGGTGGGTTTTAATCACCAGTGCAATGTTCACTGAAAATAATTTTTTCGTAACCTCAGATTGTTATCTAATTCTTTTCACAGAGCTGTTAATGTGTCCTCGCGTCTCGGATCTGTTGATATCCTTGGAGTTCAACTGAGAAAAAAGTTTTGCAGTCGAAATATTAATCGCAATGACCTCTTAGAGCTAATGAATCAATATCTAAGGTTTGCTTCCTTTATATATTATTACAATGTAAGCTGAGGTTAAATTTTTGATTTGAAATTTTTCGTTGGTTTCATCTGTCAAAGCCCCTGCACATATTGAAAGTAGAGATTCATATTTAGAATTACTACTAGGCTCTTACCCAGAGCCAATGGGAGTGTCTGAAAAGTTGAAGGGACCTTTAAATTGGTGCGCAATTCACGTCTTTTTCCAGAAAAGATCATTCTTCTCTCTGACCATGTCAGCTCTCTCTGTTTGACCAGTCAACTGATTATGGAGAATCTATCTGACGTAAAGTTCATCATTATGCAAATACGCATGATGTTAACAACTGTACGAAGAGGCTCTTGCAAAATAAAAAGACTTTTTAATCTTCTAAAGTGAGAATTATTCAATAGAACTATCTATGCGTAGACATGGCCCAGGGCACCGGGTGGCGGGGTGGTCATGGCCTCTCCACTTTTTTATGAAGCAAATGATTTCAGAGCTGCAAGAAAATGTGAAAAAGCCTTGACCTCTACTTTTGTTAGACTTGGCCCCCACGTTAAACTTCATGGCGTTTTCCCCAGTACAACGGTTTTTGCGTTCATAAGCGCCCCATCCCCATGGTTTTGTGGGTGCCAATGTTTCAAAAACATTGAAGGAATATTGAAGCAGCTTTATTAACAGTGACAATTTCGTTTAACAAACATCTGTGGAAGGTTCTTCAACTATTTCTTTCAAAATTTTCCTTGTGCATCTCTTTAACCTACTGCCTAAATTTGAAGGTTCCCGTTTGCATCACTATTCCTTCTAATTATATTTCGTGTAAGGTAAATAATTATTTCTACTTCCGTCAGTGATGTGAAGGCTAACAAGCATGTTGGAGCTGGATGGCCCGACTATGACCCTAGCACGTGGCTGCCTGCGGGTAATGTCAATTAGAATCATTTTTTGTCTAGATTTGAGTTTTCAAGTGATAGATTTAAGCAATTAACTATGCTTCTATACTGGTTCTGCGTCTATGAAAGAAAACTGTATTTTCAATGTTTACCAGTTTCACTTTTTTAGTCAGTTTCATTTTCGTTGCTATGTGTTAAACCATTATTGACTCCTTCCCAAATCTCTGCTTTATAGAGATTTAGGTTGTCTCCTTTATGCTTCATAAACCTATAGGTAGATATAATTTCAGTTAAACACACTTTAGGTAGAAATGTAACCAGTTCATATTTCAAGAACCTCTTGTTTGCCAGAGATTGTGAGTCTTAAACTGATTTCATTTACTTTCAGCTTACAGTGTATCAAAGCTAGCCGTCACAGTATTAACCCGAATATTAGCAAATGAAAGTTCCATCCCAGGATTTATGATCAATTGTGTATGTATAATACATCCATCTTATAGAAAGATAAGCGATACAAATATTTATTCGTTCTGATAAATGCCCGGCTACTTGAGCACAAACTCCTTAAGGCTATAAATGCCCGAGTGTGTACTTAGTCGTTACACTGACGAACACTAATTTTTTGTTATGAGGAACTAAGCTCTAGATGAGCAAAATAGCAGTTTGAAGAACGTGAATGCTTTTTACAGAATCTTCAGACAAGTTATAAACGTTAGTCGAAAATTGTCTCTGTCTCAGTGGCCCCGACATGAGAACCAAACCTATATTATTTCTCCATCGCAGATACTTGACAGAGTTTGCTGTTGTTCATGTCCTTGAGCGTGTTTTTGCAGATTTTTTAACGCACTGATAAAAATTTTTAAAAGCATGAAAAGGTCATTCTAATTATTTCATTTTTCCGTAACATAAGTGAATAAACTTGGAAAAACTTCAGCTCTGTTTCTGAAAAGTAGGGTAGAACGTGCCCCTTTTCCTACATCTATGTTTCCAATATATTTTCAAAAGATTGATTTTCGAGCAGTTTTTTGAGGTAAACAGGGATCAGTTCTATGTTTTGTTATTTTTTGTATTTTTAGGGCTCTGTTCCTTATAGACTTTTTCTTATAAATCAAAGTGTATATTTTTAAGGAAATTGCGTGTCAAGTTGTTGCCTAATCCTACACTCTTTTGCAGTGCTGTCCCGGTTGGTGTAGAACAAACATTGGAGGTCCGGGTGCCCCAAAATCTGCTGAGGAAGGTAACGGATCCCGAAAAGTTGATTTTTTGTTCCAATTTTGCAACATTGCTATCGCTTTTAATATGGATCAGGAAAACTGATGGTTGTTGTGGTGACAAGGTAATATGAAAAGTGGATGGGGGCTTTTTGAATCGATAAAGTCATGTTTTTTGTTATCAGGCGAAAAGTCTAGGCTATTTTTGACACGTTTTGCTGTCGAATCCTTTAATTGTCTCTATGGGACAGCTCACCCCAAGCTTGTCACACGGAACATAATTGCCATTAAATTTGGTCGAGGTTCCGCGTTTACTGCCATTTTTTTTGCGCTTCTTCTAAAAGTGAGAGAGGTTTTGTTGGAGAATGGCATTCATTGCTTCTCTTGTTTGATAGGGGAGGAATTTTAAAGGGAAAAGTTTTTTGCTTTAAAATGATACTTTATATGAAACTAAAATTATCATCATTTGTGCTAAATCTCTCCCCTTGTATCTTTGTAAAACTACCAAACCTTGGTCTACCTGAATCCATGGTCTGCCGTATTTCAATTCTGCAAACATTCAAAATGCAGTTTTCCTTTTTTGCTCTAGGTGCAGCTGATATTGTGGACTGTGTTTTTCTTGAATCAGAAGAATGTAATGGAGCATATTTCCAAGACGGCAAACAACAACCAGACATTTTGACATGTAAATAACTACAAGAATTTTTTACAGAATTTTCAAGAATTTTGAATTTACGAATCCATATGACTGTATTCCAGCAAGTAACCCTCAGCTGGCAATGTTAGAGTTACATTTTAGTTCAGACTATAATTTTTTTTCATAGTGTAAGGAACCTGGTGGGCTTAAAGTAACCTACGAATAAAAGGCATCTGTCCCTATTAGTTGTCAACAAAATTTTCAAAATATTTCTCTTTTGTCTGGGCAAAATACAATTTCTATTCAGTCGTGAGAGGAATTAGACAAAAGATCTATTGAATCTGTATTCCAAAAGAATTCTTAGAGAGGTTGTTCAAATGTTCATATGGACTGCAGATTGTATATAAGTGCTATGTATGGAACGTTGTTACAATAAGCCTACTCTATCCTGAAGATAGTCGAGCTTTGTCTCTAGAGCATTAATCTTGTAATACAAATGTGGAAGATTTAACGCTTACTTAAGACGTTTTTGGGTTTCTGCCTTTTTCTTGCTTTCACGACCAATTCTACCACCATATGAAGGCCTCAGCACTGTTGTGATCAGCAATCTGATTTTATCTACCGAAGTTATTGTATTTAAATTTCCTTTACTTGTTCTCGTCATCATGTTTTGTGGTGTACTCAACCAGTGATCTTCAAACGCAGATCAGTAAAAATAAAAACAGCAGTTTGCTTTTTGTATGATTACCATCAAACTAAGTATTCTCACAAGAAGGCCTTAAATTCTCACTAGAATGCTTAGACTGAACTTAGAAATAGAAGGTCAATGTTACGTTCTGAAAGGATCATTTTCCACTATGTTGTCAAATTGTTTCTCAATTACCATATGCTGCCCTATGCTAGTGACTAGTGACAAGCAAAGCATTTTGAGAAATGATGAATCATTAACATGACCCTAGCTTGTTGGCATTCCTGCATTTTGCACTGCTTGGTAGACTTTTGGACTCTTGTCAATCTTAAATGCAGAATCCACCCAAGAGCTGTGTCCAGACGGAAGATTTGTAACACATACGACACAAACGTGACCTGATTCATTCAATGTTTTACGATTATTAATGTGGCCTTCATTTTTCCTTCTTCTTTCATTCAGTTGTGATGAAATTTTTCTCTTCTGTGTTTAGCCATTAGAAAATAAAAATAAACCACTTATAACTTTGAGAACTAAATATGACTTGATAGCAGTGGCGGATCCAGACTACCGCCATTACCGCTCGAGCGGTAGTCAGATTATTCAAAAAATTATAGAAACAAGGATCATTCTCATGTTTATCCTACTACTTTTATTAAACCATAATTAATTATTGAAAATATTTGATCGCGCTGCAAACCAAGCCTTTCTTCCTAGGAACATGCCCAGTGGCGGATCCAGCCAAAAATCTGACTACCGCCGAAATGAGATAGAGGGGGGTTGAGTCGGTGTAGAGCGGATTCGAGCTGCACTGAGCCGTAGTCAGCTTGCCTAAACCAATCAAATCGTCAGAAATCACTGCCAACCTGGGGGGATGCATACAAATTTTGTTGACAACCAATGAACAACCGAGTTGACTACCGCTCAGATGGGGGGTTGAAGTAGTACTGCCGCTCAACGCGGCTCAAACGTTACAGAAAGATGGGGGGATGCCTACATATTCTGCAAGTGGGCAAACTGTAACTTCAAAGCCGATGTGACCCATTATTCTGTACAATACACAACTATTCGTAGGAATATATTTTAAAAGAATATTAAATTAAAAGTCAGGCCCGCAATATTCGCCAAAATTATGATTCTTTGTTTAACAAAAGTTGCTCTCAATAATTGCAAATTTTATCTAGCTTTTTAAACTTAGTAATTTTCAACAGGTCTGATTTTCATAAGTAATTGTCCGACTAAATGCGAGTTTTAGGCGACACTTCGAAATTCTGCCAAATTGTTCTTTTTTCCTAATTCGATGGTGTTCCTCGTCTAAATGCCGTAAATTTTTTTAGAATATCCATCCTCAGAATATTGAATAAGATTATTTATTTCTTCTCAAGCTTGTTGTAAGGATACATGAAATTTCAGTAAAGCACCGCTTGTCTCTTGAAAATGGTCTACATAAGAAATTATAGAAAGCAATAATCATTTTAGAAAACCGGGTGTGACCAAGAAATGGGTGTGGTCTAAAGGGTGTGGTCAACCCTCTATCTCATTTCGGCGGTAGTCAGATTTTTGGCTGGATCCGCCACTGGATAGGCGTCAGTTTTGAAGTATGTCTTAGCGGCCCTGAATGTTTTGTATTAAAGAAATTTCACTTGATTATATCACTAGTTCTGGTAAGATACTTGGAGTCTGCGCGCAGGCTACTCAGTTGCCTTTGTTAAACAAACCAAACTGGGTCACGTGATCTATGCAAAACTGCAGAACCAATCATAGAAGAAAAACTCTTATTTTGAACAAATTTACTCAAACACTCTGTGTTGTCTAACTTTCTTACTTGTCTGCTGTATTCTTTTCTGTTTTTATGTTGATATCATGTATATTGTTCAATAAATGCTTTTTATGTTTCAGTCAATAGTTTGATCTAGGCAGCCACTTCTAGTTACCAGACATTGTTTGAGCGTTTAGTGCCAAAAAACGTATCCAGATTAAGCAACACTACACTACAGTACGCTACAGTACGCTACACTACCTATTTCATGGAATATTTGCCTCCAAAGCCTCCACAGAATATTTGCCTCCATAATGGAAGGCGGCATTTGCGCACAAGACTTTTTCACTGTCTGGCCGCTTCTGCTTTCTGTTGTGAAACAAATCTTATCAAAACAATGCCACCAGAAAACTTTGCTTTCGATTACAGGTGCAGTGATTATCTTGGAAACTGTGAAAACATTTGCATTACCGGCTTACAAATAGCCGAAAATAGGCTCTCTTCTAGGACCTAAAGGTTGCTTTGCAATTTCAAGTCTTTAGAAAAAGGTCATTGCTGTTTGAAGAGTTGAGGTGTCGGATGAGAGAGAATTGAATTTCCATTTGCATTGCACTTTTGTCGGCGTTCAAGACTGATCATGAAGCGCTGTGCTAAATCTCTTCATCATCGTCTCGAGAGAAGTCACCATTGAAGCGACCTTTGAGGCCTGCTTTGTTATCGTTTAATCAGTTGACAGACGAAGAAAATCTCGGGTTTCCCACGTCGCAAAACTGAATGCCAAGCCGCGTCCCATTCCATTGTTTCATTTCTAATCCTTCTCTTAGGTTACCGTGCGCGATGTATGCAAGCAAAAACTAAACAAGCCGTGCTTGAGCATAACACTAATCGCCAAGGAAGACTCTTCTCTCGCTTGTTAATATAAAACAGTTTCCAATACCAACCTGTTGTTACGGCCTATATTATTTTTGCTAATGGCAGGTCAAGTGCCGATGGTTTCCCTGAAGAAAGTTGTCGGGTTTGATGGCAAGTATAACGATTTAGTATTTTGCGGTGAAGATGCAATGCAACATGTGCTGTTCTTTCCAGGAGATGTACAGGTTTGTGCAACTGCTTTTAATTTCATCACTCTTTCCCATTGTATCGTTGATTTGGCAGTCATAGATTTGATCATTGCGTACCGAGAAAGGAGTGCAATAACCTTGGGGAACAATGCAACTGTGGACACTTCTGCACTGAATTTCAGAATGTGTTGTACTCAAATGCCCCCTTTTTCCTTTTGTATTTTTATAGTTACAAGGAAAATCATGCAACTTTCCCTCAGAGTGAATATGTCGTGTACCGTAAATTCGATGGAAAAAAATCTTTCTTACTAAACTTTTGAGCTTTATTGGTTAAACTTATTGTTCGAAAATTGTCCTCGTATTAAATTTTCTTTCTCCTGAATTTTTTTCTTTTAAGAAAATAGGTTCCATTGTTTAAACAATATTTTGAAATCTGGCACTTATGAATCTGTTAATAAGTCGGCAGAGCCTTCTTGTGACAAAGGCGAAACTGTTTCTGACTGGCAGGAATTTCCTTCCCTGCAGACTTTTCAAATCCTCGTCGCATTGTTCCAAGAAATCTGCGAGCGAAACAACCGCAGTATCCTCGTACTAATGCCAAAACAGCATATAAATCCTAGTAATCCAAACACTTGAATTGATCAATGCGTGTGATTACTTTCAACAACGTGCTATCGTCTCATGACCAAAACTGACGTAGAAGACCTAAACTGGTTTGATTGTTGTTATGTTTAGGGAACCATTCCTGCTAATATTAAAGTAAAGTTCGATAGATTCTCCAAATACCTCCCCCAAATGCAGGCAAATATCTTAGAAAATAATGGTAATTCAGTGTGAGACCTGCTTATATAAAGCCTTATTTTTCTCCATTTTTGTAGAATTACGTTGAGGAGATGGAGAAAATAAAAGAAAACAAAGCTTGGAGCGATTGGGATCTAGAGTCAACTGCTCAGCTTCTTTCCAAAAGATTCCCTAAAAGCTTCATTTGGGTTGTTCGATCTGCACTCTACGACCGCAATACGTTTGCTTGTTATTCAAATTTTATCGAAATGGATGCTTGTGGAACACCAGTTTTCGAGAGAGCAGACTCTACAGCCCTTTCGCATTTGAAATGCCTTCTAGATTCTGCAGTGAGGAAAGGTATTGAATACGTTTTGATATCTCATATACATTTTTATTAAAGGAATATAAAAGTTGATCGCTTAGTTTCTGAGACCAATTTTGCTCAAAAAGCTTTTTCAGTCGCCTGTTAGTAATGGATTATTAAATGTAAAAAAATGAGATTTTATTGGACGGAGGACATCGACTTTAATTTAGAAAACTTTCCTGCCAAAATGGTTAATTTTCGGGCCTGAAAGTTATACATGGACGTATTACGTTGTCAATTAAATGAATCTTTTGATGGTATTTGTGTTTTTGTTTAGTTCTAGATCTTAGCCCAGAGGAGGAAGACGTAACTGCAGAATTTCCCATCGTTATCGTTGGCTTCAGCAAAGGCTGCATGGTCTTAAACCAGCTTGCCTACGAGTTACCGAGAATTTCCATATCCGAAGATAGCACTCTCAGTGATTTTGTGGCTCGATTTGATTCGATGTATTTCCTCGATGCAGGCAACGGTGGACAAGCAAACGCATACGTAACCGACGAGGACGTGTTGTTTCATTTAGCACAAAACGTTCCGAAAATCCGTGTGCATGTAACGCCGTATCAAATGAAGGATGAAAGTAGGCCCTGGATCGAGAAAGAGAAAAGGAAATTTGTTGCACAGTTAAAATCATTAGGTATCGACATAAAAGAGAAGGTTCATTTTGCTGATAAAAAACCTTCCTTAGCAAATCATTTCAGAATTTTGACAGATTTTAAATTGCCTCTATTATCTTAATTCGTATAATAATGTATTGTTTTGAAGCTATTTGCCAGTTTTTGAGAGGGTATTGCTTACATATATCGAAGAGCACAAGCTGTTATATTCAGTAAATCGTTTGCTTCCTTTGATATGAGTTGTTAACTAATAAAAATTAGCCAGGTTATTAACAATTTTCTTGTATTTGTGCCTTTTTCTCCTTAGACTTGAGAGGGCATTAACTACTTTGTATACATAACTTGCCAAACGAGAGAATTTTTTCATACCCAGCGTAGAGCTAGGAGGACTCAGTTGGTGGAGCAATTGTAAATGTAGGAAAGTAGCTCTATTCTATGTCGTGCTATTGTTGTCAGGTATCTTATTTTCGAGGGGTCCCTTTGTTATTTTTAAAGAATTATAAAAGCATATGTCGTCAGTTTGCAACCTGAAAAAATGAATGAGCCCGAAATATACCCTGAAATGCAGTATGTCATCCTACGCAAATAGCTTGGAGTTTCATCTCTAGTTTTCAGTGATAGCTATTCCAGGAATATACTTATCGTAATATTTTCATTCCGAGCTCATGCTTGATTACTTGATATGAAACACAAGTAGATGGTATGCTATCAGTGATAGGGAAGCGTTGCTAAAATGTCTTCAAGACCGCATTATCTCTTTGGAGCAGCAGCTGTTTGACAAACAGAAAATTATTGAAGGTCTGTTGGAAGGGCCTAGATTTGAAGTCAAAACAATTGATGGAAGCAAAAGCTGTCTTGACAACGAAATGAGACCTTCTCCCAGCGGAATACAGAAATTGGCAGGAAAAAGTGAAGCACATGTGAGTCCAATAATAACAAGGAGCCTGACAAAGAAGGCAGAAACTGAAAGAAAACAAGCCAAAGATATTTATGGGCATGACAAGATATCCCAAAGGCCCAGGTACAAAGTTAAAACACCAAAAGTTGCATATTCCCAAGTATCAAAGGACGTTGCAAAATCTGCAAGCAGAAATCCCTTAGCGTGGCAAAATCGCTTTGCCCTTCTGTCAAGCGATGATGAGTCAAGCGATTTGGAAACATCCAAAAACCATACTCAAACTCGCAGTACGGAAGCCAGCGAAGTGCAAACAGCAAAAGAGAGAAGAACAACAAAGAAAATCCAAAGGAGAGCGGAGAACAAAAGGAACAAGAAGAATATCCTTATTATTGGCGACTCCATACTTAAGCACTTGGATGGGAGAAAATTGAAAGGATCTCTGCGAAATGGGCAGAATGTCTATGTCAAATCTTTCAGCGGAGCAAATGTTGAAGACATGGCAGATTACTCAAAACCACCAATGAAAAAAAACCCAGACATTGTCGTTCTTCATGGTGGGACCAACTCGCTGGGAACAAACAAGCCAGCTGATGAAATTGCATCTGAAATCTGTGATCTGGCAGCTGATTTAAGAAACGGAGCAAATGAAGTTGTTGTATCAGCTATTATATCTCGAGGTGACGATTCAACGTTAAATACAAAAGCAAAAACTGTAAACGAAAAATTGAAAACCCTGTGCGGAGAAAATAGTTTAGATCTCATCGAGCATCAAAACATCGATACAACTAAGCACCTAAATGGAAGTGCTTTGCACCTCAATAGAATGGGCACAGTCCTTCTTGCCAATAACCTTATTAAATATCTCAAAGCTCAGTGACGTGATGATGGGACTCATACAGCTAAGTACATTTGTCCTAATTTAGAAAATCAAAATACCAATGAAATTGCTAGTTCTGATACCGAAGATATTAACCCCCTTGCCAATCTATCAACTATTAGGAACAAAAACAAGAGAGGCCTAATTGTGGCACATCTAAATATAAACTCAATCCGAAACAAAATAGAGGATCTCAAAACCCTGATTGCAAAAAATGTTGACATCCTCGCAGTTTCTGAAACCAAATTAGACGAATCCTTTCCTACTAATCAGTTTTTAATTGATGGTTTCAAAAAACCCTTCCGTTATGATAGAAATACAAACGGTGGTGGGATTCTGGTTTATATCAGAGAAAAAGTTCCAGCAAATGAAATTAAACTGGTGAACATCGCCAATTCAATTGAATGTGTATTAACTGAAATTAATGTGGGCAAGAAAAAATGGGCATTGATCAGTACCTACCGCCCCCCTTCTCAATGTGAAAAATTTTTCTTCGCAGAGATGGGCAAAGTGCTTGACCAACTTACACCTCGATACGAAAACTTCGTCATTATTGGAGATTTAAATTCGGAAGAGAAAAATTATGAAATTAGCAATTTCATGGATATCTATGGATTAAAAAATCTAATAAAAAGTCCCACTTGTTATAAATCTGCTGACAATCCCTCTTCCATTGATATGTTTCTAACGAATAAAACCTCTGGTTTTCAAAACACTACGACAATAGAAGTGGGATTGTCTGATTTTCATCTAATGATACTAACAGTGTTAAAGAGTGGTTTTGTAAAAAGAGGTCCAAGGATTGTGACATACCGAGACTACAGTAAATTTGATCCTATAAAGTTTCGCAGTGACCTTAGAAGCAATCTAGCTAAGAGCAGCGAAGCATACTCTGAATATGAAAATTTTAATTCTGTAGTCGAAGAAGTTCTGAATAACCATGTACCTCTAAAACAGAAATATTTACGCGCAAATGATGCACCCTTCATGACGAAAACTTTAAGAAAGGCAATTATGCTCCGTTCACAGTTACGTAACAGATTAAACAGGCATAATACTTCTGAAAACTGGAACGCTTTTAAAAAGCAAAGAAATAGGTGTGTGAAAATTCTGCGACAAGCAAAAACATCATATTATGGTAACCTTGATATAAATTCTGTCACTGACAATAAAAAGTTCTGGAAAACTGTAAAACCACTTTTTACTGACAAGGTACAAACCTCTTCAAGTATTACGCTTATCGAAAATGAAAAGTTTATTACGAATGACAGTGAAATAGCTGAGATCCTTAATGAATTTTTTACAAATATCACAAAGACAATTGACATTGCCCCTGGTGAATGCATTCTCAATTCGACAGACCATTTGCTGGATCCTGTTGAAATTGCTGTTGAAAAATATAAACATCATCCCAGCATCCGCAAGATTAAGGATAAGGTAAACCATGGCACATTCTTCGAATTCAAACCAATTACAATGCAGGCAGTCAATGATGAATTATTGAGACTAAATACAAAAAAAGCGTCTACAATTGAAAGTATTCCTCCGCGGATACTGAAAGAAAACGAAGACATTTTTGCACCATTACTGACGACAATTTTCAATAATTCATTGCTCCAGAAAACGTTTCCTGAAGATCTTAAATTAGGAGACATAACTCCACTATTCAAAAGTGACAAAACTACAGAAAAACGAAACTATCGACCTATCACCGTTCTATCCGCATTATCAAAGGTCTTTGAACGGCTTCTATATGCTCAGATGGTCGACTTCGCGGATACGTTCCTAGTTCCCTACTTATGTGGTTTTCGGAAAGGTTTCAACACACAGCATGCGCTGTTGAGATTAATGGATATCTGCAAGAATTCCCTAGATAAAAAAGGGGTGGTTGGTGCCTTGCTAATGGATCTCTCAAAAGCGTTTGATTGCATAGACCATGAGCTATTAATTGCGAAATTAAATGCCTATGGTTTTTGTAAAGATGCTCAATTATTGATTTATAATTACCTGTCCGGTAGAAGACAAAGGGTAAAATTAAATGGTTCATTCAGCACTTGGCGAGAAACCTTTGCAGGTGTACCACAAGGATCAGTCCTTGGGCCTCTTCTCTTTAATTTATATATTAATGATTTATTCTTAATGGTAACTGATACTGCAGTATGTAACTTTGCTGATGATACTACGATTTTTGCAGCTGACTGTCAATTAGATAAAGTTTTAGAACGGCTAGAAACTGATGCTCTTATTTTATCAAAATGGTTTCCAGAAAACTTTATGAAATTGAATGCAGGGAAATGTCATCTTCTTACTTTTGGAACAAATCAAGATGACTTTAAGATCAAAATCGGTGAGGCCATTGTTGAAGAAAGCTCTGAAGAAAAACTGCTAGGGGTGATAATAGATAAAAATCTTAATTTCAAAAGTCACGTCTCAAATTTATGCAAAAGAGCCAGCCAAAAACTGCATGCTCTTGCTAGAGTTTCGCCATTTATGGGTTCTGATAAACTGCGTCTCCTAATGAACAGCTTCATAAAAGCTCAGTTTAGTTACTGCCCCCTAATTTGGATGTTCCATGACAGATGTCTGAATGCTAAAGTAAATAAAATCCACGAAAGAGCACTCAGAATTGTTTATAAAGACAGTCATGCTGACTACGAAGCATTGCTGACTTTGGATAATGCAGTATCAATTCACCAACGCAATCTACAGTACTTGATGATAGAAATATACAAAACCAAACATAACCTGAACCCTAGTTTCATGAGTGAGATTTTTGAAACAAGAAATGTACATTATGACTTGCGAACTAAAAATAATCTTTGCATTCCAAAAGCCAGGACAACTTCTTATGGTATAGAAACTGTGAGATATTTAGGTCAAAAACTGTGGCAAACACTACCTCACAGTATAAGAGAGTCCCAATCATTGGCAACATTTAAAAAAGAATTAAGAGCACACCCTATAGAATGCGACTGTAGATTGTGTAAAAAAATTTATTGCTGGGTTAGGTTTTATTTAGAACATTATACCTTAAACCTTTTTAATATTGTATCATATATTTTTATTTCATACTAACTCTTTATAGATAGTTGGCCTTAATTAGCTTCTTTATAGCTATCAACCGTTCATTTAGTACGCCAAATTTAAACAAATTATTTATTATTATTATTATTATTATCACATTTTCTGTAATTGTTTGTGAACGGAGAGGTATTTAAAGTGATCTGTCGTTCTCTTTTATTGCAAAACCTAGAAGAAATGCAATTGCAAAGAATTTTACATGATTTTTCAGTCACATCTTTCTCGCAGTGTCGAATAGACTTTTGAGCTAGTTCCTACATAGATACGCACATCAATTATTGGTAAAGTTAGGCTATAGTGTGTGAAAGTGCAAGCAGGGCTGTCGCTAGCTAGTGTGCTTGAGGAGGAGAAGGGTGTCCAGGTCCCATTTGCTTACAAGTTGTGGGGGATCAAGTGAATGATCCTGTGCTGTATTAACGTTTCGTCCCTCGAACAGAGGCGAAAATCCAAATAGGCTCCTGTTTCTCCGCGCGTCAGGGTCGGAAACAATACTGCAACTCGCCGAGTAATGTTTTTGTCGGGTGTTTTCAGGTTGGTTGTTTTCAGCGATGAGAGTTGCCACGGTTGGTTGAGATCTGCGAAAAGCAAAATTCTTAGTATTATTGTCACCGCGCGGTTCCTTGCTTCGATGGGTGTCTGCGATGGTCGCGAGAAAACATTTCTCTCGAAGTGTTAGCTCTTCTCCAAATTGTTCTAGCAATCCAATAACATCCCATTCATCTCAGAGTTTTCTGCTAATGAGCAATGGCAATTCTTGAGGTAGTTGGACATTATTACAGCGATAAAACAGCACTATAGCTATCATTTGAAACTCCAATCGATTTCAAGCTGCGAGTTGCCGATTCCGAGTCGCCAATCATACAACGATCGCAAACCTCGTAAATTCTCATTCGAGATAATTTTTGGCAAATCCAGGTAGGATTTCCATCGAATATTGTTAATAATAATTTCGGTAACTTCACTTTGAATGTAGCGTGCGCTCTTAACCTGAAACATTTTAGTTTGTGTTTTTTATGTTCCGTTTCATCGTGAATTGCTTTGATTCGGCATAATATATCTTCGATTTCTTCTTCGAGTTCACTTCTTTCCAAAATTTCTCATTCGATATCCTGATCATCATATAAATCTTCGATTTCGTCGTCTAAAGACTCGATTGTTTCTCTTTTCTTTTCTATTGTGGTACGTAGTGACTCGAGTTTCACTCTAACCGCGCGCGGTGCGGTTTCTTCATCGGGCGGTGGCAGTAATTATTTTGCTTTCGCGATAGTATTTTTAATCACTAATCGATGACCACTTCTCTTCTTGATTTTCTTCTTTAAAGCTTCTTGCTCCGCCATTTGTTAATACAAATAACGGGTCACGGCACCATAATATGGGGGATCAAGTGAATGATCCTGCGCTGTGTTAACGTTTCGTCTCTCAAATAGAGGCGAAACTCCAGAAAGGTTCCTGGTTCTTGTTATGTTAAGTATATTAAAATACAGCGAAAAGAATCCTAGTGCGGCGAAATTTACATTGAACTAAAATATTCCATGACCGAATTATAAGCGTTAAGTGTCCAACCTCGAGTCGTGTCGACTTCTTCTCTTTCTTTTGATGCGTTGAATTGGATGTCACCAAGCGCGTGACATAATCGATTTTCTTCACAAGTGGGGGCGCCAACCTTGAGATATCGGCAGGTTTGAGAATTTACCAACGTAGCACCTCGTGATGGCAAAAACTCCGCGTTTTAAACATCCCACGCCTCCCCGAGAGGTGAGGCACTTAAGCCAGCGTCCAAATTTTATAATCAAGTGATTCGGGTGAAAGAGGGTTTACCAAGCTTCTATTTGTGGACCTTTCGTAAAATATTTTTTAGAAAGAGAAGGCAACGCTTGAATTGGATTTCGTTCAATAACTGGATCATTGTTTTTTATCTCAGCTCTCATAACCAAGAAATTAACAGAGGAATTTGAACAAAAATTATTTTACTAGTAGAAATTTAAAAGATATAGTTAGATCTAATCTACATCAGGGGCGTTGTAGCTAGGCGGGACACCGGAAAATTTCCCGGTAGGTCCCTTTAAAATGAGTTTGTAAAATCCCGGAAAATATTCAATGTGAATAAAATCTTCAGTGAGAAAACCTCTCACGTACATGTAGACTCAAGTTCACAGTTTAAAATTAGAGGAGGTCAACATATACAAAAATACCCCTGCGAAAGAGATGCGTGGAATTTGAACAGGGCCGCCGAGAGGGGGATAAGAAGGGGCAAACAGCTCGAGGTTTAAAGGGCATCTTAAAGCAAAGAACTCAGATTTAAGCGCTGAACGTTAAACGAAACGCAAAAAAATTTAAAACGTGGTAAACGACTGGAAAACATTCTGAAATGTTGTTAAAGCTATGAAAATTTGGAGGGCATGGCCGCAAAATTTTCTGCTCGCCGTGCACGTAAGTGCTCTGTCACGTTTGTGTTAAGTATGTACTTCGGCATTGAATTTGTTTCGCATTTTTCCAGTCTTAAAGATATTATGGTTAGAGAAAAGGCGATACACCACAACAAATATAGCAGACGGACCTTTAAAGATGATAAAAACTAGCGTTTTTGTAATTTTTCATTGGTGCATGGATTCCGGGTACGTACCATTTTTGGCGACCTGTGGTTTATGATTGGAGATGAAGAGCGCCTTGTCTGTTAGAGAGAGGACTAACAGATCAGAAGGAGATGAAGATTGGAGATGTTTGTACTCCTTTCTATCTGGGGTTCATTGACAGGGGGGAGGGTGCTCGTCAACAAGCGTACGTTTATATACAAGGGGGGAGAGGGCTGATGGAGTTTAAGAACGTACGCAAAATTTATTAGTGCTATTATGGGTTGTGGTGCAGATCATTTGCCCAATGTGGCTAAAATACTAGTTACAAATTCGTCACCACAATTATGGTCGTTTATTATGGACTTTAGTGTAAACATTCACGTATTATCTTTAGCATGACTGTTTTCATAACAAAAACATTCCCTTTAAAATTCATTGATGCAGTGTATTCGGCAGACTGATGTCCGTATGGTCTTGTCAAATTGCAATGGGGGGGGGTCAACTCAAAGAGTACCTACACAGAAGGGATGGGGGTCGCCAAAGAATTACGACTGCGTACAAGTGGGAGAGAGGGGTTAAAAATGTGTAAAATGTTGCGAACGTACTGTGTGAATGACCCCCACTCGTCAGTGATGACCCCCTTCTCGTGGCCTCGAGTGCAGGTTTTTGAGCAGCTGCAACAACACTTGGGAACGTTTACTGGAGTGGCCTAACATTTGTCTTGTCAGTAAACGGTTGCCTTTTGTCAGGAAAAACATTTTTAGACAATGACATCAAAAGAAAAAGCAGAAAACATCAGCAAGAAGTCTGATCTAGGGCTATTAGAAGAAGATGATGATTTCGAAGAATTCCCTGCTGAAGGTATTAGAATATTAGTTGCTACGTTTTTTTTGGCCATTTTCAATCGAGGTCTCTGGGAGTGCTGGGGTTTCTCTAGAATTGTTTTCAATCTTAGACATAAAATACCCTTTAAATCCACCATACATAAATTACAGGAGGAAAATCCACATTTACTGCATTTCGAACTTTTCAGGGCAAAAACATTTTATTTGTACTACAAATGCGCAGTTTGAATTCCTTGTAGTTTTGCTATGGCATCAAACTCGCGTGGGTAACTCTTATGTGTAGCTGAACATGGTCGTGCTGCCCATATGAAAGGGTTGGAAACTTCAAAATCCTAATCTCATATATATATGCATTGGTTCCCACCCATAGAAATTAGTTAGCTCTACTGCGCCAAGACACTTGAATTGTTATCCATAGAAGTATTACTTTAAATATTAGAGATAAAATTTGTTTGCTACGTGATGTGATACGTCAGTTGTAGTTTGTTGTTTTTCAGTCTTTTCCATGCTACTTGAAACATTGATTTCATAAACCTTAAAATTAAAACAGAATAGGCATGGGTGAGCATTTTGCTATATTGTGGTGGACCATCCCAATCATTCTTTGGTTCAAGTTACCCCAAGGATCAAAATACACTTCATGCAAAGTACATTCCTTTTTCCATGACCAAAACTTTCTTGAGGTGCAATTGAAGAGAACCTAAAGTTTTGTTCCTTGAATTTGCTAAGTAACTGTGAGTGTGTGCAGGTTTTCCAAGTTGGCTTTCAAGAAAAGAAGATCAACAAAGTGCCAATAGTTTTCTAGTTCATTTGGTAGACAAATTGTCTTTTCCAAATATTAAGCTTTGTGTTGGTACAAATCCAGTTGAACAAGTTTAGTTTCACATCAAGTTGTAACCAATTGAAGTAAATGGATAATCAGTCCTGGTAGTATAAAATTTGTCGGCATGCTGGTAATCACACACCTTGAAAAGTTTAGGTGTAATTGTTCAATTATACGACCCACCATTTATCCAGACTTCGATTGGTTTCAGTTTTGTATAAATGACAAATATGTCTGATGTAATTTTTGAAAGCAAACTTTAATTTTATTTTTGCCAATGATTGATATCAAGTAAATTTTGTATTGAAGATGTTACCTAGAAACTGTGAGTTTTGGACTGAAAAGACAATAAGGTTGATGCATCCTGTTTTTCCTTCCATTATTGGTTGACACATGTTTACTCCAGTGAAATATGCTGACTACTTCACAAAGATGTGATATATCCACCATCTTTTTCATCTCAGTAATGATTTCAATGAAATATCTCACCATATTTCACTATCCATCACATGTCAAATGTGTTATCCAGTGTAATATGTCAACTAATTGCCCAAAATGTAATATAGCAACCAATAGCTTAATATTTAGTAATGATAAAAAAAAATTCCAATTTTCATTCACTGTCAAGCAAGTTTTCCAGTGTAATAAGCCAACCTATTTCACAGAATTTCTCACAAATTAGAGTGGCATATTTTCACCCTTGTTTCCCAGTGCAAACCACCACAGCATTAATTTTTGTCACTTAGCAGAGAGATCCTCACTACTGCCCAATTCATGCAAGTTGATAACTAGACTCAATAATGAGAATGTTGGCATCCAAATTCAGGTATCTGGAACTTCTGCTGGAATTCACAGCCTGATAAGAACCATTTGACTTGAAATTTTTGATTGTCAAATTAATTTTCTTTCATTTCTTACATTAATTTAGTTAAATGTCTAGACAGTTAATATCTGGGGTTTTTTCTTTCTTTCTTTAAAGTTGGTACAATTTCTAGCTATGCATACTCAAGCTAATTAAAACCAACTAATTTAAATTACCAACACTAAATATAATGTAAATCAAATATAACCGATGTTGCTAATGTATTCCTTGCAAAGATTTCAAGTACAATTAAACGAATGTAAATTCTGAGATTTTTTCTTGAATATTTGTAAAGTAGGGCAGTACTTTATCTCGTTTGAAGCTGAGTTCCATATTTGGCTACATCTGTATGATAAGGTATCTATATATTTTGTAATGTGGCTCTGCTGTTTTGAATTGGGAGTTTCTTGAGTAATATGGGCATTCATTTATGGAAAATATTTCATCCATAAAAGGTGGATTCTAACTGTTGAATGTTTTGTAAGTTTCTCTTGCCAGATATTGTAAATTTTTCTTGTGAGAAGTTATTGTTTTATTCTTTAATAAAAGTTGTTCAAAAGTTGATTCCTAACCATCATGAGCTATTCTCATTGCTCTTTCATGAATCCGGTTTATCCCGCTATTACTTTTCCGACTACAAAACATCCAAATAAGAGGACAATAATTAAAATATGGTAATATGAGAATGTTTTCATTAAAAGAATTTGCTCAGATTCGTCCATATACAAAGCAATTCTGGCTAGAGCGTTTACCTTTTTCCAAGCTTCTTTACAAAAAACTTTAATATGTTCTTCTAATCTAAGTTAATGGTCTAGTGTTGCTCCCAAAAGTTTAACATTCTTACTTTCTATTATAGTAAAACCATTTATTTGAATTTTAGATACCTTTAAATTAGATCAATTGGCTTTAAATGTTATAAGCTTGCTTTTATCGCCATTGAACACCAAAAATCTTTCATAAAACCATTTATTAAGAATAGCGGCTTCCGATTCTAAGTCGTCAGTTAGTTCATTCATATCAGTACTTGACAGCCAAATTGTATTATCATCTGCATAGTTGCATAAGTTGCTTTTGTTCAAATGCAGAAAAAAATCGTTTATGTAAATATTGAAAAGGAACAGGGCTAATCATTAAAATCTGAGTTTATTTTTATTCGTTGTACTCTTTTATCCAGATAACTATACGTAAATTTCATTGCATTGTCGCTGAAGCCATAAGATTTCAATTTGGCTAGTAGAGCTATATGGGGTAAACAATCAAATGATTTTAGCACTGCACCAGCCACATTTTTTTTATCCAGGTACTTTTTCAAGCCTTCAATAAGTTGTAATAAAGCGTGTTGTGTGCTATAAAACTTCTCTGAATCCACAAAGCAAAGGAAACAGTTTAACACTCTTGTAATGGTAGATTTGATTGAACATGTGAGTGAACCTCAAATATCTTTGAAGCTAGGGGAGCACACTTATTGGTCTATAATTCTCTTTACTAGTTGAATCTCCTTTTTTGAAAATAGGGCACACATTAGCCATTTTCATAAGAAAGGGAAATATTTTATCAGAAAAAAAAAGCAGCTAGTGGTCCAGAGACAGTGTCTGTTGCAATTTTAAGAACTTTTGGAGGGATGTTATCGGCTCCTGTTTATTTGTCTTCCTCTAGGTTGTAAATCAGCTCTCTTACCTCCTTGGAAGTTACATTTTCAAAGTTAAACTTGGGAAATTGATTTTTAAAATACTACAGCAAGGCACTCTGTTTTTGTATATGTGAATATGTCAGAACTTGATCCCAGAATACAATCAGACTTCAAATTCGGTTGATCTAATGTAAATGTTTCCCAAATTATTTTACTTGAATGTTGCTGAGAAGCAGGGAACCAAGCTGTTGGGACAGCTAAAATTACAGGTTTAGTTTATGACATTAAATCACACTACATAACGCAAGGAAGTGAAATTTCCTTTACTGACCTTTTGATTTAGTCAAGAGGGTTAGATCATGTTCGATTCTTGAAATAAATGAATTCAACTGTCTGAAGGCATCCTTCAACTTTCAAATTTTCCTCATACACAGCAAGGTCTGATTAAATTTGATGAGTAGATTTCAACTAGATCTGATCATGTAAGAGAGACTTTAGCAATTTACTATCATTTTATTATAACTGTGAAACCTAAGTGTAGCACATTTTTTTAGAGTGGAAAGCTGCTGATGAAGATGAAGAAGATGCGAAGCTCTGGGAAGATGATTGGGATGATGATAATGTTGATGATGACTTTTCAAAGCAGTTGAGGTAGCAGCTAATTTATTGATTTTTTTAGAGTTATGACCAGTGAAACAGTGTGAAGGAAAAGGTCAAATACCACCATAGATGTAAATCTAAGCTGCAAAAATATATTTCCAATAGCATTGGCCATTGCCATGTTTTGTAGTTAAGTCCTGTCTACTGTCAATTTTTTCATTGGAGAAGAGCTTTAGTGATTGCTTTCTATAGAAATGAGACTTAAATCTTTTCAACATCTGCAGAGATCAAGGGTGGTTGATTCACTTATGTTAAATGTGCAATGTCTTTTTAACAATTCAGTGAAATAATCAACAAAGATTTCATCCACTAGTGTTGATTGGCCACAAAGGCAATTTTCTGCTGTGCTTCATTTGCAATTTTTCTGCCCACAAAGTGCACAATAGAGGTAGAATGCTTGGCAGTATGCAAGATAAAATGGAAGTTTTAACTCTTGATCATCAATTTAGGGGGAGGGCACATAGAGTGGTTTAGGTTATCAATTATGTACATAATATACTGTATTCTCTCTAATGATCATCCCCTCTCCAATAAGTGCCCCCTATTGTGAGCAAATTTAATGAGCATGCCCTCTACAATGAGCGCCTCCTGAGTATCATTAAGACAGATGGAGACCAGCATATCATCACAAGTCATCAGTTAATTAAAACCTATTCAAAAAAGCCTAGGCTGTTTAAGTTGGAGCTCCAGTATTTATGCAAAACTGCCAGTGCTCAGACTCTGAAGAAACTGACATCATGTAAATATTTTGCCTATGAAAAGTGTGATTTGTATAGAATATTAATTTTATAAAGTCAACTGTCATTTGTATTTTCAAAAACTCCTTATATGTATTTTAAAATGAGCACCCCTGGCACTCATTAGAGTGAAAACTATTTATACATTACTAAACATGGAAAGACTTTGGACGGGTCTCCTGCCTTTCCCTTTGCAACATCTGCTTGGCTAATGTTTTATAGAAATGAAGACCAATTCCAGTGAAAAGAGAAAAATAGATAAAAAATAAAAATGAGTAGCACATGATATCATGAACACTTTCATGTTAAATTGATTATAGAAAATAAATAAAGGATACAAGGAAATATAAAATATAGTTATAGAAAATCAACATTTTGTTTATCTTGTATTGGCACATTCTTTATTGGCATTGGGATGGGGATGAATAGAAGATCCCAACTAAGCTTGGTATGTGTTAATCAGTTTGAGGAAGAATAAATTTTTTCATTCAGGGCTGAACTTGAGAAGCATGGTCATATAAAATCATGAAAGGAGATGTGAATGACAATGGAACCACCAAGACACAAAGTAAACCAACCAAGTTCATGATATGACGTACACAGGAACGATATTAATGGTGACTGAGTACATTTGTTTTCCTGTTCTTTTGAGACAAAGACATTATCCAAGCTTTTGTTTTCTCCTAACTGTTGCATGTAATATAAATTAGAAAACTTTAAAATGGCTGTTGCCCAAAAAAGATCTTCATTGATCGCAAGATTACTCGTTTTTGTTACTGTTTTTGTTACTTTTAAATTTAAACTGACCAGTAATATTTAAAGCGGATTGAAATTTAAAATGGAGGAACCACAGAGTAGACAAATTCAGTTATCTGTTTTCACCAACACATCTTTCAAGAGAGTGCTTTGGAACAAGGCTCCCGAACCTTCTTTTTGCCTGGCCTCTGTAATATTTCCTGCATTCAAGCTGCTACTAGCTTTATGCTTGAAAGAGTAGCAAATTTATATCTGTTCATCCAAACTTTCTTCGGAAATTTGCTGTTTGCATAATTTGAATACAGCGTCTAAGTTGATTGCTCAACGTGTAAACAGTTGTTGTCTACCGCCTTCATCCAATTTTCAAACAACGGCATATGACGCAACTTATAAGCAACAAGCCTAGACAGCTTTTTCCATTTCTTTACCGCTGTTTAACAAGGAAACAGTTTTTTCAAGTAGTAAATAGCGAATAGAGCTGCATGTGACAAACGATTTGTCAAGGAAATATTTCGTTAGTTTCCATTTTATTTCATTTAAAGGTAATGTGTCCATATAAAAGGACTGCGTATACCCAACTTGTCAAGCCACTCATTAAAATAACAGCTAGTGATTGGTTAGTATTCTTGCGATGCAAAACTGCTCACATGAAAGCTAACCTCGCAGCAAGGTAAATAAACAGAACGACCGTAATGGCTGGGGCGATGATATGAAAAATCATATGTTCCTGAAAACTCCCGCAGAGCCACTTGCTTTAGCTGGACACATTACCTAATAACAGCTTTTGTTCAGATCAGGCAGAGTGTTTTGGGTCCTATGTCGCTTGAGGGAGGTCGCTATTATGCAAGCTCCCAGAAGGCACTCATTTCGATTTATCTCTAAACAAAACGTTCATTTGATAGCCTGTTTTTTCAGCGCTGAGTGACCAGAACTCATGTAAAAAGCATCAACACGGAAGTCCCTGCAATATATTGGTTTATTCAACAGAATACTCGCGTGTGAATGCGAAAAAAATCTGCACCCCTTTTTATGGAAAACAAACAAATATGTGCTATTAACTGATATAATATAAAGCCATAAGTACATAAATAATTTCAATAGTTTTGGTTCCGTTTTTGCTAAAATCTTTTTTGGTCGTGATAAAATTTCTTGTGCTTGAAATCTAGCCTGATTGTTTATTTTGTAGAATCAAACTGCATGTTCTTAGCTCCCAAATACTCTCCAAATTGCATTATAGCCTCTTAAATGTATCTGAAATATCAAAGTTTCGATTTTTTTCTCTCGTGATAAGCATAAAAAAATTTTTCTCTGGGAATGTCCCGTTGCGTTGGGGGCTCACTGGGACTTTCCCTTGAAATAGGGAAATTTACCTAGCCCTTGTGTTTTGACCGTCAAGCCTCCTGGGAGACATAATATATAATTTTGTGGTACTTTGTAGATGATATGGTGCGTTTGAAATTTAAACGCTGTTTAGCTAAACATTTTAAAGTGAAAATGCAAGAAAGTTAACAGGAAAAAGAAATTTCTCACAATATGACCAAGATATATTTTTCATAACTCTTGCCTGAATGAAACAGCACTTGTTTGGGGTTCTCCTTGTGGTATTTCCAAACTTAATGCAGACTCTGACTTAATACTTTCTTCCTTGAAACTTTTTCTTACAAACTTTCAGTATGTAGAAAGGATGATTCATAGGTTCTTAGAGAGACAGTCGTTTGTCTAATTTTTGTGCTAGTTGGCAAAATTTGAAAATGTTAAATCGTAAAGATGTAATATTTTAAGACGATGACGTGCATTTTAAGTCACAGCGATGGAACTTCCTGTTCCTGGAACTCACCAGCACTCTTCCTTTCTTGTTCTTGAGCAGTCACATGAAGGTCATAAGAACCACCGACTCAGAAAGTATTTAAGCGAAGGATTTCTGGAAAAACCCAGTTTAAGCTGCGGCCATTGGAAAAGGTAGTAACGAATTTAAAACTAGCAACGATGATCTGGATTCCTATCGGTAAGTAAAATTGTTATATACCTCCTCAATGAGGCTGCTTCCTATTATTTATGACAAGATTATACTCTTCTTTGACGTATATCTCTTGATATTTTAGTTTATATAATCAGTGACCAACCGATGTTTGTATGGCCTAGGGTTACATTTACATATTAATATTATTCTGTCACATTTTCCTATCATACCTTCGGCTCAGGGTTGCTCGTGATCTTCAGGCCCCGCAAATGTCAGCGAATGCAAGCTTAATAACCTCTTATTAGTGACATAGATCGGAATATTCATAGGAGGGGCGAAGAACTTAAATTTTCTGACAAAAAATCTAATAAGCATATTTTTTCATTTATTTGGGCATAACATAACGACATCAAAACTGAAATAGAAAAATTTTCCGATATGTTTAGACATTTTCATATTATATTCAGCTTTGAAATTCCTCTCAAAATGTAACATTTAGATAAAAGATAACCAGGTTAGAAATTTTTTCGACAAAACAACATTTTAGCTTTACAAGGAGTTTTTCGACCCCTCTGACCCCCTCTATCTACACCACTGTCTCTTATTATCCATAAACACGAGGATATAGGCTACTTTACTACTACCTGGAGGAAATACGCTTCAGGATTTGTGCCAGTCTCAATGTAGCCTAGCAGAATTAAGCAACTCGCTATCTTGGACTTTTCCCAAACTCCACTCTTATAAGTTAAGACATGACTGATACCGAATGACACACCCTTGTTGATTTTTTTTAACAGCCGCTTTCCTAATTGCTGGGGCAATCGGACAGAGCCAAAATGGAAGCCCCATTGACGTGCCTGTGCAGTTCGTAACTGAGAGGCACATCTTTGGTGATGCCTTCGAAACAAATCACTTCAGCGCCCATCTCTGTGGGGGCTGCATGTTCGACAAAAAGTTAGCTGTTGTTGCCCTTAATTTGCAAAAGCAGCCATGGAACAACACCGTGCAAGACATCCTAAAAGCAACTGTCACATATGGTTCTGGAAAAATCATTGCATCGAACAACATCAATGGAACTTATGAAGAACAAATTTCGTTCGTCTACCATTCATCATATGGCGATCTAAATATCGTGGTTGAGAATGGGGCTGGTAGCGGCATGATATACACGGTCGCGCTGAAGTTCCACGCGCAGACCTACGGTAATCCAGAATGTGAAAAACGGCATTTAATGAGCCTAGTGGAATCCCGTGCGCACTGGAAGTACAGGGCCCTCAGTGGCGTGAATGCAGCCCAACTTCACGAACTGGTCCCCATTTTCAAGATGTCCTCCCAGTATTCAGTGAAGTCAAGTGACCTGGTATTCCTGCAGTTAGACTACTGCTTCCCACACATTGGGAATTACAACGTCACTATTTCTGTCATCGCAGAGGACGAGGAATCTGCCTTCGCCACCTATGCCTGCACGAAAAGCATAAAGCAGTGTAAAACTGGCAATGCACCCTTCCATGACACATCCGGCAGTGCTGCAAATACTGTTCAAGTACGGGTCGCTGGTGCACCTGACATCGGCCCAATAACTGTTATTGTTAGAGGTGATGGAAGGTACCTCCAGATGAACACATTCTCTCTCGCTGCCTCTAAGTACATTGAGCTTTAAAGAGAGTGTCATTAGTCTTAAACTTTACAATTTTATTTAGAAAAATTCATTTGTTTTGACTTTATTTAAATTATATCACTTTAAATGTTAAGACAAATTTACTTGCTTGGTTGTTTAGCATCTCTTTCTATTGGAAAAACGTTTGTCCAAGACAAATTTCAGAAATGGCATAAAATTCTTAACCAAAATTGAATTATACCTGCGAAAATTGTTAATTAATTATTTGAGAAATTCAGAAATCTTAATGTTTGTTTAATGTAATCATCGTTGCATAATATTTTTTTCAAATAAATCTTATCTATTAGAACTTCAGAAAGAAAGGGTTTTGCAGCCATTCTACTCATTTTTGCTCTAGTAAAGTCGGGGCAAAATCTTAGCTACCATTGATTTTCTTATGTTTATTATCGTTTGTTCTTTCATTTGAGTCCGTCGTGCAGCCTGCTACCGTGGCCTTTCCTTTATTTGCATACTCATTTTATAGCGGTTTATTTCCAAGGCCTGAAAAGTGCACGCCAGTTTGGATACAAGTAGTAGGAATTTACATTAATTTGTTTCGCGTTTGAAGAAATCTAGACTAAGCTTGTGAAAAGTACTTACACTCACTTGCTTTTAAGAATACTATAACTTTTGTCCAGCCTTGGTATTTTGAAAAACCTTTCATCTTGTGCCTGAATATATTCTAAAAGTATTCTTTACTTTTTTGAATCTGATTATCAGTTCAAGGGAACATCACCCGACCTCGTAGAAAAACCACATTTTTTGAAAAAATTGTACAGGTTAGTCACGCTATTTTCTGTTATAAACATCGCGAATCTGGCAACTGCTGAAAAAAGAGACACAAACATGCGAGCTGAGGCTGAGCACAAACTGGATAATTCTGAGCATGATTGTTCTTATAAACTACCGTGAATTCTCTTTTTAGCCCCCGCCCTCTCAATTAAGCCCCCCTTTACAGAAGGAAACATTTAATTAGCCCCCCCTTCCAATTTAGCCCCTCCCCCAATTTTCACTGATGCTGAAATAAGTAAACTTAACAAAAAACAGAGATTTTCATTTTATTCATTGGTCGTTCAATAATACTTTGCATCAAATCAAAATTCACACCATGTCTCTTCCATTAATCACGGGTCATGTGATAGCCTTTTTCTAAAATTACAGGCCGTTGGTACTCCGAGGGATGAAGTCGACCTTTTCGAATGCTCGATTTCAGAAGGCGACATGGCCCAAGAAAATATTTTAGAATTAATAATTGATAACGTTGACGATGACAATATAATTGATATAGAAGGCTGATTTGGTGTTTTTATTTCGCAAATAACAAACAATTAGTTTACCACTATAAATGTTTTTTTTACAAAATATTTATTAAGCCCCTCTCTTAATTTAGCCCCCTTCTCTTATAAGCCCTCGGGGAGCTAAAAAGGAAATTTACGGTATATCCTTATTATATCTTGGAATATCAAACAATATCTTGGAAGAGTGGCTAAATTTTCCATGAACTGACTTTGTCAGAAATTAAGACTAGCAAATATGGCCAAATTTGCACCATATGATTATGTCAGAAATTGAGAATACAATCTTGGGAAAGATTACTAAATTTTCTACGGAATAACTTAGTGATATAAAAGAGTATTGTTTTGGAAGAATTGGTGAACAAAGCTTATTGATTAGACGGTCAGAATTTGCCAAAGCATACTTTCCCATAAAGAATGGTTGCAGGCTCAGAAAAAGAAGGTAAATTTGTCTCAGACCAACGTTTTAAAAAAAAATTCAATGGCCCAAGAAAATTTGTCCAAATTGCCACAGGATAATCTTTTTCAAAAGAAAGGCTAGAAGCCTAGATAATGTGGCTAAATTTTAGTGCGTAAGGCTATTGATTTTGAAGTAGTGACAAACTTTGCAACGGGTAGATTTGATAATGTCGCAAGATTAACCTTTGAAAAATGTTTCAAGAATGATTTTGTTAAAAAGCAAGGCCGTCAAGTCAAGAAAATTCGACTAAATTAGGGTCCGATTGATTTCATTGCAGTGTAAGGCTTAAGGCCATGGGAATGTGGCTAAATTTGTCTTCTAAAAGCTTACAATTTTACTTCGGACTGACATCGTTAAAAAAAGGCTATTGCCTTACAACAAGTCGCTCAAATTTCCTGGGATTTTTTTCGACCAAATAGTAAGACTATAGGTTTGGAAATTCACCACAGACTGGCTTTGACAAAAGTGAAGCTATTGGCTTGGCAAAATGTGACGGAATAATCCCATCATAATGTAACTCTATTGCCTTTAATAAAGAATTATCTGAGTAATCTCCTTAAACGAAAGGCTTCTTTGAAAACGTTTGTGACAATTATATCAAGATAAAAAATTTATACCCTGCAAATGAAATAAAAAATATACTGAAAATATCAACACACAATTTTTGATACCACGGCATAACATTTTGAAACTCAATACATCACAGATGAGATCGCAAATATTTCCAGCGGTTGACTTGAAAATTGACCGCATCTCTTGTCAAGCGATAGAGGATGATAGTTACACATCATTTCAACAAGGGTAGTAAGAAGACACGATGTTTGAAGCAATTATCAAGTTCAAAGAGGTTACGTCGGTCCTACTAGCAAAAATGTCATAAACTAAGCAATCTGTCAGTAAAGCCATAAATATGACATGATTATCATAATTACTAAAACAAACTATGAATGAGTATATTTGCAGTTGTTTGATTCACCCATAAAAAAGGGTCACAAAAATTTAAAGATTTCATTTGGCTAAAAATGAAATGTTTGCCGGAAAACTTGTACATAATTCAATTTCATCTAGACACTTCTTTCTGGTAGCTATTGAACAATAAACCCGATACTGGCTAGTCAGTCAAGCGTGCCTAAGAAAGAGGGTATCTAGTTGAATGCTACCACAATCCAGAAAAAGTGTTTTACTATAAACAAACATATCTAAATAACAGACTACTCAAACTCAGTGTTTTCCTATGGTCAGAGAAAAACTTATTTCTTAAGTTAAAGCCTTGTGAAAATACCCTCCTGACAATGGACACCTCCCTTCGGGGAACGGTGACCTTGGTTCCAGATGCCCTCAGTGCTGAGGAGAGGGGAGTCAGAGGGTCTCTGACCCGGGGGCCTATGACTTAAGGGGCCCATAGATAATAACTTAACTAAACAATTATAACTAGCAATTCAGTCTCTCCATTATCAAAACCTGCCAATAATAGTAGAAATAATAGGAAAAGTTTTTAAATGAAAAAAGATAGATGCAGCAATAGTATTGTAACCCCATTATATTTGTCAGACAGAGCTAGTAGCTTAAGGTAATCTTCTAGTTCGTTAACAAAGGTTTTTATGGACAATTCGGAGGATATTTCAGCTGAAGCAGCACTAGCAGGTAAAGTCAGAAACAACCTTAATGCAATGAAAACATTGGGAAATAAGCGTTGCAAATTCAAATGCTTAAGTTTGTTCAACAGATGCAATGGTTGATGCTTCTGAGAATGGAGATATGTTCTCCTTTTATGCTGCGCAGGATTTTGTGATTTTTTGCTAGGTCATCTTCTCTCAACATTGTGTAAAATCAAAGAATACTGAATCCCTGCCATATCTCGCCAATTGACATGAATCGCCTAATTATCTTTGCAGTAACACTATCAATCATAACAATGCTAAATTTATCTTGAACTTTACCAAAGGCCTTTTCTGGTTTTCACTTCCAGATAGAAACAAGTTCGACTGATTTCTTGTCTTCAATTTTTTAGGACCTCTAGCTTCTCGTCTAAACGAGCTTCTTAAAAGATCGATCAACTAGTTTTTAATTGACACTGCAAGGTTGCATTCTGATTGCTAGATGTAAAGTTTTTCAAATTATTTGAATAGTGAAAATCTTTTTGGTGCAGCATGTCCGTTTTGATCAAATTTAGCATTAAATCGTTTTTCACTTTTTGAGATTTTTAAATGCATATTTTATAGTTAAAAAATATGCATGCATTATGACGATAGTATACCAGTAATATTCAAATTATATTGAAATAATAAAAGAAGTAATAGACACCATCGCAATTCCAGCAACCAAAATAGCCGCAATTTTAGCAACCATTGTCTCAAAACTTTTCCCTGGACCCCTTCAGAAGGATCTTCTCCAGTATGCCTTACTTTTACCTTTCACTTCAACCCGGGCCCCAGGAATCCTCCCCGCGGCCCTGGATGACCTACATGGTGGTTTCACAGTACGATTAATCTATATCAAGGGCAATATAGATCTTCATAATCATAGGTTGATTAAAACCTTAGTTCTGCATCTACATGTAGAAAAATTGCGCAATGAGTAAAAGTGCACCCAAATGTTAGTCACGTGGTAAACGATGTGGTGTTAAGATACGAAGTTAAACAGTAAATCTGAAGTTTTCAGCAGAACCACAAGATTCTGTTAGTAAGATCACTATAAACTTCGACTTCATGCTGAAGTCCAGACTTTCGAGCAGTAAGTTTGCAGTAGACTGACTACCTTCTTCGGAACGCCCTTGAGATACGCCATGCATTCGGTTCTTCATATCTATACAGAAAATTTCGACACATTAGCTTTCAGTAATACTTAAAAATATGGTATTTTAATATATTAATTCATATATACTAAACAGCAGGCTCCAGTTATAATATTATTTTGGACAGCGTTATGCGCAATGTAAAGCTTAACTGAACTCAGAAAGAATCTCTAGGCAATCGGATAGTCCGACTATAAATAGGCCCGTAAAAATAGCACGTAACCTTTGTCTCTTTGTCTGGCTAAATCATGTTACTGAAGATATACTGATCCTATCTAGGGACAGGGTCCGAGGAAGAAGGGGGCTACGGGGGCTTTAGCCTCGAATAATTTCCAAAATGTACTTAAAATCATATAAAAATCGTCCTGCTCTTTGTTTTTAGCATGTTTAGCCCCCCATCACATTTTAGCCCCATCAATCTGTAATATGCTCTGTGGTCCTTGTCTAGGGATACCAAGGAAAGAGGCGCTAGAGTTAATTTGATTTATTGCATATCATTTATAGCTATCAACCTCATTGAATTCATCTTCAGTTAACGTGAAATGTCTTAGTAGTCCCTGGCAAATAACTAACCATTCCAAGGGCAAGACAAACATTACCTACGATCAAATGCTAAACTTCTGACTTACCTGTTGTACAGTGGTTCAATTCTTTCCTGTCTTTTCCTCTTGCTGAGTTTAGTAGGATCAGAAAACTTGAAAAACGACGGTGCAAACTCAACAAGCCATTTACAGTCAACTGACGTCACTTCTCTCATATACTCCTTGGTTGTGAGCACCAGCTCGTGGTAAACAACCCATTCTGGTTGCCTGTTGGACATAAAAGTATTGTGGAGAAGATCAAATAGCGAAAAGGCATCTGTCTAAGTGCTCAAACAAGACTCTGAGCTAGTGTGGGTGAGGTAAATGCAAATGTATGTTATTGGGATACTGCATTCAAACAAACTGGAACAAAGTAAATATTTTGTAATTAATTATAGAGTCCACAACCCTCGACATTCTCGAAGTTCTGATCCATTTTATAGATTTTAAGGATCTGACGCTTAAATATATCAATGGTCAAATTAAGAATCCAAATCCTTTCCACAATAAAGAGTTCCATGACACTAGAAGAATTTATGAAAGATTAAGAACTTCACATCATTAAACAGCATTTGTGATAAAAGTAGGCATTATTTACAAAAAATTTTCTTAATAATTACTAAGTTAATAACAAACTCGCTTTGTTTACATTGTGAGTTAGCTGTGTTTATTTGCATATGTTGAATGAGTAGGCTTGAGTTCGCTTTACGAAAATTAACAAAAGGGAAAGGACAGTTACATAAAAGTAAAACGGACTCCCTTTATGTCAAAGAAAAGGGACAGACAGTTAGAAATGTTCACACTTGCATTTAATTTCTTTACCCAATGTTAAAATCATAGAAACAATACGATGCATTTGGAAGCTGTTACATACCTATTGAAAATGGCACTTGAAGGGTGGATGTATACAACTTGGTTGTCAGAAACGGTTTTGTATCCTTCTTGGGGGTCTTTTTTAGCAGCATTCCGGAAGAAACCACTGCATATTGCCTTTTGCACACGAACAGTATTTTTGCCACAAGATACAACATCCAACTTATGACTAAAACAGAAACACACCTGTTATCAAAAAAATTACTAAAGGCAGAAAATTTCTTTGTTTACACAATTTTTGTCAAAGGAGCCACTTTCTGGCAAGGCTAAGGTGTTCCTTGACACGAAATTGACACGTGCACTAGAGGTATTGCTTCTTTTAATGCACAACATTAAAAATCAGGTTGAAGCTGAAAGCAGTCATGACGACCATTCTGCCAAAGAGCCCCACACCAGATGAATCCCTGGACAAGAGACAGTTTATGAAACAGTCACACCCCTTGCATATGTGATATAAGATAGGTGCACTTTGAATACCTAAATACTCTGGTTGCCTGACCATTACGTTAAGATAATAACACACGAAGTAAGCAATTCAACCTATTTTGCAACAAAATCAAAGGTAAAATTGTAGCCAATATGGTAGTTTGTGACGAAGTCCAATAATTATAGTCTGAATTTTTCTCTGATATATTTTTCATTATAAATTTTACCGGTCCATTATCCCGAGCATCTGTTTGCGAATATCTTGTGACCTTTTCATAGACCTTGCTTGTATAAAGTTTTCAAAACACCAAGCATTGGAGAATTTGCTGTTTTTCCACGCATTATACACAGCGAGCAATGTTAGGTGGTCACCTTCCACTTGGTGAAATTTGGCCTTGCGCTGATCAGCCAAGGCTTGTTTGTCCTGTAGGATAGAACAAATCAAATGGTTTCATAGCAAACTAGCTTCTACAGCAAAAAAGCTACATGTAAATCCATTTAGGGTCGCAGCTGTCGAGACCAAAATTTCTTTAGACGAGAGGGGGAAAGAAGAGTTGGAGCAACCTGGAAGCTTGTCATATTCTAAGATCTCCTATCCTCTTGTCTTGAATCAAGTTTCACTAGAATAGACCCACTCTTTAAAATGCAAAATCTCGACTACCTAACCCTGTATGTAATACAGTAGAAAGTAGTATACACAATAAGAAAGTTCTTAAAACTAGGATTAAACTTAGGATTTAAAACATTAATTTTTTAAAATTGCTCTTAGACTTTTCTGGTTATGTCATCCTTTTAGATCTTCAGATATCCATACAAGAAAACAAAAGATATTCTTCATCATTTGAACAACAAAATTTTTATGAAAATTAGAATGAGCAAAGTGCTTTTTAAAGTGGCCAAAAACCACTCTTTAGCCTACAGGTTCTGACAGGGATACATTCCCATATACGGCTCATACTACAGTAGTGAGACAATATACAACTCACAGATATCAAAGGGCAAACCAATGTACTAATCTTAAAATTGAGGGATAATGTTAAATGACTAGATATGGAAACGCTTAAAATAATATATGAATCAAATTAACAGATTGAAAAGAAATAATACCAAACAGGGCAAACCTTAGGGCGATAGAAAACATTTTGGACAGACAGCATCGAGACAATAGTCAGAATTTCGTCACTGCAGCCAAGATGAACCGACTGGATGAGCATTTTTGACAACTGAGGTTCAAGTGGAAACTCAGCCATTCTTCGACCAAGGCGAGTGAGGAGACCTTCGTCGTCTAAAGCACTCAGCGAATGCAGCTGCTCCAATGCAGTTATCATTGTCTGTAAAAAAGAGGCGTAAGTTCCAAGCAAGTCACAGGTGGTTTTACTAGAATGAAATGCGCACGAACCTAAATGGTTTTAATGCAGGTTCGAAGCATTTATTGGTACATAATTGGACAGATACATAACAAACGATGAGGCACTAAACCAACACAAAATCAGTAATAAATCCATTCGACCAAGCATGAACAAATTTTAAATCCCTAATTACATTAAAATGTGTTGTTCTAGAAGAAAGACTTTCGAACATCCCCATTAGAAAACAAACATAATCATAAACCAACAAGTAAAATACATATGAAAATGACCATCTATTTAAAAAATACAATAAACAAAAATGGGTCAATTCAGATGGTCAAACTTGACAAGCTTTTCGTAGTGATTGGATTTGACTTAAAAGAACATCTTCGATATGGCTGATATCTGGGCTGTAAATTGAGGAATAATTTGCCTTTACTAATTAGAATATCTTCTGTTAAACTTTCCTTCAAATCCAAGTTGAATATCTACGTGTTGAATTCTCAATGTTTATGTCTGCTCATGATGTGGTCCCCAAAGATAATTCAAACAGAAAACCCATTTTCAATATACAGTATAATAAGGTTAAAACGTACTTTAAGAGATCGGTGGATTAAGTACGTTATACCCGAAGTACGTTGTAACCAGAGTAAGCAAAGATTGGTTTAAACGAAGTTGTAAACAATGTAACTATTTAAAAACCACACTTTCAACTAAGTTTTTATAGGCTACATAGTTAAAAGAAGTCTGTAAAGTGTTTCTGAACATCGCTTTTCTTCCAAATTTGTTTACTGCCGCATCAATTTTGCTCAACGTCTTCAATGTTTTGTTGGCATTAAACAAATCCGAAAACTTAAAAAATCGTTGTGGAACTTTGCCGGGACCTATTGCACCAGTACGTTATATCCGAAAGTACGTTCTAACGGAATATGTTATAACGGGATTATACTGTATTACGATTTTAGGGGAGGAGGGTCCCTTTTCTCACTAGTACACCCAATTAGATAGCTTCTCCTTTAAATTATTCTTATATATACAAACCTTCTGCCCGTTTGTAGTTTTTTTATGTTAAGTTGAAATATAGTATTTTAGTTTTATGGTGGTTAGTGCAACTTTGTATCAATTACTGGTTCGTATGAATGGAAATGTAAAGAATTTACTGAACTGAAACGAAATGAACTGATAGAAAATTTCCGCAATGTGGAATCGTAGTCTCAATATACAGCTCTCAGTGTAAGTCTGCACGTTGACTTTATTTTGCAACAAGGGTTCAATAAATTGGTGCCTTTCTTTGTCTTTACCCTTTATGCTGACAATCAGCTTCGTGTGATGATCCTTCTTTCTAACCAATCTAATACGATGAGACAACTTGCTACGATGAATAGAAAGAGGAAGGAAGAGTACGATGTTCGATTATCCATACATGCTGTTCATCTCATACAGGGAGGCTTGCATAAAAACGTGTGCTCGTGAGTGAAAACTTCTATATGATGCTACGTCTAGTGCGGCAACTAACATCAGTATGACGCTATATGCCATTAAAATGATTGCTTTACAAATAAAACGGGGTAAGAAAAGTTCATTTAACGCTGTCCTACCTCCATAGGTGGTGGATCCATGAAATCGAACGACAGCAAGTCATTGATCCCCATTGCTTTTAGCGACAGAATTGTGCTTGCCAAGTTGGTTCTTTGTATTTCTGGGACGTTCGTTGACAACATTTCATCACGGTAGGCTCTCTCTGTATAAAGTCTACCGAAATAAAAAAATTGTTAATTTTGTAAACGGAACCATTAGACTATTTTGCCTTTGCTTTAAAACCATTGTTTAAAACCTTTTGCTTGTTTTTATCAGATATTTGTCAGTCATTGATATTGTTAAAGATTTCCTGCGTGAAGACATTCTTTTTTTATAAGAACAACTTTATAAGAACACGAGCCTCAAAACTGGTCAAAAGTTAAGAACAAATTAAGAACAAGCTGAGGCTGAGCTTCTGCAAAATGCAATTTTGAACAGCGTTTTTTCTCAAAATCGAGGATTTTTAGCGATGTGTGGGTGCTTTTTCGGTGAATATTCAAATTTGTCAGCAAATTAAGGCTGTCTCACTCACTTTGTTGGCAAATGAGGCCTGAACACCTCCTTAGAGCGAAAAAGCTAGCAATAGCACTGCTTACACCCTCTTAATTTAAGAACAAATTAAGAACAATCCAGCCTCAGATTTTCGAAAAAATTGAGAACAGTCAGCCTGAACTTAAATTTGCTGGTTCTTATAAAAAAAAGAGTGTATTGCGACTTGTGCTCCGGCTATTCATGAAAAAAAATGTTTTATTCAAGAATAGAAAATTCAACCTGATGAAAATTTCGACAGGGTGTAGAAAGCTTAAATTCAATGATCACAGGAAACACCCCGGATGGCTCTAAGGTTGTAGAGTGTGGTGAAACTATAGCAACTTGTAAATTAACAAATGCAGACAGCCGTATGAGGTAGGCAGATGCGAACCTGTAGCATTTTCCTGGTCCGGTTCTTCCAGCTCTTCCCGCTCTTTGTTTTGCTTGGGCCTAGCAAAGCACAAATATCATTAACTATGAGTTTTTCAGCTAGAGTTGACATTTCATACCATATGCCCAGTGATTGACGGAACTCAAATGAATTTTAATTACGACTTCGTGCTAGAGTTGAAGATTTACACAAAATGTGCCAAACCTGGAACAATGATAGAAATCTAATGCTAGAAGGACAAAAACTCTTTTGAAATGAAGTTCACTTGGCACGGAAAGAATAGGCGCTAAATGGACAGCGGTCTAAATTCAAAGGCAAGGAGAAAATTTAAAAACTTCAACATGCAAAATTGAATAGAAAAGAGCGGATTAAACTTTGGAAAAATCGAAGTTCTGATAATGGTTTCAGATGCTAAATTCATTGCACAGCTAAACTCGATTGACTAGACCCACGAAAAAGCGAAACATAAAATCATACCACTTGCACGTGTAAACTTTGTTCTGCCAATTGAACGATTTTTTTACATTCTGGCGAATCATGCAATTCAAAGATGCTATTTGAATATGTAAGTTGCGTGTACTTTATCCAAATAACGATAATAAGAATGCGAATAAATAAAGTACCAAAATGACAAAGATTGCTAAAACGAATGTTGCTTTATCTTAATGACGAGGTGAACTGGAAAATTTGCGAGGATTTCGCATATATTTCTCTATGCTTAGTTTTCAACGAAACCACTTTGAACAGTCGGTACAACAAGAAATCCAAGAAAAAGTGCTATGTACGCTTTGAAGTAGCTGCCACGATAGTCTACCTGAGATATTGGGGTTACAACAAGCTGATCGATGCCATTTTTGGAGTTATACACCTTCTGTTTCACAAAGCCTGGATCAACCACATAATAGATACCATCAATGGTAAGTGACGTCTCGGCGATGTTTGTTGCGATGACAACCTAGATGTAAACACAAAAAAATGGCAGCTATAAGTTTTTAGAAATAAATTTTAGAAAGGGAACTGAGAAAAATGTGATGCTGCCAACAGGCACCAGGAGCAGCCCACAAATTTCATTATCATGTTGTTTCATTTCAGTGCCAGTTGGTTGTGCCTAACGTTTCCAAAAGGCAGTATTAGAAGGTATTTATAAGAGCAAAAGCAAAGTATGATAGAGTCTCAGCAAGTTAACTGGCAATCCTTCTTCAGTTTCTAACCGCTCCAATAAAAGAGTTCAACAGCCATTTCCTTCGCTTTTAATGACAGAAAGGTATGCAAATTTCTTCTCTGTAAACAGTATGCATTTGAATACTAACTTATACAATATACATGTATCTCTAGCAACATTCAAGACCATTAATATTGTGTCTATTTATTCATTTGCTTGAGGTTATTTGAACATCTTGTAATCCTTGTACTATTGTCGTTGAGATCATGTGGAACAACTAACAAGAAAACAAACTCACTTTTCTGCTACCAGGGGGAGCCGGGTCAAAAATTCTTGTTTGCATTTCACTCGGGAGAGCACTGTATACCGGTAAGATAATTAGTTCCGGCACCTCCGGGCCGAGGGACTTTAATCGTTCGTACAATATCTCGCATGATGTATCGATTTCTTCTTGACCTAAACAAAGAAGTCGTTCCATGTTAAAAGCATTTACCTTCTTTTTCAGTTCTCAAAAGTTGCAAAATCAACAGCTTTCTGGAAAAAGGCAACAGGGTCAATGTAGTTTGACAAAATGGATTCTGCATCCAGCCTTCAATTGACCATAGGAGAAGGAGCCACAAGGTTTATAGATTTAACTTAAAAATCTTAAAGGAACATGATTCTGTTGAAATAAACCTAAGCTGATTAATTTTGAGCTGATCCTGGTAAAATCAAAGGAATTACATACTGCCAAAAAGCCAAATCACTGAACTTTAATGAAGCTTATTAAATATACTATATTCCCTATTAAATATTTGTAAAGTTATATAATTGCATTTGAACATACCTGTAAGAAAAACCAGAATATCTCCAGGTGGTTCAGTAAGATGAATCTGCATCACAGTGATCAGAGCTGCATCTAGATAATCCGACTCCACTTCTTTGGTGTACAGGACTTCAACCGGATACGTTCGACCGGGAATTGTGAAAATCGGTGCTTCGAAGAAGTAGGTCGAGAATTTTACGGCATCCAATGTTGCTGACGTCACGATCAGCTTGAGATCTTTTCGCTTTTGGACAGCTTTCTTCATCAAACCAAACAAGACATCGGTGTGAACTGTTCTTTCATGGGCTTCATCCAACATTATAATGGTATACTGACTAAGATCCGGATCCAAAAGACACTCTCGCAGCAACATACCCTCTGTCATATACTTGATTTTAGTTTCCGGACTTGTGCAGTCCTCAAAACGGATCGTGTATCCGACTTCTTGTCCGAGACGACACCCAAATTCTTCGGATACTCGTTTAGCCACAGACATGGCAGCAACACGACGTGGCTGCGTGCAACCAATTTTGCCAATTTCTGTGAAGCCCTCCTCAGCAAGGTATTGAGTCATTTGAGTCGTCTTGCCTGATCCTGTGTCGCCAATGACTATCAGTATTTGATTGTCTGTTATAGCCTTTAAATAGAAACAGCAAACATTGAAAAAAGTACAAGAAATTTCGGAAATCGCAGCTTAGTAATGAAATTAATGATAAAGAAAAAGACATAATGTATTCGTCAACTACTTGCTATATCGTAGACAATTCCAATTAAAACAGATCTATTAAGACAATTCCAATTTAGACAAATCCATTACACTTTTTTTTATAAGAACCAGTAAATTTGAGTTCAGGCTGATTGTTCTTAATTTTTCTGAAAATCTGAGGCTGGATTGTTCTTAATTTGTTCTTAAATTTATAAGGTATAAGCAGTGCGATTTCTAGCTTTTCGTTCTGGGGAGGTGTTCAGGCTTCTTTTGCCAACAAAGTGCGTAGAGACAAACTTAATTTGCCGCCATGTTTTAATATTCACCGAAAAAGCAGCCACACATGGCTGAAAATCCTCGTTTTTGAAATAAAACGTTGTTCAAAATTGCATTCTAGAGTAGCTCAGCCTCAGCTTGTTCTTAATTTGTTCTTAAATTTTGACCCATTTTGAGGCTCGTGTTCTTATAAAATTGTTCTTATAAAAAAAGAATGTACAACGTTCGGCTCTGGCTAGCGTACTTCTTTATCACATGATTTACGACTCCCTTTGATTAGCCCTTTCGTATTTAAGTTGATTTTTTCTCGCCTGTAATAATACTGAAGGTAACGTTGAAAATTATCCCTTAAACAGTAGGATACCCCTTTTCTTAGATAAGTTTAAATGAAATGAAACCAAAATGAAGATACCTTTACTAGCTGATTTCTGAGTTTAAATATTGGCAGTCCCTGTCTTTGTTCCAGAATCGTCAAGTTTGTCTTCCTACCATAAGATCCTTTTGCTCCGCCAAAAGTAGCCTTTTTCCATTCAGGGACGTCCTGTGTCGATAATCCAATGCCGCGTAAGTCTTGTGCAAAGTACGGTTTTCTCTCTTCACCCTCAACGGCTATAACAAAAGAGCGGTGGTTTCCAGCAGGAATAAAAAAAAATTCATGAAACAAAGGGAACATAGGTGTTCCGTAATGTACTGTATATTAGAGATGGTATATCATCTAGGTAGAAGAGATGCAGCATGCAATAAAATCATACAGAAACAGAAAAGAAAATAATTCTTTATACTTGCAATCTAGCTATGTCGTCATACTATGAGTCAAAAATACACTTTAAGAAAAGGTTAGTTTCATGAGTTTAGTTTGCCTTCAAATTTCCTGCAGCTTTTTCTAATAGCTGTTTCAAAAGTCAAATAAAATCTAAGGGTGTGCAAAAACAAAGCAAAAAATGGAGAATATATTCTGATAAAACGTTAACAAAAATGTTTATGGGTTCTTACCTTCAGGCACGGGATCAACCCAGAGTTTGCCGATATCTTTTGGAATGGTGTCTGCTTGTGCCTCCCGTTGTTGTTGTTTGACTTCCCTTCTTTCCTTAGAAAGTGCATTCTGAGTCATTGCTGCCCGTTGCAAGGTTCCATCTGGATTCTATGCAAAAAGAATATATCAAATTTAACTGCGATAACTTGGCATTACCTTTTCAAATAGCATTATCCTTTCAAATAAATCACACAGTAAATGCAACGAACGGGAAAGGCAGGTTCTGATAACACGGGGAACGACATTATAACATGGTATTCGCAGGTTACAAAAAATTTATAGATTTTGTGACTATTCACCATTTAAGTTTGTGATTAAGATATAAGCAGAAAATCTACTACAGGAGGCTAAAAGGCAATAGACAGATACTAAAGTGGCTTCAGCCATCTGTGAATCAACAATCAGTCATTCAGCCATCATGTGAATCAACATTTAGAGTGATACCATTCAACAACAATGTCTCTCTACAACGCATTAAAGTGTGTAGCAAAAAATTGCGGCTTGCTACCTTAACAATTTTGATCGGACTGACATCAATACTGAGCTTCGTTTGGCCTTGCAAGAAAGGTGGCTCTTCTTCTCTCAACTCTATTTCGATGTCTTCGTCTGCAAGTAAGAGAGAAATAACAATAACGATTATATACAGAAATAAAATGAAACAATTTTAATCTCTTGTAGCATCGATTTCTGCAGCTTAATGGATTTTATGCAGCATAATGAACTAGAAGCATGAAGCAAAGAAATATCTTGTAAATTACCTGAGATTTAATTCTTTATTAAGAAGTCTTAAATTTAGTTATAGCCATTATTTTATCCTAGATTTTGACTACAAAATATTTTGAATCATACAACTACTAAAGACGTACCAGAATCTTCTTCCTTGGGCAAAATGCCACTTTCTTCGTCAAAATCAGGGTATTCTGATACATCAAGGACACCAGCTGCAATAAGCTGTAAGAAAAGATGGATAAAGAACGATATCCTTTTCTGTCTTAATATAATCTTCAATATATAGGTTCACCAATCTATATTATATATTGTAACATGTAACCTATTATAATTATAATTGACAAAGGAGAGGAAATGGAGAGGACTTGGGTTTAAGCCAATCGAAAAGGTCAATGTCTAGGAAGGTATTTATATTTATATGAATTTAGCAGCAATCCATAGTTTTTGACAGTCGAAGATTCAGAAAAGATCACAGAAATTCTACAAAAATTATTAAAAACGTTTCAAAGAAATATAAACCAAAAATTTATCCGAACTTTAGGACTGCCCCTAACAAGTTACAAGAAAATAAAACTCAAACCAGTTGCATTTTATCAGTTTAATTTCCAGCACAATTTACTTTATGAAAGCATAGGTTTACTTGACGCGCTTACTCACAAACTAACTAAATTTGGTATAATCCTTTTATTTACCTGTTTAATTTCCCATCTCTCTGGAGAGGAGATGCGATTAAATTTCTTCTTCACATCGAAATCTCTGTCATCCACAACAGGCACCAAAGAGGAAGACGACGGCCTACAAGTAACGATAGAAATAAAAATTGCAAAGTAATCAGCATTAATTAAAATTGCAAAGAAATCTTACGGACACTCGCAACTTTTGTTCTAATTGAAGCTCTTTTTCTTACATCTACAAGCAGACAGTAGAATTCAGTTAAATTTTACAAACATTAAATCTAAAAACCGAAAATAGCTTCATTACATACCTGTCAGGGTTTCTAAGGGAAAGGTCTTCTTGTCGATTGGCAGCTGATCTCAAGCCACTGTCGGGGTTCAAATCTTCACCAGTTGCTTGATCAACATCCTGAAAAAATCGTGGATGATCCTGATATCCAGGGTCGGACAACTATTGGAAGGGGGGGGGGAAGGGGGATCTAGCCTATAGTTTTGATAAGATGACGTCACATTGTCCCATTGTTTTAGAACAAAAGACCAATGTCCACCATTACTGATATCAATACACAATTGTCAACAGAGCTCAAAAAACATAGAAGAAAAACGCCACCATTCTATAAAAGACAATGTAAACTTTTGAAAAAAAGGCTTCGTTTAAGATATAAAAATTCTAATTTCGCTAACTGCTTTCATGATTAACTTGAATGCAACGTCTCTTACCTTCATAGACAAACTAATCTTCTTTCCAGTTATGGACAAAACTTTCACTTTGACGTTTTGCCCTTTTGCAACAACATCAGCCACGTTAGCAACTCTTCCTTCTCGACGAAGCTATGTAACGATAAAAGGAATCATTACCAGTCTACCGTTCATTTAGCAGCAAATTTCTTTGGTATCTTAACTTAAGTGTTTTGCTTCTCACAGAAAACTATATTTCCAGATGTGCGTCAAGTCTTTTTAAATCCATATAAAGACAGATAAACACTTAAAACTCAGACAGGGAAGATTGATTGTACCGCCTTGTAACTAAAGGCACATCATAGAAAACTGTAGATGACTCAGGATATAACCGAACTCAATTGTATTTATCTCAAAATTGCTAACAAAGACATTGACTGAAGAAGGTCAGCCTTTGCTTCAATTTCACACAATTTGTTTCGATATATTTCGAATAAAGATAAGTAGTCTTTAACATTTCCTGTGTGAAATGGTAGTTCAATATTCATTCTAAAACAGCGACCTTTCCATCTCCGCACAGAAGAAAGATAGATAGAGGGCTTTTTTCTTAAACCTCTATCATCAATCGCTGAATAACCGCGTACAACGTAAGTTGCCTTAGCTACCTTATAAATGTAGCTGATCTGCTAATAAATGCAACTTGCTAAGGCTATCAACTTTATCCTCTTCTGTTATGATCTCTATACAACCAACCAATAACTCCCAATCACCTCCCCCCCCCCCCCCCGAAGTATGACTCCGTTAACGATCTCAGGATAATCACTAAGTTGACACACGCCGTGGCCTAAACGTAAGACAATCATTGTTGCCACTTCCGTGAAAATTTCGCTACAATAACCAAACTTCCATGGATACATGTTCTTGTCTTGCTGCTAGCAAACGTCTTACCTGTGAAATATGAACCAGCCCCTCGTGTCCGCCCTTGATTCCAAAGAGCTGAATAAAGCAGCCAAACTGCATAATATTTGTAACTCTCCCGTCGTATATCTAAACGTTCAAAAAGGCGATAAATAGATTAAATAGCTTTGTGTGACAAAAAAACTACTGACAATAACTCAGATTATTTTGAGCTACTTTTCAGATTGGTCAGAATTTTTCGTTATTCACATATGGCTGCAAAATAGCACATATACAATATGTACTACAGCCCTTGCACAATTAGCAAAAATTATATCCCTAATTTGTAAAAGATCGAGCCTATCCAAGAGAACTTCAAATACAATTGTCAGTCTTCTTTATCGATCATTTAATTTTCTCATTTTTTACTTTTTGAATGAAATTTATGGCATGCTAAGGGTGGATATAGGCACATTTAGCAAGCTAAAAAAAATTGACTGTAAAAATTCATTGCTCTAGCAAAACAATGAAGAACATTACTATAAATACAGTGTCCAACTTTACACACAAGTAGAGGTTCAATATAGATACGGTTGTTAAATTGTTCACACGATGGGCTGATGTAAGAAAGAAAAGCATCAATTCAGAATGGAAGAAAACAATTTCTTCTTACCTGCCTAGCTTCTGGTTCTGTTGGTGGCGGTCGATCAACTGTGTCTGAGGTTAATCCACGACGTCGTGGGTCACGCTCAACGCTGGATGCTCTGGAAAAAAACCTCAACGGTTTTCAACGTGTTACTTGATGATTTTCTTGATTCTAATAAAATCTCTTGACAATCTCTTTCTTAACATTGCAAACGTTTCTATCCAAAGACAGAAGAGCAAAAAAGGAATAATACATCTTGGCGCCAACCTTTAAACAAGCTACATTATTTACTTCTTACTAGCTTCTCTCATTCGAAAGAGTGTCAAAGCCTATTATATGGGGCAACCATATCTTCGTTGACTAAAAGAATAGTATGACTATTGGCTAAGTAGGAAAAGGTTGGCATGTTATCATGTTTATGTTATGTCCTTCTGACACGTGCCTCCGATTCAAATATTATCAACAATCACAATCACTTTAAAAATATCCAGCAACTAAAAAACACGTCAAAATTCAAAACAAGACGTCGAGCAGGAGCTCTATACAGGGGTGGACACTTGGTCAAATATTTGGGGGCAAGCCTATTGTTTTAATAAGATGACGTCACATTTCCCATTGTTTTGGAACAAAAGACCATTATCCTCTAAAGTATTAGAGGGGCGGTCGCCCCCCCTCACCCCCCCCAGGTGTCCGCAACCAGCTCTATAGTATAAAGAAAATGCATATTTAAAATACAGAAGGAAAACAAAATTGACCTATTTCTAGACGGCCAAAAACAGTTTAACAGAATTTGATTAATAGATACATAAAAAATTATAGATATAGATGCATTAATAGAACCGCTTGATAGATTCATACTCTTGATTTTCATGTTCATTGAAGATGGTGAAAATGATTCAATGGTCAAAAATATCATATCATTTCGTAGTCTGAAGCAATTTGTTTGATGAAACTGTTTAAGCAAAGTACCTTCGTCTTTTGATCTGCTCCGAGCTGTTGTCCCTTTCCCTTCTTCTGTACCTGTCATCATCTCTGTCTCTATACCTTTCTCTGTCTCTGTTTCTGTCCCTGTCCCTGTCTCTGTGCCTTTCTCCATCCCTGTGTCTGTCTCTATGTCCGTCTCCTCTTTCTCTCTCTCTGCTTCGACTTCTCGATCTTGAATATCTTCTTCTGCATTAAGAATTCAAACAGAGTTTTAGCTAGTCATCTTATATTGAAAGAATAACCAATAATATATTTTTCAGCACATAAGAATTCTTAGTGAAATAATCAATGTAAAAAAACAATATCAACTTGGTTTTAATGAAGATTGCTGACACCCAGTCTGTCCTAAAGTGTTTGACACTCTTCATGCCAATGTTTGTACCATGGGACAGTTCTAAGTTGCTGCTCAGAGTTTCATGCTGAATGCAATCATCAGGTAGTGATGACGCGATCAGCTGTGCCGGGTGATCGCGTTGATCATTCCAAGTGCAAACTTAGATAAGCAACTTGAAAATGTGTTATTCTAAAAACCAAGGCGACTCACTGGCAGTGGCGTAGCGAGGGGGAGGCCCTCCCCCCAATTGGCAAAAAGTCTTTAAAAAGGGCGTTTTCTGGTGTTCAAAAGGTTGTGGACCTCCAATTTCTCTGGATCAATTTGCCTTTGCCCCCCCCCCAATCTTACTACCCTGGCTATGCTATTGCTCATTGGCTTTGAGTGAGGCCTACAAGATCTAAAAACATTCGAAAGTAATGAGATTCCTGTTTAAACGAAATAATCAAAAATTCCTTTGTAAAGGAAGTCATACTTAAAAAAAAATTATTGCTAGAACGGGCAAGAGAATTTTCAGTTTAACCTTTTTCTTTCATTGTCTTTTTCTTCTCTTCTTTTTCGATATTCGTCTACCGAATAGTCCTCATTCATTTTACTTCTGTCATCCTTCTCTCTGCTCAGGAAAAACAAATTGCATTTTTAAGCAGCACTAAATAATACTTAGGAAAAAACTGACAAAGAGGGCATTTCCAATCAGTTTTTAAAATTTTCCAAACGTCCATGTAATGTGATTATCAAACCAATGCAAAAATCTCAATAACTTATATGTGCAAAACTTAGACACTTATGTCACCATCAACATGGTTCTTGCATTAACAAAGATTATTCTTTCAACAAGATACACCAAAACGTTTTGCACAATATCTATTTAACAGGCAGAGGTTCTTATTTGATGCTTAATATATTTCTTTGCTTCTTGATATGAAAGTTATTCGGACTCATTATAGTTCCAAAATGCAGAGTATGTTTCAAAAATGGTAGTTTGGATGGTTAGCAAAAATTTTTGCAGTCTTGTACAACACTGGCTTACTGCTAGTGACAACTCCTCTCTGTATATAAACTATTTTGACTTATCAAAAAATTCAAGCTTAAGTGAATATGTAGTGAATCTGCTTAGGGCTGTGTACCCTATTTTTCCTTTCTCATTCATCGTGAAACTGCTAACAACAATCATGATGATGAATGAGAAAGGAAAAATAACATAAACATCACTAAAAAAATGTGGAATCATATTTCTACATAAAGTTTAGGTTTGGTTAAAATGAAGGAATATTCATAAGTTCTATACTTTTTTAAACCTCCAAAGCATTTACATAGTTCAACTATATAAAGAGCTAAAAACTTTGGGCCCTAAAACTAGCTGTACCTTGAGGGCATATCTGTAGTTCTTGGCAGAGACATCAGAGCTTCAAGCTGTAATGAAAAAGGAGGGGAATGTTTTCAGTCAGTATATTTACAAATATAAATTATATCCTATATAAACTAAGAAATAAAATAAACAATAAATTATATAAACTTTCAGTTTCAGACAATATTACTTTCTTGATAGGTACAAGCAGAAAAATTTCTGAATCAACAAATTTCTTTGAAATAAAGTTTATTATAGTTTCTAATATTTTCATATTAATAACTAATCTGATTACAGTCAAGAAAATTTAGTTTTACTTTACCTCATCCAAAGCTTTGGAAGCAACTGCATTGTCATCAGGGTTAACCTAGAGTCAAAAAAAAAAATGATTGTAGAATTAAGACAGCATAGAATAGGTATGACCACCCTATTTAATCATGATAACCAAGTGCTAGTAGAGGGGTGACTAAATTTAATGCAAGAGGAGTGACTGGGTTTTTGCAGTATTATTTTCAGGATGTCAGTGCATGAAATCTGGTGCTGTTTTATCTTAACTAACTATACTGGCAAGGTAAGTTCAAAAATAGATGGCCTCATAGGATATCATATTCCTGTATGTATAAATTCATTGCTCCATTATGTGTGGTTAAATCTCAGCCAGTTTGAAGTTGTATGATTAAATTTCTAAGTAATAAAATTTTAAAATTTTAAATTTACATTTTTACTTAAAATGATTTTATTCACTAGAAGTGGAAATTTACTTTCTTATTCTTAAAAAATTTGAATTAAACTCAACATTGATAAATAATGCTTAAAAACCCTTCCACTTTAATACTTCTACTTCTTCAATAAACCAACCCAATTTTGCCTTGATTTGAAAATCCCACAGTGGAAATTCAGCTTACAAATAAGCGGACACATATGTTAATAGATCAGCTTAATGTGCCATCACAAAAACAATAAAGCGTAGCTACTAGCAGCTCAAAGAATGCATGTTTGAAAATCTTTATGAATTTCCATCAGTTTCATTAACACTTTTAATGTAAAAGGACATTACAAACTTTTTTGCTAAGACCATAATCAACTGACCATATACAATGGAGCCCCTAATATCTCACAGAATAAAAAAGTTAATGAAGATTCAGCAAATTTACAAACATTGACAAACATGCTCATTTATTAGCTGCTAATCATATCTGCTACCATTCATTGCTCTTGAGTAGACAATTGCACATATATTTTACAAATTGGACATGTTTTATCAAACAAGAAAACATATTTACATTTTCCTCTTTTGGAGGCTCTTTATCTGGTAAACAGAGTCCTGGGAACTTTTTCCTTGTAAAGTCTTCCTCCACAAGCTCTTTCTGGGTTTCTTTTGCTGTAAAAAGAGTGTCAAATACTATGTGGTTAAGAGAATTTGATTTAAACTTAGAAAGAATCAATTAAAAATTGGAAGAAAGATGCCTTGTTATCTGTAATGAGGAACAACACAAAAATATTTGGTAATATAGATAAAATTTAAAAAGGAAAAAGTGTGAGAACAAATTTCTTATAACATTTAAAAACTCTGTCTGAGCTAAAGTCTATTGAAAAGTTTGATCATTAGAATAAGCATCATGTGCAGCAAAAAGATTACAAAATATTACCCTTATTCTTCTTCTTTTCAGGTTTCAATTTTTGGATCAATCTGTACAGATTGGTGACAAGAGATTCCTACAAAGAGCCATTAGTAGATAAACAATCACTGATAGTGGCATTATTTAGAAAAATCAAACATTACAATGACCCTCTAAGATAACTCCAGGTAATGAAGGGGTTTGCTGTTTAAAAATTGCAGAATTGATGCCTATCTGCTCAAATAGTAACAAAATCTTCTTCCTTCTCACAAGACAATCATCATTACGCATACAGGTGTATGTTTATATAGTGCACTCATTCTGACATATAGGATGCATGTTTATATAGTGCACTCCTTCTGACATATAGGATGCATGTTTATATAGTGCACTCCTTCTGACACCGCCAGGATTGAATGTTGAATTTTTGCTACCCTATGTTGTATGGGCCAAGTGCAAAAAAGGAAACAGAGTAACTGTGTACCACACAATAATTTTTCATATTTCGCACCTGCAACAAATTTGGTTCTGTGCTGGACATAGGATTATGCTTTAATTTCATACAGGGTGAATGATAGTTCTTATGCATTGAAGAAATTTTACCATCCAAACAGTTTTCCTATCAATTTATTTCTAAATTGATGTAAAACAAATAAAAATTGTTTTAGGTAAATGATACTCTTCAGAGTATAAAACGTCAGAACATAGACTAAAAACTCTATGCTAGGAAGTATATATTGGGTAGCATCTACTGAAAACCAAGGTTGTGCAAAAAACTATAATATGGTAACATTTTTTGGATTATTGGCAAAGCCAGATCTTCATTCCATCTAGTAGTTTTGAAATCTATCTACATAAATATGAAAAAACCGCTATTGTCCGTTTTCACCTTAGAACTCCCTTGGTAACATGCTCAATAGACAAGCGGCACTGATTGGGCAACCTCAACAGTCATGTGTTCGTGTTTCTGATTGGCCTATTTCGATCCACAACTGGGTATATATATTTCCTAGCGTAGATTTTTCGGTCTATGTTCTGACGTTTTATAGAGTGTCAGATGAAAAGCCTCAGCATACTCAAATGTTTGCTTTTTTCAAAGCCATCTTTAAGCTTTGTACCACCAAAAGATTGTTTAGAACAAATAACTAAGAGACATGCTAAGTAACTTACAGGGAAATCAGCTCCTTTCTTTAATAGATTTTTCTTGAACTTTTCAACACTTTTGCTCTTTTCTCCAAGCATAATCACAAATTCAGCTAAAAAATTATAAATCTCAATCAAACCATTTTCAAAAAACAGAAAAATGAATTGTTACATTGTGACATACATTATGTCAAATGATACTAGCTTGCACAAAGGTAGCATGCATATTAAAATAAGCGCAGAAAAAATTAGTGTATGATATTAGTTAGCATAGAAAGAGTATTTGGTTTTGGAAAAGCTGCATACACATAATTATTTTCATCCTAGTGGCATGAACTTTTTCTGCATACTTTGGCAAAGATAATGTGATGTGATTGGCATACATTCAAAACTTGCATGGCATTTCTGGGTAGGGATTATATGGAATGCACCTTGTATTGAACTACACTAACATTAACATAAAATATAGTGTCTTACATCCTTGTCCTAAGATTTACAACTTTAATAACCAGTTGTCTCCTGGTAGTAGCCTCATAGCTTTGGTCCAAATTTTTCAGTTTTAGTTTTAGTTTCATAACTACTATACAAAAATAGTAACTTAACTAAAACAGTTCAATAGGTACTATTTACTGGCCACTAATACATCCTTATGGGAAATCAATACATATCTATCAAACAAGACAGATCGTACGATGAGTTTTGTTCAAAGGAGAAGCTCGTTCAGTAAATAATCCAGACTGTAAACTTTGTTTCTTGCGCAGGCAAGTTCATGTGCCTGAGTGCACGACTGTGCACCTGAAATCACACACTTTTAAGAAATTTGTATTGTTAATAATGTGAAATGTATTAAAATAGGGACTTTGCATTGCCAATATCCAAAAGTACACAGATGGAAAATTTGAGTACACTGGCAATATATCGTGGGCGCACAACAAAGTTTCAAGTCTGGTAAATAATCAAGGAAATAGCCCTCCTCTTTTTTTGAAGTGAGTCAGAAAAATTTGATTTAAGTTAAACTTTAAAGTTTGATATACCCAAAATAAAATAACGAACTTCGATAAAAAAAGAAGGTTCTTTAATTTATCTTTATATACATTAATCATTATACTGTACTTTCTTGGATCAACAATGATAATTACTTTCGAAAAGGAAGATCTTCTGCGTGGATTTCGGTCATGAATTGATTTGTCATTAATACTTTTCTGGTCATTCAACAACCATCAATCAAGAAGGTGGTAGAAGACATCCGGTCTGACTTAACTAGGAATATTCCTAAACAAAAGATGGATTTATATGATAACTTACCTAGCGTCTTGTCATTCAACCCAAGATGATTCTCTAGCTCTGTACAAACTTTTGAGACAAGTGATAACTTCTCAAGCTTTAATAAGTCATCCATGGTTTGATATGGATAAAACTCTGTTAGATGGTCTCTTGTCGATCGAAAAGAAGGAGGTCAATCTAACTCGGTACAAAAATTTTGTACGGCAACTTTACGTAAGTTAGTAGAGCAAAGCTTGGAAATTAAATTTATTCGAGTTTAGGAATATAATAGTACACAAATTTATCCTAAATTAAGATTTCCTATGAACACTAATTAAAGAAATTCTACAAACGTTTATGAATGTCGACAATCCGTACGCCATCTTTGTGTCTAAATGCGTGGACTCGTTATGATACAGCCTCGGGTCAACATCAACATAAGGGGGAATTTGTTCCCTTTCATTGCTTGGGGGGGGGGGCGATTAAGCTAACCTATCTTTTGGCATAAAAGCATGCTTAGCCCATGAATTTCATTTTTGCAAAGCCGGTTTCATAAGTAATGTTTACGTATCTTTTAATGGCAGTATTCAGCCGGCTTCATAAAAATCTTCAAGGTACAAAATGTAAACAAGTGTGCCAGGTTCATTCAAATTCAAAATTGAAATATTTAATTCAACAGCAATTAATGATATATGATTCAAAAATCGGCTTTTTTCTATCCCATATAAAAATTTACATTAACAAATTATCAAGCAACGAGCTATACAACACTACGAGAACGATACCAGGTGGAGCAGAATATCATGACTACCCCTTGGTTCCGGCCCCTAAAATGGACCTAAAACACAACTACAAAATGCTATTTATTTAATTCAAGAACGATTTTACAAAATAAAATAAAAGTAAAATGTTTAGTGAGAGAGAAGAATAAAAAGTTTTTGTTTCTTATTCAAAACGTTTGGAGGCGTGGATATAATATAGTGTTGCTTTAAGAATTTACTTTCAATTACTTTGCATTTGAGAGCCTTATTAAACCCTGAGGCAACAATATCGCACTTAAACTGCTTAGAGATACTAAGAAGCTACTGATGAATGTAAGGGAATTTAATTCAACAGGAAATATTCATTGAAATTTTTTTTTAACAGTTACTATTACAAAATGAAAGTTGCAGGACATATTAGAGCTATCTGGCCACGTGCCTTTTTTGACGTGAATTTGTGTAATATTGAAATTTGAAATATGAATTTGATTTAAAATTTATAAGATGTCATAATTCACGATGTTAGTGCATACATCGGAAGGGAACAAACAAAAGAATGATATGCTAAGATATAAATTTTATAAATGAATAAAATTACATAAATGTAAAAATATGAATGTGATGTAAAAGTGGGGATGGTGAACTTTTAGTTTGATAATCAGAAAGAGAAGAGTTTAGAGAAGTATTTATCAAAAAATCTTTATAGTTGTTGTTAAAAGTTTCGAACATAAATTTTACATTCTTCTAATTGGTACACATAATCAAAATAAATACTTTTAAGATTTGTAAATAGAGTTTCGCTGCAAGTTGTTTTCATAGCAAAACTTTTTATAGGTTTTATAGCCAATATGGTCTTAGGTGATGGGGGTGTCAAGGAGCGGTGGAAGCTGGGGGGCTGAGAGGAAGGGCTGTACTTAAAACAATACAAACACGATCTTGCTTTTGTTCATTGGCATGCTCAGCCTCCAAAACTCCATAGATTCCCCCCCCCCCATCATCCACCATGTAATACGCTTTGCAGTTCCTTGGATTTTACGTCTTCATGTGGGACTGGACAATGGAAATGTTGATTTTTGTAGACAGTCTTGATCCTAATAATCAAATTGATTAATCAAATTGATCCTTAACATTTCGAGTCAATGAAGTCAGCTAAAGAAATTTACGATATGACCCTAATTTTTTATTTCATATGATGGAAATAAGGAAGAAGGGAGAATAGTTCATGAAATTGCAAGTTTCTAAGGTTATGCATTTCAATTAATCATCTAACATGGTTTTTAAGGGTCAGGAAAATACAAAATGTGACTTAATCTGCTAACAGGGACACTGGGCCAATCAATTGCCTTGATAAACTAGAATAAACGTGGTTTAACTTTAAAAGATTATGTTTGAATAGGACCAAACAATTTTTCAGATTTGAAATATTTCTTGTTTTGTAACCAAGTTGATTGCAATGCTTCGACAAATTCTTAAAAAATTCCAGTTTTATCTTACTATTTGTTTAACCTTTCAATGCATTTCCTTTTCTTACAGTGCAAAAATAATAAGAAATGGCTAAAAAGTGACCATTAATAGTATTTTTGATCACAAGCCAGAACTCTTTGGTTATTTTGCTTACTTTGACGAAATCATTATCTCGACGAAGAAACGTGTAGAGCTCTTTGTTTCCCACAGTCGAAACCCTTTATAACAATGAATATCGAAACTGATCAGTAAATAATTCAAGGATTTCGCGGTCATAAGAGGACCATTACCATGGAAAATGAAGGGAATAACTATAGCCTGTTGTCAATGTCTTGCTGCTTGCTTATTTTTGCACGAGCATATCATGAATGGAACCAACATTAGGCCGCTTCTTACACTTTGAACAGCATCCTGTTTACACCGAATTCTGCCTTGCCAGCAAAATTCTTTGAATAGAAAGCCCCACCAAGACTCGAACGTTAGCCACAAGTCAACACGTGGGACGAGTTACTTTTTTCAAATAAATGAAAAAAGTATTTTGTGTAAGCACCAGGTGGCCTATGGATGATTTTACTGATTCAAGTGCTGCTCATTAAGCTACAAAGATGCCTGGGTATTAACTTTCGCAGCAGTTGAACACAAGTGTGTTGGTTGCTAGCTAGAATTATTTCCAGGGGCTCACTGTTCTTAAAGCCAAACTCACAAACATGGTAAGAAAAAAAGCAAACATAACTTATCTTCTTGAATCCAAATGACTGATAGTGAAGTGTGGCAAAAAGAGAAGGCCTTGCTTTGATATCGGAAATGGGTCGACGAGAAGACACGATATCGTCACAAACAACATACAAAAAGTCCAACTAATAAAACTGAGTTTACACCCGGATTTTTCCTTGGTTTTCTTACTATTTATTCTTATGTTTACCGCATTCATAGTAAACTGCCTCGATTTCCCGTCATGCCAACGCCCCCCTTCCTCATTATATATAGCCATGTTAGGATCGTTGTCCACATTCCTTAGAAAAAAGGATAGAAGCAAGAGGTCGCACGTAGACAGCAAATACAAAGGTATACTACACTGGGAGTTATGGAAGGTCATCGCACCATCGCCGTGATTTCTATGCTTATTTCTAGTGTCTGCAGCTGCAGTTTGCCAAAAGGGTGGAAGCCGAAGACTTTAGAAGAGAGAGCTACGGTGGCTGAGATGGTTTTTTACGGCAAAGTAATCAAGAGCCCAACTCAATGGCATTTCCCTGACTTTGGCATCTCACCTGTTCTCGAAAAGAAAAGTGGCTTTTATTCAGCAGAGATAGAGATTTATTGTATCTTCAGAGGAGATGTTGTCCCAAGGTAATGCTTCTGGATTTTTTATCCTTTGATGTATGATATACTTGGAGGCTACGTATATTGTGCATAAAAATGTTTCTATTTCGCAGAAATAATGGTGCTTAAGAATTTTCTAAAACGGCTGAAAAAGCCATTGGTTTTTTTCCCTAAAAATTGCCAACATAAGAGTGTACTATGCACTTCGAATTGATCAAAAGTATAGTGGTTGATTTCCTTTCTTACTAGTATCAATTGCCTACAAAATTATGGGGGTAATAACGTATAAAAAGCTAGCTATGCAACTTTATTGTACATCGAATAAACGCCCATTTAAAGTTAAATTTTTTCCTCTTTTTGACTTTATTCTAAGGCCAGAAAGAAACTTAGTAAGCATTAGATAAACGCATATATTCTATAATTATACTATTTTAATCATACATTAGAAAATTCACAAGGTCGAGTATCTTAGCTTGAATGAACTTTTATAATACCACAATTTCTTACGTCATTTTCGATGAAACAGGATATCAACGGGATTTCCAAGCAGGGATATGTGTCAGTTACTTTGAATAAGTGCTGTATCTCACAGATTGCGTAATTTAAATAAACTCTTTTGTATCCCAGAAATCTTTCAATAGTGTAAAAGAAATGGTGTTAAATAATTGTCATAATGTCAACTCAAAGAAAAATGTACAGGATAATAGAAAATCTCATAAAGATTACACTGAGGGTGTTCCTTGAAATCCATTGAATGTTCTTTACTAAGGGTGGTAAATAACTGGTCCAGGAGCCAAAGCTTGCATTCTAGACAGACCACCTAACTCCTCGGGGCACGTCCTTTCTTACAAGATACAGATAATGTTTGCCAACCCTGACCTGCTTCTTATTGACAAAGTCCGACTCTATGTCTGGTATGCTAAGACCAACAATCTACTGACCGACAATTCGTCTGGAAAATTAGTTGAAATAAAAATCGCCTAAGGTTAGGATTTCATTGGACATAGCAGAGATTATTGGCTACCTATTTAGAATTTTGCTTCATTGTTACCAAAGAAAAAGTAGGACGTTTAAGAATGCAAGATTGAATCTCATGTGAAATTGAAGAAAATAGAAATATGGTTAGATTTATCAGATCATTCCAAAAATTCTAAAGGCTTATTGGAAGGTTAAAGGATTGTCAGTTTTAAGTTGAAAAACAGAAGAAGACGTTCTTTCATATCTATTTCAGTCATTATTGTTGTCATGTTTGCCTTGACTTCGTAGATTTTACGATAGAGATCTACGATAAAAACATGTTTTGAGTGCTATACTGGAAGACTCTAAGCCCCTCCCCCAAGTTCTTGGCAAAATCATTTTTGCTTCTTGTCTTGATTCGATAAGAAAATGTGAGGGTAGGGGTAATATTTTGGCAACGAATTGTTTGTGATGTAATTCTATGATTTAAAAACTGCCTTTATGTAGCCAAAAGTTAGTCATGAGCGTTTCTTATTTGTAAAATTGGCGTCCCTTTGTGATAACAGCGCTTCTTCTGACATGAATGCGGCTAAAATTTTTTTGTTTTAATAGGTATGTAAACATATCTGGCTTTGGCTATTTACCTGGGCATTGCCTTGAGAATCATGCTATACAAGAAGAAAAAGGAATATTCTTTGTCAGGTATGGCGTGAGTGGGGAGCTTGTGTCCCAAACAGTGAACGTTCAAAAGGGATTGTCACCGGTGACTTCGACATTGTTAATGAAAGTCCTTAAGGCGGTTGAATTATCTACAAAAAAGGTTGGCCTTAACAGGAATTCCCTCTTTACAAGAAGAAAACGAGGTGGTTGTCCAGTGTTGATTCACTATCAAGCATAAGGATATGGCCGCAGCAAGAACCATCCATGCTTCAAGTGTTCCCATAGTGCCGCACAAAAAAGCTGGGAAGTTTTTCAAAGAAGGATGTTTATAAGAGCAAAAATTAGAATTAAATGTTGGTTTGCTTATTATGTCATATTATTCTAAGCGTAGTTTTTTTACAACCACGTCAAAAAAGTGCTAAAGAGAACTGAAATGTTCATCGAACAGTAAAGTAACAAGAAAATTTATGTAGACGTTCAAACAGTAACATTGACAAGCGTTTTCGCTTTATACCTTAAGAAATATTGCGAAAATCGTAAATCCATAAATAGTCATAGTCAATTATTTGTAAATTGTCTTCTTTTCTTTTGAGTTGGTAATCTGCAGCAAAATCACTACCGTATCACATTTGCTTATTTTCGAATATCTCAAAATTGGATATGTTGTGTGCAAGAAAGAGAAGGTACAGGCCGCTCTTCAACGAAACTCTAAAAATTCACCTCAATTTCCCCACCACTGAAAAAGGTAAATTTCAACCAGTGAAGCTGGCCTAAGGGACATGGGCATAGCAGATCGAGGGGCAAATCACTCCAAGAAAATCTCGTACACCTTTTGTGAAAATCCTATTGTTTTATCTGAAAATCCCCAGAAATCCTTTTGTTTTAGGGAAAATCTCGTACGCTATTTTTAAGAGTGAATTGCCCCTCGTAGCAGATAACAACATGATATGGTAGGTGAAGAAGATACATGTGTTGAGCTCTTGAAAATAGGAGAAATTCAGCGCCAAAAAACAGCCGTTTTAAAAAATGTTTCAGACTTGTAAAAAGCCTTATCCAAAGTGAGGTACTAGTCTCTCTAGAACTAATGAAGCATTAATGGCAGAGGACCCTTCTTAGAGTATAATACATCAACTTTAATAATGAACATGAGCTAGGCGAAAATATCTATGCAGGTGCAGATCGAAAGTAACGTGACACGAAAAATGACGTGCTTGACTTCCTACCTTTTAAACCGAAAAGCGGTCACTAACCCCTTTATATAGCTGAAGAGTAAACAAGAGAATACAAATTATTTCTGTCCATAATGCTCAGGTTTTTTGCTTTTAATGTATACATATTCCAAAACGCTGCAATGAAAGACGACCAGGCTTGAAATAGTCTTTGGTATATGTTTAGTTAACTCTGGATTTTTACTATTATTAATATAGAATAGCTCTCCTCGTTAAGGAATCGTTTCGTGCCAGATATTCATCGGACCCCCTCCCTCTTTTAATTTCTTCATAGTATAGATTTTAAATGGTCGAAAAATCCCATATCCTATCAGGAGAGTGCACGGACAAAAAGTGGATCATGCTGTACTTGTCAAGCGTGGCATCGGCAGGAAAATTAATCAGAACAAAATCTCTTTGAATGATGGGAACATGACCTTGGTGCATGACCTTGGTGCTCTAACCACACGAGCCTTCACAGTAGAAAAATAATTTTTCATCTCCGTTTTATTTGATTTTCAGACTTTGTTGAAACTTTGCCAATCCAGCAAATACCCAATGTAAAGCACACCTTTTCAAACATAGGACTGAGGATTTGAGGAATCCTTTCGGAGCCATTTCAGTGACCTTTGCTGCTAAAAACTTTGCAAAACTTTCATTTGACGTATTGGACATCTTTTCATAGTTTTAACTAATGTCTGCTCACTACAAGATTCTCCTAATTAAGGAAATGGAAGCTTTTTACAAACGTTTCCAAAGTATGTCAAAATGGAAATTAATCTCCCTTTATAAAGGCAGAGTAGAAGAGAAAATTTCTTTTACAAATGAGATAGTTGTAAGACGATATCGGTATGTGTCTCGTGTCTCGCCAAAATTTTACGACTGTGCATTTTGAAACGTGGGAAAACCTTACTTTCATTATGGCTGACAATGTAATCAATACGCAACAAAAGCACTGCTAGGTTCTTATCTTAGTCCAAAAAATTACGTAGACCTCACCAGTCATTGGCGGATTCTGGGTACATGGCGTCTCTCCATTAACAGTGGTAAAGCTACAGATAACAAATATCACAGATCACACATTCCAAAAAGTGACGACGGTTATGAAAGACAACCACGGATCAGCCGAACCATGCAGTCCTAGCCCTGGTAATTTTATTTCATTTCCGACACGATCAAGGCTAACCAAGTGGCTAGCCAAGTGGTCCTATACCCTATAAAAGGTTGTGTATTAAAGAAAGACCCATTTGACTTGAAACTCAATCATTCAATGATCGAAAATTTATAAAAAACAAGATGAAACGAAAAACAAAGATTATCAACTGTGTGCTAGCAATGGCTTAGTGCACTTAATGCAAAAAAATCTACACAATATTAGAGAATCGAAATCCTCAACTTACTCTTCAAATGAAATTATTTTCTAAAACAGCTTTACCCGAGAATTTCCTCAGATAAAATAATATGATAATTTGCTAAACCAGTGCTTGAAAAATTTAAGACCTAGGCTGTGGAATGGACTTGCAGATGAAATGAAATCTGCAAGTAGCACTAACATTTTGAGAATTGATACAAAAATTGCCAAGGCACAGTGGAGAGAGAGAGCTGATGCACAAGTGTCCCCAAGAATGGAACCAATTTTCCTTCAAAGATAGCAACATGTATTGCAATCAAATGATTTACACTGTCATAGAAAGTAACCAGTTTTTGATAAAACACCATTCACGATGAATTAGAGAAGCCGTTCTGGAGTCTGCAAAAAAGAAGCAATAAATCATTATCATCTTGGAGAAAAAATATTGGTATGAGCTTGGAGCAATCTCGCAGTAAATTTGGTTTTACTTTGATATCTGCACTATGTTATTTTAATTTGTTTAACCAATGTCAGCATCGACTAGGTATAATCTTGATGTAAACGTTACAAAGTTGCAATCCTGAAAGAAATAATTTGTTAATATCGTCAGGCTTACATTTTCATATACAACATGCGTATTATGTTTTCCCTCCTGGCCTTGCTTCTTCGTTGCTGGTTTAAAGCTACGTTCAGGCTCAAGGTACTCTCCTGAATCTTCCGGCACCTTTGCTCTGACATTGTGAGTATTGCTTAGAAATGTCTTTAGCTCTTGTTCGTATATGGTCTGCGAAGGGTTTTGAGCTCCCTCTTCAGTGGCAAACTTTGGATTAGTGTAACCATTTTTAAACGGATCCTCTTTTATTACCTCAAGGGGTACAGTGTTCTCGTTGCTTTGATAATCTGCAAGGTTTTCTTTGTATGCCTGGTTTACATAGGCCGCCTTTGTCAAATTGTAACTTCTTCCGTCCTTGGTCAATCTGAAAATTTAGACAATAAAGGATTTTTGCACTGTCAGAAAAGAAACAAGAGCAAAAAAGAAAAGAGGGAGAACAGCAAAAAGGAGCTATATCTGGCCAAAGCTTGATGAAAATTAGTTGAATTAAAATTACGATTTAGTTTTTTTGACAAAAATGGCCTTTGATGATACTGAAAAGAAATTTACTTTAATGAATCTACATCAAAACTTTTAATAAAATTGTTTTATCACATTTTTGAGAAAAACTGAGATATGTCCTTAGACTTAAACGCAAATTGCCTCTTCCCAAAGTTTAAAGATATTATTGCTGCCAGATAGTAGATTACAAAGAGTAGCGTGAACAGAAAGTGGCTACTCCCTGAGTCGCAGCCTAGAAGTTTCAGCCTTACATACCCATAGTCTTGGTAATAATACTTCTTTTTGCATCTAAAGCAGCAAGCCAGTATGAATACCAACACCAAAATGAATCCAGCAGCACCAACTATGATCCAGATCACCCACTCAACTATTGAACAGAAACATTAGAATTATAGTTTTATTTTGTAGGTCAGTGTTGTCGGAACATATTTCATTCAGTACTAAGGATATAGAACACTGATATAGAACATTCATGTTACAAAGGATATAAAACACTGCTTGGCAACACTTGTTCCACAGAAAGCTAAACTATTGTAAGTTAAACTAAATTATAAGTAAAGCAAATTTTATGTTGCTTTTAGGTCATCTTCAACACTGAAGATGATAACTGCAAGAAACTGCCCATCTCTGATGCATTCTACGATCTTGTGGGCTTTTTGTTTCGAGGATCCTATCTACCAGACCATCAAGTCATAAAGTATATAAGCTCAGCATTAAAACATTAAAAGGCAATAATGTTATGCCAGTTTTTCATCTATGTAATTCTTACCTTCATCACAGCTTTTTTCATTGCAATGTCTTGTTTGAGTTCTGGCTCCAACGATTGAACAGTTCCTCCCTCCATGCATTGGAGAAGGGTTTGTGCACGTTCTTGTCCGTTGTTGGACCCCACCTCCACAAGACTTGGAGCAGCTACCATAGTTTGACCAATAAGTGTAATTGCCATCTATATCACGGATATAAAGTAAAGGGATGTAAACAAACATAGCTATATTGCAATCAAAATTCCAGATTCAAAAACAGTTTACAAGTCTTGAAGCTACGCCTTCTATAGACTGATGTTATCATTACATTTGTATTTAATGCAAAGTCAACAGAGATAGCACTTGGGAGCTTTAAAGTACTGGCTGCTGTGGTTTGACAAGCTATGAAACTTAAATAGTTCCAAACTATAGGATATAACAGTGACAATGAAAAAGATTTTCTAGAACTTCAAGGTTTTTCCGACATTTTATGGCTTTTGTTCTTTCAATTTGTAAACACAGACCTCTTTCTCTTTTTTGGTCTATGGGGTAAGCATGAATTATATATTAATTTTGCTAAAAGTGAACTTGCTATTTCCAGCTGGTTCCTTGTTCAATTAGCTTCCGTTATCTTTGATCAAAATGCTTCACTCTTGATATCGATGTCAAGATATAGAGGGTTTAAAAATTCTAGTTGCATGCATTTAGAAAAATCTTACCAACAGGATAACTTCTCAGGCAGCGGTGCCCAGTGAACCCAAGGCTGCAACTGAAAAAGACGCCAATATGTTTCTTAAATACTACTTTCCACAACTGGTTCAAATATTTAGCATTAGAATCTAGCTACATTTTGGCATTAGAGTGTATTCCTCAGAATAAATTCTTCATATAAAACCTTTGAGGATTAATGTCTAAGAAGACGTCTGTCACAGAGATCTTGCCTTCGTAACATCAATCTACATAATAACTTATCCTATCTGCTTTATTACTAACCATTTATATTTCCATCGTTTTCTATCACTTATTCATAAAGATACGACAACTTTATGTATTTTTCAGATGAGCACTTATGTTGGCACACTATAATTCTTTCCTATAACAGGATTGTTAGCAGAAAAATTCCATTTTCAACAAATACCCAACATTAGATGAAAATTAGCGTCTGCTCTTCCAAAATTAAATGAAAAACATTTACCAGCTTTTACAACCATCTATTGAATCATTTATTTGCTGAATACTGTTGGGGTTAAGAAAAAAGTAATTTATTCCACATGCAAGAAAGCTGCTTGTTCTTCTCCATAATAATCAAATATAAAGAAAAGTGTTAAATGAAATGAAAAGGCCTAAAGACTCACGAGCATGTGACGTCAGCCAATCCTTCGTGACATTCACCTTGTCTGCTGCAGCTTATATTAGAACAAAGCTCTAAAAAAAGAAACAATAGCAAACTATGTAACAACTGTTATCTGATTTCTTCCATCGGTGTAGCAGGGCTTCTTTTAATTTGAGTTAATGTAAACAAACATCAGGCATAGTTGCCAAAAACACTTTGAGTATTAACTCTTCTGACTTCAAGCGCAATCAATAGACGTTGAATTAAATACATTCTTTTTGATCTTCTAGCTTATGTTACAGAAAGTAATGTGGAAATGTGGAAAGGTTAAATAAAACTGGGTTATGTTACCTTTCACTGAAGATCTAACGAAGGCGGCGCTCTTGGACAATACATTCGTCAAGCTCGAAGCATTAACGTTTACTGTGTTTCTAAAGAAGATCTCTACTTCAAGCTGCACAATATTGCTGTTACTAAAAGAGAAACATATATTGCTAAGAATGAAAATGTTCATCACATTTGGCTTCATGATTACCTTGGATTTTGTGCCTAAACTTTAAGTTTAAAAGTGATGCCAAGGGATATCGAGGAACCCCCATTATCTACAGCTCAAGTGCCAAATTTAAATTGCTTCTATTGCGATAAAAAATTGGTACTAGAGTTCCCCTATAATGTAGAATCTTGAATAAGTTTGCGACTATCAGCTGCAATTCGGGACATTAAACAGCGGGTGATCATCTTCTCAATTTCTTATATCTTAGCAGGTTTCATTAAAAAAGACAGCGAATCCAAACTTACTTTGAAAAGTTCGGCACAGCAACATTCTCAGATGCATTCAATATCCTGCGTAACTGTGAGAAACAAAGCTTTATTTCAAACAATTTAGAAATACTTTGAAAATACTGGCTGTAAATACTGCGCAAATGGAATTAGACAAATTTCACTTGAATAAGAAGATGGCCTAGTTTTGGTCAATTGATCTATTTGGCGAGAATTCTTCAATTAGGTACACAGTTTATGACACACATTTGCATGCTTTTCGCAATGATATTAAGAAAAACTTTCTTCCTTTTTATTATTTCAAAAAAGTACTGTCGGTAATTATGCATTCTCCAGCACCAGTAAATGGTGTTTTCAGATTCCAGAAAATAAGGAGTGACACGGTCGAAAAACGCGCCGAAGGCCATTGAAAGCAAAACAAATATAAGTACCACGCCCTCATTATTTTTATATGAAAGATTGCCAAAGCCAGTGGATACTGTCTGGAGGAAAGATAAATACTCTCCTGGATTATAGGTATTTCATATCAACCTTTACTGGCTAGAGGCACCTTGTTTACTACAATCCTTGCTCTACATTGGCAAAAAGAAGAAGGAAGGCTTATTATTGCATCATATTATTTTCAGTTTACCAAGAATCTCACATGATTTGAATAAACTTGTGTAGATAAATTTTGCTTGACCTTCCAGAACAGTTGAGGGTTTTCAATGGTAAAATTAAAGACAAAGATATAAATGAAGAAAATTTAGACGCTGTTTTACCTAACGATAGGCAATCCCACCAATTAAAGGTTCTGCGGACCAACAGAAGATTAAATGACTAACTCATGAAGAATTTGGGATGTCACACCCTCCCCCACATCCCCACACCTTCTGCTGGCTACATCCTTAATAGGGAACGTTAAAGAACTATACCCAGATATCTTCTTTGCAAAGCATTTATGGGTGCAAGTTGTCCCAAGTCGTCAATGATATCGTGTTGACACTTTATTACAAAATACTTTCTCTTAACATTTCTATTCTTTCAAACAGTCTTTTCCCTGCAAAGTTTGCTTGAAACATAAATTTGATACAAGCAATTATTGTGCATCAATAGTTGATACCTACAATTTATCCTTTAGCCCTCACTAGCTAATAAAAAACTGCGTGTGATGATTTGCAACGAAACCGATGTCAAATCAGGCTTTCTGTTTAAATTGGATTACCTCATTGCGAACAAAGTATGACAAATTGGTGAATTTCTCCGTTGTATGATTCATCAAAGCCACATCGAATGTCCTGTTTGCTAGCAGGCTGGTTAAGTGAAAGATTAAAAATTGATCGCGGTTGAATGGACTCGATGTTGTTACAGGTGCTGTTACAGATGACGAAGCTTGCATAGAGGTAGATATTGTTGCCCTGATTCTTGATGTCAATGCTTTGGGTAGTGTCCATGTACTTTCATGTATAAAGCTTGAACTGATTTTTCCTGACATAGCCATACTTGATAGCGACCTCTGCTTTGCTAAATGTGTTGACTGAAGTGTCACAGTGGAAGCAGTAAAAATAAAGTTACTTGTACTTGGTTGTGGGGTAGCATTCAATGTTTGTAATGTCTCCGTATTGACGGAGGAAAAGGCAACTGTTGAAGTTGCAAATGTTTGTAAATGTACTTCATGTGTAGTCAACGCAATTTTACTCAAGGTATCTTGCTTTGAACTAGCAGCCTGTGGCCCAACTGTGCTTGATTCAGCAGAGACATTTTTTGAACTTATGGTTGACTGGGCTTCTTGGTGTATAAGGTGCAAGCTGCTTGTCTGAAGGAAGGAAACCGTGTTTCCCTGAAGTGAACCATCTGTTTTCAAATAAATGTTTTGAGAAGGGGTTGTAACAATGTTTGCAGTGAATGTTCCGCTGGTACTCATCAGAACTGATGAAGAACGGTTGGATAGCACTACTGCATGGGTGGACAACCCAAACATCTGACTATGACTGCTTGCACTCCCATCAATCGTAGGTTCATATAAAATCGAACTTACTGTAAAGGTAGATGGTGAAACTGCAAGATGTTCAATTGTAGTATTAATTAATGTAGCATTGTTTAAGGCAGATACATTTTGTGCAAGCGCCTTCTTGACTATCAGTTGAGCTAAAAGCAGCACAAAACAGACGTTCTTTTTATACAACTTTTCCATTTTTGCAATTTTTAGTTTCTCCCCCTGACGAACCAATGTATTACTTTCTCTTAAAGAGAGCTTTACATCTCCTCTTGCTGCTAATCGCACTTCTGGCCAATCCTGTCTACGCGTTTAAAACGTCGTTTAGTCCTTTATTTCCTGCTATTTAGATTGCCACTCAGCATCTAAAGACAATGAAAATTTGATCTCTTCGACAGATTTTCACGGATCTTCATTAGCCAGGAAATCAGTTTCCTGAATGACTCATCTGCTACGTTTCTGTCGCAGTTGTGACTTCGGCAAAGAATCTAAATTGTTCTTCTATTCGAAAACATGCTCTTCTTGTTTTGCTTCCTGACTTGGCTCACCATTCCTACACACCCGCTATCTAAATGGCGATTGACATCGTCTTTGCGTCACCCGAAGATGTTTATATCAAATTAATATTTCATGAACATTTTCTATCACAATCCATTTTCACCTGCTAATTCACATTTTCTTTACAGGATTAATCCTATTCTACATGTGTCTTCCTAAACCTGAAACATGAACAGGATGTTTTGCACACTGAAAGTAAAAAATTGAATTAAAAACAGATACCCTGCCGTATAAAATCGATGAAAACTTCTAACGTATAAAACGGTGAAATTATAGTTGAATGACGTCACTTTTGTGTCTCCATAAGCAAAAACAGATTGGTTTGCAAACATGAATGAATGGTGAATCATCAACTAATTTGAATGGTTCTAAAATTGGTTCATTACTTCAGCTTTCTTTGATTGTGATACTCGCCCTCCCTCAGAATATATTAAAATTTAAGTCGTTTTTACCACTAAATTAATTCTATGTTCAAGCAGAGGTAGTTGCAAGAGAAGGGCGCCATTGAGACGGAGACAAGGAAACCAATTTCCCTAAGGTCCTGCGCAAAAAAGAGGGTCATTAAAGAGGCACTATTATGTCAGTTTGAACTAAATGGAGCATTTTTACGTAGGATAAAAGGAAATATTCCTGTATTTTTAGTTTGTTTCCAATCCATGAAATTACACATGAGTAGATGTCCCCTAAAAGAATAGCAAAGATTACGTTTTAAGAATTAATAATGGCAATCAACTTGAAATCCACAGGGGTTTCAACAGTTGATGTTTGCGCTACATTTTTCCGCACGTCAGCTCTTACTTGAAGGAAGAACAGCAATTATGACCCTATATTTTCTTCTAATGTTTCGTTTATCGCATTAAGTTCATAGACATTACCTGCTTGAGGTTCTGTAATCGATATCTTTCTCTGTTAGTGCTGGAAGCCCTTATGAAAAATTTCTCAGGAAAGTATGCAAAATTGAGTTACTTTTTCAGTATTAGCATACTGGTGACTGGTCTCCGGCCTCAATGAGCCTTATTGCCTTAGAAATAATACAGGGGCGGATCCAGAGCAAATTTAAAGGAGGGGCAGTTGGTAGTGGGGGCGCTGAAAAATTTGTTGACGAGAGTATGCTGTTTGCACAATTTCAGATCCATTTTCAGAATAAACAACTTAACTTTGATGTAATCCTTGAAGCAAATTAACCTATCGGTCTCAGAAACTTCTACCTGATTCTTATTCTTCAAAAGGGGCGCATAATTTCCAAAAAAGGGGCGTCAGACTTGCTTCAACTTGTCGAGGAAGGGGCAACTGCCCCTAGTTGCCCCCCCCCCCTTAAATCCGCCACTGAAATAATAGGGAATCCGATCCGACCCTTCCATTACCACTTACCCGCCGAAATTTAAACGTTCTGATATACAATAACAGCAGCAGCAGCAGCAACAACAACAAGTGTCAAACTGTCGGTTGACATCGTGAAGTAACATAAAATCAAACCAAAAGGTAAATTCATCTTACCTGAATTCTTTCTTGATTGATGTATCTCTGATATATATTTGAATATCGTTTTTTGACAGTTCAGTTTATTTTGGGACGTTATCTTAAGACTAGACAAACCTAAATATTAGTATACGAGGTTGATGGCCTAAGCTAGGCTTGAACTTCAACAAATTGAATGAAGGGTCATTCGGCGAGATCTCTTATGTATTCGTCTGTTTTAACTTTGAATTTTGTTATCTTCTAAAATCTCTTGTAAATAAGTATCTTATTTGGTATTTGTGGGTGGCTGGTACATAAGGTTAACCATTTTTTGAAAGAAGGAAGAACATCGAGAGAGAACGGCCTTGGAAAGTATGTGACTCGATCATTCTTTGGCAGTTTTATATTTCTTTATTTATAACAGATCAAAACCATTTGTCTTGTAAAAAGGAAAACAATTATCAACGGAAAATAACAGATAAGATTATTTCTTGGTCTTATTGGTTGTAGATCACTCTTTGACCCTTTTGCTGATTGTTGTTGCAGACTGTTGCACCTTTTCAATTGCAACTGATTTCCATAGGCCTACCAAAAATCCAGACTAGAGAACAGAATATTTAATCAAGAGAAGATATATTCTTTTGTTGTGTTGTGGCATGTGTACATTGGTAATACTTTGAACTATTAAATTAATCACGTGTTTTTTGCATAGTGTTATATTAGGAGAAACTCCTAACTGAGTTGATCAAATCTAAACAGCGTAACCTTTTCAGTTTTTAAAACTTCTAAATGTATTTGAACAAAATTATTGTTGTCATTGTTTATTCATTTGTAATTTTCAAATTTTTCTTTGTTACAGCAAATGATTTACTCAGGGCCAATTATGATTACCACCAGCTCAGGGAAAATTAGCTAAAACTGTTATTAATTCCAATAGTATTACATATGAAGATTGTAATCTTACCACCATATTGTTAGGTTTGCCAGAGTTAGATCATGTGATCAAAGTTTTAGATTCAAGTCAGGAGCAGTAATAATAATACTCGGCAACAGCAGTCAATTCTGAGAAATCAGTATGAAAACTTGTTAACCTTTTCAGCTAAGATTATAATTTTAAATTATCTAATTTAAGTTGAATATGGTGCATGTGTCTCAGAAAAGGTATGTATTATGATTTATAGTCAGTTTTCCTGCACCTCTTTTGTGCATCTTTTGGTTTAACATTGCTCTATTACCCCATTTGAAAATCTAAAAAAACTGAACCACAGCTAATTTTGTCAATTTCATTCTGATCATTATTCAGTTTTGGTTTACTGGTTGAAATGATTAGAAGCACATCTGAAAGCCATGGCTCTTCATTGCTAATTGGTAATCAGCATAGCAGCAATAGAGATGGTATGTTGCCAATGCTTTTTTGTAAATGCTGAATATTTTATTGTTATGAATTAAAAGCCCCCTTCACAGCTAAAATTTGTAAGATTTGCAATTACAATGTCAAATCAAATTTATTTTGTATCACTGTTTCTTATTCAATTTGGGGCTTCTCAATTTATCATTATATTCAATCATGAATCTCCGAAAAGTAGCTTTAACCAGATATGTCATTTGAAATACTTATAAGACAGCTATACTCTGTCCAAGAAATTTACTAGATTTTCTATATTTTTCATTAAATATACGTTTATGAATCTCCAAGTTTCAATTTGCTTTTACTTTGGACATATAAGTTGTCAAAAAACCATTTATCTTACCATTTACCTTGGCTTTGCCTCATTATTTTAGCTGTTAAGATAGTTCCTGTTTATTTGTTACAAATCTTGTTCTGAAATATCTTCTTTAGGGTACAGTGATTTTTCTCAGATGAGTGACCACCCGGTATGAAAATTTGCTATACAGCTAATTAAAGACAAACTGAATAAACTGAACTCTGTTTTTCAGATTGATATGTTCCACTTTCATATTTTTGCAATCTTTGGCTTGTCTTATAACCAAATCAATGCCAAATATATCACATATAAACCTTGTCAAAGCAGTTGGTATTTTCAAACATAATTTTTTGCAGTCTCATTGCATTGCTTCTAATGTTATTTTGTAGGCATTTTGTGACTGGCCATTGAAAATGAGAAAGATTAATTCATGATATTCTATTTTCTAACAGTGGAAATATGAATTTTATTGTATTTCTTATTGTTGTTCATTGGATATGTAGTGATATCTGCTTCTATGTCATGTGCTAAACTGCACTTTTCTTTAAACTACAGATTGAGCAAGCTGATTGGTATAATGTTAATTCAAAACTCAGGCAGTTTGGATATGACCCTGTTATACTTACACATGTTAGTAAGCTGAATAGCACTGCTTCAGGTTAGCTTTTGTATTGCTTTCAATTTTTTGTTGAATAGTAGCTAAGCTGTTTTGGATTATTTTATTCACAGATTAGAAAACCATTGAATTCTTGGGCATTCAACTGAGAGGCTTGGAGGGTTATGGTCCAGACTAGCTTATGAATCACACCTTTAAATATATAGAATTGGGGATGACAGGGTAAATAAGCGTCCCAAAATAGAATTTTGTCTTTTTGCAAGGAAAAGAAGCTGCCCTTAAAAGGAAGTAACCATTTAGGATAAAGAAAGTTTTGAATGATAAAGAAAGTTATTAATTTTGTATCCAAAATAGATGCCAAGGATGATCAATCTTGATGAAAAAAGAGCAAAACTCTTGATCTAAATTGTTGTTGAAAAAATTGTTTAGGTCAAAATACTACATAGCTGCTGTTCAAGGTCTTACGCTCACTCAGAGACTCACAAAGTTACCATTTTCCCCAACTGGCAACTTCTATTCAACTGACAGTGATTATAAGATGAAGTACTTTAGTTTCATTGGTCATCTTCAACTGTACGCCATATAATTTAGATAATAGTTTTTACTCCTAGTGAATCTCTAGCAACTGATAATCATTCAATCATGAATAAGATATTATCACATTGTTCAGTCGGTTCTGCAATATACTAAACCAAACACAATGATAGAATTTAGATAGATAGTTTTTACTCCTAGTGAATCTCTAGCAACTGATAATCATTCAATTATGAATAAGATATTATCACATTGTTCAGTCGGTTGTGCAATATACTAAAACAAATGCAATGATTCACAAGCAAGAGATGAAAACACAAAGTTGACTTAAGAAACCTTTTAGATGGAGCTTTCCCTAAAAGTAAACAATGTAGACTGGTGCTGTCATTTCAATATCAGATCTTAATTTTTGCAAATACTAAAAGCAATTCAGGGGTGGAAGCCATAGCATTTTAGCTCTCTACCAGGATACACCAAGGTTGATGCTGTTCAACGACCACACATTGCTGTATCTTTCACATTGCTGATGTCCATATGATGTGCTTTCATTTGAAGTTGCAAGTCCCTGATGCAGTTGAACATATTTCTTAAAACTATTCTTGTAGCTATTAGAAATCCCGCTCAGATGGCATGTTGTTATTTATGTTTTTTTACGATTAGAAATTGATCGAAAGTTGCAGTTGATAAAGGCAACATTTATCTTAACTTGATAAGATTAGCAGGTGTTGTGATTTGCTATTTTCGATCGACATCTATAACGTATCTTTAAGCTGATCTCACAATCGTTTACTTTAATTGCATCTTGCTTTTGCAGGGTTTGTCATCCTCGATGAGGTGGTTGCTAGTTCTTTAAGAATGACAATAGACAATCTTCTAGACGACTGTGAAAGAAAACGAGATCTTTTGAAGGAGCTTGTCACATCTTCTAACCAAATACAGTATGTTTCTTCATAGCCCCTGTTTCACAGTTCGACGAAAACACCTACTCGGTTTGCTTTTGCCTTTAAAGTGAACTGTGTAGCAAAAGAGAATATGCATTTAGTCAGTTAGTTTCGACTTTAACAAAATACCACACTTTTTTTCGATCTGAGTTATTCAAGGCTAGCACAAGCTCTCCATGACTTTAACCCCGCGTTTTCATTTTTTGATGAAATATGGTAGACATCACTGGGTTAATTATTTTGGGAACAATTACCTATATTTTCTTAAAACAGGACAAGGTAGCTGATTAAAGGTGTAAAATCTGAAATATATTAAAATTGATAGAGGGTAAAATTGGTACTAAAATTATGATAGAGAGACGGCGGTACAGTTGGTTAAGGCATGTAGGGGTGGAGTCATAACACTAGTTTGAAACGTTTACAGGGCCCACGCCACAAAGGTGGAGGGGACAAACTCTATAAATCGAACTTGAATTTAGTGCTTCAAAACAGAGCCTCTTTGTAAATATTTTGCTTGTCAAAAAAGTGGAGGGGGGAGGGGGGCTCCGCCCCTTCACTTTGGCGTGGGCCCTGGTTTATAAAGGTAAGGGAAACATGTCAGGAGGGCACTTCAACATTTCAAGCTCCCTTAGAGACAGTTTTTTAAGTTATTTTAAGCTATTTGGGAATGAAAAAATTGCTACTTGATGAGTAAATATATACCTACTAATTTTGATGAGCATATGCTAAAGCTGATATTTTTCTTTAAAGAAGAGACCTTGATCGTGTTCGAAAGAGCCATGAAGATAATGTCAAGGAGGTATTATAGTTTCATGATTATTTTCCTCTAGCGTTTAGAATATGTCTTAATCTAAAACTGATCCCGACCTGTGTATAGAGAAAAGGGTTCTTTTTCTATCTTAGACTCTGCAACAAAGTGAGATGTTAGCGTTTGCAGATTGATAAGACATTCCATCCATCCGCACCTGATATAAATTATTGCTTTCCTTGAATGATTTTACAACGTTTATACGGTTGTCAGTCAGAAGGCATTTACGTTTGCTGTTCCGTGCTATCTTCAACTCAATAAGCTGAAAAATCATGATAGATTTTGAAGAATTTTTTCATTTTGATTTATGTGGATTTAAGAAGATCTCCCAATACCAATCTGGGTATAAGCCGTATTACTAATGGGTAAAAAATGACCATAAATGCAAGAATTTGATCCGCCGCAATGCTGGGAAGGCGTCCTTTGTCTATCCGAAAAATGGGAGGAAGATGTTTATTTGTTGATGATACAATTGTACCTTTGTCTATACAATTGATGATACTTTTTCACTGTAATTGGTTTAGTTTGTGAAAGGTCGCGCTCTTTGTTTCAGATTTTATCCCTGCAAGCTTCTCTGCAAGCAGAAAAGATCAAATGTGAGGTACCCCTGTCATATGCGTTACATTTATCTCTGCAGTAGCTTAGTACATTGGCGGTGATATGTAAAATATTTGTAGTCCACTTTTATATAATTTGGACCAGTGGAATTCGATCTTTTTGAGTGGTGCGGCAAGCACAGCTAATTTTCTTACTTTTTTTATTAGCGTGGCTGTTTCTCTTCCATTTCCTATGCAAAATATCTTATTGTAGAGGTAAATTTTCACGTCATGTCGAATAAGAGGGGCAGTTACCCCGCCTCCCTCAACTCCATAATTTCCGCCACTGCATTGGAAGCAGTCGGGCAGCTGTGTGAAGCAATTTTCCTTGAACTATTTATATGGTGACTACGGCACATCTACAAATAGCAGCACTCATGTAGAAGCCACCTTAATTGACATTACTGCCCATGTCGAAACTCTGTTATCATATTTTCATACTTGGAAAACAGAAGGTAGGCTAATTCAATTAGCGCCTCTAGTTTTAACTTATTCGAGTTTCATGAAATTCTCTTTGCATTGGTCTTGACTACCTACTTCAGGCAGTTGACGGCTTGGTCATTTACTGTAGGAAATGGCAAGGCAAAGGGAGGTAGAGTTGCACAGTCATTCAGAGGAGGTTCAAAAGCTCGTGGCCGCAAACTCAAAGCTACAGACAAAGTTGAAAGAGCAAAAGGCCAATGTTGTCATACCAAGTTTTCGACCCAAGGCACATGAATTGCAAGAGGTGATGATAGTGAATTTTCAGTTCAATTGCATCTGTTGTTATTAATTCGCAAAGAGCTTCTTTGAATTTTTGGTCTTAAACTGGGCTTTTTAACACCACATTCTTCATAGGTCCCTGAAGAAAGATCAAGAAAGGCAGAAGAGAGAAAAGAAACAGAAAAGGAAGATTCGAGGTTTGAATTCTTAATTTCTCCTTGGTCACTGTTTATTTCGACTAGATCGCTGTTTATTTCTATTCAGGTTTAACCACGTTGTTGCTTTGTCTAAGCAATTTTTGTAAATTTTTGAAATATGGGGAAAATCTGTTATTATATTCCACATTTGCTACTTCCTAAATAATCGCTAAAGTGAACGGGTCAAGTTGTATGATTCAAGTGTAATGATGATGATCTACCTTTCTCTTATTATACCGAAAGCAACCAAATCTGTTGTTTGACCAAAATAATCGATACAGATCAAAAGTTTGCTTTTCATACTGATGTAAACTTAATTCTTATTAACCATTTGATGACTTCTATAATATTCGACCAGCTAACTCACTAGTCAAAATAGATTTCTTTCCTGGTTAACTCACCTTAAAAATTTTTGATCGATAAATTTTTGTATATGTTAGTGGATCAATTTGTTGTGCAGTGACATCACAAAAATGCGATTCTTGCATTGTAGAAAGTCAGTTGATGAAATAAATAACTATGATGAAAAAGTCTTGAAAATGGAAGAGGAACTAGAAAGGTTAAGGTGAATCATCTTTCAGATCACTCTTCAGTTTTTTTGACGTATATTAGAATCTTTAATTTTGATCTTTCACCCTTTGCGAAAAGCGCTATCCTTTTAAAAACCATTTCCAAATAAAAATCATCCGCAGATGGTCTTTTTTGTAATTTTTGATTTCCTCAAACCTCAATGAAACTGTTTACAACTTTTCCCTTGAATTTTTACAGGAAAAAATCTGTAAGAAAAGGTGAAGGTAAAGGGAAAACGAAGTCCTGTAAAGATCTTCAAAAGCAGCATGAAAGAGGCAGAGCTAAAAGAAGCATCGACAAGATATCATACGGAGACTCTGTCAGTAGTGAAGAGGGCCAAGCATATTCCGAGCTAACAGAATCTATGGACACTATGAGTTTGACATCAACGATCTCGTCTGGTATTAGCGATGCTGGGTTTTTATACAAGCGTTTGAAGGTACATTCTCAGCGTTTTGTAATCTTTAATGTATCAGTTACATCAGCTGTAAGCTGAAAAGTTTATTTTTTATGTAGGAAGCACGGAAAAAGTAAGGGTGTACATTTTCATCTCCTATTGGTATTTAGAACGTACAAGAAGTATTTGGAACGTACCAAATCAATGGTGATGATCGTTTTGGGAGATAAATCTTAGGAAGTAAATCTACAATGTCGTCATTTTGTATCTGATATTGCGCTTGCACGAGTTTTTACTTAATGAAATTTGCGGCTCTTTGCGGCTAAGAAGATATATGCTATCTTGAAAGAGTTAATTACTTGTTGGCATATCATGCTAAACGGCGACAGCTTGTCGTAAACTTACTAGACAGTGAACTCTATAAGTCGAAAACTATTACTTATTTGATGGATTTTTTTTGGAATCTTAGTCTTAGGCCGGATTTTACAGCCGATTGCATTTTGTTTTATCTTTTTTTCTTTAAAAGCAATTTCTTTCTAGTAGATTTTTCTAAAAGTTCACTTAGAAGGATAGAAGTGCTCAGACGAACATTGGTAGACGTTTTAATTAAAAATTTACAACTAAACTTTATTGAAATTGTGTTTCTTTATTAAACTAATATGCTTTGGCTTCATAGTGGCTTTAACATATTGGGAAGGAAACTTGAGTTGAATCAGACGTAGAATCTGAAAGCTACCTTGAATCTCAGAGGTACTTGAGGGATGTGATGACCCGAAACCGTCATGATTTTGAAAGCTCTCCAAAATATCATTGAGAAATTCAATTATTCTTAGGATAAAATAAGATAATTTTGTCGGTCGCTAGTGGATAATATTGTTTGTCACAATGAATTTCATTGTAGCAGCTGTAACTTAAAATGTCATGCTCTAACGTACGGCATTCGTGCAACGTGCGTAGGTAATTTTGTTTCCTATTAATCTTATTAAGCCCTGCAGGGCAAGTAAAATTCTTTATGTTGCTAAAATGTTCTTATATGTTATTAAACTATTATGATATTATGGTTTAAATTATTAATTGGTAAACGGAAATTGTTACAAATTATCAAATTGATACTTTCTTTTGATAGATTACAGAGAAAAAGTTCAAGGAAGCAAAAAAGTTCATTAAAGAGCTTTCTGAAGAAAATGGAAAGCTGCTTGCTGAACTGGATAAAAGGTAAAGTCTTTATGTAATCAGCTTGAGAGGAAGTTGGATATGCTGTTATTGTAAATATGAACGGAAAGATTTCAAGTCCAACACAATGTTGTTTTGAATGTGTCTTAGTGTTACTGATATTTGTAAATTCTCCTATAGGCCAAAAGTAAAAGAGTGGAAGAAAGCATTGGTACGAAATAAACAAATGGAAAACGTTCTACTACAAAATAACTTGAGGTATTTCCACAATAAATTTTGTGAAAAACTTTGTTGACTTATAATTAACAGTAAACAGGGTGCCATTACGCCTCAGGCATCAAAAGACAACAGCAACATGCGGAAGGTCCAAAGATCGATCAAGCTGCTAGGAAAGGTTTTGTTGCCATACCACATCGCTAGCTCAAAAAGAATTGCAAAATTGTAATTATCTTATCTCCACTCAGGCTAATTAACTAAATTATTCAAGATGGGATTTAACACGCCTAAATTCAGTGTACGTTTTCTCTAAAATCCACCTGCATATGAAGCCACTCTGTTCTAAAATGAGGTCGAGCGGTGTAACATTGGTTTTCTTAGTTCTAAAACCGCACACTGAAATTCTGATGTAAAATCATAGGAAAAAGCAAAATATATTCTATTCTCGATAAATGGATTGGCATTACAATTCGTCACTGGATGCAATACACACCTGCCTGCTCTTAAATTTTTTCTTTTTGATACACAAGAGCCCCTATACACATTGCTATTCAGATTCATGTTGCAGAAGATTATTTTATTTGAAAAATTTACTTAAGTAAAAGAATTTTGTGCTCTATTTAATATGACTTTTCTTTAGTTCTTTCTTCCTATTATTTTACAGCCCCACTTTAGATGCATCTGAACCGAATCTAAGGAGATGCAATCATGTAAGCTTAACAATTAAATTTCATCTGGAAATTACTCTCATAACATGTAATCAGTATAGCAGAGTACGGTGTTTGGAAGATTTTCATAAGTTTGAAGTGGATTGTGATATTCTTTAAACTACCTTAGCCAAACGTTTAAATAAGATTAGTAGAAAACCTGTAAAAACTAGGCTTCTTTGCCTTTAAGTGGATAGGCACGAAATAAAGACTGTTCCTGTACCAACAGTTTTCTCGTCGTTTGATCAACAGTATTTCGCTTTTAATTTTTAGGATTATTTGATATAAAAAAAATGAAGTTATAGAAAAGTTGTTGATTAGCATGTCGATATTGCACGGAGCAATTTTATAGTTGCTACAGCACACCCTGTTATGTTTGAACAAAGATTTAAAGCATGTCAAGTATAAAGTCCTTTTGATGCTGAAGATTTTGCATTTTTTCAAAGCCAGAGTGATTGGCCACTATACCTCTAATATTAGCCAGTCATCTCTGATATTTAATTAGTGTACTTCGCTTCCGACCTTCGTCCTTAGGATCTCGTACTCTGAGATGTATCACGTAGAAAGCTTTCAAGAGCAATAACGCTTTCCGTGCAGTCTTCATTGACATTTATTGGTTGAGGTCGATAGTTACGTATTAAAAACCCTGTGTGTTTTATCTTTCTATTAAATTTTAATAACAAAGTAGATAATGTTAGGAGAAATTTGTTTTTTTTATAAAAAGAAACTCGAGTTAAGAGTAAAGTAATAGATTGGAAATAGAAAGGTTCTAGCATCTAGTTCGAAATGACTTAACCCTTAGTCATTCAATTTACTCTTAGTTAGGCAGATCTGCTTTTTTCTAAATATGACATTGAAATATGAATGTATGATAGCTTCTTACTTGTAGGCTCATTCACTGGCTTGAACTTATCAAGTTGTTTCTTTAACAGGTTGATGACATCGATTTCTTCCCAATCGATGTCTGCAGACAGCATCTTAAGGTAGGGTAGCTTGACCTCCCTTGCCAGACACCTTGTTTTAGGAAGTGCTGCTCCAGCTTCTTATGACACGTTACTGGGATCTTTGCATGAAAAGCACGTGTGGATTGCCCATTCAGTTACTTGAAGTAGTTTTTGTTATGCAATCTGCAAAGTATAAAGATCAGAAAACGACTAGGAGTGTTTGTTTGGATTTGTTTGGATTAATAATTTTTTAAAGAAAAAGGGTGCAGTTAGTGGCGAACTCTTTTATTTTAGTACCAAAGGTCCAATTTCCATCATAATGAAGGTAAATTTAAAAATGAATTGTAAAAATCATCGTCAAAATCAAAGATGGAATTTTTTATTCGAGTGCATTGTTTTTTTATTACTTCAATTTCTTCTGTTAGGCAATTTGCAATCGTATCGATGTTACCAACATCAATGATATAGCACGAAAGCTGGATACTCTAGAAGAGTCTCTTAATGCAAACTACAGGATGGAAAAGGTATTTAAATCACACTTCATTATCAAAGTCCTTTGAACTACGTCTCATTCGATAATTTCAGTCAAGTCAATGTTTTATTCACTTTGGTTGATTTCCTGTAAGTGTGGATAAAAGTTTTCATAAAATTAAGCGAAAAAACACTGTACAAGCAGTGGATACTCTAAGAAGCCATGTGTTATAATTTTGAATACCTCTTCTTCCTGGAAAAAGACGCTTCAACTTGTATACGTGGTGCAACAGCTATTGAAAAATTCGCAAACAGAGAGGCGTAAACAAGCTGTAGCCAGGTACATTCCTTTATCCCCAGATTGGAAGCTGGTACGATTTGAAATAACAGCTTTTAGAATATCTGTATTATAGTATTAATATATATGTATTCTAAAATTTATGCGTGATAGGTATTAAGAAATTTGCTGAAAACAGTTAGATCACATGAAAGAGATGTGGCCGATGATGTATCAGTTTGCTCAAGTAGGGCTGAAAATGGAAGAATGGCTGGTGAAGAACAATGGAAGTGTTTGGTGCCCACCATTAAGGTCTGGAGAGATGAACTACGACAACTGAGGGTAAGTCAGTTTGAAAGTATAAATCAAATGGGCATCCTTTATTTCACTGCAGTAAGTAAGGATATCCTAAAACCCTTTTGAATGGATTACTTCCATTCTCGCAGCGAAGCCCATTAGGTCGGATAGAATCATTCAAGTCATACGACGACAACAAATTTCATTTTTACAAGTATTATATGTATAGTTTCATCGTGTACATTTATGGTTATAAAGCCTTTGTTTTCAGTATGAGTTGAGTTCTAGAGTTGAACTAATATAGTTTTTACATATCTTATATTCATCTTTAGGATCTAGCAGAGGCCATAAATTTCCTCTCGGACAATCTTCTACCATGGAAGCAGAAAGACAGTAAAAAGTCACAAAGCCATGCCGTTAGTGGTAAGGTCTCAATGGAAACAATAAGAATTCAGATCAGGTCTCTGGCGGATGAATGCAAGACGGGTCCAATAAAACACAGTCGGGGTTTGCCGAGCAAAGCGGACTTGCAGAATGTCGTGGAGCATTTCATGAAGCTTTTCGATGTGGAAAATGTGGCAGGGACATTTGCCAGGATGAACGATATTTACGTGCGGAATTCTGAAATGGTAAACGTGCTGCACACATTGAAAGATCTCCTGGGTCTTGGTTGGTATTTCTGCTAGATTTATGGTTCTTGGTTTTGAAGGAAAAAACCCTTTCGTCGTGTTTTGTCAACCAATCTATTTTCTAAACTGCATTTTGTTGGTATTAAATCATTCTTAGTGTAGCATAAGGCAAGTGTTTTAAAAATGGATACTCTATTGCAAAATCATGATTTCAACTTAAATTTTAACAATTTATGTCTGTTTCATGTCCCTTCGTTTCGATGATATAAATTCTTACATTAAATTTGCTGTGAAATAAATCTCCCTTGTATGAATCTACCTAAGATTAGCAAATTACCCAATCTTCTTGATTTTGGATCCCTACACTACACTCTATCTAAAAGAGATGTTTAATTTTTACAGAAAAGAATGCCAATTCTGCAACAATTGTCAATGCTGTTGGAGCCCTAGCAAAAGCCAAACACCTTCTGCATATTGACGACTTGGATGCGTAAGTCAGCTTTTTAAAAAAAAGTAAACAAATATGTCAAGTGGATCCCAGTGATATGCATTTCATTCATGCAGTTAATAACAAAATATGTCGTTCTATCACGCTAGAGTTTCTCAAATAAGTTGAAAAAAGAATGAGATCCTAACAGAATTTGACTCTTTGACGCCCCAAAGACCACGACGTGCTTTTATGTACAAAGAGAGAGTACACTTTTTCTTTGCAAGAACACACTTTATAAGACCTTTATAAGCCATGCCATGCAAGATTGTTATTTTGTGGTTCAACCAGCAATGATTTATTGTATGTAGTATATAGTTAATAAATTAAACAGTTAATGTGTTGGAATTGAAACAACATTAAGAATACCGGAGCCTCAAATTATCCAGGAATTTAGAATATCAACCTTCAGCACAAATTTCTGCTTCTTTCAGAAAGAAAAGAATGTAAGCTGCAAAATAAAATGACCTATTTTCTTTTAAAACTCTTGTCCGCTGCCTATGGAGACGACCCTGTCTTACTACGAAATCGTTCTATATGTTTTGCAGTGTGATCAAGCAGCTGGATCAGTATGATGATTTCTATATTGCTTTTAAATCGGTGATCTCGGATCTCATGGAAGTCTTAGGTAATTTCCAGTATTTTTTCTTTGTCTGTGTAGTGTCATATTTGTAACTGCTTGCAATCTTTACAAATTAGCATCGTGTTGAACTCTCAATATGTAAATGAGTTTTTTTCATTTTCCAGGCATCGACGACGTCGATGAGATTTTGCCAGCAGTACGTGCCCTTGTGCGTTTCCCTTGAATTGCGGAGGAGATCTGGATCACGCAGTTTAAAAATTGTAGATTTGTACTGTTACGTTGTGCATTTTATCGTGTTTATAAATTTGTTCATTAATATTTTTATATAAAACAAGTATAGCACACGTGTCTCTGTATTGATTTTGTTCTATTCTAATGAAGCGCTGTATCTTGGAGGAAATACTGTTATGAAAATCGAGCAAAATACTGCCTTTTTTAATTGTACTTAGCAGGGTGTTGAAATAATTAAAATTTATTTGTTGATTGAGATCACTGTAAGGTAAAAAAATTTGATAAGAGCCTGGAAAATCAATCCTTGTTTTATCAACTGACCAACTAAATAGGAAAGTGGTACTTTAAAGTTGCGTAATTTAGACTGTTAGACTAATTTAGACCAGAGAATTTAGAATATAGTAACCTTGGTCAGGCTTGCCATTTGGCTGGCATAGATATGTCTGCATATGCAAAATATTAGCATAGTTGTCTAAAAAGATTGATTCTACAAAAGGAGATGCGCAGATTGAAAGAATTAAAAAGCGCGGAAAGAGTTCCTGTCTTACTACAATCGAAAACTTTGTTCTTTGTCCAGGGTTGTGATGGGAAATGAATAAGTATGGCGATGAAACGTATATTGTGGCCACAAATTAAAGTATCTATAACATATGAATGAATCTTGGCAAAATTAGCAATTCTGATTTGAGAATAAGCATTTGACTCACCAAATCTTGGTTCATCAAGTCCCTACCTGGTCCGCGAAAAATTTCCTTTATGATACACACATATCCAAATATTTTGGTTCGTGCCAAGATCTAGCCTGTGCCCAAGTCTCGAGGCCAGGACTTGGAGACAGTTATTACGTTTGTGCCAGGATTCATAGCATGATGCATTTGTTGTATCTGTCCAAACTCATCAAAACAACAACTAGTGCATAAAGTTTTCAACGTGCGTGAACTTTTTCTTGTCCTCACTTGTAACTGCTACCGCTATGGTCAGTGTAATCAGTTGGGTAGCTGACACAAACATTGCCCCCAGGAGACGAGAAATTGAATGCAATACACTTCAATCTCTCAATGCTCGGTTTAGGCGATGCTTCGTTGTACACAATTCAATTTTTAGAGCGACTTTTCCCTTTTCCAATTTCAATGGCATCAATTTCTGATATCTCTAGAGAGATCAGAGGGACATCTTCTGGAACAATCTCTTGGGTATTGATGTAATCGACGAAGCTTAGGCAAGGGGGATATTTTGGTAAGAAATTCCTTTTGTTAGAGACACTCGCATTACAGACTGTTTTGGCACTGTAAGTTGAATTATGGAATGTGCCAGTAAGACACCCTTTAACAAAAGCTCTGTTAATTTAAGACACTGACAACAGAATGCTAACAAGACAAATATAACGGACAGTCAATTTACGCAAGGTATTTGTCATTGCAGGAAATATACGAATTAAAGGTATGCTAAAATGTTTAAACAGGTAATTTTATGTGAACAACCATGTAAATGAGTAAATAGTAAGTTTTCAGACAAATACAAATACCTAAATATTACGAAATAAAGATTTATAACAAAGCTTTACTTAAAAATTTCAGTTGCTTGTATATCAGTTACCTTTGCAAACGAACAAATGTAGAGGCGCAACTGCCTTCAAGGCCCATAATTTATGTAATGATCTATTTCTATGCAATATATTGTTGCAATTGTACAAGCTTGTGGAAAACCTAATTATGACAGAAAACGAACAGAATATAACAAAATTATTTACTAATGTCTGTCTTAATTATTTAGTGTACAGTTAGGTGGTCTGGCTTGGTAGCTCTGGAAGCCCGAATTCATCTACCTTTACACCATCCTGCAACAGAAGGGATACAACAGCATAAAAACAATCTGTATAATGATTTTTAAACATAGGCTGCATATCAAATTGCAAAACAGAGATGTTCTTGGATCATCATCAGGTACAAAGCAACAGTTGGATTCAAATTATAACTCAAAGTCTATTCCTCAATGCTACTTAAAGATGAGTGGACTGCACAATCTACCTGGAATTTCACAAGTCTACTTCTATTTGAGGCTTTGATGTTCTGGTATCAAATATGTATCTTTTATGGAAAATCTATTCTTTATTGAAGCAATTTTCAAATATGGAAAGGAAGAAATATTAACCAGGAAAGAAATATGCATAAAAAAATAAATTCTAGGTGCATTCGGACAGAAACTGACTTAGAAACAACACAAACACCACGCTATATTTTGACAGACAAACATGTTATGTTGCCACGATAAAGCGTTCACTGAAACATGATTTAACAAGTATCGTCAACAAAAACCAATGAACGCATACCAATCACCCAAGCAGATCAAACAAATTTTATATAATAATTTCCACCTGCTGATTGATGACAAAGAAGTTTCGGACATTTTTTAACATTCACCCCTCATGGCTTATCGACGGGACAAGAATATTGGTGATATACTTGTCCACACAAAGATTCAAACAACAACAGACACTTTTGGAACAACGCCTTGCCACCACACAAAATGCCGCACATACTCCCACGTTCACACTTCAACCACAATCACCACCTACCACAGCTACTTCCAAATAAAGACACATTTCACATGCACATCTTCCTACCTTATTTACAGCTATAGTTGTACCAAATGCGACCTTCACTACATTAGGAAGACGCCCTATCAGTTAAATACCCGTAATGTAGAGAAGAAAAGACACCTTCAAGAATTTACAACAGATGACCCAGATGCCACAGTCTCCATTCATTTTAAAGGACAAGTGACACGCTTTTGGCGCCAAATTTTTTTTTTCATTTAACTTAAAGTAAAATGCTGTATGAGAGTGCTGTTGAAATATTTTTCTTTTCTGATTTCATTTTCCTACTTAAAAACCCTTTTAAAATTATGGCGGGAAATGAATCACGTGACACCGTGACGTAGATTGTGATAATTTGTTATTGCTTCTACTGGTATACAGTGCAATATTAATGTTTACAACACGCTTCTAAACGAATTTAGTTCGTCTGGAACTGTTGCGTCGTGTTTTGTAGACTCTCTAATAATGACAGGAAAATTCCGAGTTATCACAATGTACGTCATAGGGTCACGTGATAAAAAGCGAAATCGCGCCCCCTGCGCCCCCTGATTAGAATTTTTTGTTCTAAACCAGGAAAAACTTACTTCTAAACGATGATCTATAAGTTAATGAAAAGAAAAGATAGGGTGAAAAGTGTGTCACTTGTCCTTTAACAAAGATAGCCATACACAAGCCAACATGAAAATCAGTGGAATTTGCAACGCACCTTATAACATTCAACGCAAAACACTCGAAAAACGTATTATTTTTAAACTTGGTACTCTTATTTCTAATGGCCTTCAATAGAAAATTTTTGTTTCTTTCCTAATCCAGCTATTATCAATTTTCACCTTATCTCATCTATATGCTTTATACCCCTCACATATTTCCATCTCGTCTTACATTCTACGTCGTATTTTTACTACGCTCCATATAGTTCATTTTTCGAGTCTACTCTTCTATTCTCTTCTTAACTGTTTCTCCTTCTGTTTCATCTTATTGTGCAAAGTCGTTATCTCATTGTATCAATGACCTAACACTTAACAAGACTTAACACAATGACTTAAAAAGACCTTTGACTTTCATGCAACCAAAAATTACAAAAATTGATAGAACACTACCTCCGGACATTAAAAGTATGTAATTCAAAAGCAACATTTAATTATGGGAAGTAGTGGAAACTTTATACAGAATCAGTCATGGAATGTAGGCAAAACTTTTTGACTTGTGCCATTTCCAACTTAGCATGTTATACACACCTACTATTTCTTATCTCTGACAGTGTCAAAGAGAAGATTTTTGACATTGCTCTGAAACTAACCTTTGTTCGTGAGCCTGAAGCGTCTCTTTCAGCTGGTATAGTGTCTGGCGCAGGTGGTGAGCTTAGTGCATCATCCAAAAATGCAGCATCTTGGTCATATGCAAGCTCATCACCTAAAGCATCAAGCTCTGGAAAAGGCAACATTATGAACATGTTAGGGCAGAGATCTCAGAAGATGCCAATAAATATGCAAGACAATATGATAAACATATAGAAACTTTTTACTACTACTGGGTGAATAATCAAGTAACTGGTTGATGGGCTATATTGAAAACCAAGAAACAGTAAGTGAATCTCACAGTAAGTGAATGTCAATGAAGAAAAGGTTGGGTAAGGTTCCACTTTGAGACTATTTTGGTGCATGAATCAAGGCATTATAGCACACTTTGAAAGTACAGCTACTGATGCTTATGTTGTCCTTCTCAAATTAACCTGGTATTATATGTATCAAAATTGTCTTCAACATACCAGCTTCCAGGTCTGCGTCATCAATTTCCGGAGTACCATATTGCCTTCCAAGGGCTTCTTGCACCTCATTGGCCTGGTCTAACATGTCTTCCATTTCATCTTGAAGGTCCTATACAAGTAAATTAGTCAATGTTCAAAAATCTGATAGAAATCTAATGAACAACCTAATCCTAGTATATTGAATAGAAACATAACAATAACAATACATTTGAAACTAAAAAGCAATCATTTGTTGGAAAAGACAATTCTTCATAATAAGAGTCCTTATCAACACCTGACCAATGAACAACAGAAGTAAAGGATTTTCAGTAAGGCTGACCTCAATTTGATCAATATCAATTTTCTTGTACTCCCTTTTCATTTCTTTTACACCGAGCTTCATTGCATCAACCTGTTTAAAACAAGATGTGAATTTGAAATCAAAATAGAAAAATTAAAATTTACTGGAACATGATAAATATAGCTGCTTCAGTTGCAAAAAAAAAATAATGAAATTGTGATAATTTAAAAGGGGAGTGAAACATGTTCTAAATTAGTGGAAACTTGCTGCTGAATCTCTTTTCATTATGCTAAATTCAAGAATGAAGAAAGAAATGTTATGCATGAAAAAGCATCTTCTGGAAAAAGCAAAAAAAATTACATTGGACAAAAATATAAAAATTTATTTCAATTTAATGTCAGCATTGAAATTTTGAATCTGTTCTTTAAAATTAAAACTTACAGTAGTTTTTGTATCTTTCAGAGTCTGTGTGGCAAAATTTGCCTGCTCCATATTAAATGATTGTTGTCTTAAGTTATCCATTTGACTTTCGTACCTGGGTAGAATTTCAAATTAGGTTTAGCCTGGAAGGGATAATGTTCAAAAGAAGTGACAATAGAAAACATGAAATTGATTTTATGATGACATAAAGATAAAAATTTTATAAAGGATTTGACCATGATTAGTAACTAGGGGGGTAAAGTTTCACCCAGAATAATTTTTGGGGTCAAATCCTTTACAAATTTTCAAACTTCATATCATTGTAAAATCTATAATACAAGCACAAACAATACAAAAAATTGTATGCAGCCAAAAATTATGGTGATAAAATCTAGGCTTAAAAAGTCAAATAATGTAGTTTGTAAAAATTTCAAAAAAGAAGGCTGTAAGTCGAATAGGTGTATTTATATGTTTAAAACAATGAAAATATCAATTTATTAAACATAATGTGAACAAATTATATCATAAATATACCTATTTTCAAACAAACATCACTGAACTTGAGGAAACATTAGGAATCTAAACTTCATGTTACAGAGAATGGTGCATAAAACTTTGAACATAGTCTTACATCTTTTTTTGCTTCAAAACTTTCATTGCTTTTTGCTTGACCATATTCTACAAAAACAGCAAAAACTTAATTTCTAGCAAAAGTAACAAATTGATTTGGGGAGCACTGTGATTGTTGACTGAGACCTTTCATAAAATGTATTAAAAAAGAAAATAATACTTATAGAAATCCTAAGTGCAAAATCTAATTAGAAAATTATGGCCTTGTTCAAATTGGGTGTGTAATACAAATTGACTCTGCAATATGGAACTGTTATGGGCTGTTATGCAAGCTTGATTATCTCCAGGCTGGAAAGAAATGAACACTTTTCAGAACAATCAGCATGCTTGGAGGTTGAGAATGGTTTGAAATAATTTTCACAAGCAATAGTAGGCTTAATAATAAAATACACAAAACTTATATACAAAAACAATAAACTTAATTTCATAATAAAATTATGATATAATTAGTGTACAGTATGGTGACTCTGTAGTAACAAAGTTATGGAAACTATTATCTGCAAATAATTTTACTATCACCATCTCAATTCACATTGGTTAATTATTTTTTATAAAACCAGGAAAAAAATAATTGATATTATTTCAACCTTTGAAGGTCCATCTCTCATTTTTTTCATCTGTTCTCTATACTTTTTTAGATCATTATCAAGCATATTAATCTTCTTTTCAATTGATTCTGCTCTTGAATCAACCTGAAAAAGAATTAAATTTTGATAAAATAGTCTAATGCAAAAAATCTAATAGCAACCAAAATAATACATTTTAGAACTGCAACAAATCATAGGAAGAAAACCTTACTTTCCATAAAATGGTATAAATGCAAACAATTAAATGCAGATATATTAAATACATGATTCAGGATTAACTTTTTGCAAATAAAATCTTTTGCATAACTAGCATCTGTGCCTATAGAACCAAAAATGTTGCTTGATGAAAAGAAATTTGAATTTGGAAAATCATAACTACAGTAAAAAAGAAACAGCCCTAAGCCCAATCTAATTCTACTGTTTAGCTAAAATCTATTCAACAAACAATTAGAACAGCATGTTTATGACAATAATCAACTTTAGAATCTATTCTATAGCCTCAAAAAGCAGCCTAGTCTATAGCCTTACATAGCAGCCAGAAATCACAGGGGTGGAAAATCTCACATCAGGAGATTTTACTCAACTTTATCATTGTCAACCTGTTTGTCATATTCAGAAACTTGTATACATAGGTATGCATTGGTAAATTAATTACAGGAGCCAAAGTCTGAGATAGTCTTGGAAAAGATACTCTTGCTCAGCAGAGAGAGGTGTTGAAATTATCATAGAAGTGAACCCTCTTACAATTTATCTGTGTTCCTTGGTTTAACCTGTACTTTTTATACATAGGCATCTTTCATTAAAATAAAGAATTTAATTGAAGCATTTTAAAATAACTGAAGGTTCAAAAAGCAAGCTGCTGTCACATAACAAATAGCATGACTTGTTCTTATATAAAATATTGTGACAGTTTTCAAGATAAGTTTCCGGAATTAGAATGTATACTGATAGGATGATTAAATAGTTGGGCATGACATCCAAACAGAGGTCAGTCATGGCAAATGAAAAAGTTTACCCCATGGTCTCATATGATTTACCCTCTGAAAACCTAATTTAAGTACCTGTGCAAGCAGAGTAAGTCTTTCAAATTGGTTGCACAGTCATTGGTAATGGGATTAAGGTAAGAACAAGGATATTTTTAATTTGTAGTTCTTTTTGGTTCAGTTTTAATGATTTAAAAATTCACTACAGACAACTCAAATTAAAGCCAACATTATTAAAAAGGAAACATGATTTTATAAAAGAACTTTCATTTATGATACAGACACAAGAAAAACTACACAGAGCAGGAACTATATGCAGGGGAAATTCTTATAAGGCGGGTCTCTAATGAGGAAACCTAATCGAGAAGAGTTTGGGTTTTTTTCACTTAATCGCATTGGACGAAATGAGAATTTTTCAGTCAACATGGAATACTTACACCAGAAATACAATCTGTAAGGTTTGGGGGCGGTGCTTTGTCTTTTCCTCTTCCAAATAATCGATTCATTTTGGTTTACTTCGTTTACCACTTCTTGTTTTTCAGATGCAATTTTCGTTTGGCCTCGACTCTAATTTGCGCATCATTTTGCGCATTACATCATCAATAGAGAAAGTTCCATTTTGCCGACTACAGCAAATTTTCAGAGGATTACGAAGCAAAAGGATTATCTTCCAAAATATGACTTGCACAAGGACGCCTGTGCCATGGAGCTGTGGCCCCCTTTTCCTCGCGAAACCGAGCCTTTTCTTCGTTTTACTATCGTTTTGCTCGTTTTCTTTGCGATTTGCCCCCGTTGCCTTCTTCGAGTGCAGGCTTGCCTGGATTTGCAGACATTTTATTCCTACTTAAAACTACAAAAACTTTTTAGAACTTATACTAAGCATATTGTCCCCGCTGTTATGCTAATAACGGGTTTGAAATCTATTGACTATGATTTTTAGGCACTATCTTGACAATACTGAAAAATCATTGATGATTAACCTTTTAAGGCATTTTCGGCTCCTAACTTTTTCGTCTACATACAAGCCCTGTCTTATCAATTCAAATTGAAACAAAATATTATTCTTGTTCAAAATTAAAGATATGAAAAAGAAACAAAACAGCATAAGATTATTTTACCAATATTGTTGACAACTTCCATATGTGTGCTTCATAACGTGTTTACATCATATAATGGCATTAAAATTTCATATTTTCTTTAACATCGCAACTAAAAATTTCGAAATTATCACAGCGTCTCAATATCATTTAAAACTCACTGATCTTTTAAATGATTTTAAAAAGTTCGAGTTATCTTGTGAACATTAATTCGAACTTATACTACTTTTAAAACCATCACGTTTCATATTTTTATATGAAACGATATGATAGTGCGTGAAAACGAAGCTCTAAAATCAAAGTTATAATCAAATTATCCCAATCTGAAATCACAAACGCAGCAGAGATAAATTTCTAATAGCTTATTCTAGATTCCTACTGACTCCGTCATGGAACAACTCAAATTCGATCGAAAAACAATTTTTAACACATTCGGGTTAAAACACGAAAGTTTTTTGTAATGGGTGGAAAAATAGAAGGGGAGAGCAAATTTTATTTCTTTGAAATATATTTGCTTCTTTTCAGATATCAATCACTTTGCAGCTACGTGCTTAAATAGACAAAATAAAGATGAATAAATTAAAACACATCAGTACTTGTGCAGAGTAAGGTTTTACAACTAGTATTTACGATTATCACAATTCAACAACTTTAATATCAGTGCAATAAATATTTTAATACTGTACGAGCATATATCAGTGACGTCATTAACTATATTAAATACATAGGTAAAATGCTGACCGGCAGATATGGAATCAATCCGTATATTAACGAATAGCACCAGCGAACAGCAACAACATCTTAATCTATGTGAACGACAAGCTTATATTAAAAAAAGAAATTATTGTGTTTCTGGTCCACTGTACCGTATGATCATAAAGCAGTAGCTAAAATCAATGTGGCTTTATTCAGTTAACTTTACGATTTTGGTTGAATGAATAAACGCAAGTTAGCAAATCATTTTGAATATAAATTTCCATCATGATCTTGATAGAGGGGTGATGCAAACTATGAAAAACTATGATGATTCGAATCAAATTAACCCATGTGGCAATAAAAAGAAACTTATGCTGTTTACAAGCTTTTCACTGAGTATAAGAAGAATGTAGCAACTTTCAATGAGATTTTCCCCTCAGTTATAAAAATACAGGCTAAGCAATAGAATTTAATAAAGTTACTTTTAAAGGGAAAGGACAGGTCACCTAAGAAATATAATTTTATTTGACGGTAACAACAAAAAGACAAAGCAAAATTGTTTTCGAGGTTAATAATTGTTATTTTCTTCCCCTAGGTTTCTAATTGCAAGAGAGCAGATCCAGGGGGAGTTATTCAAAGAAAACTACTTGACGTGTTAGCTTCGTCTCCAAATTAAAACCAACTCAAGCATATCATAGGAGCCACCAGAAAGCCACTTCAACCTTCGTTTCATGGGACAAGTTAAATAGAAAATGTCAAACAAGCTAAGCATTAAAATAAACTACTGATATGATATAATGATGAGTAATGCGTAAAAAATTGCTTCTTAAATGTCGAAGAGTTTATACTGGTAATATGCATTATGCATTCCCGATCTTCAGTTTCTCTGACCTGCAGACAGTATTAACGTTTCCTGCATTAGCTGGCAACTGTTCGCGTGTAACTGACTCAATATATTACATAAAATAGTGCGATTAATCTGGCGAGGAATAAACATTTATAAAACATACAATTAACGCTGTTAACTGATTAGCATATCTGTTATTTCCATATTGCATAGCCCGTAATTTTAAAGTTATGTATTAACTAAACTTACAGGCGCATTAAAAACACATAAGACTGGCATCATTACTGTTCAAAGGTGATGCTTGAAGTAAGTCAAAAGATCTGACCGTAGGATACGGAAGTAATATGACCGCAAATGGGCATGCCTCGTACGTTCCTTGAGAAAGAGGCGGGGAATCTTGCAAAATATCTGAGATTCAATTGAAACATTACTTTCCGCTTGGACTGAAGAGGCAACATATGAGGCAGACACATGCATATTTATACAGTTCGATCATATAATAATGGTTCTGAAAAGCCCCTCCAATGTAGAGTAGTTCTAGTCTATCTAGTTTGATTATATAAGTTCTAAAAGACAAAATAATTAACACTAGAACTTTAGTGGAAGCCACTTGCTGACAATGTTCAACTGATTGCGGCTTTGTCGAAGCTATAACTAGACGTGAATGCAATAACTTATTTGATATATCAGCATTAAAAGGTTGATACAACCCATCTGTGAAATTATTCAACAACAGTTGATCTCTTATTGGAAGAGTGCCAGTTGATACCCAGGAAGCCTCTTCTTGAATGCGAGGGTGGGCGCAGCATCGGTGCTTGGTTCTTGTGCGTGATTGTAATCTGCGAATACACATTTAATATATGAACAAAATACGATTAAGGTGAATAAACGAAATGAGTTATCGTATGCCTCCACGATGAGCAAATTTTTTGACCTACATAATGACACTTTTGAGGTGCGGGCATTGCTCGGTGGTTGGGGTCGCGGAGTACAGATCCAAGAATCCGTGGTTCTATTCACTGACATGACTAGACTTTCTGTAATTCCAGGCGTAGGAATAATGAAGCGTGGTCTCGTCAATAGGAAGGACCAGGAAACTCATCGAGGATCACTGCTTCCTTTTCTTCTGAAAATCTAACTTCGGAAGCAAGGTATTAACAAATACAATGCCTTTTTGACATCGAGCCCCCCCCCCCCTTTGGCAATAAACATGACTATATAAGCAATCCTCGACAGAACTATAACTTGAAACAAATTCGTGCTTAGCAACATGATAAAAGTTTACCTTTCTTTCTTGTCTTAATCTTTCTAGTCAAAAGTAGCATAAGCAAAGAAAATTTGCAGCCAAAATTCTCAGTAGCAGAGCAGATGCAGATTTTTAACGTCAAACTTACAGAAGCTGGTGATTGGAGCCATGGTTCCCCATCAACTTGCATTGGGAGAGGGCGTCTGGTCCTGTGAAACATTCCGAACGTAAGGCATCAATACCATCACATAGAAAGCGGTAATAAATACTGCTTATCTGAGGTGAAAGGTTTAAAAGTTGTTGTCTTTCTTATTAGCCAATCTTTGTTTGGCGTTACAAAATACACGCTGGTTAATGGACAATCGATATGTTTCTGGAATCATTTTGCAAATATAAAGACACAACAGCAACTTAAAATCGTAAGAATTAGAAGCACTTTGGAACACAGCAGAGTAGTAGTGAACATACGAAGTTGTACAACAAAACAGCTTTGCTGTTGCGATAATTAAGCATTGTAGGGAACAGGAGCAGAATTAGGAAGATCACACGATAAGTTGCATACCTGATTGTCAAAGTTGAACACTGTGCTAGTCTGAGCCCATGTTGTCTAACACCAGCAATGATCTGACCAACATAAAGAACATTCTCTAATCCAATAACTTCAATACAGCGATCTCCAATATCTGGTAAAGAATAATGATTAAGAAAAAGCTTGAAATGAAAAGTAATCACATTAAAATCAAGTTTCTATTAACGACTAGAGATACAAAAACCAAAAGAGCACCCAATAACAAATTGGTTTAATTAGAAAGCCAGATAAACTACTGAGAGATTAGGATTTGCTGGTAGAAGTAACATTCATAATGAGAAAATGAATGGCAAAGAAAAAAAATTGATGTGCCCGAATGCGTCTTATTGAGCAGTAGACTGTTTTTTTTCATAGGATTTCTGGGACAGGAAAGAGGAAAACAGATTGCTTCCATATAATTACAGTGAAATGCCATTATCTTATTATCTATAATATAAAGAACTCAAAATACTTACCTCAAAATGTGGTGCATAAATCAAATTAAATTTATAGTTTTGAATAAGAATATTTATAAAATGCAATTCCTGGTTATCTAAACGATTCTTACCTTGCTGCAATGTGTTTACATCTTTGACTCCATTTTCTTTCGGTCGTCTTTTTTTCTTGTCGACTTCCCCCCACAAATTTGCTCCTCCGTAGACACTAGGGATGTTGATGATCGCAATACCTTCTAAGTTAGGCCCACTCAGTAGATCTAGCTTCTGCCCATCGCACTGAAATAGCGTTGCAAGCTTTCTACATATCTCATGTGGCATTTAAGTTCAAATTGATGAACACTTTAGCTAAATCAATTATTTTGTTAACTATTTGATTATTATCAAAGCTAAATTATTTTGACGGTTAGGGACTGTTTGAACAGTTGATGAATACATAGTTTCTTAGGGGGAAATTCTAACATGAAGTCTTTCTTATCGAGTTCACTTGCAAACTTTAAGCATGCAAAAACATGATAAAGGGCCCAATACTAAAGCAAAAAACGCACTTTTATTATTTGCTGTGGAAGCTAAATTTAGGTATATTCTTCAGAAAACTCTAGCCTATTACATGTCACATATTGCTTGTTGTATACTCATTATAATGACAATTTAACCATATTTCTTTATTCTAATGACTCGACCAGTTCTACCGACAAGAAGCTGAATATTCCAAATGTACCTGTTTGACATCACATTATAAAAGGGTCGTCCCCTACTTCTGGCGATAATGCAATTCAATCCATACAATTGAATTCATTCACAGCTTGTCTTTAGATTCTTTCTCACTATTTGTCGAAATATTTCCCTTAGCAATATTGATATAGACAAAAACAGAGACCAGATCATACCTCGACTTCAATGTCTTCTTGTAGCCGTTTGCATGATGCCGAAAGCTGCTCCGCAGTACCAGCTTCAAAATACCTCAGCTTATTCTTTAGTCTGGAACATGAAAGGCAACAGTTAAAACTTCTCTGGTCTAAACTAACCGAAGGAAAAAATAAAAAACACCAGAGACAAGAAATATTTATCTTTTCATCAGACAATACTCTCAAGCTTTAAAAATCATCCTCAAAAATGACGGGTTCGGGTGAAGCATTCAAATATACTTCCCTCAAAATTTGTCATTCCACCATGTTTTCTGAGCTCTGGAATAGAATTTCCAAAAGTGGCAAATACCCACACAAGGAAGAAAAAGTCAACAAGAAACCGTGGTGTAGATGAACAAGCTTCGAGCTTCGCAAAACCAATTTCGGTGTCTGGCAAGATTTCAAAAATATATACATAAGGAACCAAAAAATCTAAACTATAAATTTCAACCTACCTGCTGTTGAATTTTTCAGGATTCTTTTCTCTTTGCAAATGAAATTTCAAGGCGATGGAGGCATCCTAAAATGATTTTTTTTCTTGTCATGGGTTTGAGTAAGTCTAAAGAAACTCTAAAGAGAGTCCGACGAAAAGCTCAAGCATTTTTTAAAATGTTTGCCTTTTCAAAGCCATTTTTAAATTCTGTACCACCAAAAATTTGTTTGCTATCGGGCAGCTGTTACTGGAAAACTCAGATTGTGCAAAAAACTATAATGGCGACATGTTTCGGATTATTGGTAAAGCCCCATCGTCGTTCCATATAGCAGTTTTGGAATCCATCTACATGAGCACGATAAAACCGCTATTGTGTAGACAAAAGGAGTTCGTTTTCACCTTAGGACTCCATTGGTAACATTCTTAATAGACAAACGGCACTGATTGGTCAACCTTAGCAGTCACGTGCTCGTGTTTCTGATTGGTCTATATCGATCCATAACTGGGTATATATATTGGGTATATATATTTCCCAGCATAGAGTTTTCGATCTATGTTCTGACGTTTTAAACTCCGAAGAGTGTCAGATGAAAAGCTTTAGTTTACTCAAATGTTTGCTTTTTTCAATGTCATTTTAAAAATTTGTTTGCAATTCAAAGGTCTCTAAAGGGTACATTTCCAAGAAAACCTTTTTCACCTAACACTCCTCAGAGTATGATATGTTATTAAGAACAAATTAGTATACAACTTTTAAATATCAAGAGCATGTTTCAGTTAATTTTTTCCAAAATGAAACCAAATTTAACATTAAAAATGAGTTCATAACACTAAAAGACATTACTTGCTATTCTTATTTCACAAAGTATTATACAAAAGCGAAATGAAGCTAAATAACACAAAAAAGCTAATCAGATAAGCTAAAAAAATTTAACTGATTTTTAGCAGTACGTTGGGTGTTTCTTTTTCATCAACAGTATTATGTAAGTAGATTTGATTCTTACCACTCCTATTGAAAAGTAATTGTTGAGTATGTTCAAAGGAATAGGGACGCATGCGTCATTGCTTTCGGTCTCCGTAATGTCGATATTCCACCTAAAAATAGTCAAACAAAAATCTGTAACAATGTTTTCAAATAACAGAGCATGGGATGTTTTATTTTACATATACAGTGAATTCAGGAATTTATACTAGATTTTCAAGTTGCAGGATCAAGATGAGAGAAAGAGAACGATGGAAGCATAGAAGTTATTCTATTTAGAACTTGTAATTATTTATTTAGAAAATATATTTTAGCAAGTACAAGAATCTCGTGCAGGTTTCATAGCTACGTTAGAAAGATTTGTATGACTCTCCAAATCAAACAAATAGTTCAAAGCTTTATAAGGTCTTAATGAGTAGCCTTGCCTCTAGGATGTTTATTATGTGCCGATAAAACAATACTGGCTGAATCACCCATACGGTTAAAAGTTCGTTTGATAGCATCCATTTTGAGCATAGAGGTAAGAAGATGGAAACAAATGAAAAAGGTGACTTGCCTGTCAAGCATATCGATGTTGCTGTGTTGTATTCGCTGCAGCACCTTGCATAAACTTCCTCCTTCGTAGCCTAAGAGAAGGTTATCACTGGCTTTGAGTCACTCGCATTTAAATCATATATCTATTTAAAAGAATTATGAGGACTAATAGAAGTCTTTTACGATGAGTATCAAGAAACATTTAAATCCGTAAGTCTATCAAACAAACAGAAAATATTGCATTAAATTATCCTTTCCCTAATACACATTCCTTATCCCCAAAACCTACTTCCATACCTACTTACCAATATCGTCATGTCCCTGGGAGTCAAGCCAATAAAGGCAGAATTCACAGGATGTTATTAGTTCAGAGGCACAGGGGAGCATAGCTAACCGAGGAGGGACTTTACCAGACCAACTATTTCTAGACTAGTTTTTGGTGTAAAATTCGAATTTGGATGTTGATTTTTTGTCCTATTTTTTGAAAAAAAAACCCTGTATCTCTGAAAAGCGTCCTCTTCTGCGCGATCAACAAAGTCCCTCCTCGGGCGGCAATGCTTCCCATTGTACCTCTTCTCATTGTAACTACATGTGAAACTACACAAAAGTTACAAGAACAGACTGTCATTTGTTAAACAAATAAGCAAATAAAGTAGAAACGACTAAAAAAGATCACGCCGTGCTTTCCGTCACAATACGTCACAATTCACACTTTATAGCTGTTTAATGTCTGGTTATTCTAAACCCAGGCCGGACACCAATATTTGGCGGGTGCTTGTGCATATGGGCAATTTTATTCTTGAAAATTCTTTCAAATACCGATTGATGGGCAGGCAAGAGTCCGGCAAAACACGATGCTTGAAACGTGACATGAAAATCTTGGTAGGCGTTTTTTTAAAAAAAAGCATTCACACAAACCTCCTCCCCAGTTTAAACATCGAGATAGATCATTCCCAGTTCCTAGAAAAAAACGTAGAATTAAAAAGAAGGGTCTATGTTGATGATTTGATGAGAAAGGCCATTTCTCTACATACAGGGTTACATAATGACCAGCGTTCGATTCGAAGAAATTAAAAGAAAAAAATCTGGTATTTTCCATAAAGGGGGAATCCACATAAGAAAAGGAATGACATATAACATTCACAGAAAATGAAATGAAAGGCAAAGTCAAACCAATCATTTCACAGAATAAAAAGGAATTTCAAGAACGGATGGACTAGAAATATGTTCAAGTGTCAACATTACAAAGATGCTAGACTTACCCAAAGGCAAGATGGCCACCGGAGGCTTTGGGCGAAGGCTTGTTAATCGATCTATGGAAAATAGCAAAATACAATACTATAACGCGCTTTCACCTTATTGATTTCCCAAGACGTCCCTTGATCATAATTTCGATATGGTCATTGATGCTTGAATTTTAGGGTAAACAAATCTACAATATATTTGAGCTGCATAGGAAATTCTTTCTATGAGCAAAATTAGGCCATACACAGCAATATGGGTCGGGGTGAGGGCGTTTGAGCTTTGGGGCAAACAGATTCTAAACTCTCATAATAAAAGCCTTTGTCTTTGGGCTACGAAAGTTCTTTTTGGGCATGAGATGGCTGGCACGCGAGAAGAAATTGTTTCGTAGGCAATAAAACTATACAGCAAACAAAGTCGGAGGTATTCTGCGCATGCTCAATGCCCGAAAATTAACGTATGCATAATGTATCCATACATAATGTATGTATGTATGCATGCATAAATACCTCAGATAAGTATATAAGGCATCATTCACCACAGATATGATAACGTGTAATGACGAGACTCTTGCTATGATATGACGATATCCATCATTCTTTGAGAAATAGTTACAAAGTATATAAAGAGGTGGGATAGTGATAAAGGGCCCAATTGAATTGGAATTTCCCCTAAAAGAAGGACAGAAACGTTGGAAAATGAGGAGAACTGACATACCAACAGTGGAAAGCACCCAACCAACGGTGCCATCTCCTCCACAGCACAATACTCTGAAGTTTGATACTTGCGAGAAGAACTTCAAACTAAAAAGGCAATTATTTGATTCAACGAAAGAAATGAGGAGAATTAAGCTTATTTAATTATAACAAGAAAAGGTTGCACTGGGTACATTCTTCTTTCTATTCAGGTATCATTTCGTACCATTCAAGTATGATTTTTCTAATCGGCTTGACTCTGAACTACCGGAATAAAAACTTTTATATTCAGCGCTATAACACTGAACGCTTGCATAGGAGTGCAAGAGTTCATGCCACTTTATCGATTTGCAAATGCCATAAAACTTTGCTTGTTTGGGAACGAATAAAATACTTTTATCACATGAGAATTCTTAAAAATTTGCGAAACTCGAGTAAAATAAACGAGAAAGATTACAAACCCAGCTAATGGTCCTCCTTCAGCCAGATTGAACACTTGTCTTGGGTTTAACAGATATCGAAACTTATTTAGAAGCCTATAAACAAACGAAATCTACTTAAAATCATTCTTATTGAAGATAAACATTAAACTCATATATCACTATGTAAAAACTTGAGGTCAAATATGGAATAAATGGATGGATAAAACAGTGAAGCAAATAAATATTATGGTGAGAAATTTTCTACATAAATTTGCTTCCCAAGACGAATGGCAGACACATGGGGACTTAGATGTCTAACAAAACAATAAATTTTAATCTTGTTGTTTGGCAAATATTTCTCCCACTGATTAAGCAAAGGCAGTTGCTTATCTCAAACCGAAGTATGGAGGAACAGCGAACCCCTAAGCTTGTTACTGTCAACCACACCTTGGAATGTCATTTACCGACAAATGGGTATTTAAGCATGTCACAAATACGAGAAGATAGAGGAGAAGAAAACATATTGACAAATAACGAAGGAAATTGGTTCGGATAGGAAATTTATTTACTAATTTGAGTCTACGAACAACAGTGGATTTAAATATCTAACATAAAGTCTAACCGAAATAATATTATCTGTAATTTAATTCTAATACCCAATACAAGAAAATCCAAGTTACCTGGCGCCTTGGCGACCACCGCTCTTTGGATTTACAAAAACAACCAGAGGATGTGTCCCTGGAAGTGGGCTTATCTATGAAAGAAGATATCTTCTTGAAAGACTGAAATTGGTTCCGCTGGAAGTTTCAAACTCCCGCGCAATTGACGTCAATGCAGAAACAATTTACTTATGCAGCTGCAGCATTGCAGGTAAATTATGGAGACTTTGTTAAAATATTGAATGAAGGGAATATATGGCACAGCTTTAGCAAAAACAAATTGATTTTAAAAGGGAACTCAAAAGAGGAATAATTCAGACATTTCATTGGTCTTAAAAATGAATTGTTCTTTAAGAATTGTAAGATACAACTTAAAACTTGTGAAAAGATCTTTGGTTCCCTAGCAATGAAATAAAAAAAATAAAAAAAGGAGTCACAAGAGAACGACAAAGGGCTTGAAAAAATTGATACAACAAATGTTAAAAGAAGTGACAAGAGGGAATATAGGAAAGAGATAACTAAGCACTTTATTTCACTTGTAAAACATTATACCTGCATGACCATGCCATCGAAACTTATAACTGAATTCTTTTTCCCCTCGTCGTTCTTCCTTTCCTCTTCTTGTTTAGTCTGATACCCAAAAATAACATCGTAAGCATGAGGAAATTCGCTCTCCACCATGAAAATTCAGCATTCATTCGATTAACAAAGATTTGAAAAAGCAAATAATTCAGTATGAGGTATTATGTAAAATCTTGCTCATACAATTATTTTTCCCTCCATATGTCAGAACAAAAAGTCCCCTTCTATTAGACTCCTATTTCCAATTAATGTTCAAACCAAAAATTGATCACAGATATGTGAAATCTGTTAGAAATCCAACGACCTTAAACACGGTTTCTTTTCAGCGTTAAAATATTAGTTTTTTCATATTTTTTCAATGTAAGTTTCTCTTTCCTTTAGCATTTGGAATCGATCTAAACACTAATGCTCGATCCAAACATTAATAAGTACCTAGATCCTTAATGATTAAACATAAACAATGATATTTAATAAAATGTTTATATGAATAAAGTTTATGACAAACGTTTATAGGAATAAAATCAATATATGATGACTGAACATACCAAAGTCATGGGTGTCATGCATATTGGTGGGAGAATATGGTCTCGATGCCGACCAAGGGTACACTCTTGGCTAACGTGAGGCACGCACTTGTTGTGAACCTAAACAGACAGGTTGAGGCAATCAGAGTAATGTGATTCATGCATCTTCTAATGCAGAGAAAGATAGAAGTTGAACACTGTTGACACAGGATTAAAACATTTCCTATCAAGCTTCTTTGCTGGATTCAGCCGTCGTCCCCAATAATATTTCTTCCCTTAAACTAACTTAGAACTTCATCCAAGCCCGTTACTCCAGATATACCCTATTTTTATTGATACAAATACGTAAGGAAGCAGCTTGCATACTGCAATTTAATCCTTGGAAAAAATATTTGAGGCACCAAAATATTCCCGCTTGAAAGTTTAACATCCCAGAATTTAATTACTTCTCAAAGTAATCATGAAGCTAAATTCCCCCTCCCCCACATACAAAGCTGGTTTTTTCATAAGAAGTGTTTATTTGTCCAATCCCAGTTAATTTTTGAATTTCTGAACCTATGCTTCGCATACCATGGTCTGGCACCAGGCGCATCGCAGTCCAGTTAGGCAGCTGCTTTTGATATTTTTGCCGCACTTGTCGCACTTGCCCGGACAATTGCCTTCGATCCAATGGTGATCCATTTTCTGAAATTGAAAAGAGAAAGATCCATTCAAAGAACCAAATAAAAGCAAAATATAGTGACGTATTCAGTGCTTTTTGAAAAATATGTTTTGATCATGCAGTGTCATTTTTCTGAGTCACTGACCCTAGGGTCACACCGATAAGAATAGCTTGCATTTAATATAATGAATAAAGTTAATGCATTCATCTTTGTTCAGGGCCGGCGAAACGTATTTGAAAGTGGAGGGGCCAAAAGTCTTGAAAGGGCTTAGGAAAGGCCGTCATCATGGTTGGCGACAAGAAAAATTTTAGAATTATGGTGTCTTAGGAATGGATATTTTCTCTTTCTTAGTAGGAATGGATAATCCAAACGATCAAACTCTGAAGTTTTCTTAATGATACTTTTTAAGAACAAATCTGCCAATACTTTATTTTTCATATCCTCAAAAAAGTTCTTTCCAGCTGTTTCTTTTCCTTCAACAGCTGATTTCTCTCTTTTTGTAATGTTCCTGAGAAAGTTTTCGTTAACAAATAGACCTTGTGTGTCAAGCTTGGGCAATGGAAAAAACGAAACTCCGTCAATTTGTGCTGGCACCAAGTTATTTTGGACTAGATTTCTCGATCTACTTGCTAAGCCAAGCTGTCACTCGTTGTAAAACTTAGACAATGACCGATTTCTTGGATCTAGTTCCCATATTCAATTTTATGTATGTCTTCTATGGTAAAGAAATAGCAACCAAGGTAAAGCTAAGGACACATTTAAGAGAATACTAGGCAAAGTTACTTACAGAATCATATACTACATTTATTTTCACTTTTGCCTAAAAATTTTCTTTAGCTCTGCAGAAAAGTGGGGGGGGGCATGGCCCCCCGGCCCCTCCGGTTTCGCCGGCCCTGTTGTTCTATAAAGGTTAGAACTTATGGAAAAGATAGCAGGTGACAATTTGAACTGAAACGTACTAAAAGAACTATACTTGAAAATTAACTTTTAAAATCATAACGGCGCGGCCTTTAAGTGCGTTACAATATCTGCCTACCTGGGCTTTGATTTTAGATTTTGTATACGTTTTGATGCATGAAGCCGGAACCCGGGCGACACATCTTTCGTGAGCTGTGAACTTGCAAACTACAAAAAAATTAAGACTACGTCATCTTTATTCTTATTCACACAGAATGAGTTCTGTTTTATCTACTTACATGGATTAACACTTATGTACCAATAAAGGACAAAGAGCAGGGGCCTGTCTGACGAAAGGGCAAATGTCTGTGCGACAGCACCTTTCCCTTCCAAATTCTTGATAGCTGGTTTGAAGATCGTTGGTTTGTCGGTAAAATTATGGTTAAGTCGGTATAGTACGGTCAATATAATGTTTATCTATGTCTTCATCGGTAGATTCAAATCTCATAACCCCCTCCTTACTTTCCCAGTAAGGACGATTACAATCCATTCTTAGCAATACTTCAGATGCAATCTTTCACGCAATTATAAGATGATAAATATATGTTTAAACATAAAAGACATGAAATACCAACGCAAAAAGATTCTAAGAGCAACCGTTGTACTTACAAATGCACTGAAGTCCTTGTCTCCTCGCAAAGCCTGATAAGGCCCCGTGGCAAATGTTGCAGTACGCTGGTCCCTTGAAATGCTTCATCGTCCACTAAAACGGCGAACGTTAACATTGCTAAAATCGTTATTAAGCATTGCATTATGAGGGATTCTAGAATATGTAAATTACGATACATATTGTATCACGTTCTAAAAATCATCTAATAAAAATGAGAGCAACTTAGGGCGTCTAAAAATTCATTTCATTTTAATTTAATCTTTTTTTCCCAGGGTGACCTCTCAGTCAAGGGACTGGTTTACGACAAAGTTGACTAGAATAATTAGAAAAAAGTATTTTTTTTGCTTTTCATGAACAGATTATCATCGTATGGTCTTCAGCATTGATATTGCAATTAAGCATCGAAACACAGCATTATAGGAAAAAGTCAAATGGCATCCCCAGTAGTACTTAAGAGTTTTAAAAGAGAAAATTTATCTTAAACAAGCGAGGCCCAGTTACTTTTATAAGCAATGAGTTTTATCATACTTACCTCGGGTATTAATGCTAGTTTGATAATATGGAAAGCGCATGCCATCAAGTATTAGGAAATTAGGTGTTTGGGCTTTTACTATGCTTTAAAAATCCTCCGTTGCACCTTTTTGTTGAGCCCAAATAAAATCATTTCTAATGTTTACATTATATCAATCCAATGAGAAAATGATTTAATTTACCTGATGTTTCCCTTCCTCGTCTACTCTCTAAAAAGGAAACCACAGCTTTAAACATATATTCATCTCTAGGAAATTTTTCTCTTGATACCAGTGAATATCATAAGTATAATCCTACACAGATGGTGTTGAGCTTTTCAGTCCCCCGCCCCAGCCCAGTTCAATATTATTAAAGTACATATCCGCAAACATCGAATGTCCAGTTCTCTTATGTTAAAGTACATATCCGCAAACATCTAATGGGGGGAGGGGTAGATGCTTGTGTTTAGGCATTTGTCCCAAAAGCATTGGTCAGGGTGGTAAATCGAAACTAGTAATCCTCCATTTACCTGCAAATTGGAACCGATGAATAACTCAAATCTTGCATTAGAGATGAGGCACTTGTAACGTGCTGGTGATAATTGAGGTAGATGTAAAACACTGCCCTGATGATTAATAGGGGGGCAGCTTTTAAAGCAAATAGTGCTGCAGAAAATGTTAAATAGAAAGATTCGCTGGCTTAAAGTAACGGAAGCAAGCTTTTCAAAATATTGCACGTGTAAAGGCATATCGCATTGTCACATCTGCAAGCAAAAGTGCAAGAGTGCAGGCAAGCCATAATAGCAAGTTAGGCCAGTCAATCAATAGCAACGTACCACATCTAGGCCAAGCAAAACTTGCAAAGGAATATTCTCCATGCCACCTTTTAACCACTCGTCCAGACTTATCTGTCCATCAGAGTCGAAATCAAGCTCACTCAACATATCAGAAAATATCTGAAACAAGACATATGATTCAGTCAAAAATATGAGAAAATCTATACCAGATCTAACGCCAAAATTGAGATCTTATGGTTTTTATGCAAAAAGTGTAAAAATGATTTAATCTAGTCTGAGCAATATTTCAAGAAAAAGAAAATGCGATATGATACTGAAAAGTATGAATGATGAAGCATTTAAGGAGACATACGGGCTTTAGCGTTGAGGTGTCCCATCCTAAGTACTCCGCAACACTGACCATTTGCTGAACAATTGATTCAAGTTCCTATGAATATTTCAAAGACACAAACACGTCATTAAAACATAAATGAATAATGTACAAATCAATGAGAAAAGAAAGAGGTTGGATTAAAATCGGGTAAAAATATCAAAATATTATCCAAATATAAAACCCGTATTACAAAAAGAATAAGTTACTTAGGAGTTTGACGCAATAATCATCAAATCGGACAACATTTGAACACTTCGGTTGAATAATGCAAGAAAATTTTACCGCAACGTGACGAAAACTTAAGTCATTGTTGTGACAAAGTGCAAATGGATGAATATATAGAATTCTTGTAGTAAAAAAAATGCAGAGCTACCCACACAAAAAAATTAACAGTTTGAGCAAGTTGTTTCCTTTTACAAAGATGATACTAAATATCATACAATTGCTGATGAAAAAAGACTGCCAAAAGCTTCATCAAGGTCTTTAATTATAGCGTTCTAAAGCTATGGTGGAATTTTCGAAGCAACACCGATAAGACGACAAATTCTGCGCGGTGAGCCTCTGAATATACCAACGATTGTACAAAATATGCACGAGAAGCAAACCAAAAGAAAAAATCAGAACTACTATAATATGAATGGCGCCTTAATAAGAGGGTTTTAATCTAGTGAAAGCCCATTATGTGTCCAATGTAATGGGTCAGTTAAGATTTACCATCATTAATAACATGATTTGGCCTCTACTCGGTGTTTAGGTCTGTTCGCAGTGGAAAAGAATGCAATTGGATTGTTAAGACAATTATGAATCATTAATATAAGATACTGAACATTTGGCACCATTTCTAATTAAAAGCATAGCATTTGATAAGAAGGTTCTTGTTACAACCAAAGTCTTCACGGGAAGGTTTAAAAGACAAAACACGTTCCAATTTGTCTCAAGGTAGGCCTATAAAGTAAGCTGCTGCTGTGCATTTTCGTTTTACATACGCCTCTTTTTTCCTTTTGAATAACCCGGTTTCAATATTCTACGTGATCTTCATTTACTTTGTTTAAGAATGCTTAAACTCCTTCAAGAAGAAATCGATTCTTCTCGGACACCGCTCCGCGCAATTTTGATTTGATAATCAATCGGTTGATGATCAGATACATCGAAAAGACTGCCTTGGTACACATCATAATTGTAAGAGACGGGGACGGAATAGATGGAGTTTAGCACGAAAATAGCCAATTCACATATGACTCTAGGTAGACCTTTCCTAGTTGAAGAAGAGCCGAAAACTCATCTGAAAAGCGACTTCCTCTGTGAAGATGAATAAAATTGGTCGAATATGAAAAACCTCATGTAGAAAATGTTATGGTTGAAGAAAGAAGATTGAATGCAAACCTGCTGGTCAAGATAGTCATTTCCATCACTGTCATATACTCTAAACACAACTAAAAAGGAAGATAATTCTATCAGTTATCAGCAATGTTATAACAAACTATCTGAAAGACTTCTTATCTGAAATTTACATTTTTAATATATATGACGCACAAACTTGCTGATATACCATTACTATGACGTCATAATTCTCAGGGAACATCCTCGAATCAGCTAAAGAGGCTCTTCTCGAAAATGTTTGATCTTATCAAAACAGCGAAAGATGTCGCTACGCCCCATAGCTGCGAAGGCCTAAGCTAAAACAGTAACATAGTTCATCTAGACAATCGTTTTTCCCAATTTGCCCAATGGCATTCGTGTAATCGAGTAATTCATTCAACCTTAAGTTGGAATAATTTGACTTTAGTTCTGTAGACTTAAAAGCAGTTCAGATATTTATCTATTTCTTTAGCTTATTATTGAAATAAGAACACGCGAGTAAAGAAAAGTTTTTTATGTACGAATGCCTGCTATCTGCAGAATCACTCTTCAAAAATTTTCAAATGTTCTTTATCTTTATGCCAAGCACCAATAGGCAAGCATCAAAATTGGCATAGTTTTGTTTGTTGACATAAAAATTCGGAATCTTGCTAAAGGTTGTGGTTAAATATTCACGCGATGTTTCATTAAATTGGCGGGTTTTCTTCGCAGGAGAAGTCCTTAGTATTTGCTTGTCTGTTATTCTATAGTCTGGAAGACTATCTTTACGATCGGTCCTTGAAAAGGCAAGTAATTCAAACGAAAACAAAAGCTTGCAGCGAGCACCTGTCTGGCGAACAAAAGCCAACCTTGAAGGTAATCTCAACAACAGCAGGACGTACAACTGACATAGCATTACAAATTTACAACCTTTCGACATAAGATAATATGGTTTTCAAAGTTTTTTTCTTAAAGGTTAACCGCCCAAGAAAAACGACACCAGCAGTTAAAACAACGACCTTCTTCTTATTCCAAACCAAAACAACAAATATTTTCACTGAAAAGACAACGCCCACACGGCAAAAGAAAAACAAAATCGCGTTCTGCAGTTTCAATGTTAAATAAACATTTATGGTGAAGGTTCTCGTTGCATTACCGCATGTAATGAGCTTAGGGGTTAGTTAAAGATAATTCGATGACAAACATCATCGATCAAAAAAATATTCTATTCTCAAAACGTGGAAAGCAAACATACTGCTTTGGGATATGAAGATAATAATGCAGGTATTAGTACGGGGAATAAATACCAGACCAGAAGTACCAGTCATCCTTCTCCAGCTGCTTTTATTTTGTTTGATAGAAAGATATCCTGCCATTAATTTCAAGTCGTTTACAGTTGGGTGACAATATTAATCAGCCTGCTCCTTCCAAAATTAAAAACAAAAATCCCCCTCCCTTAATAAAACAGCGATGAAAAAACGAATAAACAACTTGTGATTCTGCCATCGGGCAAAATCTATATAAGAATCCATCTCTATTAAGAAGTCCACCGCTATTGTATAGAAAGAAGGAGCTAATTTTCATACTTGGATTCCATTGGTAATATTTTCAATAGGCAGGCGGCACTGATTGGTCAACCTTAACAGTCATGTGCTCACGTTTCTGATTAGCCTGTTTCGATCTATAATTGGGTAGGCATATATTCCCTAGCTTTGAAGAGTGAGAAGACGAAAAGCTTACCTACACTTTGAAAATTATTGCTTTTTTCAAAGCAAATTACAGATTTTGCAAAATCAAAAATTTTACAAGCACGATGTTACAAAGGTTTTTAGCCTGCTTGAGCAAAATTCATACCTATTAAGGATTGTTATTTCTAAACTAATGAACTAAACTACTCACACTCTAACTTATCTTCCACCCTTGATCCCTCAAGCAGCGACAAATAGCAAGCAATCTCTTTGATGGAAACCATTGGCACATATCGCAGATTCTTGTAGTCAAGTAACTCATCGTCCACTGAGTGGCTTTGCTGACTGCCAGGGTGCGAATTCAACTCAGAGAAAGCTTTCCTCTTTGATTCACCTTTACGAAAACAATTCACAGTGGCAAATAATGTGAGAAAACAAACGAATTACTAAGAAAGTCAACATGATACAAGACCATGATCAGCGATCGGAAATTTCTGTTAAGTATTTGAAGCAAGGCCCTAATCATATCTCCTTTTACTCTCTTATTAAGGAAGGCTTTCGCAGCTCAGACAAATTTTACAATAAAAATGAACCATTTTTGCACATTTTTCCTAACAAATCTAAAGTTTCCAATTAATGTTTACATTTCTGGAAAGAATATACCGCAGTTGTGTAATACCGATAGGCCAGCTTTCTAAATTAAAAAAGTATAATGCAAAGACAGTGATACAAAGTAAGAGTCAGCTGCAACTGCTTGAGGTCTGTAAACACGATAGAAGAGGTAAACCTTGGGCAAGAAACTAGACCTGGATAATCTACATAGTCACAAAACAAACTCTTTTCTTAAACAAAAGAAGAATTTCATGGTCAAATTAAACGAGATGGCCGATTAAAGTCCAAGAAACCCCACCTGTCTTTGATATGGTTGACAGACTTTTGGCCTTTGAATCAAACAAAGACAAACTTGTACTGTATGATGGGTCAGTACTTTCCGATTCGCTGTCCATTTCAATGCCGGTGTCTGCGGACAAAACCGCTTTGCGATCAGTGCTCCCAAATCCCCCAGCAACGACTGTCGCCGTAGCAACCATTGTTGCTTTTCTGGTTCCTTTGGCTATTCTGAAATAATCTGAAAAACAAATTCTAATATTGAACGATATGGCACAAAACGTACAGTTGATGCAGTGATACGTTACGTCACCCAGTTACGTCATTTTCTAAAAGAAAAACTTTTTGATAACTTGCAAAATTGAACTCGAGCCGTAGTTACATTTACATTTCACTGAAGTACACCTTTATTACGAATAAGAACCATATAATGTAATCTGACTGGGACTTTAACGAATAAAGGCTTTAAAGGTGAATATTTCTGCTAAGGCTTAAAAAGCCACTGGGATTGTAGAGTGATCAGCATAAAGTCTAGAAACAGCCGACTGTCGCTTCAGAAACTGACAACAACGATTCACATTTAGATATTGCCTATATCTGAACGTTACCAGTTAAAATCGCATTTACCGGCTTACAACATAGTCTTACAACAACATAGACTTACAACAAAATCTACTTTAGAATCTTTCTATCGTAGAAAAAAGCTGCCGCCTAAAAAATGAATATGCTTATATCTCAGTTATGACTGCCCAATAGTCATAACTGAGAAATCAGTACGGCGTCAAATCTTCTGAAAAACTTGCTTAGTCCCTTCATTTTGCATATTCTTGCGTCTTCGACGTCTTCGCGTAGACGCCATTTCTATTTAAAACATTGGATATATGCCTGCAGAGTTTTTTGAAGAGGATAAACATATCTGCGTTTTCAAAAATATCTGCACACGGGTAGACAGAGCCTCAGCAGCTTATCGTTGTTGCATACTCCATAATCAATATTTAAGAAGCTGGGAGTACACGTGATCAACGTGAAGAAGGTTCCTTACGGGAGCATTTCTTAAAGAAGTAAATGCTCTCGGATTTCATGGCCATAGCTGAGAAATCTGGCAAGATTTGGTATCTTGCCCGCAATCTCATCAATTAAAGAAACTGTGGAACAACTAGGAAACTGACGAAGCTGTAACTGACTTGGTTAACTCGACCATAGGAAATGGGATATTACCGTGTTAGTGCAAAAACTGTAGACCAAATCAGGGCTATGTATACATAAATTACACAATAAAAACCAGGGAAATCTAGTTCAGGTCCAAACGATTAGAATGTAACGTGAATAAAGGAAGAGTGTTAAGAAACAAAACCTACACTCACCATTTCCGTGTGCGTGCAAACTGTCAACTGACAACGCGGAGTTGTGAGCGAGAAATTTCTTAAGCAGCGCTCTTGGTAGCTCTGGAGAAGTAACCTCGGAGAGCGGTACCTTTTTATGAAAAGTGAAGAACAGGGTCTGGCAGAGCTCATCACTGATGTCGTTTCCGAGATATGAAGACATAAACAGCTTGAATCCAGCATAATCCATGGGCTATAAACCAAAATCAGTAAGAAAATATGATGTATTTACCAACAAAAAGAAGCAAGATTTCGTAATTATTCTAACTTGCTCACAAGTAAACAAGCAAATAAAGAATACAAAAAAAATGTTTAAAAGTAATTACAATATAAATTACAAGTCAAAAATACGCAAACCGTAAATTGAAGAGGCAGGGATAGCATTACAGGATTGAAAGACATTGTTCCCACAATGGCCCACTAAGAAGTTTGCGGTTCAAATAAAACTGCATAAACTGCTTTCATTTATATAATCATTACCTACAAGTTATAGGTGGAAGTACGTTTTTCTGCGTTATTGATCTTTTCTATGCAATTACTTTGCACAAAAAAGCCAAACTTGCAAATTTTCTTTTTTGCATTTTCAAGCTTTATAAAAAGGTTAGGAAGGGGGCACCTTTTGATAAACCTATAAGAAAATCGCAGCAAACCATACACTAACAGTATGTCTTATGCGGAGCGTTGGGGAACTTTAAAGTGTCTTGATAGACCAGGAATACTCCAGCGAGCAAGTTGGCTCTTAATAAACAAAGCAATGAACACACCTTCTCAGTGCTGTATTTTGGGTATATTCCCTCTCTAAATTCCATGAGCACATCTTTCAGCCGTCTCTTGGAATCTGTTGAAAGAGGTGAATTATTTTATATGAAAATTAGAAATGTTAGCTACATATGTGAGTGGGGGGCTAGGCATTTTTTATACTAGCAAAGCATTGCATGTTAAAAAATCGTCAACGGAAGAAAGGCTTTAGAAGCAGGTTTAGATGTCCTATAGAGAACTTTTGGAGGTGATCAGCCTTGTGTTCTAAGTGCCTATTCATCTAATTTGATTTGCAGCCGTGAAAATCTGTGAAAAAGTATCAGATCGAGTCATTTAACTGATTACATATTGAAGATTCAAATTATTGCAAATATCATGCCCTATTTCTTGCTCAATGGCCAGGCGGTAACAATTGCAGGCGAAGAAGCCTGCAGAAACGTTAAATCTTTGTGGAAAATACTTATGAGTATATGATAAAACTTTCAAAATTCCACGATAAAGTCGAAAGGTATAAAAAACCATTGCTACACTTCTCGAAAATCTTCTTTTCAAGAATTTCGCAGACCCCCTCTTCTGCAATCGAATTCGACCGAGTGTCAATCCCCTTGTAGGACATTTTTTTTAAATCTACAAAAAAGATACTAAGCAGATTTTTTACGTGATTGTGAGTGCGCAATCACTAGTAATAAGGCGCATCAGACCTGAATTATAAAATTGTGCAGGTAAAGCGGGATAGGCAGTAATATGTGAAAATGATGCAAAAATTGCACAAAAGACGGTGCATTTGAAAAATTCGATAGTGATCACCGACATTTACAAACCATACCCGGTAGACGAATGAAAGGAAATTTGACTAAGATAAGAACAGCGTGGTGAAAGATTTAAAATATTGTTAGTGTTTACACAAAACAATTGGAAGACAATAAAATTCAAAGAGTTGATGATCGAGTTGTTTTTAAATACGACAGGGCAACAGTTACATGTTTTTCGAGAACTGCAATTTAATTCGGTATCGTAATAATCAGTGAAATAAATCTGTTTTGACAACAAGGACTAAAATAGGCTTTTGTGCAGCTGACAAATTTAAGAGATGGGTAAAATAGGCGGCGGCAGAGGTGAAAGAATGAGAGAACGGATGATAAATGTTGTAGCTAACGTAGGTCAAGAAACGCAGCTGGCTTCAAACATTCATGCCAACATCAAGAATAAAAACGACTGCTGGTCCTGCAGTTACAAAAACTACTGTCATCGTCGATAAAATTCTTCTTTGCAAAAGTACACGGCTTCCTTTAAGTAAAACTATAGCAAATTGGCTTAAGAGTGGGTTTCGCATTAAACAAGATCGACTTCTAGGAGTCGCTTATCTGTCACGCCACCACCTGCCTCGGTTGGCTGAATATCCAGCTAGCCTCAGATTCAAATATTTCTTTGCAGATTTAAGTTGCAAAAATGGCCCAAAGATAGCTAAGCCGTTGTATAAACTATGTGTTTGTCCCTACTCCAGGACTGGTGCAAAATCATCTGTATTAAAAAGCATTCTTGGAGCCTAGAGCATGTAACGAAATCCCAAACAACAAAAAATAATCAAATCAACAAGTTAGCGTTGGAGAAAATAGCAAATACGATCACACTAAAAGCAAAAAGGAATCTGTGAATCTTTTTCAGTGTTAAAATAAAGAAGTGTTTCTTCCTGAACACCACCCGTGCATCGGAACATAGACTACAATTAACACCCGATCAAAGCCGCATACAAAGCCACATTAATGAACACACTTTTGGGGATACTTCAAATGAGTTGTTTTTATGCCACCTGAAGTGACACCGTAATGATGCTGTTGACTCTGAATGTCGTGTGCTATTTTTAAACTAGTATGAATGCATGGTGCCTACACCATATGTCAGAGCAATTCAGCTTTCAGATCTGTATCATCGCCTATTCCTGACATCTCCCAATTCCCAATATGGATGCAAAGATATCGTCAACATAAATAGACCGAATAAATTTTAATCTTGCTAATAAAATTGTTACTACTAACTCTTTGGATTTTAGCATGAAATTAAATACAAGAAACTACCTTGGCCTTCTGCAAAAAGATTTCAAGTGATAAAAACATCAGTATTGAAAAAGCGATAACAAATAGATAGAAATTCCGTATGGATTGTGTCATGGCTAATCGTAAGCAGCCTAATCTAACGGGCCACAGGCGAGTGGTGCTGTTGAGTCAGCTAGAATCATCGTGCCTAAAAAAACCCAATACAAAAGCATCCGTTAGTGCTTTGTACTACTATCACGGATAGAAATGCAATTTAGCAGGAATACAGAATAATATAAAGGCCACGTTGAATATCATTTTACACTTTCTGCGAAAGGGTCCAACCCTTTAGTGTAAACGAAATCTTTTGGGATAAACACGAAAAGACACTGGATGATGAAAAAGGAGTCAAGTTAAACATACCAAGCGGAACATTCAGTTTAAATTCTCTACCCATTTTGGCAGGAATGCTATCGAAGAAGCATTGTGTATGATATTCTCCTTGTCTGTAGTTGCTTGCTTCCTTATTATCTGCAGGCTTCATCTTGTGAAACACAGCCCTTGTACAGGACAGCAGCAAAAAACAAACAATCCACTCTTGAAAAACTATCGACAAATTGAACACGTAACTATGAAGCAACCTTGAGAAAATACAGCTCTAGGAACAGCGACAATACCACAGAAGACAGCGAGAGAAACATGCGATATTGTTCAAGCGATTCATACTGTAGATAAAAACAATGAGACAGCAGACAGGTCGTATCACTAATTTTAGTTGTATTCTCCAAGATAAGTGGTGTCCACTAGCCACAGCAAATAAAGGATTCTATGAGAAAACGTCCTAGGAGTATCAAAGAACAGAAAATCAAGGAATTCGGCACCATAAGGTACACGATTAGGCCACTCAAGGATCGATGAAGGATAGTACGAGGCACCAAAATTGCAGATATAAAGTGCACTTTTTAAACTGCCAGGTGCTTATTTCCCATGAGACCTGCTGGAAGCTGATTCATATCAAAAACTTTCATTTAGATAATGGAAAACTCTGTAACAGCATTATCAAGCGATATGCTAAACGACAAATTATAAATAGTACACAATATATAAACTAAAAGGTGCATGAACATAAAATTATGCAAATTAACATTTTTTTGCAAACTGTTCACCCAGTTCACGCAATTTTGTGCAAGATAAACAAGAGTATACTTTACAAGTTAAAGGCACATAGACCGCTCGTTGGAAATGAGAAAGGCCCGTTCGAACACAGTTGAAAACAGTTTGATTGATGTAAGAAAGAAATGATTTTTTTTCCTAGAATGTTGCAAGTAACGTCCGTAAAACAAGAGAATTCTGAAGCCATCGTTTACAAAATACCGCATTCAGCCAATTTAACTTTGCACACCTTAACCAGATTGACCACAAGAGCTTGTTGCCATTAGGAATCTTACATTGTTGCCATTAAGAACATTACATTGATATGCAACACTGTTGTCAGTTCTTAAGAAGTTTTTCTTTCAAAACAGCTCAATTCTTGTTTTACTGAGAAAAAAAGCATTCTGTCCCATCTGCGAGGTTACAATCTGCTGTCTAAATGAATTTTAGTTCTATTTTTGCAAATTCTTTGATCTTCTAAGTAGAATGAATTTTTAAACAGCCATTTTCTCCATTTTATAGCGTTTTCTCCCAGCATAATTAAGAAATCTGCTTGTATGAAATTCACCAAGGTACACTTAGAAAGTCTTTATCTTGACTATCATATGTCCAAAGTCTGAACAAAAGACGTGTAGCAGAATTAGAGGTTCCTGTGGTATGAAACTTGGAGCGTGGTCTTCAAAGGCGTGTTTTTTCGCATCATAAAGAGTTTTTGAAGTATAGTAGTCGGTTTATCATTCCTGAAGACAATAGCACAGGTACTGCTTTGTGACTCGAGTGTCTGTGGAAACAAGCATTAGCAATCGCTAGAAATGAGATATTTTCTCGACACGAGGTGTTCATTGTTCCGTGATACCCTAATGTCTAGTCTTTTCAGACGGTACTTCAAAATAGGCCTTCTAGGTGACTTTGTCTGAATGAAAGCAAGGATTATAAATGAAATTATATGAAATGTTCAGACAAAACCCTGCTCTGCAGCATACCCCGGATTTATGACTTAACCTTGTGGCAATTTGAAAAATGCTCCCAGACTATGGAAGTTACCCTGTTGCCGAATTTAATCATGATTTCGGCTGCTCCACTCAGATGTTTTGACTTTTTTTCTAAATTTGATTGATGTAAGAACAAATACTCCACGAGGCAAGCAATAAACTGTATAAACATATGCGCCCGCAAGTTCTAATCTAAAACATTTTACGTGAATTCATCATCCCTAAAACGCGAAAGCTACAAACCTCAACCAAACGAAGACATTTTAAAGAGGCTGGATATGAAAAGATGAAAACAACTTGGATATAATTGCATCTGGAAAGGGATATTCTTTAGTAATTAGCTTTACCCAAAATTTGAAGATTTTCTCAAAAGCAGCTGCTTTGTGGGAAAATGATCAACTAAATTTCAATCCTGAGATTTGTCAATTCACCTAAACTGCAGCAATATTGTTTGTTTTTAGTAGGATAACGTAGAATTAATCCGTCGAGTTTAAGAACAAATTTAAATGAAGCTGAAAACGCCGATAAACAGCACATCAAAGACAACCTAATCACTGGGGCATCCAGAGACAGGCCATCCAATACCTCATGTAAGTGCGAATGGCGGTGTTGAAGAAAAAAGGGACTTGGCTTCAATCAATTAGTTTTAGTGAGGCTCAGCAGCTTTAGCTTTCCTTCGGTTGATCTTCATACCATTCCAGTTTATAGTGAAAAAAGAAGATTTACCTAGAGCCTATTACGGCAATTAGGCGACATTAACGCTGTGCAGATTGCAAAAGACATAGCTTAACATGCAACAAGATAAACCTAGTTAATATGAACGTTTGAGAATAAATAACGATTGGATCGTGTGCTCTTCAACATCAAAGAAGAGCACTGCGCAAGGAACCATTAGTCAAAACTGTTTCATATGATTTATGGACCGGTTGAGGTTATCTAAACACAGTAAATCAATAACCAATAACCGTATCATAACAATTCGCGACAGCTTCATGGGAAAGCCTTGATTAAAAGCGACAATAATCCATGTTACTCTCGAAAAATTGGCAGCACAAAGAACAACTGAACATGGGCTTTTCAACATTCAAACATTGAACGGCCGGTGTACTTTGCTACAAAATGGGAAGTGTAGAAAATGTACACGTAGAAAAATAGATAGGGGAAGGGAATTATCAGTAATAGAAACGGGAAAGGCAGCTTTCTCATTTGTAAGCTTTGGAGTTTCAGGAGTTCGGAGTCAAAAAAGAGTTACCGATAGCTTAGTCAGAAATATACTTCTCAAACAGAGCAATTATCCAGCTACAATTTCTTTGAAAAAAAAATGATCTTGATTGGGAAATGCGTTACTGGATAGCTAAGCACAGCCTAAGGGATGAAGCGTTGACAAGCTTACTATAAAATGGCTTGTCGAGACCAAACCAGTCATTTTTAATTCAGCTCACACCAGCAAAATTTCGTTGCTAACATTTACTGGAAATATGCTAAATACCTTCAAATGAAATAAAATGCCAAGACTATTGATGCAGATTCTGCCAAGCCACAAAATATTTTCTCACACATTTAATAGAATAACAACTCCCACGATGTAGATATAAGTAATCCTAACATGACGTTATGAAGGAAATAAACCACACACAAAAAATGTAATGTTCTGTTTGATCCTGTCCAGCATATTGCTGGCAATGTCAGTTTGGATAGCTAATATATCAAGGAATATTCTTAGACACAGTTAGATAATAACAGGAACTTGAACAAGATAGAATCAACCACCCCATTGCAAAAAATTCCTTCCTTAATTTGAAATAAAAACATATCAATTTGCCTTTCCTGTACATTTATGAACCCGTCGGATAATGTCGAGGTTTCGCTCAATTCGCTTGCACTCAATACCAGACCCCAATGATCGGATAAAGGATAGTATAACCTAGCTTGGTTGCAGAGCCGAAGGGGGGGGGGAGTTAAAATCACTAAAGCAAATTTCTGGGAACCATCAAAATCAAAACTGTGCCTGTCTATCTGTCAATTTGACTCTCTATTACACAGATGCTCTTGAAAATAATGAGTATAATACCCAACCAAATATAAAAGGTAATCATAAATAAACTACGGCTCAACACCCCTGTAATAAAAGCTGAATTAGAGTTCAGTATCTTCTGTATTTAGAAGTTGGAGCTTTTAAATAAGAATAGCTAAGACTAAGAGAAGGAATTATCTTAAAAATAATGACCTTAAAAGTATTCGTTAATTTACAACAATTTTGGTATTCTATGACTACACAAAAGTTGCAAAATTGTGTCTCATACTTGAGTGCTTTCATCTGACATTTCTCGGGGCACGCAGGATCGAAAAATGATCAGAGAATGGACAAAAATTTATACCCCAATGTTGATCGAATGTAGGGCGAGAGGAAGAACGACGCGTTTGATTGGTTTCTTGTTTTTTACCAATCGGGGACTACTAACCCTTCATATGATTGAAGAGTCCAAGTGAGAAAATGAGCTCCTACTGTCTACAAAAACCTGGATTTTGATTTAAATATTGACATAGTCTAAAATGCCATTATGAAAAGACAACCTTGCTTGCACAATGATTGTAAGATTGCTGTTACTGTTTGCTCTAGGACAATCTGGATTCGAGAGTAAGTTTTGTAGGATAAAAATTACAAGGGATGAAAGTAAACAGAGAGGGAAAACACAAGGCGTGAATTTTTTTCCAGAAACTGCGTCTTACGCTTGTCATTCGATAGAGCTTTTGATACTTTGGGTTCATATGCTCAAGCACAAAATATTTGTCCTGATAAAACAAACCTGCGATAACGAATATTTTCAGAAAACAGATATACCTTTCAGACAGATTTGTCATTAATATAGCATGTGTTTTCATTGAAACATAATTTCTTTGTTAATGGAAAAGGAGACCTAGCCACAAAACTCCTTCACTATGGATAAATTGAGTTTACTGTTGGCAGAGGAACGGAGATGAAAAAGTCCGAAAATGATGGAGGATTATGGTACCTGTGGCTACATGAAAAATCTAGACACTATTTCAGAATGTGCGGTTAAATGTATAATAAAATATAGCGATGCCAACTGACTTTTATTGTATTGAAGCTGAGATGCTTTGAAAATATGGGATTTCATCATACTTAAGGAACGCAAGAAAACGTCTTGAAACCACAAAGATCATGGATTCCTTAATCACTATGTTTACTCAACGTACAAGTTTCATTATTCATATTCTCAATAAAATATCGCATAGGTGGTGTCTCATTCCAGGCACCAGTTATAGCCGCAGGCTTTATTTTCGCGTTTGTTAATTCTAAAACATGAATTAAAACAAGCAAAAGATTCTGACCATAATTGTGTGTAGACTTGGCATCAGAAGTCAACATTGTGCACAGAATTTTGAATTGTTTTGCATGGAAACTCTTTGCAATAGAAAGGCAGTGATATAAGATTATATTGGATTCTCTACATCTTTCACCTAACAAGCATAAGACTCAAAGACTTTTCCCCACTTGCCATCAATATTTAAAGCAAATTTTCGCTTCTCTTTAAAAACCTCAGAAAAATCTAAAACTCAAATGAATCCATTCCACAATAGTATCACACAGTAATGCAAAAATTAAAATTCACATTATTATATGCAGGAAATATTTTTTCATTTGGTATATCCTCTACATATTTATGGTGCCTCTAGAAACGAAATCAGAATCGGAAGGGACACAGACTAATAAGGTTGGTCAGATCACTTCCAAAGCAAACAACAAGTCCTAGCTTATTTAGAAGAGGAACTAACAACAAGTCAACATGAGAAACAGGCAACATATCATGAAGAATCAAACATTGATAAATAGATGATATTGAAACTAACAATTAGTTAGCTCTGAATGTACACTGAAATGATTTTCATCAACATCAGGAAATTTTAATGCTGAAACAACATGCAAACTTAGGTGTTTCTTTTCATAAAATAGATTGTCATCTTGAAGAGTGGTTTTATTTTCAAAATATAGAGCCCAGCAATGACACTTTTCAACCATTATTAAAAGCAATTTCAATGCATAAAGAGGTGACAAAGAGGGAAAAAGTTCACAAGATGCCATAGCATTGGGAAAATTGCTGTACATTTTCTGGACAGGTGGGAAAGTCACACCAATTGTCTGGGAATAGAATGTTTCATATATTGTCTTTCAAGTTATCCTAATGGCAACAGCTTGATATCTGCAAGATTCTTCACAAGCATGCTTGAACATGTTTGTTTGCTTAACAGTCAGTGACATATAGAGCAATATAAGCAGACATGCTGGACAAGAAAATTTGTCAGAAAATAAACATTGGGAATCAAATTTCAGATTTTAACAATGGGAATCAAATTTCAGAAGAAAGCCTCCATGAAGAGATAAATCCAGCCAATTCCAACTTATCCAAATGTTTGTTTCCTTTTGTAAATGTCCTTTGAGTTTCAACATAGTGCTGGTGAACATGCCAGAGCTTGTTGCAGATTCTTCAAGTCATACACTTATTATTTGTTTTTGACATAAGCTTGACAACTAATTCTATAAAGTTACAGAGAAAGTATAATTTTCTTGTATAATCACTATACAATTGATGTAATGTAACCAAAATATAAGCAATAAGAAATCTTAATGATGCATTTCATAGAAGGGCAATAATCATGAAAAAAAGAATGTTAATTTACTCAAATAATAAATTGCATATAAATATGCATTTGCCTTTGGTATCATTCTTAATGGGATAGCTTGAAAGGCAATATTACTTTTTTTGCCAAAATTCTATTTGGATGTATATACATATATGTATATATATCTATATATATAAATATATTCAAAATTACTGTTTACCAGTTTGTCATAAGTGTAAGATGTGGTATAACACCTATTCTGATGATCGCACTAAGCATGGAACTGGAAGAAGCAGCTTAGAACCACCTTGTTCTATACATCAAATAGCATTTATAAATATATACACAAATACACAAGTGTTTTTAGCATTTTTAATGAGCTTCAGATATCATATACTAAAATCAGCAACTATCAGAGATAAAAACAAGCTTAGGGTTGCTTTGATTAAGTAAAACCAATATCATACCAACAATTTGTTATTTATAAGAAATTAAATATATATCATGTCTCTTTTGTCATTATACATCTGAATTCGTTTACTATCAGTCTTATTATGATATAGAAACATTATCAACAGCATGCCTGGGCATAAGTGGGATTTCCAAAGGAGACTGGAAATTGATGAGAAGGGAAGAAGTTTGGCTTAAGGTGTTCTGTTCCTGGAACCTGGGTGCTTAGGGGCAGTAAAAATCCTTCAGCAGGGTCTAAAGAAGAAGTCTGGGAAGCTCAATTTTTTTAGCCAATTCATGATGAGAGCGTCCTCCAAATATAATGGCTTTTGATAGCAATCTATCATATATGCTCAAATTGAAGGGATGGTTAAGTCAAAAGAGGTTTGTTTGTATCAGATGACCACCTCTAGCTTTTCTTGCATGTATTTACTAAAATATAAGAAGCTTCTTCAAAAAATGTTTCTCACAGAGTTAAATAGCTTCATTAGTTAAAAATGAAATTGATTAAGAATAATAATGTTTGATTTATACATATTTGGTATCTTTACACAAAATTAGAAACAAGTTGAAACAATGGAACCTAATCAGGAGATTAAATATATGTAATATAACGTAATATATATATTACAAAATTATATTTGTCTTGAAGAAAAAGCCATAAATATGCAGTCATGGTAGTCAACAATTGTTTCCAGTTTTACTATGAACATTTTGAATGCATTTCTCAGTTGTGTTCTCGCAATATCATTAAAGAAATTAATTCTGTTTCCTTAAAAACAATAAAAATTCACAAATATACTCCTTTTTTGTCCGATAGCATTTTCTGTGAATATTGCTTATGGTAACATGATTCCGACATTAACAATTTATTATTTTTCTTTCTTAAAAGTAAGAAAACAACTAAATCATCAAGCATTGTGTATAAAAAGCTACTTTCTTCTAGAATTATCAGGTGACATGATTTTTTTGTATCTCTATGAATTATTAGCAGCTGGGACTGTCAAAATATGGTTGAATAATGGTTTATTTAGTTTAGATTCTTGCTTGAGAAAGACTTTTGCGGATAAAATATATGTTACAGGTAAAAGGTGGAGTTATGTGGTGAGACATTTGGCCAAGAAAACATTAATCAGCTTCGAACAAAAGGGATGTTTACAGCAATGAAAACTTAGCAAATATTTTATTGTACCTGTAATCAAAATATGGCAGAGTCACATACGATATTTTCATTCATAATGAGAACAATTACGCTGAGTTTAATCTGACATGTCAATATACTACAGTCGATAACTTCAGCGTAGAAGGTGGATATTTCGGTCGGTGATGAGGTAGAACGGAAGTGGGTGTTGATGATATTTTGGCTTAACAACACTGATGTACTTGCAGAAAAACAACGTCCGCTGGAAACCTCTGAATTTCTTACCCATGTCAATCCACCTAAGTATACGTCAGTGTGCCAATTGGATTAATAACTGACAGGTAACAACTTGTGTTAGTGAATAGCCGAGCTTCTCGGTATACTAAGCACGTCGCAAGAACTTAAGTAATTTATCGTAAATTTCGCTGTGAACATTCACAGCTCAGTAATCAGTAATAACTTATAAAATTAGGTTGATCTCTGCAAAGCAATACCCGCAATCGCGATGAAATTGAATTTTACAGGGAAAACCAATCTTTGCCAAATAACATCAGTTGACGTGAAATCGCGCTTTAATATTTTGTAAGTTAATTGAAAACACAGAAAGTTTTAGATCTGCTTTTTTGGAAGAAAAAGCCCAAGGACCTTCAAGCGCATTTATCGCAGTGCTGTATTAACACGACAAAATGAGTGTAAGCAGTTAGAGCAACAGGAAATATATTTATGTAGCGTATTTCGGTAGGAATCTCCCCTCGAGAAAGTGTCTACAAATTCACATACAAATTTGAAATTACTCACATTTCGTGTACTCCTGCAGCTGCTTAAATTCACCTGGTGAAAGTCTGTCCCATATTCCGACAGAGGTTGCCATCGTATCCAATAAATTCCACTATCGAAGACACTGAACTCGCCTATAACGTGCAAGCTTCTCACTTCAGGTCTGGTGTCAGCTTGGTCTACCATTACCTTGATATAACAGCCAAAATAACGTAGACATCTACCATGGCCATATTCCCTTTCTTCTTATAACTATGACGATATAGCAAGACACGCAAATTCTATAAACTTAAACCCAACATCATTCTTCATTATCTCACAACCTCAGCCACCGAGGTGTGTGTACGATGTTTTATCCTTATTTTCCGCGCTTCCAGATGGCGATCAATAAGTCTCGGCGTCAAATCGAGACTGTGCAGCATTCGGACTCCCTGCATTATGCAGATTTTGCACAGAGATTCCAGATGTTCTCGCAAAGCTTTCTCAGGAAAGAGAGTTATATATAATTACCTCTGCATCTTCGATGTATAACTTCCATTTATAACAATGCAAAGAAGAGAATACTATAAAAACATTTTGTGCTATTTCTAAATTATTGCTGTCCACCACTAAATTATATTGTTGCTTTTTATAATGGAATTAAATATTAAACATGTGTCATTATTGTTGTACATTTCTCGGTCAATCGATTATGAAACTTTTGAATAGAAACGTATCAAGCAGAACGGATCCGATAAGAATATGCTGTTAGGTTATCCATACCGCCAGAGTTTGTATGAAAACATCATAAAGTTGGTATTCAAATTAACTTTGATGGGGCAAAACAGAAAAGGAGGACTTTTGGTGCACCCCAGCCATTTCACTGAAATATAATTGCATGATAGATTTTTGATACATTTCTCTAGTCTTGAGGTCGATGTTTTTGAAAGTAATAGCTTATCAACAATCATTATCAACAATCATTATACCAAAGATGTCCATATTTCAGAGCCCTCGCTACTGATTCTAAAGTAGGGGCCCAAAAGGGGGTTACCTTCTTAATACTTAAAAGAGAAATTTAATACCTGTAGTTAGCAAGAAAAATGGGGGCCATGACCCCCGGCCCCCCTGTGGCGCGGACCCTGTCTTTCTAAACCAGAATTTTTCTGCATTAGATAAACGCGTCTCCTTATTTTGCTCCGCGAGAGGCAGTAGGCTGGTATTGGATCGTTTTGAAAATTAGATAGACGAAAAGACAAAGAGAATCCGATGTTTTACTGAGTAGCTTCATCTGATTGACAGAATAGTCTAAACAGCTATGTCAAAAACTCTTAAAGTTTCTATTGGTTTGTATTGTTAAAAATGAATCCACTATTTGTAATCAAGTATCCTATATTTCGCATTCATACAATATTCGGCTTCCAAAAGCCACAGAGCAGGATGGGTGGTGTCGCCGATAGTTACTGAGCCCACTCATATTATTAAAAATAACATATATGTTCTTTATTTATCGACAGTAAACACCTTGCTGAGGCACATTTGCCAGATTCATTTGTATTTTTGCATATTTTGGCTGTTTTGAAGAGTCCTTGGAATAAGAAAACAAGAATGTGGGTTTAAGATCAAAGCCAAACGTATTGAGGGGGTGCAGAGAAAAGTAGCTTCATCAGAAGAATAAATTTGTGGCGAAGGACAAGAATTTGGAAAAGCATTTCACCTATAGCTTATCTTTCTAGTTCTAGACCCAGTTAAATCCAAGTTGAAAAGATGCTCCAGTACCGGATTAAAAGCTATAATATGACAATATGTTAGAAGTTACAAGCGTTAATGTGACAAAATTTAGATAAGGTGTCTGAAGAAATGTCTATTCTTTTTATTAACTTTCATCATGTCAACAGAGCAGATATTGTCACTTTATGAAATGTACCATTAGCAAAATTAGTAAGATGTGTTAAAATTTTGGCGAAACATGGCCAATGAAAAATTTTTTGATATATTTCCAAGCAAGCTATTAGGCTTCTTTCATAGACGGTTGGTTTTTTATCATAGACGGTTAGGTTTCTATCATAGGCGGTTGGGCTTCTATCATAGATGATAGAAAGCAAAACTAATTGCGACCGAATAGGGGTCCTATGTTATGTTATGTTATGTTATGTTATGTTATGTTATGTTATGTTATGTTATGTTATGTTATGTTATGTTATGTTAGCTCTTTAGAAAATAGTATTTAATCTGAGTTTTGTTTCCTATAAAAAATATGTGAATTTTTCGCAGTCACATAATAATTTATTCATTTTTTTACCTATCGTGAGCCTAATCATTTCATTTTGCTTGACAGACATTGCTCCTCAACATTTGCGTGGGCACATCTCTAACTTTAAAACGCTAATCTGTTTACACGCTTTTAGAGTTGCAATATATATTCAGGAGACATACGGTAGGTAGACGTGGTAGCACCCCTGTATAACAAGTCCGACGAGCTTCCTTTTCCACGTGCAAGTAAGATGGCAGGCAAAGGAAATTTTTTTTCGAAGACTGGTAGGGGCCGGGTAAAAGTTGTATTCTTGTCAGCACATCTGATAGATTACTTGGTATATGTGGCCAGACAGAAAATTTGTTTAACACTCTTTAGCACGTTTTAAACTGACAGGGGACAAACAGCCTGATCTTGCTGGGGACGTTATGCCTGGACCATTCAAAGGGACTTGGAGCGAACATTGTCGAACAGTAATAATTTCTTGCATTATATCATTGTGATGAATACCTTTCATTTTCTTTGTACCTACAGTTACGTAATCAGCAACAACTTTCAAGAGTCCCCATGTGGCCATATCTCTGGTAAATCTTAACACCTTTAACTGATTTTGCATATTTAGAGATATTTCACGGTGAACTTTAAAAATCAAAATTCAAAATTTCAAAAAATGATTTTTGTGACATCATCATTCAAGAACAATATTAGCATCAACCTGCGTTCCGATAGACTTCCTCATCAGGTAAAATGGGGTGTTTTATCAACTAGTGGGAAAGTCCAAGCATTTTATTTGCGGAAAATGAGATGAACGAAATTTCATTGTAGGCATAAAAATGTTAGTTAGTGGAATATTTATTCTTATGCTTTCTACTCGACATCGTAAGTTCTTATGCCTTTGAAGAAATCGGTATAGAGAACATGTTTTATATTATCTATAAACCCATAAATTTAACCCCTAAAACGAAATTGTTGGTCTCGATTACGAGGTTAGGTATCAGCAGCCTCGATTGCAGTTTGGCCTAAAACAACAATTTTTGTTACCACGAACGGAGGACTTTCACTTGGTTCTTGGTGGCTCAACATTTATTCTATGAATATTCATAGGTAAGCATATCAGTTTGAAACCAACAGAAAAGATTTATCATTAAAAGCTATCAATAACTTTAACGTGAAGTGAGCTTGTTTTTGTTTTTCTATAATAATAGAGGCAGGCCTCCCCAGAAATTGACTAAATGCAATTATATATACACTAGTAAACTGTTAGTTTGCCATGCTCAATCTATGTATTCACGAACAGCCCGATTAAAATATAAAAGCTGGAACTGAAATCATTGCAACCTGCAGCTGATGTCAGTGTTGATGTCTTTAAAAGTAAAGTGCCACTGCAATGAAATAATGGAAAAATTTTATTGTTGATTCTGATAGAATAATCATTGCTGATTTCCAAAAAAGTTTAGTTTTTCATTTTAAGCCCATAAAAAGAGATTTCTGGGGTTTTTCGAGGGTAGGTCGTGCGAAAAGGGGCTGGGGCGGCGAGTGATGCATTAAGATTTACATAGTCAATTCAGCCATAGTGAGGGCTGAAAGAAGATAAGAAGTTACCAATTGTATAAAACGTGATAACAGCATGTAACTTGGTAGAGATAGGCAGTTTGATACACTGAAAAAGATAGGATGTAAATAGATGCAATACCATGACAATTATGCTACTACAATAACCAGGGACGCCACAAGGTTCAGCAGGCCTCGGGGAAAAGTGGAAAGTAGAGGCCAAAGCAGAAAGGCAAAAGAATTTTAGATTAACTTAAATTGTTTCATTTTTCTTGCAAAGGTTTAAAAAATTTTACTTTTTAAGGCATAATTTTGTTGATTTTAATCAATTCCATTTAAAAATGGATTTCATTACATTTTGAGGTCCCTGACCAAGAGGCCCTGGGGTAATTTATCCCCTCTTGACCGTCCTGGTGATAACTGATGCTTTGACAGTGGCAACACAAGTTGGAAAGTGGGGAAAGTCCCTAAGATGTGTAATTTGTGTGGTTCTGTAATAGATCAACTTTTTCCCTTGATCAATTTGCCCCTAGAATCAAGTTGTGCACTACTGACTTTTACTCATAACTATAGCTGTTAACAAAAGCATTATTTTATTTGACGCACTCGATAACTCACAAAAAGTCAATGATTGGCACAAAGTCTTGGTACCAACTGCACTCAAAAAGTTTGCTTATTTCAAATGAGCTTATAGTTAGATAGCTAGTCACATTTAGAGCACAAGTATCGCACTATTATCATCCACTTCGCTATTTTTCTGGTTTTTATCGCATTCGAAATACAGTGTTCGGTCCTGAAGCCTGCATCACTTCCGCAACTTGTAAATCTTAATGCGTCACCCAACCTGAAATTCCTCACAGACCACGCACAGATTTTTGCACAAAAAGTCTTGAAAATCAGAACTTTGAAGCGTTGCAGCTTCAAAACTGTTAACAATTCTGAAAAAAGAACTTCACCATCGGATTCAGAAGCATTGACTTGACAGAAAACATCAATAAAAAAATTTTTCATTTCAGTGGCACTTTAAAATCATTTACAATCAGTTAAAGGATCATTGATCATCATATGTCATCAATTTCTTGGAGAAAAAACATCAACAAATGCATTCCACCAATTAAAATAAAAAAGCTCCCTCAGAAAACATTGTCTTATCTCTCATCAAATCAGGTCTTGAGGCTACCTCCCCTCATCGCAGGAACCAATGTTGGGCCGTTTGTGCATCAGCACAAGTTGCTTCACCTATTAACCTATACAAAAAACCTAACCTTTGATATAGCTTAAAGCTTGGTTTCCAATATGAGTTAACATGTTGAGTTAAGTTGAGATAATTTGTGATCTGACATGACATCTGACATCTGATCTGACATCTGATCTGAAAAAAATTATCTCATAATGGAAACGCTCATTAAAAATTATCTCATGAAAATTAACTCTTGTTACTCACATTATCTCATGAGCTTGGAAACAAAATTTTTTGATTTCAAGCTCATGAGTTAACTTGAGATAACAATTATCAAAAGAAGCCACTGCATGGAAGGGAAATGTGCAACCATTTGCCCTGAGGTTCTTACGCAACACATTTGCACTGAGCATTACTTTAAAACAGTTTTCTTTATTAAAAAAATATCAATTGTGAAATAAGAGAAGCATGTTCTCATTTCGAAGTTCCTGTTCCAAGTGGTCGTATTCACCAAACGCATATCTTTTTTGGTAGATTTTCCATACCGAAAACCTTGGCGCAGATCGCGAACAGCACTTCTAGCAAAAATTTCTTTTCCTTCTACTTATTCTCAAAAGCAGAAGTAAAATAAGTTGTTCTTGTAAGACACCCGCCATAGCTGCAAGACTCAAATAAAATGTGATTTCTGGCATTTCCATACTTAATTCTACCTCAAGTGGAAACCGAATTGGTACATGGGTTAATTTGAGTTAGCTTGCGTTATCTCATGCAGGCTTTCGTCGGAAAGGCGTGCGATCGCACGCGCACGCCCTGGCGCACGCCCGCGCCTACCGCTTTCCAGGAGTGCAAAACATCGCACGCCTTCTTTTATTATCGGAGCAAAATTCATAATTATTGGTTTTGTGTGTTTTTGAGATGAGTTAATATATTTATCCTTCCTTGGTACAATTACTTCATGCCACTTCAAAAAGGCTTATAACACCTTATCAGGATTGCAGATTGAATAAAAAATTTTGAATAACCATAGGACTAATCTACAGTGGAATCCCGATATTATGAAACCTGACCTGGTTACAAGTATAATTAATTTTCCGGCATGACAAGAGATTTATGGCCCCTTGATTTCTGCCTCCACACAACTTCTCTCGGTATAACTAATCTCGTATATAACGAATTTTCGTATATTAACGAACCTTCTCGGTGGAATCATTATTGTCAGCGACAAAACATACATTGGCAAACATGCACTTTTAATGATGCAAAAAAGGAGAAGAGATTTGTGCGAACGTTTGCACCTTTTCAAGGCTTAATGGCATTTCATTGAACAAATTCAAACGCAGAAGACTATAACAGACATTTTTATCCCCGAATTTTAAGATGAACATTTAGTGTTTTGAACAAGATTTTCATTTTCGATCACAATTTTAGCGAAAGCAGCCGATTATGTGATAAAAATTGGCCGATTTGCCAATGATGCGATAAAAAATAGCAGATTATTAGCGGATTTCGCTTCCTCCTACGGCCCCCTCTTTAGATATCGCCATGCTTTAAATCTAGATTTAGCGAAATTTGGTTTAATGAAAAATGGGCCATCATTATCTTTTATGCATCTGGCCAGTGAGGTTCATAAAATAGCTGTCATGCTTGATAATAGAGGGCCCTCGGTGCAAAGATTTACACGCAAAAACGGCCATTAGAACCAGATGAACGCCACAGCATCAATGACTCTACAGGCCCGTCGGAACCAGGGGCTGGGGGGCTGGACCCCCCCAATAATTGTCAAACTGTTGTATGTTTCCTTTATAACAGTGTACTGAATTAGAAAGGAAACAATCGGCAGCCCCCCAATATGAATTTGGCTCCTACAAATGAAACCTGCTTACGACATAGCAAACATATTTCTGTACTTGTAGTGCCGTTTTTTGTTGATGTATTGAATAAGCTCAGTTTAAACTTGTTTAGAAAATTGCTCAGTTGCTATAATGTAAGTAGTCATGGTATGAATTCAGCGAAATAAATTTCATCAAATTATTACTGTCATCATTTTCGTGTTGGCAATTTCTCTGTAGATCTATCATAATTACCAAAAAGTTTTGTGAAAAAATGTCACACGCCATCACACGCCTGGATGTTTTCAGGGGTGCAGTGGTTAGCACGCCTGCTATAATTTTCCCACGAAAGCCTGTCATGCTATTTCACACTATCTCAAATTAACTTAACTATAGATCATTGAGTTAATTTTCAATTTAACTCAGAATTATTTCAAGTTAACTCATAATGGAAACCAAGGTTAATATACTTAAGTACAAGCAGCTTAAAGTTCTGGGCAGGGAATGGACAAGAAGTTAACTTTTCCTCACCAAAAGCCGATCTACCAGTCCTACCTTAGATACCTAAGATATGAAAGAGGAAATGAAAACATTCATGTTACGAACATTACACTTATGAGTAAAAATGGTCTTTCTTTTGTTGATTATCAATACCAAAAATGAAAAGAGGAAGACATTGAACAAGATTTCTAACAAAATAAGTAACATTACATCATTGTATAAACTAGATTTCTAATAATCATCACTGTTAAAAAATATTTCAAAAGTTCTGTTTTGTTATGGACACTACAGGGAAAAGGACACACTTATCAGAACCATTAGGAAAATGTTATTATGTCTAATTAAAAATCCTGTAAAATGCTGTGTTCAGACATTACTAACGATTTTTTATGGACATTACTATTTTGTCTAACAACTAAAACTTTTCATAATTTATTTCTGTCAAGTTTTTTCAAGTGCAAATAGATACTATCTTAACTTAACAAAATATTCTTAACCATATTTTTTAGATTGTTGGAGCTTTATTTAGGTTTTATGCCTTCAAGATTCTAATGTAATAACCTCTTCTATAAATATGTTTAAACCACAAAATGCATTAAGCTTCCAAAACTTCTGCTATGAAAGACAAAAATAACTAACTGCTAAAGATAGTTTACAAAAAATATCAATCAAACAGACATACTAAAGATAAAACTTTGTTCATTACCTTAATGGTTAAACTTAATGTCCCCAATTTTCTAGAAGTTCATCTACTTTGAAGGTGCCTCTGTTATCAACAGGAACGGGAAAGCCAATAACCTTGATAATGTCCTCTAAATCATAATCAATCTCATCATCACTACGAGACCATCTCCAACCCCCAGCACATCTTTCCATTGATTTAATCTTTGCTCAATTTTCCTTTGGGTGCATCCCTGGAAAATGTCTCCACACCAATCATCTGCCATCTCCGTCTCAACTAAACTTCTAGAACATTCCAGGTCCTCCTGTTCAGGCTGTGAAGAGTATTGTTTACACAAAATCTTTCCATCGTGTGCTACTGCCACATAATGTCGCTTTTTTATGGCACTTGGTTTGGCAAAAAATTCTGCAAGGCTTAACTTATCTGCTTCTGCGGCAATTTCAGCATTATTTATGTTTTTAATCTCCACTTTATGACTTAGCTCCCTTGCCACTACACAGAAATCATGAGATGATTGCACAATTACTTTTTTGGCTAAAGTTCCCATTCAAACATGATCTTTCACAGTCCCCCCCAATTCCATCCACTGCACCCTTCCCAGGGGAAGCTGTGGAATTGTGCCATGCCAATCTGTCAATTTGTTTCTTTCACAAAATTGTGGGTAGATAATTAAAAACATATTTTGATGAAGAGGAGCAAATAAAGCTTTGTGTAATGCTTCACACAACAAAACTATGTTCTCGTTGTAAACACATAAGCATGCTTCCTTTGATGTATCTTTTCGAAGAAGAACATTTGAAGGTCAAAATTCACCAAACTTTGATTTTCCTATTGGTAATGATGGGTACTCTTTCTGGAATCGGGCATGTGTCTCTTAGATTGAAAAATAAAGTTGACTCTTCTGGAGTCTTTCTTTGGCATCATTTGTCCAAATTGTGACATGTCTAGAGATGTTATCATGACAGTAAAGTAAAATTCAACAACACTTCTTTGTGTCTCCTTTGAGATGTTTTTTGATTGAGAAGTTGCAAGGGAGATAACACCACAGTTTTTGTTATGACTACTTTCTTTTTTCTTGGGTTGTTAGCACCTTTGAAGCTCTTGCTACAGCCTTTCCAAGTTACCTTTTGCTCTTATAAACATTAGTCATACTATTTTCTAATCTTTTTGCTTTTTGCCTTCTTCTATATTCAGCCACACGTTTTCGATTATTCCTTCTTTGATTAGCCTCTTTCACTTTATCAACCCTACCAATTGTCCTTTCTTCAGCTTTTGCTTCCCTTTTTCTTTTTTCTTTGCTCTGTACTTTTCTGCATCACCTTATAGTTTTTCTCTCTGCTTTCAAGTGCGAGCTCTTGGCGAAAGTGGCGGTGCCATGTTTCAATTTCTCAAGGAGCTACTAAGACTAAGAGTTTGTAATTGGTTACCATGACATTGTTACACTTAGTATGCAAAGGAAGCCTGTTTTATAGTATGAATCTATCAATTAAAAGGCTGAAAAGTGTAGTTTCTACAAGCAATGTTGGAAATGTAATGTCTGAAACGTAATGTCCGTAACTCGAGAATATAAAGAAATAATAAAGTAAAAGATTAATTGACAATAGTTAAAGGTATGATATACTTTTAAAACAGAGACTTTGCAAAACAAAAACAATCATTGTTTTTTAACTGTAGAAAAAAGGAAAAAAATTAAAAAGTGTTACGGACATTACACATTAAAAAGCAAAAGTTCACACACAAATTTAATTTTCTTGGCCAAAATAAATCTTTGAAATTTTTTCTTTGTTGAATATTTTAGTTAAAAATTCCTCGAATTAGCCCATTTTATTGTAGACATCAAGAAGAAATTATTTAAAGACCTTGTTCATTTTAGTAGGAATTTCTTTATGAGCATTTATTTAATTATTACCAAAAGTATGAATTTTTGTGGTAATTCAATAAAACACTAAAGGCAAAAAGTGTCTCAGATGGCAAAAATCATCAAATTTGTAGTTCTAGGGTGGGGGCTTATTCGAGGGGGGATGCTTTTGCGGGGAGGGGACAATTCGAGGATTTACGGTATGCAATGAAAAGAACTGTTTTTAGAAAATAAGTAGGTTTTTATGATTTTTCGTGCATTTAAAAAGTATGAAATGTTTACAACATTCAGCTGTAATCGGAAACCTTGTAAAAAAAACGAAATTGCTAATAAAAAGAGAAAAAAATCGAGACAATGTCTATATGCTCACATAGACAAGTATTTGAAGGATTAATATCATAAAAATATTATCAAAGATACAGCTGTTGAAAAAAAAGTGTTATGTCCAATTTTTCATGGAATTGCCCATATGACTGAATTAAGAGTCTATTATTTCCTAAACAAAAAAAACAAGAAGTTTGAAATGAATCCCGTGATGTAAACAAGCCTTAACCTAATACAATAGAATAACTAAGGATTCGAAGAAACACTACGCTTTATATCAAAAGGGGAGGGAGGGACGGGAGAATAGAACAGCGTGAAAACAGCACACGAAGTAAGCACGATAATCCCGACCCAAAGCAATTAAATACGCCCATCTGACGCAGGGAGCCCACACTTTTGTGCCGAGGCCCAAACTACAGAACTCCTTCTTCTCTATTATTCCCAATGGCATCAAAGAAGCAAAAGGACTTAAACACCTAATTGAAGCATGACAATTGACACCCAAAATGAGAATTCCCCACCGATTTCCCGAATATATCCTTCTATTTGCTTAAGGCTCCTTCCAAAATGAATGAAAATTCTTCTGATTTTCCTGTTACCAGATTTATATTGATTAGTTTAAAAACTTTTCGAAACTTTTTAAGTGTTTAGGATTGGCAAGTAGTGACAAAAGAGTTTTTAAATGTGACGTCATAAAAATATATTTTTAGAACTTTTAATCTTGTGCCACATTACTTAATGGAACATATTTCTGTTTTTTTGCATGGTTCATCAAATTCAGAACAGAGATAAAAATACAGTGATTTGACGGGGACCGAGTCTGTACTCAAGTTGTCATTAATTAAAAGTTTTTACCACTAAAGAAATTGAATAGAAAAGCTTAACTAAAATGTTTTTCTTCAAATAATTATAATTGCACTCCCTATAAAGAGTTAATTACAGTTATCTCCTTTTCAGACTATGCCTGTCTGTGTTCTATGTGGTGAAGGCTCTTTTGATGAGTTAGATGGGCAATATTTTTGTAACATTTGTGGAACGCAGTCCCAGGTAAGTAGGTTTTTTCTTGTCCCTTATATGCCCAAATCCCTGAGATAATGTTTACTAAACATAGTGAAAAAATTTGATTATGCATTTTTCCTTGTGGCATTAGCCTAAAAGTTGCCTGAAAGCTAATGTCTGTAAGTATCTTGACAGGCTTTGTTCTCAAATTCAGTTTCCTATGAAGCCTGTGCTGAAAGTAAATAAAGATTGACTCTTTCTATGAAAGAAAAACAGTAACAGCCCTAATTTTATAGCCAATTAAAATTTGAAAATTACTGTTTACTGGTCTATCTATTAGTGCTTGATAGGGTATAGGCAGAGCTGATTATTGCCTCGTATGGAAACTATTGCCTGCCTATTGTCATCAATTGATTGCATTAGACATGAAACTCAAGAATTTCAACTTAGGACCCCTCTGTTTATACATCGAAGCAAAGGTAGTATTTGATGTATAATAAAAGACAGCATAGTACTAATATATGTCTCATGAAGTAATGCTTTTCTCTTTGTAGGAGATTAGAAATGAAGTCCAGGTGCAAGAAAGCCTTGGCTATGCCACATTTGGACAGCAGAAGCAAAGAGAAATCAAAGTGAAACGTAAAAAATCCCAGCATCAAGGTACAGAGTTTCTATTTTTTGTCATGTAACTTTGTTAATTCTCGAATGTGTTTAGAAGTTATCATTAGAATAAAAGTTAATTATCTGGAGAGGTCTTGTTTGATAGAGTGACCTAGGTACCAGCAGTCTTTTAGAGAAAACATATGAATAGACTTCGACAGAAAAGATGTTTCATGCTCTAGCTTTGATTATGTCAGATGCCTTCTGCAACCTGTCAATGGGTATTTTTTGCATCCCTTGTCTGTAAAATTATGCCTTTTTCAATATTTTGGCAGGATTTAGGATTTACGATGATTCGATGATTATTACGATGCTCTTTTATTACATTTTTGTGGTGCTTTTATGCATTTTAGATAAAATTAAGTAGTTTATTTTCTATGTGTAATGCCAATAATATGAAATAACGTCTTTGCTTTTTATCATTTTTTAACAATGATAACAATTTTTTAATACGGCAGTTTGCCTGAGAGATGTAAAATTGTAAAACTAGGGTGCATTTCATGATTACCCTAAAGCTATTTGTGGCATGATCAGTAACTTGTGGAATGAGCTCGTTATGATCCAGGCAGAGGAGTACCGATTGATGCCTACATGAGGGTGGCTAGTGGCTGGGTGCCATTTCTTATTCCTGTATTGCAAGGTTCATAGAATGCAGCGGATGGTCTTTATGCAGCAATACTTCCTTCTGACATTATCTACTCTGTTTTACCTTTTCCCGGGTATATTTTAGACACCACATTTGACCGTAAACGGTTTCTTCAATTATTATTGTTTTGTCTGTTTTGGTTGTTGTTATTCCAAAGTAATTATACTAACTATTTCAACATCTAACAAGAAAACGAGAAGTAAACTATCAAGGCAAATGAATGCAATTACGCACATAGACTTTTTGCAGAGATATGTAGGCGGACTGGCAAAGGATGCTGGGATAACTTTGCATCCAGGCCCACCACTCCCTTGTATTCAGGCGTTCTTCATTTTGTTCTAAAGTTTTTGAATCATATTTTATTGACCCTTTTAATCTCAGCAGCATCACCCCTGGGAATGAGAAGCATATCCACCCCTGTGCATAGCTTTGTATTGTTTTGAAGAATCAGTAGTTTTTGTAGAAGTGAGGAATTAATCTAAATTTCGGGATAAGAATAGGTTAACCAGCTTGGAAATTTTCAAAACTTTCTACTTTCATTCAAAAATTTGTCAAGGATTTCAGCAGTTACAGTTAAACAATCTTGACGAAATTGATTCTTAGACTATAGCGATTCGACATGTGTCATCTGATACCTTCTCTTGTTTTTTAGAAAAATACCTTGGAAAGCCATGGGTGACATACGAGGCCTATCAATGTTTGTTGAAGGCACAGGTGAAGGCTCTTGTAGGCCTTGGGGTGAAGCCCGAATTGAAGGTGAGTTACTTTCCCGCATCTTTTTACCCAGACTAACATATTTTTAAGTGCTTGACTAATGCACGCCGAGCTTTGCCTTTGCATCGTTGCCATTGCTAGTTTATTCGAAGAACTGAGAAATATTAACTGGAATCGAGCCTTGCAAACAAGCAAAATGCCAGAATGCAAGGCCAGCACTTTTGTTAAAATGCTAAACAAACTGGGATTCTTGTGAACCGATTGAATTTCACACGATAAAAAACGATTTATTTTCCATCGTGTCAAGTTGCAATATTTTGTAGTGAGCCGTGCTCACATTACCGTTTTAAATGACTTCTTCACACATTTGAAAGCTATATCTTATCATGGATATCGTAATATATATTTATACACCGTAGACGTGATAGGTGCTCCAATATGTTTTTAGAATTGCACGTTTTTTCAAATTCTTCAGTTTTTTATGTCCGGAAATCTTTTATGAAATTGAAAAACAGTTTCAAAGTGAAAAAGACATTCATTCTTGTCCTGGAATAACTTTTTCAAGGGGGGAGTCGGATTAAGCCCCTCAGTAAGGAGATTTTCTTTCACTTTGCAGTTTGGGTTCTTTCAGATCTTTTTATTATATTGCTTATGTAGGCTTTCTGCTATGAAAATTAGGGCGATGCCATTTGTATGATAGATTGACTCATTTCTATGTATAACACAGGACGTTGTACGGAAAATATGGTTTCGTTTTCTAAGTAAAAAGAGGATTGCTTTTACTGGAAGCCATGAAAATGGTCCGTTGTTTCATGAGAAGCCAACCAAAAGGAGGGACCATTTTCTCAATGAAGTACATAAGAAGGCTTTGGGTATTTTAAAAGACGATCTGGTGACAGAGGAATGCCAACAATCAGATACACATCGATCAAGGAGAAAAAAGAGGAAAATAAACGAAGATTGGATGTTTGAGAATGAAGGTTTGTTGTGAATTAATTCCACGTTTCATGAATAATTCAAGGCTAATGCCATCCATATTTTTTACCAGGCCTCAATGATAAAAGAGGCCTAGCTACCTAGCTTTTGAAGGTAGTTTTCAGGTTACCGAGAAGCTATGCAGGCAGTGTTCTTTGCTCCTCCTTTCGAATTGACCATGCCTCATGATTGCTATGCCTGAAATTACAGAGAGATGGTGACTATCCTCAATTCATGTGAAAGTTTAGTCACGTTTGGAACTGGAACATTAGATTCTTGCGATTGGTCGTACCTGAACTAAGCCCGTGAGCCACCCTCAGACCGCTTAATACTTCACCACTATGCCATTCTATGACTGAATAAATTTTATGAGCAAAATAAACCTTCATTATAAAGACATTGCTACACATCTCTCCCACTTTGCGTATATTACCTAAAAGATCTTATGTGCTAAGAATTGAGTACACTTTGTTGAATAATGTGGTGCAGTCTCATTGCATAGCATACAGAGATTCACTCAGAAAATGATTTTTCTAAAGGTTACCTAGACAGCAGTTCAAGTGGCTCGGAGCTTGGAGACTCCCAGTCAAGTGAGACAAGCAATAGCGATGAAGAGAAAGAACATATTGGATCACTGCGCTACAAGAACGACTTAAGTACAAACGAGTGGCATCACATGCAGCAGAAAGTCACGGTCGTGATCATCCATATTGCTCTGATGTACATGAAAGAGCCTATCACTGTTGCTGATCTGTTGAGGTTGGGCTTTTTTTCCCAGCTATATGGAGGTATTTTCTCAGTGATAGGTTTTTTCTGGCTAAGTTATAATACACGAAGATTTTAAAACTTGATCTTGAACCACGAGTTGGGTAAATTCTGTGGGAATATTCTAAAGTGTAAATCGTTGCTCTAAGTTACCAATGTAAGTAGGTTAGTAATAGAAAACTAATGGCTGGTGCTCAGACTCATTTTCTTTAAAATCAATGACCTTTCCATTATGTCTTCGACATTCGAGGCTAGACTGATGATCAAAATCAAGAAAGTGTGCTAAGAAGCAACCCGTTAAATGCTCTTTCAGTCTACCTATAAATTTGGTTTGTAATGAAATCTGGCGAGAAAAAACTAGAAGCTATCATAGACTATTTGTTTTGTCTAATGTTATTTGAACAATATCTAAGAAAGTTTGTAAATTATCAAGATTTCCTTCGTATTTCAGAAGATAAAATATACCACGATTGCAGTAAAAAAGAAAAAGGAGTTTGCATAATTGTTGTTACATGAATTACATTTCATTTGAACTCGTTGTCCAAGTTATTAGCGTAAATTTCAAGCTATTAACCTGTAGAATAAAATTTAAATTAAAGACTTTTAACAGTTGACTTGAGACTTGAAGTGAAGATGGGAGAAATCACATGCCGGGACCTCAGTAAGTAGACTGGCGAAGAAAACCTCTAAAATTGTAGCTTCACCCCAAAAATATTATCAAAACCCTCCTCCCCTGCAGCAATGTTGGTTTTTTTAAAATACCCAAGTAACAGCAATCGAAAAGAGTAGAAATAAGCGTATCAACATTGATTGTGGGGGGCGGGAAGGGAATTTTTCCAAAAATACTACAATTTGCCAGCCAGTCCAATAACTTTTGGCCAGAATTGTAGATGAAGAGGTTTTAATATTTTTTTGGAAATACTTCACAACTTATGTTTGATATTACCCGTTCAATACACTTTATTTTTACTGAACACTTTTACAGATTTTAAAAATAATTGTCAATACAAACATGATTGATACTGTGAAAAAATTTATGTCAAAAAATTTCAAGCCACGAAAAGACTTCTGGAAGACTATGTTCAGCAACACAGCTCGTCTCGATGCAATTTTTGAAGCTGAATGAAACTAGGTTTTCGTGTTACCCTTGGTTTGAAGTTGTTGTTGTTAGTTTACTCTAATCCTCAACAGACACTCAGATTCACTAGACTAATGTCCTGGCATGTGATTTTTCCCATCTTCACTTCAAGTCTCAAGTCATCTGTTCTTTGTCAAGTCAAATTTAAATTATATTTTATTCTACAGGTTGATTGCGAGAGGACACATTCCGTATAACAGACTGTCCAAGATTCTCCCAAGCCATATGAAGTTTTCCTATGAAGATATGTGGACCTTTGCAAGTCGCCCTGTAAAAGTATTGAAGATTCACCAAGGAACAAACTTCTTGATGAACAATCTTGACCTCCCACCTGTTCCTAAACCAGATTTCTTCGTATTTGTTGCTAGAATCGTTCTTGATCTTCAGTTACCTGGTAAGACATTTATTATATAACACAGTGATTCTGTTTTTTTTTTAAAAAATTATATCAAATCTTTTACTATCAGCTTAGACTTGTTGCATTTTCAAGTATTTCTTGTCTTTGCCCAATGTCACACAAATATATTTTTCGCCCCTTGCAGGCTGTAGGTGGCTTCATTTTCTAGCATAGCAGTCGATTTCTTAGGAAGTTGCATCGTTACTAATAGGTAGCAGTCGATTGTCGATATTCAAAGCGAGTCGGAATTCTTACCTAGCATCTAAATTGCACACGTTAAAAACGTTTTAATGCTTAGGCAGTAATTTACTGTGAATCTATTGCTGGAGGTAAACAAAACGCGTGGATAAACATTGTTTCTAATAGACAGGATTTGCTACAATCCTGCACTTTTTGCGAAGTAAACTTGTGCAGGTATGGTGTTATCCAGATGCCTTTTAGCGAATGAAATATTGACATTGAATTTTATATTCTAACAACACGCAAACGATCTTAATGGAAACCATAGTTTTATGTGTCTCTTACACGGAGCTCGATGCTATATAGGCACAACTTTACACGCTTTGGCGTTTGGAGGAGCACGGTCCTAAGTTGCAACTCTTAAGTTTTGCGCTTAATTTGGTTATCAAAACATGACCCTGATGATCGTATAAAGCGTGAAACTCAGCGTTGCGATTTTAAACCGCCCTATTCTATTCACCAAATCATGCACACGATCTTAAGCGGATAATTAGTAGCAGCATTAATTTAGCCTTAAACTATTAGAATCAACACTGCTATAACAAATTTATCATTAGCATGACGTAGTTGAATTATCAAAATATGTTTCAATTTTCCGTTCAATGCTCTTATTTATAAGCTAGTAGATGAGGTAAGATTGTTGCAATTCTTCTTTTCTCAGCGATATCTTGATATGTGAATTTTTCGTTCTAGCTGCGATTCATCGGCTGGCGGTCTCGTTGATAAATGCCTGTGAATACAAACCACGTACTGATTTTAAGTTTCAACGCAACGCAAATTGCAATGAGTACTATGATGAAATGGCAAGTGCATTCATAATAGTCGCGTTAAAGCTTGTCTACGGCCTAGACGGGGATACAGAGAGGTAAGGCTAGTTAATGTTATTTCCTGCGCATTCACAGGAGCAATGAAATAACGCTGTTGTTGTTGTTGTCGCTGTTGTTGTTGTTGCGGTTGTTTCTGGTCTGGCTATTAGCGTAATCTTTACTCTTGAAAGATAATGAATTCCAAGCTATACTTCTCGGGATTGATAGATCGCTCTGTCATTCTTTCCTGTAAGGAGGCACCCCTTTACTGTGGGATGTGAACCTTAATTAGGAGAGTGAGCTCGGCATTGGTCTTTTTAGATTAGACCCTGGAGTTCGGTTATGTCTTTGGCGACAAGATTCTGTGCTTGGGTACGTGCTTCCGTTTTTTCGGAAATGGTCTTTCTTTGCAAAATAAATCATGATTGCCATGGGTGTATGTAGATGGAAAGGTCGAAGGTAACGAAGATAAATTTAGTAATTTACATTCTGAGAATGGATCTATTTTCACAAGTCTGGCTGCAAAACTCAGCAAAAATGTACTTGAAATGATCTCCCAAACCCTCAGATTTTATTTATCTGCCAATTGAATGTTATGAAACACAAGTAACCTGCTCTACGCCTGAGAAACAGGCTGCTTCTGTAAGTTATTTCTTAAATGAATGCTGCTGGTAACTTTACATATTCTTCACTATGAAACAGTAGTCTGGCTACAGGCCAGAAGCCTTGCTATCAATAAAACTGAGATTATCTTGTATCATGTTTTTTAAGGATGTTTAATATGGGGATAAGGAGACAAAATTTATTAATAGAGCTGTTTCTCTAGAAATGAACCGTAGGGATCGTATTACAGTTATTATTTGGTTGGCAACAGATTCTTTAAATGCAAGGGTTCTTAATCTTTTCCCGTTTCGAAAACCAATGTTTTCATCGTGGTTGATACAAGCTTGGTTTGAATAGACTGTGCTGTATAATCGAGTGAAATTTCATTGTTTTCTTATTCCATGTGTTAAGTTGATTCATTCATTGATCCATTCATTCTTTTATATTATAACACAGATTCATTGCCAAGTAGGTTGAAAGACAAATAGCTTGTAAGTTCCACACTGACACTTCTTCGCAATGAAAAGTTAAGTCTACACGCAGACTACTTTTGTCGTTAAGATCAACAACAGAAATGTCTAGTTTTATACCTGCTGATTTACCTCTCATATAAGTCCTGCCAGCGGACACTATCAACACGACCCTTTTAACAGGGTGGAGCTTAATTTCCAAACAAAATATTGTTTGGTGTACAAACAAATGTTTTATTCCTTGAATTTATTCCTACAAAAAAATTTATTCCTTGAAACCTGTTTTCATCACTTGCTTGGAACCTTTTATCACTTTCTAAAAATCGTTTGAATTGATTTTTGAACTAAAGATTGTTTTTTGTTAACTGCCAAAACGTTTTAATTTTCACATCACCAAGGAGGATTAAGCTGACTGCAATAAAGAATTTTTCTTTCATCTACACTCTTAATCTTTACCTAAATGTTGACATGCAGCCATCAGCGCTTGAATTAGGGCCTGCAGGTGTACATGTTTCCTTGAGCATTTGGATGTGAATGACTGAGTCACTTGTTTCATATTCAGTGGTATGAAAGATAATTTTTGTCTCATTGGAATAGATCCACGCCTACTCTTTCTAAGAATATCTGCAAAACATGTCTTTTGACTACAACGCCCCAACAAAAACCTCCTCTTTCCAGAAATAGTTCGCTTGTTTCCATATCTTAGGATCATTTTTGCTGAAAATATCTACATAACATATGACATCTTATTAAAAATATCTCCATCTTTAAAGATCTTTCTTCTAAGAACGATATTTGAAAAAGTCTTTTAACAAAGATATCGTGCTTTTAGATACTCATCTTACATGCACAATATTTTTCACCAGAATAATTTCGTTGTATTTTGATTCAAGGACTGCTTGCTATTAGTCTGCGCATCTGTCTCTAGAATTGCAATGACGTTTAATATCTAAACAGAAAATAATAATAGTTTTGCACTGGCGTTTCTTTTGATTTTTGCCTGCAATAATCTTAACATTTTAATGGTAGTACCCGTTTTTTTATAAGAAACGTATATAAAACGTATATAAACTGTATATAAAAAACTGAGCCCCAAGGTAACCAACATTTGAGAAACCGTATTGCTGATCAATCTCTACCTCTGAAAACCCTTTTATATTTCATCTTTTATTTGAATAGGATTGCTAATGTTAATGTTTCGCTTTTGTGTTTCTAAAAAGTAGTTCTTTGATACTTGAAAACCCTTTTAGAAACTTTTTGTAATATAATCAGGAAATATCTTAGTTTCTTATATTTACTTGTAGTTAATTTCATCGTTTAGTAATGGTCATAAGCATTGATGACTTCGCATCTGTTACCCCTTTTGGGTGGCTAGCATTGATACAACGGTACATACCTGAAGTCAATCTAATGCAAGCTATTTTAGGGGTTTGAGTCAAAATGCTTCAGTCATTTTTAATTGAATTTCAATACATATTTTTGCAGATCTGGACGAATCATTGAAAAGTTCCTTGATGTTCCACGTGAAACTTTGGAATGTTGGAATTGTATAGCGCTACGCCTTGAGAAGAAGAAATCACTAGACGTTCAGAACAATTACACAAGCTGTGAGAAAGATCTGTCTTACATAGGCGATTGCAGAAACTATGCACGTTACTGTTCAGAAGTGATATATAAAGATGAAATTGGGGATTTTGTCAGTAAAATTAAGGATGGCAACGTTTTATTACGGTTGAAAGCTTGCACCAACCGAGCCAAGAAAGAGTATGCAGAAATTTTCAACCGCACTGTTGATAGCTTAGAAAAAGGCAAGCAAGTAAAGTTTGAAAGACCATCTGCAAGCAGTTTTGTTTTTGAGCCCATTACTTTAGATGAAGAGGAATATATCGCAAATGTTTCCTGTAAATGTAGCAAACCAGATTTGAAGACGAAAAGAAAAACTAACTCACCAGTGAAAGATAATAAGAGTTCTTACTTGATTTATTATGATGACTTAATGGGACTCAGATTTCACGATTGGTATCGGTTTTTACTAGACATTTGTGCAAGAAGAATACTGCTCACGATGTCGGAGCTTCAGGAGTTTGTGGCTTTCGTTGAATCTATTTTGTTTGTTGACTAGACTGCTGGCCTACATGGCATGTCCTTTACGTAGATCGTTAATTTTTAATTTTCTAGTGCAAAGTTACTAAAGAAGGTGGCACTTGAGTTTCGTTCTAGTGTAATGTTTAGACCTACTCTGACACCTTTGAATCACGCAGCCATAGCCAATTTTTGGTTTTAAATGCATTTTCGTACATCATAAATGCACTTCAAATGGAAAGTAGCCGTTTAATTCGTGACCCTCACAAGTGTGCCTATATCCGTGTAGCAACGAGTTTTGTTAAACTATTAGGCAACTGTAACTGATTTGAGATGGTTTGTTGTAGATTTTGAAGCAAATTTTATTGAGAAAAATCGACCTCATTTCGTTTGCCTCTGTTTACTATATTTTTGTAGTAGAAACATTTTACGACTAATCTTGCAAAACAATGGTTTTCACACTATCAATAAAATGGTCCGATTTCGAAAATTGACAAATTTACTTCAAGAGGTTGATTTTTATTATTAGTGGCTTTGAAAATAGCAAACATTTGAGTAGACTAAAGCTTTTCGTCTAACACTCTTCAGAGTTTAAAACGTCAGAACATAGATCGAAAACTCTACGCTAGGAAATGTATATACCCAGTTGTGGATCGAAACAGGCCAATGAGGAACGCGAGCACATGACTGTTAAGATTGACCAACCAGTGCCGCTTGCCTATAGAGAATGTTACCAATGGAGTCCTAAGGTGAAAACGAACTCCTTTTGTCTACACAATAGCGGTTATTTTGTGCTTATGTAGATAGATCCCAAAACTGCTAGATGGAACGACAATAAGGCTTTACCAATAATCCGAAACATGTCGCCATTATAGTTTTTTGCACAGTGTGGGTTTTCCAGTAAATGCTGCTCGATTGCAGAATCGCAGGTTTTAGTTGTACTTTCAAATCTGCAAGACTCTCTTTGGGTATGAGTTTTGTTTCTAATTCTAGACGGATCATGTTGTTTTATTCTATCCTCCAATCTTTGGGTAGTGCGTCCTATGTAGCCAGAATCACACTGGCACTCTGGCACGTGAATTCATGTACAACGGAACTTTTTTGTGAGGTAGAAATGCGATCCTTTTGGATGGAGGGAAGGGCCTTTTTTGTACCGTAAACGATGCGTGGTTTCACGGGAAAGAAACAATTTGTGACGGCCTGTTTTATCTGTTTTTCGAAACACAAAGGCCGGGCACTTTTGGGGACCAAATTTTACGTCAGACGAGAAATTAGCTATCTTCTCCTTAATGTGAACTGAAATGACATCCTCTGAATAGCCGTTCTTCAGGAAAATCTTTTTTAGTTGTTCAAGTTCCGAGTTGAGTTTAGACTTGGAACAAATCATCAGTGCCTTATTTTTAAGCGTTGTTATGAGGCTTATTTTTCTTTGTTTTGGACAAAACGAACTCCATCGAGTGTATAACCCCGAAGATGTGGTTTTACGGTATACGCTGGTAAAAAATCCAGTGCCAGACTTTTCAACCAAAACATCTAGAAATGGCAAGGACTGATTTTTATCCTTTGCAAATGTAAACTGTAGGCCGGGTGAAGGCCATTAAGGCGTTTTAGGAAAGTATCAGACTCAGCCTCTGTTTTGAAGATGGTATATGTGTCACTTGGCTATTGGTCCGTGTTCACAGTCAAACAAACGCTCTTCATGAAAGCCAACAAAGATATTGGCCAAGGCAGGTCCCAGAGGGCGAGCCATAGCGATAGAATCCCTTTGTTGGTACATTTCGTTGTTAAAACTGGATTGAACTGAACGTGTTGCAGTCTCCATCAGTTCAATGAATACTTCCTCTGGGAATGGTGGGCTATCAAGCTCCCTCCGGTACAATTCATCGGCGAATACTTTGATGGTCTTACTCAAAGAAACATTTGTGAAAAGACTGCTAATTCAAAAGAACACACGGAAGATGTTTCATTTTTGATGTTAAAGTTTTGCATGAACTCAGCGAACGTAAAATAATCCTTGATAAAATGTTTTCAATATTTTTGAAGAACAGGGTCCAAAATTTCAGAAAGCCACTTAGCCAATGTTGTGCTGAGCCAATCATAGACAAGATGGGTTTAAGTGGAACATTCAGCTTATGTATTTTGGCCATACATTTGTGGACGTTGTGAACCTGTGGGTCTTATCCTATCGTAAACTTCGTTGGTCAACACTTTTGAGTTTGCTTTTTTGTGCTCCAAAAGGCGTTTTGGAATTTTCTGCTCTAGCTTGGCCGTTTTATCCTGTGTTTCGACGTCACCCAGTTTTACGAACTTTTCCTTATCGAGGAGAATATTCTCCGTTTTCTAGATGTAGTCCTTTTTGTTCAGAATAACCACTCCTGGCCCTTTACTCCTGACTCCTGACCACGAGCTTTGTGACAAAGATGTCTTTATTAGACCGTAGAGAATTCAATGCTTGAAAATGTTTTCTATGCAAAAGAAAATCTGAATGGTCGAAGGGAGAGCCGCTGTAAGCGTACGCCAAATCGCTTAGTCGAGCTCGTAATATGTTAAATTCCAAAGCATCAGAAATATAATGCCTGGCAAGTTGAGCGTGTAATTCGAATTCAGCAAAAAGATTCTTCTCTGTTTATTCGTTGTGTTGGGATACAAAATTCAAGACCATTACATAAGACAAATGTTTCGGTTCCAGGGAGCGAATAGTTCGACAAATTAGAAATATGTTTTTTCGAATCGCTCATCAAGCCGAAAAGCTTTATTTTACTCAAATTTTTGCTTTTTTCAAAGCCATTTTCAAGTTTTGTGCCACTTTTTTTATTGTAAGTTGCACCTAAATGTTTTGCAAAGTAAGCGGTCATTCTACGAGGTGTGTTAAGTTATTTCGCGATTTAACAGAGCTTTTTCTTATATTAAGTAGAAATGCAAGGCCGCAACGTATGCAAAGCAGGGGTTGTAGATAATGTGGCATGAAAGCAAAATCTGGAGGCAGGATCATTCTGTAGCAGAAGTCAGGTGCAGGTTAAAAAGTTTATAGCAAATCTGAAGATTCCCCCTTCTCCCCAGATCCAACGTTTCTTGTCGTCTAAGAAATGCACGGCCACCTCGTTCACACGACTCATCGACTCGATTCCAATCGAAATCGAAAGTTCATTCACCAGTCGTGGCCTAAAACGACATGGGAGAGAACAGGTGAATTGGAATTTTGTCACCACTGATTCACAAATGCTTAGAAGTAGTAAGACTTTAGGTAAGTTCGTTTATTTAGAAGCAGTGAATTTGCAAATATCTACCGAGAAACCATTTTATATTGGACTACAAGGCCTTGGTTTCAGACGTTTCACTGCGCTGTTTTCTTCTACTTCTTTTGCAAAACCCATAACAAGAGATTGTCTTTTCCTAAACCAAGACGTTTTTGCTGCAAGTTCTGTCAAGGATTTTCCTTGTCGGTCAGTTGTATTTGGTGGATATTTAAACAGGGCTCATGGAACTCTTTTAATGAAAGTAAGCTCGAGAATGGCTCACAATTTACCAAACCGACATGTGTCTGATCTTGCCACACTAAACCTTTCTGCTCATAAAATCTTCAGAGAGTTGCTAACTGAAGAGCTTTTAACACTTGTTAAAGCCTTTTTGAGCAAAAAACATGAAGTGCGAATCGTTGGCGGTGCAGTCAGAGATATCTTACTTTCAAGGCATTTACCTAAAGACATTGACCTTGCTACAACAGCTACCCCAGACGAAATGATAAAAGTGTTTATGGAAAACGAAATTCGATATATAGAGACAGGGCTGCAACATGGCACTTTAACTGCTCATATGAATGGGCATAACTTTGAGATTACAACTCTGCGAATAGACACTAATCACGATGGCAGAAGAGCTGTTGTTGAATTCACAAATGACTGGAAACTAGATGCTGAGCGAAGGGATTTAACAATCAATGCAATGAGCATAGATTTTGATGGAAATTTGTATGATTATTTTGGTGGTGTTGAGGACTTAAAAGCAAAGCATGTAAGGTTTGTTGGAGATCCAGAAAAAAGGATCAGAGAAGATTATCTGCGGATCTTGAGATATTTTCGCTTCTATGGAAGAATTTCAGAAACAGAAGATGACCATGTGAAAAGTACATTAGAAGTTATAAAAAAATGTTCAAGTGGATTAAAGAATGTTGCCGTGGAAAGAGTTTGGACTGAATTATCAAGGATTGTTACTGCTCATTTTGCTCCAAGTTTGCTGAAGATAATGTATGAGTTAGGAGTGGCTGAAAATATAGGTGAGTTTGGCTTCATTTAGGTACTGATTTATAGCAAGGATAAACTGAAGGCTCTTGTGCAACCAGCATTCTTTGGGACTATATTTTTAAAACAGGCCCAATATTGTACTGCATGAAAATACAAAAACCAACCACTTTCTTGTGTTAAATAACAGCTACTGCAAAACATACTGGTTTGACCATTAGCGTGATCATTTTGGTGCCCTCTTTGGCCTCTATTAAGGATTTGCACTGAGCAAAATGAAGGTGCTCCCTAAAATGTGCTCTATTTCACACTTCTATGTAAATTTGCATTTTCTTCTTAATGGAAATGAGTTTAACGTTTTGTGTCCAAACAGAGCAATGCATTTCAAAAATCATTATGTTTTTAAATGTTTTAACTCTCAAATTGTTTTCATGTTTTGTATTTTTGATGCACAGAAAAAAAATCCTTTTCATTAAAACAGTATTCTTGTAGACGTGGCCTTAGAAGGAGCCTTATTCTAGTCATCAAAAGATTGGCCGTATTCCTGTCATTTGAGAAGATTGTTTAAGCTTTATAAACATCAATTTCAAAAAAGTATTTTGCTTCCGGACAATATTGTTTTACATTTCCAGGTGCTAAATAAATCGTTCCCCATGGCTATTTTTAGGTGCGCTTTAGGCACACACACTCGATTGAGTGCCTTTCTGGGCAAGGCCTGCTCTATTCTTGTTTAAAGAAAACTTGATTTTGTTATACATACTTAACAGCTTAAAAATTGATATGGTAATGGATTAATATCTAATTCTAATAGGTCTTCCACCATGCACTCAAAAGCATTTAGAAGAGTTTGAATATGTATGGAACCATGGACATGCACACAGACTGGAGCCAGTAACCATTTTGATGACCCTTGTTGATACAGTTGATGAAGCAGAGCGGGTAGCAAGATCTCTGAAGCTTTCATCGGCAGAAAGAAATCTAGGCAAATTTATTGTGACACACAGAATGATACACAACAATGAGGATATTAAGAAGCCCTACAAAGATATTCTTGCTTCTTGTACCAATATCAAAGCCATTGCTGTTCTTTATAAGCATGTGAATCAACTTTTGCTGTACCAAGGTATGGAAGATCTTGCTGATGAAATCTCAAACTGGAAACCACCAGAATTTCCAATAACTGGGAATGACATAAAAAATGCTGGTGTCAAACCTGGCCCTGCATTGGGCCGTGTTCTACATGAGCTCAGAAATATTTGGATGGAAAGTTATTACGAACTTAACAAAGATGAATTGCTAGAGAAAGTAGAACACATTAAGACAAAACTCCACTGAATTTATGAAATGTTATGCATTACTCTTCAGATGATATATTTTAGGTTTGCATATTCACCTCTACCATTATGCAATTAGTTTCACTTTTAGATAACTGTTCTTCTAGTAACAAATCTAATAGATTGATTGTGTTTTAAAGAATCAAAACAATTGTGGGGCCATTTTATACTGGCTTGTGGCATTATATTTGTTTTCAATTTTGTTTGAGTTTGTTACAATTCATAAATATTTGTGTTTCATAGCTATGTGACTCTGTCCAAGAAGAAGCCATAAGAGAATTAGCTTAAAACCATTTTAGAGATGAGTTTTAATGTATTAGTTTAAAAATTTTGGCAGAAGGTATATTGTTTGTTGTTTTGTTGTAAAAGATAAAATTGTTTTAGTCCTCTGTGATGATAAGAGAAATTCAAATTTGTTTGCATTTTTCATTTTATGATGTTGTATTAGAACTAGCAACTTATTCCTTTGAAGTAGAAAAAAATTATTCCCTACAAATGGGTCACATTTAGTTTCAGGTATCAGTATAGCTAATGGTAGGCACAGTGTGAGGTTGAAGATAATGAGGCTTTTTTGTTAAACAAAAATAAATTGTGTATGCCAGGTATGTTATTTGAAAGTAATAGTTGAAGCAGCCACATCAGTGTAAAGCTGTACCATATTTGGTTGTCAAAGATTGGGGGTAATCACCAAGTAAGTACTCCAACTGAAAAGCAGTGGAGGAAATGTTGGTTTTGGGTTATCAGAGTATTTGTTAGCATATAGAGACTGATCAATGGGAGCATCAAAATGGGGGTTAGGTTAGGTAGGGTAAAATGTTCAGGGCCTGTGCTTCTATGTGGCCTGTTAGAATCTTACACCATGGTACTATCAGATTGTTTCAAGATATATTTTTTGGAACACAAAAAGCTACTACTTTCAGCTACTTCCATAAAATGAACTCCTGATAGTTTTTCAAAGAGAACAACAGTATCCACATGTCCTTGATTCATGGATACAATTTTTTGTACAATCTTGTTGCAAAGCATTAAAAAAATCTTTGAAAATGGCAACTAAAAAGGGTGTCTCCCTAGTTCTCTGGGGGACGGAAGTGCATGGCCAAAGATAATTATCTTTAAGGGGGGCCCAGAATTTGAGTCACTCTTGGGCCCATGTTGGCTCTTGACAGCCATGCTGACCTGTAAACTTAATGATTTAATAGTAAACTTAAGTAAACTACTTGTACTAGATGTGAGTTATCAATGATAACTTGATCAAACATATATTTTGAAGGTTTCTTTATATGTTCATGAAAAAGGTGTGGTTCCAAATGAAAAAATCCTAATGGCTAAGTTTCTACAGGAAAAGGAATGTATCAGAGCTTCATAAATGTAGAATGAACAAATAGAAAATCAATATCTGTACTTTGTTTGCTTTTTATGTAAAAACAGTCAGATTTTTCCCACTAAATGGAACACCATATATTTTTTTGGTGAAAAATGTATGTTTATTTGATAATTTTTCTCTAAAACTCTTGAACCGATGCCTGGTTTATTCTCACAGCATTCATAACTCTAACTTTTTGCGAAGCTATATGACCATGGTAGAAGTCTAGGCTTCATTTTAATTTGTTACAAGCTCAGAAACCAATTTGCAGCCGAATATGCCTATGATGATGGACATGTGAGTAGTTTTACCACAGCTTTACCATTTTATGGTATTACTAGGAAACAGGGTTAATCTCCGGGAGGGTCAGGGCAACTTCAATAGGCAGAGGACAGGGGTGTGTCATTTTGAAGTATAAAAAAACATACAGCAAACTTGTAAATTTTCCAAAATCACACTCCTATGTTTAGATAAAATATGAAATGCATACCCTTAAATTTAATTCAAAGTTGGAAAACTTGTTCAAGTAAATAAAAACATATCACCTAAAAGAAAAACGATACGCCAAAATTTACGGTCATGCTAAAAATCAACCCGAAAATTTATGACCATGTTTGGCTTTTCTAAAATCAATACCCTAAATTTATTTTCTTAACAAATGGTACCTCGAAAAAGGTACACCCCGTACCAGTGTATGTTGAAGCTGCATTCATAAATAATGCTAACTTCGACCAATACTTCTGGTTTTCCTTTTAAGCTATGGGAACATTTATGTACGTCTAAAAATTGTACAATCCAAGACGATTATTTGTATAGCATTATTTCTGAATGTAAATTCGATTTCGAATTCAGAGTAACCTGTACTTGAAAATTCCCAGTTTTTTAGAATTGCCAAAGTTCGCTTTCTTAACAATATTTTAATGTTAATTCCATTCAAGGATAATGCTTACATGAAAGTGAAACGGTACAACCACCGAATTTTTGTAAATTTACTTAGTTTTGAGTTGTTATTTACAATTCCCTTTTTTGTTTGCCATTAGATACTTGAAGTATTTTTAGAAATACTAGTTTTCCAGTATTTTTAATACAAAGTATCGAAAGAATGCAGTGCATGTGATTTAGCGATCATAAAGGAAATTTTTTTTTTAATTTGTAGAGACAAAATTCTATCAAAGATTTGAAATTGAAATTTTCCATAGTTTGTTTCAGGGGCGTCGTGGCTAGTGACTCTTAGGGGGTACATTAGGGGGTGCATCGTGGCTAGTGACTCTAAATTTTCCGACAATGGGTTTCAATTAAAACTATGACATCATCAAGCGCATGCGCAGTTTTTAAATGCAGAAATAGATGACAAACAGTATGTATCTTTGCAGCATCACTTTACTGATTTCAATAAGTCTGTCAGAGAATAGCCAGAATCCGTATTCGAACATTGGATAATCATAATCATCAGAAATCAGTATCTGTGAAAAGTCGCTTTAGCAATGGTGTGTCAGCAAACATGCCGATTTCTTCGTCATAATTAAGTGTCACCTAAGTCAAGCTCATCAATTATCTAACCTCTCTTGGCCCATTGTTGATCGCAGCCTGTTTTTTACGCACTTTAGCTCGACTTGTATTTAGTAATACCAATTGGCAAGCTTGCCGTTTACTGTAACTATACAGATTTGGATAGGCATACTGTGAAATAAATAACCATGAGTTTTACTGTCTTCAAAAACATTTTCTGTTTATATTTTCCTTTTTATACTGACAAGTTCCTTTGAACTTTCTTGTTTGTAATGAACTACAAAAATTCTTTTGCCGAACAGATACGAAATTTCCGACAAATCATCGAATGGTCGGGGAGCATGTGCACGGGAGGCCATACACTGAATCTTTTCGTCACATCGGAACTAAAATTTAATAGAGCTGGATCCCTCTCGCAAATCACTATTTACATCGTGGTCTCTGCCAGCAAGCACATTAAGGAATGGTCCATATTTCCGTGCCTCTTGAAGATAGGGTCCTATCCCTTTCATATAATATTTTATTTTCAATTCTTGCAAATATTGATTCTATCATAATGAAAACTTTTACAACCAGTTCGTTGAAAACAAACTGACATTACGATTTTTAGCTCAAGGAAATCAATATTTCTATTTTATGAACAACCTAAAAAATATTTATTTAAAAATCTTTGCCGTGCATAACAAACTATGTCTATGATTTATGATTGCTCTTAGTTCTTGTTTTGAAAATGACAATACCAATTTCTTAAATTAACGTTTGCAATTTGCTTTTGGATTCCAACTTTTACTCAATGTATAAATATTAGCATTGAAGTGTGAAATTAAATACCTCTTGCTGTTTATAGGTTATCCAATATCTAGTTCTTCATCTAGTTCTATATCTAAGGATTTTTTATTTTTATTTTCTGTGATATGCATCAATATACATAACTCTAAAAAGACTCCTGCTAGGCTATCTGGCTTTAGCCACAACAGTGCCTTGCATATTCCTCTTTTTTGATATGCATCATTACGTATTCTTCAACAAGGTCCCTGCTAGGTTATACTAGCACCAGCAAGTAGGCGAGGGCTTGCATGGAACATGATGTCAATAGTTTTAAAACATTTCCATGTTATTAAGAAATTTAAAAGCGCGAATAGAATTAGAATAACAACGAAGAAAATTGTAAGTACTATTGTACTTTAAAATTTTATAATAAAACGTAAAATATTTTAACTAACTATCAGTGCACGCTATTTTGACATAAAATATAAACCTGTGGAATATGCTGATCAGCAAGTACCCAGGCAACCAAAACTCGTTGCAAAGTCTTCGCAGCATTAAGTGCTAATAACCAGAACACATGTTGATACTCAATTAAAATTTCCACTTTCACATTGGAAAAAGCATCAAAAGGGAGCAACTTTTGCAAAGTGCCTTCTTGCTTGTTGGCTAGTTATTTCAAACAAGAAAGCTCAAGACTGATGTCTGCCTCGCGTGGGTTGATTTATGGCAGCAAACGCATGGACAAATAAGTTTTTGTTGAAGAACACAATTTTCAGAAGGGCCACTTTTGAAAGGGTATTTGAACTGAGCAATAGAGTCGAAAATTGAATATTCTGAGAATAGATTTGAGTGACAACATTACCTAGAAACATTGATTATCATAGAAAGCAAAATCTTGGTACTGTGAGATGCCTCTATTCTCAGGTTGGCTAAAGTATTGTATGTAACAGTTAAATGACACTTATTACCTAGAGCAGGGGCATGTCTCTGACCATTTGAGGGAGTAGAGGTTCTGGAATATCACGAAAAAAATTTGTCAACTAAGCAATGGACAAAGACAATATTATCTTGTTTTTGATTATCGCTAGGTGGTTTTACAGACAGACGGACATCGGACAATATTCTCAACCAACATACGATCTAATGACTAACTAATAAAAAACTAGAGTCACTAAACCTCCTGTGTCTCGAAGATGTCGAAAGAAATCGAAAGAAAGTGTTTTGTCAGTGATAATGATAGGCGACTAGTCTCAGCTCACTTCAATACTATTTCACTTTAGACTTCCACTACTGATGAATAATAATTACTCACATTTTATTAAATAAATACATATGACACTGGTGAAATTATAGTTTCAGGTAAATTTCTAATTAAACTGCAGCTACAAATGATAATTTGTACAAAGGGAATCTCTAAGAAAATGTTCTTTTCAATGGAAAAACTAATCTGAGTTAAATCACCTTCTTTCAAAAAATGTTTGATATAGAAATTTGATTGTAAGACGTTTAAGTAAGGAGCAATTTTTACAGTAGCTGGACGGATAGAACAATCTTACTGTGTGTGAGCTCTTTTGATATGTGAAGAAGAAGGTTTTGATAATTTCTTACGTCACTGACAGAAAGCAAATGTAAAAGTCAATGTCTCATTCAGCATTTGGATAGAAAGTACTACAAAGGTTTTTTGGGCCCCCTTTGTTCAACATGTATTTGAATAACTTGGTTATGCTCCTAGAGGAGATTGAAACCTGCAAATTTGCAGATGATCATTCTTTATCATTTTGCATTTTTATGCATTATAATTTTCTCTTAATTTTAGCATTTTCTTTCTACTTGCGGTCTATTTGAGTATTATCAGATAACTTTCATTTTACAATTTTTTCATGATTTATTTCATCGCCAAATTATTGTAGACTATTTTAGAAATGTGCGTGATTTTGATTAAAGAATTTTCTCTCGCTAAAATCGTCAAGAATCTGTTCGTGATGACTGATAATATTTCTGAATGACTTGGACAATAACAGGGTGGAAAAGAAAACTTATCAGGTAGAAGATTAAGACCCCGTTTACACTGTCCCGGGACAATTTTGTACCGTTACGGTTCGCAAGTGTTTACACTGTCGCGGTTCCAAATTGTTTCGTTTAGCCGTTCCGTTTACACTGTACCGGTACAGTGTAATGGCTTCAGAATTTAATGGCAGAACATTGTTTAGAAGAAGCTGTATTTAGTCAACCAAGGCTTTTATTTTGCCGCCGAAGTCAACGATCGAATTTTTATTGAGAGTTAAAATGCAGTGGAAGGCCGATAAAAACTTTACTTGGACGAACGACAAGGTGGCTTTAATTTTCAGTGTTATTTTAGACTACAAAACTGCAAAGTCCAATCAAGGCTTGGGCTGGGAAACAATACAAGCCTTTTCTGTGGTTGTCTTTTCTTCAGAATTTCCTTTTCTTCAGAATTCGACAACGTAGTTACGCCACAATCAAAGCCTCGATTACCTCAAACAGCCATACAAAAGACCTCTTTGTGAATCCGTGACAAAATCGTCTCGGATAGGTGTTTACACTGTCCCGTTCAAAAACGGAACCGTGACGGTACAAAATTCGTTCGCTTTCAAAGCAGGGTCCAAACTGTTCCGGATAGCAGAGCAAAATCGTCACGGTTCCACAGTGCTAGTGTAAACGGAAGGGCGAACCGCGACAGTTTTGTCACGGTTCCAAACTTGCACGGGACAGTGTAAACGGGGTCTAATTGAGGTTTTTGAAGATCAGAGCAAATAATTCACCGTGTTTTTTGTTGTTTTTCATCTGCTGCATCTTGCCAAATGCATAAATAGACATTCAAAGTTTTGCGTGTTTCCTATTCAAACAAAAGCAAAAATTTTCTTGTTAACGTGAAAAGCAATATTGCAATCCGGTAGGGGGTGCACAAAACTGAATGCTTTAGTTTGCTTTAAAACTATCTTGATTGAATCCGCCTTCGTCAGCACCTGTTAAACAGCTAAGTATTATTTCAGTGTAACACAACGAATTCCTTCGATTGAATTTTCCGCCCATTCTTCGCAAATCGATTCTTTCCCTAGTCTTCTGCGCTTGTTTTGTTCCCCGCCAATTGATGTTGTGATTTCTTGCCGATGTTGTAAACAAATATTTCTAGCATACAGATGAGCTTTTTGATGGCCGGTTACTGATTTAGAAGTTTCTTAAAAATGCTGTGGATTTGTGTAGATTGAAAGCAAGCGATTTCAGAAAAACACTATGGATGAGAACTCTGGTTAAATATATAAAAAATATCTACATGTAGTTGAACAATGATGCCTGAATTACTTAGATATCTTTAGCAAGATAGATAACGTGATGTGACAAAAGATGCATTTAAAGCTCTGCATAAGTTTACTTTGTAATTGTAAACACACATGTTCGCGGATGACTTATCAATTCCAGGCTGTCATTGCCCAGTCATAGTCACTGTACTGCATAAATTCATAGTCGATAGAAAACGATAATATCTAATCTAACAGCAAGCGAAATGACTAGTTGATAAAACATCTTAGGTATAGCTCAAAGTATTGACTACAAAATTCGGACAAGTTTTGCCAGTGCTACTTTCCGTAGTCGTTGCTAAATGTATGGATATCATCTTCAATCGTCAAACAAAAAACGTTTACCCGGCGTGTTCGTTGCTAAACGAAGTCGCGTGTTTTCAGACTTGCACGGGAAGTATTTTCAGATAGATTGACCAGGGCATGCTGTGAGTGGCATAACATTTTCTATGCAAACAAAGAAGCCTACGCAGCCCAATCACATTATCAGAGAATTCCTGACCGACGTTGCCATGCCCCTACCCTGTATCGATGGTTGTCTAATTGTTTACTTCTTCTGATCTTTTTTTGCTTTCAACTGAAAATGATTTTAAACTTGAAAAGCCTTTTAAATGTAGACCCTTCTTCAAGAGAGGGCAAAACTTGAAAAATCTTTCATTTAAAGACACTCTTACTGTTACAGAGAAGTATCTCTTTGCGAGGCACTAGAGGTCTTTGAAAAGTTGCCAAGGTAGCACTCTAAAACCAAAGTAACGCGATTCGTTTGAATTTGTATGTATTATGGTCTCAATTAAACTACACGATACATGTTTTGCAATTTTTTTATTACAACTTTTCGATAAAAAGACAAACTCGACATGATATCAGCTTGAGCACCCCCTAGACGCTAAATTTTAGAAACATTTCCTCTTTGGTAGACCATTACAAACCACCAAAATCCCTTTTAAGTTTCTTCAGCTGGGGGACCAAGCCTTTGTTTTTATGACGAAGAGACAATTTAAAGCAAAGAAACATAATTAAAACAAAACCTGTCCTTGCACTCCTATTATGCCCTGTCAGCACGTTAATTAGGGCGTTAAAATGCCCTGTCATAAAAACTTGAATTCGTTCCATTGGGATTCTGGAATCAGGAATTTTTCCTCTAGAATTTGATAAGTGATGCAGTTTTTTATTCATCGATCGCCATCAATGCAAGTTGTGGCTGAAGAGCTCTAGTGCCGTCTGTATTGTCAAATGAGAATTGAATTTCGATGCAACTTTTTCATCCTTGAAAGCAATGAAAGAAAACTCTAATAAATAGCAAGTAGGAATATATTTGTTTTCGTCTTGGTTTGTCTTCATTTCGTTCCATGTCCTGTATCCGAATCAACTACATTTCCTTTTTTAAAGAGCCTGATAATCTTTTCTGATGTTTGATGTTCTTATTTGTTGGATAATTTGAGGCTCGGTTATTTTTGTTTCTAATTCAAGATTCAAGAATTACATGCTATCAATCGATTCTAAGATTATGAAATAACAGTTTTGCATGACAATTTTTGGTAAAACGGTTGTTTTTCTTATATATTTTACTTATATATTCTAGAGAATTCTTTAAAAAATGCAATTTGCTGGGCAGATTCGTACGTTCTTGTTTTTCTGACAAATCGTTCTTCGCTGCTCTTATGAAAGGATTGTAGGCCCTTAGCTTGTATATAATTTTTTAAAAAGTTGCATTTTTGCAATGGTTTAAAGCATTTCTACAGTTCATTATACTTCAATATAATTCTATAACTAGTTATATCATCAAAAATTATTCGTGTAACAGAAGAAGCATTATCAGTCTATGAGACCCGATACATAAAATCGACAGTAAAATTTACTCTTGAAACAAGAAGCCCCTTGAAACTTTATACATTTGGTTGCAAACTAAGGAATAAGTCACCACGCATCTCAATTACGCCGATGAGATAGAATTTTAAAATCAGCTGTTGCATAGAGCAAACAAAGGTGTTGTATGCCGGATTTCATACGGTAATTCTTTTTAGATATAAATCAAATATTGTTAGCTAGAAGTAACACAAGGATGCTTCATTCATTGCAGTTTATGATTTAGATAGCAGACCCCCTGGAGGCCGCACTAATTCTTCAGTCTGACAACGTATAAAAGTGTCTTGGATCTTGACAGTCATCCTAGTTACGACTGGTGTTGCCTCCAAGAAGACGAAATCCATTTCAGACTAAGTCACGATGATACTCCAGTCAATTGCGACATTTTCCTGCTTATTCCTAGCTGCTTCGGCATGGAGGGTAAGTTGAGCATTTTTGCTAACGATGTATTAGTCTTTTTGATACCAAATTATTTCAGAAATTCAATCTGCTAGATATAACAGGAAGTTTATAAGCGTCATAGCTATCCAATTTCTTTTCTTCACCAGCGATCCTGTTTTTAGTCTGTTTGGTTATTTTTGATACTCTAACACCAAAGATCCACAAGCATTGCTTGGAAATCAATTGTACAAATTCACTGCAAAAAATTCCAATATTGTTGCTTGCAAATGCCATGGCAATGCAAGGAAGTGGTAAAAACATATGCAAAATGTTTTCTTGGTTTATGACTGGCCATCTTAAAATTAAAATTGGACAGAGTTTGACAATTTATTTTCACTTCTAAAAGAATTATCCTTCGAACAAACGTAGTCTATTGGCATTCCGAAGTGTCGCAAATTGGCAAAGCGTAGCCCTGCTTGAGACAAAAACAGCCCCAACTGATACATATGACATGGGAATCAGCCATTATTTAGGCTTAAATGCTTTTAGCTGCCAGTCATTTCAGTAAATTTTTCATTATTTATAGATTAAGTAGGCATGAGAAGAATTCAATTTCATTTCCAACTCTTAAAACTATAATGGGTTGTCAGATTGGAAAAAACCCTCAAATACAGCAGAAAGAGCGCCATTTCAAACTGCTCTGAGTGAAGGTTGCGGATAAATTTCAAAGACTACAACATTTCTATAGCCTGCGTGCAGACTTTACTTTCCGTTGCGAAGGAGTAAAGACCGTTGCCTTTCCTACTGTTTATCATTGTTTTTGAAACAGTTGAGCCTTGTCAAAATTGTTTCATGTTAACAGGGTTTCAAATTATAAAGGGACTTAATCTTTGGTAAGAGTCAAATTACACCTACAGTGGTTTGATAGCTGATTAGAGCGGATAGTTTTACTACATAGCTTTCAATATGCCGTTTCTTATTATGGTTAATTTTTTTCTTTCCATATTGCCTGCACAGTCGCCAAATTTTTCTCTTCCTATCTTATTTCCCAATCGCTGCTTTTAAAAAATTCTTTCACTTGTTCCTTAACTGCCTTCTAATCTTCACCTCCACTCCTCTCTACCGATCTTCGATTTATTATATCGATTATTGATTTTATAAGGATAGAAAAAGAGTGCTATTGATGTTCTCCTAAAAGAACAACTAAACGATGCGATGCTGCTATTGGGGGTATTACTGAAAAACCTAGGTTGTGCAAAAAACCAGAAATGGTGACATGTTTCGGAGCCACGTCGTCATTCCACCAAATAGCTTTAGAGTCTCTCAACATGAAAATAAAAAAAATTGCTATTGTCGAGGCTAAATGTGTTTACTTTCACCGGTAGCACTGATTGGGTAATCTTTACAGTCATATGCTCGCGTTTCGGACTGGCCTATTTCGATGCACAACTGGGTATACATGCATTTCGCAGAGTTTTTTATCTATGTTCTTAAGTTATCAGTTAGAAAAGAACATGTAACTTTCTAATTTACACAAGATACTTTCACGTCCCTAACAGCCTTTCCTAAAGAACTTTCAACTTAAGCTGCCAAGATATTGTGCTCTGACCCAAAAGGTCTAATTCCTTAAAATTCTTACAAGGTACTTTGACAATCTTGAGGCTTAACAGTATAGACATGACCTTGTTTCTTACGGGTCCTTTACACATTACCGCTACTTTCCGTAGTTGTGTTTTGTCTCTGTTCTGTTAGTTGCGTTATGGTGATCGTTCATTGCTTCAAAGGATAAACTAAATTTTCAATAGGTGTCAATTGCGAATCTTTGAGATATTAGACCTCAAATAAGAAGACATTTGTTTACAGTAATTCATGTGTTCCACCTCTTGCAAAGCTGACGCATTATTTGCTTTAACCACACATACGGTCAATAAAGCTATAATGTACGCCAGTAGTTTAAAGATATTTTATTCAATCATTAGAGTATATCCCCTTGTACTACTTTTTTTCCTCTTAAAAATCTGACGCATTATATGCTCAAGAGTTGTACTGTTAAATTTCACTTATAATAAATGTGTAGTAAAATTTCCTTAAACAATGCTTTGATTTTTCTTGTGAACTTTGAGGATTATTTTCAGTCAGTGGATGAGAGCTCTCTCCTGCTGTGCTTCTTCTCTTGCATGCTCCATCTTCCGAATGATTCACTTAAGCTATACATATTGTCGTACGTTTAAGTGCTTGCTTTAGACTAACTAGAGCCAAAAAGCAATAGCATGGCATGGGATAATTTGCTTGGGACAAGTGTCTCGCCTAAACTCTTCGCAAAAACAGCATTGTGCAGAGCTTTGCACCTGTTTCTATAAGCATCAGCTGGTTGAAGTTTATCGCAGTTTATTTGCTACTCGTCTCCAGGTTTGTATTAGGAATATAAACATCAGATATGAAGATTTGTGCAAAATCCTAAGCTTATGCAATTTGACTGCAAGATATAATCACTTTTAAAAACCAATCAAAGAAAAAACGTCGATAAGTAAGCAAAGTAACCTGCAGTTTTAAAATTATTTGCTTTTCTTTTCCTCAATGCCTAGTCTAAATTTGCTTAGTTGTAATCGTTATTGATGTGTGTTATGAAGAACTTGAGACATCTGTACAGACATAGCCTATTCTAAGGGAAATTAGCTGCGGGGGCAACCCTTTGTTTACAAAAAGAGGAGGACAATAGCCTATTATTAAAAAAAATGGAAAGTCACTTAGACTGAAGGGGCAATTGCCCCCCCCCCTAGTTAGTATGTTAAAAAAGGCCCTGTGTGCAGATATCCTTGCAGTACAAAAGCTAAACATTAAATATTGAAATGTTGCATTGAAGCTAACTGTGTTCTTATAACTGCAGCAAAACCAAAAGCTGATATTTTTTCATAGCAAGAATTTCCTAGCTATTTCCTAGTTATATACAAATCTAGCTATATAAGTTTATTAAAAGGAAGAGCTACGTCACACTGCTTGCTTTCTGTTAAGGTTAAGGACTTGCTCCAGCATAGAAAAGGCAGAGCTCTTTCAGTACTCACCATTCTGGCGAGAAATATTTCATAGATTTCTCATTATTCAGACTGCCGGGCAGTTCTCAGTACGGACTAAGAACTGTTTAGTAACAATATCACATTAAATGTTTCAGAAAAGAAAATGATGCCGTTTTCTTTTCATGATAATTAGGAAAGCACGAAACATTTCTTTCATGAAAACCAAACCGTAGATTTGTATTGCTACTATCAAACTGTGCAAGGACGATATACAATACCATAGAGCTAAAGAGAATTTGTTTTGATCTTTGTTTTTGTTTGCCCGAAAAGCTATGCTTATCGCTCGGGCCCTCGTTTTTCCTCTTGATATGATAAGACCCCGTGATTCCTACTCTTTGTATTACAACAAGCTGACGATTCTCCTCACTGTAAGTAAAGGTCCGGCCGTGGTAGGTAAACAAACCTCAGAATTTTTGACATCTAATCCGTGACACAAAATGCATAACCATTTTCACACCTTTTGCTGTACTATCAAGCTTTCTGCTGCCCCAGAATTTAAGAAATTTTTAAAAACTTTGAAAGAGGCATAACTTTTACAAAAGCTTTGTCCATCACTTCACTAAGAAGACCAAAGTACAGTAGAGAATTTATGTTAATTTATGTTAAGTTATATCACTTAGTTATTTATTTAATCCTCTCAATCCTTTTTCATTACAGATTCATCAAACTCAAAAACCAATTCCAGTTGACCGTAAGTAAAGAAGTATATTTCAAAATATCCGCATCTGCTTTTCCAACGACTGTGCTGTTTTCAATTCATCAAGGACACTTACCGTCAGCAATCCATGCAGATAATTGTTGTATCGCATTGGACTGTACACTTGCGTTCGAGCAGTATTGCATCACCGGACACAAAGTGGCAGCACTGCCGCTAAATTTTTTTAGCTAATCGAAGTTCAAATAGCTATAGCAAGTTTAATAAATGCTTTAAGATTTCTGTTTGGATGGAAAATAATGGAAAACTTTACAAGGAACGGTATTGATAAATGAACAAGAAAATACGCTTGATATTTTCTTGTTTCCAAATCATGCGGAACTGCGAAAGCACAAAAAACGAGCTATTTGCAATAAAAAATGTTTTTCTTAGCACATTGACATTGTGAATTGAGATATGGTGGGATTGGCTAGACGAAAATTCCATAATCGTGGGGATGAGGTTAAATATCCATAAGGTGAAATATCCATTATAATAAATTCTAGCCAACTAATTCCTTATTAAGCTGATTTGAAGTCAAAAGCCCAAACAGTTTTATCTAAATGTCATAGGAATGTCATAGTAACGTTAAAGTGAAGCTGTTTGTTAATGGACTGTATTAGCAGCAATGAGGACAGTAGCTACACGATTTTACCGCCTGAATATCTAATTAATTAAGAAACAGCAAATTGTTTGTGAAAAGCACTTAACTATCAGTTCATGGCTTGGCAAGATTTACCCTGCCAGCACTTTAGAACGTTCTTCAAGCACATTGAGTTCAACGACACAAGGAAGTATCATCCATTGTCCATGTCTTTTCTGACAGCCAAGTCTCTTTAAAAGATACAACATAAGACTGTATATATAAAACAATATAAAAGAAACAATGTGACACAAGCATATAGGTTTAGAAGCTCTTCTAGACTTATCTCCTGCATCGAATGCAACTTTTTGACATCTTCTTCTCTATTTTAAAAAAATGTTCAACATCCGTCAACCACTCATTTAAAACTAGCATTCGTTGCACACAACTAAAAGGATAATCTTTGGCATGGCTTAGCGGGATATGTTTTTACCAGTAGGATCAAAGACTACAAAGTTGCAAAGGGAAAAAGTATATTTTAAAAATTGTTTGGATCATGATAATGTGTCCCGAAAGAGAAATATTTTTAAATGTAGAAAATCAGTTAAATCTGTTACAAATTGCCCGAGAATTGCTGTTTTTGCACATTTCGTAGTATTTAAGCGCATTCTTTCAGCTCATGAGGTCAAAATTGAGAAATTGTTGAGGATCTTATGACGTCATCATTCTCCCTCTATTTCTTCTGTCTCCTTTTTTAAGCTTGCTACGCAGCGAAGTGCCCAGCAAAGATTTCATACACAGAATGCTACAAAACATACAAACCCGAGGGATCCTGTTGTTCAGTTTGCGGTAAAATTATCTTGGTTTTTAATAAATGCATTGAAGCAAAATCTTTCACCAGATGATACCAATTCTTGCATGAAAGTATTGCCCTTAACGATTTTTGGATATATTGAGAAGAAAGATCATTTATTCAAAATGTTGGCAGAATCTAGCGATTGCCAAGCAGCTAAATTACATTTGTTAATGAATTGCGATAACACATAGCTTACAACAATCTAGAGTCTCTTCTGCCAGCTACTTTCTCAAAGAAATCGAAGAATGCAATTGGTAGAAAATTCTAGAGGGCATTAATCATAGTTTTGTAATTGATTTTCAGCATGTTCGGACGAAAATGATAATGCGTTCAGCATTGGAGAAAAATATCTGATGCACAAGAACCGGAAATGCTATGAATGCACATGCAGCGAAAATAAGGGCGTTAGAAATGCTTTGTGTTTCAAGGCATACTGCCCCAAGGCCAATTGTCCACCAAAAATCCGAGTGAAGGAACCAAACAGTTGTTGCGAGAAATGCCCAAGTAACTGGAGTAAGTATAGCTATAAGAGCTGTATTGTTTTCACATACCCCTATCATGGAAAAACGTCCTAAAAGCAAAATTGAAGTCATAAAAATTAAAAGAAGTTTTAGATTACTTTTGAAGAAATTAAAATTTTTAGCTTCCTCATTCATTGTTGCTTGTTATCTTAAAGCTACATATTTGTCCCAGCATTCATCTTGAGTGAATAAAGTGCTTTGAAAAGCTAGTTGTTGTTTAGGAAATGAATTACCAAACGATAAATCGAAAAGCTTTGATATTTTGATAGGTGATTTTTATATGATATTTGCACACATATAACGTTACACTTGTTTAAAAAGTATATTGATAAGATGTCACACACATTGGTTCTACATTTCCACTCATAGCCAAAAAATAAACAATGCAGTTCATACAGAATGTAGCTGTTTAATTACTAGTGATAGTGGATGTTAGAATACTCGAATTGATAAACTGCATCTTTTATTCCATTCTCAAGTTTGACTTCAGACGCTGCTTAACAAAACCGTTATTTTCCAGAGCCAGCCGGTCCACCAACCTTTCCACCCTTTCCACCCTTCCCAGGATTTCCACCAGTTGGTGATGAAGCAGAGGTTGCCGCAGGTAAGTGTCTTCAAACAACGTTTTATTATTCTTCTCTTACGGGGATGCTGTAGAGAGGGCCAGAGGGAGGGGGGGGGGTGCTAATTAAAATCTTGTACTTTGACAAAAGGTTTGGTTGCTTCTTTTTAAATCGATATTTCTGTTGTTTTAATGTTATGAAAAGGTTACAGTAAGCAATACTAAAATAGCTGTTGTGACTTTGATATTGCTAGCTGGGATCAGAGAATAAAACGTGAAAAAATTGAGAGACAGTGACATTTCATCTACAAAAATGATTTCAACTGTTATACAAATGCGATAATGAAAGACTTTTCTTTCTTTGTAGAAGATGATGCAAAAGCAAATCAAGTGTAATAATGCACCTTGAAGAAGATCACACTTGATGCTACATAATCTACTGTTACGTTGAAAACTGTCGATAAAGTATCAAGAAACTGTAATCATAAAATTGACGAGAGTTATCTGAACTCTGAAATTTCATTTTATTGTCTAAATAATTCTAATACATAGGAAGCATTTAGATAGTTGCACTCACCATCATCTTCTCATTATCTTCCTTCAATATATGAATTTATGCATTTTGAATCTTATATTATATTATTCAATGCCTTTTTGTGCTTGTTTTCCTTCTGTTCAAAATCGTTACTAGGGTGTCATCATTCTGTTGTGTCAAACATCATCATGGTTGCAGAGATCATACAGAGTATAGTGAATCACTTAGATATCGATAGCAAATATATCGACTAAAAACAAGAACGAAATTCTAAATTTATAATTACGCGTTATGTGAGTTTTAGCGAATATCGCAATGTGCACCAGGATTATTTTAGATCACTGAGAACTATCCTCATTCTGCATTTGGCACACAGAAGTTGCCTAGGAAAGTCTTTTTTATCCGTATTTTTTAAATCTCAGTACGGCTTCCTTAATTCCAGCTCGAAGAGTATTATTCTAAGCCTTCATTAGTTAAGGTTTTGGTCATTATACCAGCGAAACATTTTTTGCTAATTGCCTTGCTGATTCCGTCTACCACTTTTTAAGAAACACGTAGAAAATTTTTATAGCTGGTTTTCTATAAATGTTGTGAATTTTGCAGAAATCTTCTGGGATTTGCTTAATAACTTGATACACGTGACAATACAATGACTTAATTTGGACTCGTTAAGCTCGAAATTGCTCTTTACATTATGGATTAAGTGTTTAAAGACTTTGAGCCCAGTTTCCAGAGAATGTTACCTTCAAGTTATCGAGATATTCCTTGTCTTCCCTCTAATCTTTCTTAATATATCTTCAGACGTTTCTTGCAAATCTTACGCTACAGTGCCCTTGAAAAACGTCATAATTGAGCTAAAATTCATTAAAAGCTTTCTTTTGTGACGTTTCAAATACAAAGCATAGCTGGAAATTGAAAAAAATGGTTTTCAGGGTTTAGGGTTTTAGGCAACAGAGTCAGGAAAGGGATTTCTGGGACTGAAATGAACGTTGGACTGAGTCTTCGAACTTTCACACTGCGAAGAAGGCTAGAAAACGTCCACGTGGGATGAGATTTTTCCGAAGCAAGAGCTGGGATAAAGCCCCCTCTCCCTTTAGAACATTCTTAAAAGAGCGACTTCTAATAGGCCTCTGTTGAAATCACCCCTCGATGAAAACTTACAGATTTTAGTCACCCTCACTACTCTCATTATAAGAAATCAATTTGTAGACATTGATCAGACAGCTAGCTCTTTCTAATAAAAATTGAATTCGTCATTCACATTTGCTGTTTTTATGAAATAACCATATAAAAGCTTTAACGATAGAAAGGAAGAAGACACTCGTGCTTGATAACATCGAATATATTGTTTTGATTCGCCATGCTATGCTAACAAGTTTCTAGAATCAAAAGGAAATGTCTCTTGTAATTAAATGCTTTGTCAGCTGAAGATTAACATATGACTTCTAGGCGATGTTATGGTTTTTACGGAACCTTTTTATTGTAAGCAGTGTGAATCACGTCCTGCTTGTAAAGCCAAACTTGTTACAGCTCAAGTTTATATCAGTTTCTCTTATCAACATGTTTGTCATCGTCTGATGTCAATGATAAATAGAGCTATATAAATGTGCCCTTCCCTGAGCAGAAAATCTATCTTCAACTAACATCAGCATTCAGGAATAAGAAGACCCAGTACAAGTGAAAATGATCTTTAATTTCATCGTCACCTTTCTCTGCCAGTTTTTAGTTGTTTCAGCATATCAGGTAAGCTCGTTCTCCACATAGTGAATAAGTGTTAAACAAGATCTCTCGTTTTGTAATACTTCTAGATAAACAACAGTATGAATAATAATGGAAACTTTTCATTTTGAATTCCAGTTAAAACTACAATTACAAATCTCACTATTACAAGGTAATTTGTAACTGGCTAGCCTATTTTTACAAAATAAGACTATTACAATCATAGTAAAGAGAAAAGAAAACAAAACGTTAAAAGGGGAGTAGCTCTGGGTTAGTCCATGTTTTGTTCCTACAGCAAAAAATGTAATAGGTGGTACGAATGGATATCGTAGAAAGCTTAGAAATGAGATATCGTTTGTGTAGATCATCGATGGAAAGAGAGTCACACATTTCAAGGAATGAGCTGCATGAGTCGCCGAAGATGCCAAGAGAGCTGATGGAGAGATTTACAAAAATGATAATAATGATAATAATAATAATAATAATAACAATCTTTTTTTAAACCAGTTGTCAGTTCATTATGAAAAACATAACACTTACAAAACTCACTATTACAAGGTAATTTGTATGTGGCACACTTACATTGAAGTAAAACTATTACAAATGCAAAGAAAAAAACGGTTGTACACAGCATAAATATAAGCATGATGATGTAATGATGGTGACGATGTTGATAATGCTTATGAGGATGACAAAAGTAGCGACGATGTTGATGATGGCAATATTGATTGTAGTGATGGTGGTATAGGTAGAGATAGAATGCTAGATGGAAAGAAGCTCTGGGTTACGCCAAGGTTTGTTTCTACGGCAGAATATATAGTAGGTGCATCGAAATATGACCTTTGACCAACCAAGATAGATGTATCGACGATGGGAATTTTCAACACCAAGATCGTCCAGCATATTTGTAAAGGTAGAACATGATTGCCCAAAGATGCCAAGAGAACTAATTGAGAGGTTAACAAATTTAACGGACTTGTACGAACTGCTAAGAGTTTTTAAAAGATGCAAGATGCGAAGTTTTTAATTTGTGCGAGAACTATTAACATTAAGATTTGTCTCAAAGCCAACTATAAGTAACTGATATTTTTACAGGTTGACTTGTTCAGACATCTGTTATCCTTCAAGGATCTGTATTCCTATTGACAATGATTGTAGTTAAAATTGAGGTATAAAAGTGTAGTAAAATGTTGAATTTATGAAATTAAGATAGTTTGATGTACAGTTAAAGGATAAGAATTCATTAGGCTCAAATGCGTTTCTTCTAGGACATCTCCAAAGACTTCGAGAGTTTTAGTTTCTTTTTGAATAGAAAGGTTGATATTTCGTTACGGGTTGTTTTTTCGAGTCGGTTGAAGATGCTGCCTCCCTGATATGCAAACGATATGCGGGCTCCCTGAAATTGTCGCTTTGTTTAAAATAAAGAAAACTTTGTTTTTTATGGCTTTAAGCTGTGATCATTATGTTCGGATTTTGGTTGTCACAATTTTGCAGCGTAAAATCACTTGCGAAATTGCTTACTGTGATAACTTCTGTATAACAGGTAGAATGTCTAATTTCCACTTTAAATACAAGCTAAGCTACAAGCTGATTTTGCTTCATCGCATTATTTGAATTATTGTTATTTTGTCTTGAGTCTTTCTTGTTGATTGATATTAAGAAAAATGAAGTTATTTCCTATTGGCAAAGTCTATTCTTGCTTACCAATTTTGCTGCAACTTTTTTAAGTAGCTTGCAAGAATAAATTTGAAAAGCAGATACTTTGCAATGATTGCTTTCCGTGTTTATTTTCTTTTGGTAAGAAAGAAAATATCTTAGTTTTAATCAGAGTAGAATCAAGAATAATAAACTAATAGAGATGCAAACATTATAAAGTTTGTCGATGAATTATAAAAAAAGTACTACAAAAGTCAAAATTTGTTTACCCTTTCTTCGGAGCTCGATCTGAATTGCTTTTACTAGAAACCATAATCTTATCTTGTTTTTTAATGAATTTCAAAAAGGGGTTTTTTCAGTGAAGTCAGAACTGTAACGATTTGTCAAAAACTATTTGGCACCTTTTGTATCAGACCAGATACAGCGACATAGCCTATTTCATTTGTCGTTTTGCTGCAGAATTGCCTTTCCTGCATTGCTAGAACTGTCATTTTATTAAGATTAAAGGCCGACCTCCACTTGGCCGCGCGTACGGTCTTGCAATTTGATTGGATAATCTCCGACGTACGTAGAGCGGCCGCTCTGAGAGTAGAACCAGGTTCTACTTTCAAAGCGTACAAAGTTTGAACGTGACGGGCAAGAATATTGCATCATACCGAGTCACTGGGCATGCGCTGACTTGGCCGCACCGTACGCGCGGCCAAGTGGAGGTCGGCCTTTACTGCTACTTATCGTCTCTTGCGAATATTCGTTAGAAAATCCATCCTTGAATGACTTCTTTTCCAGATTTTGGTAACACCTGAACCGATAGTTATTGACCGTAAGTGAATAATTCATTTTCTCACATTAGGCTGCAGCTTTCATTTAGAGTGTTTATATTAGTTTTCTTGAACTTTCTTTGGCAAGTATTTCAATTTTTTTGGTAAAAAATCGTTTATAATTTCTTTGAATTGTTTAAACATGAAGTCTGAATTTGATTGAATTTAATACAACTAGATAATCCTTCTTGTCTGCTCTGCTTCTCAATCTTCTTATCTGCTCTACTTCTTGTCATTCTTCTACCTTCCTTCTATGACCGATATTGCATTTTCTATATCAGTTGACATGATCTGTAAATCTTAGCTTGCCACGATGTCACATGCCCGCCAATATACACGGAGTGCCATAAAACATACGTGCCCAGTGGATCCTGCTGTCCTATCTGTGGTAAGAGTTTTTGACTGCCCTGGTACTTTGTTAGTCACAAATAAATAGTTGTGCTCTCATGATCAAAAATATGGAAGGATGATAAAGGCCTATCTGCCAAGCTATCGTCAGTAATTTTGATAGCTGAATTCGCTTGTTTTTAATTTGCAGTAGTTACTACGTCTATGTCCATAGGGGTGTTTCCTTTTTAATTTTGTTTATCAAAGTGCACCAATTGTCTGGACTCTATTTTGCTGGAAACTATCTTCAAATATTCAAACTGCCTGAAAAAGGTACTAATCGGTTTGCTTTACAAAATATCAAGGAAAAAGACGATTCTCTCTCGAGGCGTTCTTCATTTCATCCTTATCTAAAGGGATTAATGGAAATACATAGATAGATCTCTATGTGATAATTTTTACAATTGCTTTTTGCCTTACAAGATAGAAACATTCTAAAAAACCGTGTTACTCATAAGCTATTTACAAATCGAATCGTTAAATTACATTCTTAATACCTTGCAAATGTCTTTACATAAAATTTAAAAGCAAAGTGAATGATGTTTTCTATATTTTGTTCCCCCAGCCTGTATGGATGAGAAGAATAACGTATACGAAGTAGGGCAAAGTTTTCTCCTGCATAAAAACAACAAGTGCTACGGGTGCACATGCAAAAGTGTGGACGGTGCCAAGTCTGCAACATGCTACGAGATGTATTGTCCATACCTTTCTTGCCCTGTAGAACATCAAGTTCAACTGAAAAACAGCTGCTGCAAGGAATGCCCATGTAAGAGTAATCAACATTACTGTACCATTATCACAACGTATTTCATATAAGAAATCGTAAGCCAAGTTCAGAATTGGTCATTGCCTTGAGTACATTAAAGAAGCTAAGTTTTGAGAATCCTTTAATCTTTTGTGACCATCTTTTTTTATTGACTTGATCAAAAACAAATGTCTTGAAAGGCCTAAAATCAAATTGAAATCAATAGCTGACACATTTCCTTTCCATGTCTTCCCTTTCTCTATTTTTTCAAAACAACCACTGTGACTTCATTCTTCAATGCCAGAAACACGTGAAGCATTCACTGTTTAATAAATTTTGATTATATGTGTCAAATTTGATACCAAACCAACCAGGAAACAATAAAATAGGAAATTAGTTTCTTCTTTCTTGCATTTTGTTAAAGTCTTTATAAATGCTTAATCTTACGCAGAAGGAATGTATCTTTAGCAGTCCTGTGAATAGCTGACTCCCTGAAAACTGTACGTCTCAAAACGATTTGGCATCTTTCACATAATGTTAAAAGCAATCTGTCTCGTTGTGGATTGGTTGACGAGAACAATAGCTGGAACAATAGCCTAAACACAATTCCAGCGCTCCGCCATATTTTTTACAATGCGATAAATTAAAGGAGGACTGGAAACAATAAAGAATCCGTTTTTTCTTATAATCAATCAACGTCGTGACAGATTGCCTTTAAAATGCTTGCAAACGTTCGTGTGTTTTCAATCAATTTGTTTTCCATCATACATGATTACAAGCATTAAATCATCTCCATGGCTTTTGCTTCCTTGTGACATCTTGCGGATTAAACTTTAACAATTGCAAAACCATTTTGTTTCAGACGTAGCTCCACGGACGTTTCCTCCATTGCCCAGTTTTGGGTTGTTAAGAGATAATGAGTCAAAGGATAAAGCAGGTCAGTCACGTGCCCTTTTAAGTTCTCAAAAATTGTCAAACTTGACCCATTGGGTCGATGATACTAATCAAGGGCTAGACAGATGAGAAGTAATGAGAAGTAAAGCTACATACATACCTTCTCTGAAATCACTAATATGAAGTCCCAGGATGCGAAGTTTTTCGAAAATATCCGTCTGGACATTCTTATTCCAGTTACCCTGTTCATTTTACGTCTGTTTCTCATCGAGGCCATTTAAAGAACGACAAATCGCACACATTTAAATCTATAGCCCATAAATCAAATCTTACTTATTCTGATTAATCTCAAAACTACATAACTTTCAATAAGGACCGTCTTTACTTCTATTCCATGTCCATTACCTTATGAAGAATGGTCCCCTACTTATCCTGAAGTAATAGTAATTCTCGCGCATTGTCTGGCATACACACTTTTGAAAAGAATCTGAGGAATTTGTAAAGTGATCAGTGGTCTAAAAAGTTTAAGTACAACTGGTCAAAAGGAAAGCATACGGATCCATTTCAATTCCTGATTTTTTTCAATTTCATTCAAGGCTGGAATAGAAACATGCCTATTCGTGATTCTAGATGTTTAGTCTCTTGTAGCTCTCAATTTTGAGGATGAGGTTTCTCAATTTTATAAATAGCTTTTCCTTGCCAAAATGTTTTTATTCGAGACAAGATGCATACATGCCTGTTGTTGCAAGTTTATTCCGTAAATCCTTTTTCTGTTGATCTTTTGGCATTGTGTTCCATAAATCCTCGAATATGCCCCCGCCTTCGAATAAGCCCCCTCCTCGAATAAGCCCCCCCCCTCTAAATAAATATTTTTGAAATAAGATAAGCCCATTGCCTCGACAGCGATAGGCTTGTCCCAATATATCTGCATTTTTAAGCACACTGACCAGCCTAAAATAAAGAAAGAAAATTTATCCTGGTAATAATTTTTGGCTGCTACAAAATAAGCCCCTATCTTCAAGTCCCGACCCCAAACTTTTTCCCCAAATTCGAGGAATTTCCATACCTCAGAAATTTTTATCAAAGGATTGTTCGGGAGCGACATTTAAGAAACTTGAGTGAAACTTTAGAAACTTGAGCGACACATAATGCATAAGGTGGTCTTGAGTATAACCAAGATTTTTTCTTGGTATAACCTTGTTCATTTTCTCAAGTATGTTTGAAGAAAAGCAATCCTCCGATTAAGATAAAAATAAGCAAATGTTTTGACTATTTAAACATTTCGTAACAATTGTAATTTTTTTTGTAGAGGAAAAAAACAGATGGAAGCAAGCCTTTGAGTAACTGAAGCTGAAATATAATATGAGCATATATCTATCTATACACTAATGCAGCATTAAATACCAATTAAGTTATAGAATTAAACTATTGTTATCAATAGTAATCTTCAGTCGTTGCATTCTTCAATGTAATCATTTCAATTTATATTTAATCGCAATGAATATGAAAACGAACAATTTCTTCTTCGTTTAACCTGTAAAAGTGTTTCGTTGATTTAAAATCTTCTTTTCAAAATTGACAAATGCAGGCCGAGGTTTTCAGTTCCGAAATTGAAGCATTTAGGAAATGAAACCTTGCGACTGTTGAAGGTAATGCGCCAGTTAAGTGTAACAGTGGAGGCGCAAAGACGATCACGTCAGCTTTTGCTAAATGAACTACGAAAAACTAAACATCAAAAATTTGGAAGATCATTGAAATATCTGATCTAAATGCTTTAAAAGGGTAGTCAAAAGAAGGGTGGCCAGGCTGATTGCAAAAAGAATATATTCGTTCATGCGAAACGGTATGTAATATTTTCAAAATCTGTCTCCTCTTTAAAAAATTTCACTTTGATTGTGACAACTTTTTTTAATTTACTTAGAAAGGCAGTGTGTCTCAGGAAGACAGTCGTTTCTTGGTCAGCCTCAGGTCTTTCAAAATCCATCTTGGCAACAAAAAAGCCAGAAAGATATTATATACTTAATAGCACGTAGCAGACTACGCCAAAACTAGGAATATTAAAGCTACAAACTTGTGAAATATAGCTAGAAACATAGTCTAGCTGCCTAGAAGCCCTGAAAATTATGCGTGACAAAGAGATCAGAGATCACTAAAGATGATGATCCATAAACTATGATACATTTATTCTTGCTGGTATACTAGAAATTTGTATCTTAGTCTCAGTCCTCAAAATCCAATTCCTAAATCTAAAACTTTTTACATAGACTATTTTACATAGACTTTTTACATAGTGAACGTCCTAAATTTTCAGCATTATTTTCAAAACTAACATCTTGTTAGTGATTTTTATCTCGAGTTTTGACAGCTTTGGTAAATTGTTTACAAACTTCAAATACTTAGTTTGAAGAGTTCAAAAGTCAATTGATGTTTATAAATATCCGAAATTTCAATCTCCGCTTCATCTTCATCATATCTTAAGTTTAATAGCAACCTCTCTTGGCGAGTCCCTTGCCTCGTTCTAGAGGCGTTCATGTTTTCTAAGAATACAAATATTCTTTGTGTTTAAAAAGGTGAGAATTTCTACTCTTAACCTTACCTCTACCATATTCTACTGTTTCTAAGGAGTCATACCAATTTTTGTTCTTTAGCCAGTCTAGGAGACCTATGCATTTTTATGCATGAAAAAAAATACTTGACCAGAAAAATTGTATCAGATCATCAACATCCGATATTGCTGACATAACCAACATAACGTAACTAGATTTCACCCCTATACACTCACGCACTGTTCCAATCTGCGTTTAAATTCGGATGAATCGATTAGATGTTCACGATAATGTAAAAAACTTGTTTAAGTCAGTTAGGCCTATATATTACTTATTAAAATGCCTTCCAACTTCCAACAGCCTTTCTTACCTGCCTACCTTTCCTCCTCGTACCACACTACCTATTCACCTTCCAACTACTCTTTCTCCCTTCCCTAAATGCTGGTACACAATGTTTAACAAACCTTGCCAAATGCACATTGCAACACGTGCATTATTCCTATTCTGCTTCTACTATAAGCTGATACTTGATACATCAGTAGCGTAGCGTGAGCTGCAGAAGTGGGTATGAGGTGGGACAAGTGTGCGACAGTGAAAATTTCAATTAATAGTCAAAGCCACTGTTTAAGCAAAAGAAACTGTTTTCTTGTTCAAAAAAGGCGCTTTTAAAAATATTTTTGGTCAGATTTTGCAGGGCATGCGGCGCATTACTAACTTCCCCTGACGCCACGCCACTGTGATACATTATTCCTATACTGTGACAACAGCAGCAAACAGCAAAAGAAAAGATGAACACATTTTAGAATAAAGTAAAAGAGAGAGTCAGTCTTGTTTTTAAAGGCTTTCAACCAGGATAATCCAATAATTTATCTACAATGCTAGTAAAGATCACAAATACGATGCAGATCTTTGCACTCCACTTATGATGCTTTTTTTTACACAAAACGGAACTAAGGGTTTAGAAGCGTCATTCTGCCATTGGTTATCCACTTGGGCCTAGTCATCAAAATAGGTTCGTCATCATCGTTATTCCCCTGTACAACCTGCTCTTCGAGAGTATACTCGCCAAACAGCTCACATCCAATGTCGAAACGGTATTTTCCATGGCCTTTGGGTAAGTCATCTTCAAAACGACCTGCAACGTGACAATTTAGCTTCAATATTGTGCTCCTTATACCATCAAGAGAGAGAATCAAAATGATCTCTAGTTATGAAATTCTTAATGACCAGATGCTAAGACACAGAAGCAGAGCATGAGAACTGTAGCGCAAGATGGGTAGGGTGCCAGTGCCATAGGAAGGAAGGAATTAATGGGGTCACAATTGTTTGAGAAAAATGGGAACAAAGGCGAGGGTTCATTGGAAGCAGAAGATGTTAGTTTTTTGGAAGGCTTCAGCCCTTAAACCAAAAAAGCAGATACAGCCCTGCCCTGGGTGCGGTGGGATGAGGGGCTCGTTATATTTTCATGGAAACGCAGAGGGAATTTTAGGAATTGGTTTTACTTTAACTATCGCTAGAACAAAAATATTTTCTTCTCAGTATTAAGTATTTCTCTTTTAACTTCGCTTTTTTGCCTTGAGGTATTTTACGGAAAGCTGTCTGATTGGTAAAGGTAGACCTGCAAATAAGGTGGATTGGCAATGATATTTAAAAGCCACGTACCACTGAACTTGTGATTGGCATGAACGACATCTCCAGGTCCTTTCTTTCTCCCTGCTTCCCACATTCCTCGATAGCTCGTTCCTGTTGCTGCGTACGTGTACACTCCGTAGCCATGCTTCTTATGCTCGTACCAGTCCCCCTCATAAGTATCACCATTGGCGAATCGATATATCCCATGACCATTGCGTTGATCATCAACCCAACTACCTTCGTATCTCGATCCATCAGGATATATGAAAGTGCCTGAATTGAGAGGATGGAAACATATGAAACAAACTGTAAGCAATGGTTAAAGACCATATGGCACAAATATAGATAAGAAATTCATAGTTTTAAGAAAGAAACTTCCACAAAATATCAAAGTTTTGGTGCAAGGGTTAACGATGAATATAATATTAGTAACAAATGTATACTAAAATTTGCTTTGGTAGTGTTCAATTAAACTGAACAACGTTAAACATTGAAGCGCAATAATAAAAACAGCCTGCTAGACAGTGGAACATAGTACAGTGAATGTTTGACTGGGGACAAAGATGATTTTGGTGTACAAGACTTGTACAGTGGTATGTTCAGTTAATTGGCCACTCAACTTAGCAAAAGCAAAACGTTTTTCCAGTATACACATGCTCAGATTAAGGATTGACAGCCTTTTTCTGATTAATTGTTAACGTTTGTACGATCAGGAGCCTCTTATTGAGTAGGAACCTCTCGTGGAGTGCTCAGTAGAAGTTTCAGCTGTTCGGCAAAATGATCAGTGGAATGTTCAATTCATTTGGACACTGACAACTGATGAACATAGTACGCATTATTTAGGGGTAAATTCATTTGAATATCCAGTTCTATGGTCCAGGCCTAAATATGGTAAAACGTGGCTTGCTGAGGTGGTGAAATGAGGTCTGATACCTACCTTGTCCGTGTTTTTTTCCATTGGTATATTCCCCAACATACTTTGCTAGGTTCTTAAAACGATATGTTCCCTGTCCATGACGTTTCCCATTTTGATATTGTCCTTCGTATGTATCCCCGTTTGGAAGTGTTGCCTTTCCATACCCATGTCTTTCGTCATTTTCATTTCTGTCCCCTTCGTAGTCCTATGTTAAAAACAAGTTTTGTTTACTAAACTTTTCTTCTACAAAAAACTGCTGCCAGTTCAGCTATATTTGCATTTTGTGTGCAAAAACTAAAAACATAGCTTTACTCACGTGTAACAGAAGAACCAAAAGATACTCTCAAGTTTAGGTCATATATCCCTGTATGTTACACAAGTTTATGTTACATAGGATGACACTTTTGCTTAAATTTACATGTTTTTGACTGCTCTTTTCCATTGTAACAAATGTATAGGTTGTTCCAAATCCAGCATTTGTTAACTATTCAAGCAAATAAAAATGAAGTGGAATATAAGTTTATATTCTCTTGAGTAATTATAGCTCTCCCTAAATAAAATCGAACAAAATATACGATTTTTTACCTAGAATATGAATAATACACATAACATAGTTATATTTCAAATAAATGCAAAATTCTGTTCCTCAGCACTTGAATAAATATGACAATCACTTTGCCTTGAAAGATTATTATGAAAAATTTGATTTTAACTATTTTTGAACTATTTGAACTATTTCAAGGATTTAAAATTTGAATCTTGCTTTAGCTAACTTAAAAGTGAACATTTGACAAATGTCATCAAACCATGAGCCAACCTCGTACTCAAGATTGTATAAGTCTTTACTCAGGCTATGCCAGTCCATACAGTAGGGTTGGAACTGTTTTATTACAAATGAATAAAGGATGTATGATAAATAAAGAAGATGGATAAACCAAGCAAATAGCTGATTGCACAAATAATTTTATCTGAAGCTGCTACAAACAGAGAGCGAAGTATGGAAGTTTAAGGGAACAGCTTTAATATTCTTTATAGACACAGATTTATTGAGTTGAATGCCAAGTGGACCATCATATGTGTCATGGGTGGTGAAAACTTTTCAAAGTTTAGAAAACCTTCTAAGTTCATATGATAAACACATCTTATGTTGTTATTCGAAAATGAATTGCATTAAATTCAATTAAAAACACATCTTCGATATTTTGAAGAGATGTTCTGATATGTTTGTGTCTACCGAGTGCCGCTCCTAACGCGGGAATAGACTCAAATTGAAAACCTTACGATATAGTTGCTAAAACTGAAGTTGCAAAATATAGTCAGCCAATAAAATAGATACTCGTATAATTACTTAACCCAACCGAATGGAAGAAACCTGGATTTATCATAAGATTATACATTAAACAAATATATTGCGGTAGGTGGATGTAAAGTACAATCAACACAATAGAAAATACATGCTTTAACCTAATATCATTTGACAACTTTTCTAGCATCAGAAAATCGCAGAGAGATGTGTTTTCTTTAAAGAGAAGCATTACTATCACAAATGGGCCTAAGTTGATAACATTGTAACATTTGTTTACATACGCCTAAATGAACTCCTTCGTCTTCATCAAAGTCATCTGAAACTTCAGACATCCTTACTGCTTGTGTTCTTTTGCAAATGCTTTCGGAGAGTTTTTAGGTTTCTGCGAATCATGGAAGAATTTTGCTATAAACCAAGTATGTTGTTTACGGTCTCTTAGTAACCATTCTTTGACCGGTTAATTGCTTTCACTAGCGAATAATAATTTGAATACAAATTGCAAATTACAAAAGCCGTATTGTCTTTATGACAATCAGGTTTAGTGAATCTCTTACATGCTCCAGTAACGCTATTGTCGATGGGTTTTGCACATGAAAGAAAATGCACGACTTATGGAATAAAAGTATGCTGAATTATTCATGGAGTTAATGAGACTCTGTCGCCGCTTCTTGACATGCATTGAGATATTATTCAGAACGAAATCCATATACCTTAAATATTTAATGGGGGAATGCTAGAATTAAGACATGGTTTTGCAAAGCGCTCATAGTGGTTTTACACATATTATGTATCCAGTTCCCAGCCCAGCTGATTTTTGGACTTAAAAGCAATACATCTTTTTCTCCGTTTCCCTTGCTAGTGCTCCTTGTATGTGTCGTCTTTAGCATTGCCCCAGTAAAACAATTATGTTAGTTCTTGCTCAGTTAAATTTTGAGTTGGTTTCACCACTTGTTAAGCCTTGTTCAATTCTTCTCAGTCCTGTTCAGCCTTGCTTTGTGGTGTTCTGTCTCGACCAATGAAAATCCTACAAAAACAGCGAACAAATAAAGTAGCAGCTAAGATTACACATATCTAAATATAAATGTATACTATACAAGGGTGTAGTGCTAGGGGGGGGGCTCAGGGGTGCTGAAAATTGGCAAACTTATACTTTTTCCATTGTTTTTTGCAACACTTTGTGTTAGAGCCCCCCTTTTGACAGCACTACACCACTGATACTATTTACTTGGTTCTCTCTGACGATTCACACAATTTAAAGAAATCTTTTTTTTGAAAATACTTCGATGGAAAATGTAAGTGTAACAAAAGATTTCCACTGATCTTTATTTTTAAACATGGTTGGGGTCCTGGGTTCTTCTAGAAGTTCTTTTCTTCATTCTCGTGGCGAGCCTCTAGTTGCTTAGGAGGTCGAAAGAAGCCTTTTAATTTTCATAGATGCAAAACTCAAAAGCCCTGTTGGCGATCGTCGAAAAGTTAAAATAATATCAGAAATGTAAATTATATTGGAAGTAACAATTCTTTTAATTTATCTTTGATATATTTCTCTGTTTGACAAGTTTTTTTTAACTATCAGGAAATTTAGAGATCGAAAAATAAATCTTGACCGTTTCACAAAACATCGAAATTTTCTATGGTATATTTTGCATCCCCTTTTTAACGTATAAAGTCTTTCCTTTCGAATTTCGTACAATTCAACCATGTATTTGCATCTTGGAGGAAGACTTTCTCTGTGTTGATGCCTGGCCACGAATTAGAAGTTACATTCACTTTTCTGAGGAATTTTAGTCAAGGATCAACTACAAAAAAGTTTCTCCAAAGCTTAATTGACTAGGAAGCAATGTGACTTGAAATGCTTAGGAGTAACTACTCTTTCCATGTTATCCATATGATGCAAAACCATATGAACAATTTGTGAATAAAAGCTGCTTGAATCCGTTTATATCAACGTATTTGCTAAACCGTTTGGTAAAAAAGGTTCACAGTTGTCTGAACAACTGAAACTGTACTTCCTCATCAATCTAGGATGTCCTATTCGCAAAGCTGGTACGACACCCCCGATTCTGAATTTTCAGCTAGAACCAATATGTAGTTGTGATATTGTTTCACCTGAATAGCACTTATGGGTGCTTGTCACCTAAAGAGCCCACTGGTACAGAAACGTAATACCTTTGATATTTTTTAATTTAATGAAATCACACCTATGTAATGGAAAGACCCTTAGGTGTTTGATACGACTGCCCACAGAGGCTTTGATTGCAAAGAGATGCAAAACACTGTTAAGTAAGTGGCTTGGTACATTGAACTCTTTGAAGAGTGACCTGAGTCAGTAACTAATGTGACTTTTCCACGATTGAATATAGATATACTGAAATAACTATTTGATCTTTCTTTGGTATTTTCTATCGTCCCTTGAAGATGCTGAATAAAACCCTGACTTCAACAGTGCCAAATATGTCTGCATATGTGGAAAGAAATGCTTTTAACTGGAGTCTGGTCGTCGTTGGCTCTGTATCACTTGCGTTGAACTCGATCTTCGCTATAATGTTCATGAAGTTTCACAAAAAACTTTTGAGGCGCAACAATAACAAGATTTTGCTGTCAATGACGCTGGCAGACAGCCTTGTTGGCATATTCTGCATCCTTCTAGCAGCAACCCTGATAACCAATCAAAAGCAGGTTGTTTATAAAATGGTAGGAGTGATTCCTCTATTTGGGAGCATGTTTACATCTATATTCTCAATTGGAATAATGACGCTTGATCGATTGATTGCCATTAAGATGCCACTTCGTCACAAAAGCTTGCTCTCAGGCAAACGGATAGTAAAACTACTGTGCCTAAGTTGGATCTTGCCTGGGTTAGTGACAGTACAGGAGATAGTTGTATATTTGCGTTATTCATGGATGGTCGAGCTGAGAATAAGAGGATATATTTTATTTGGTTTCTTTGCCGTGGGAGCAACATTCTTGTTCACATCAAACGTTTACCTCTACATAACAATTAGGGAGCATGTTACGTATTTAAATGAGCTCATTTTGGTATCAGAAGGTCGTCAACGATTTTTCTCGGACTTGTCTACAAATAATGGCACTGATGGCATTTTTGAATGCATGAAGTCGTTGAAAAGTTGCAGAAAAAGCATCAAATTTGCTAAATCTTTGCTCAAAGAAATCAATGCTGCAAAGCTCTGCATCAAAATTGCAGTTTTGTTCGTTGCACTCTGGGTACCTTTGGTTTCTTACAGGATGAGTTATACAGTTGGTTACAGAATTGGAATACCGTGGCTTAGAAGATTTTGCTTGCTTATGGCTGTCATCAACAGTGCTATGAATCCCGTTCTCTACTTGATGACACGAAGTGGCTTTCAAAAATTTCTCTTACAACTGTTCATGCTGTCACATACATATTCTTTGAAAACAAAAGTTCTCAGCGGGAAGAACTCTGAAACTATGGGTAAAATGTTGTAAAAACATAAAGTGAATTCGACAGTTCCTTGCTTTACTCACCATTGTGTCAATTAATAAACAAGTTGGCAACAGCAATTATAGAGGGTAGATCTAAATTACCTTGGTAAAAGGGGCTGTCGAGCTTGGCCATCTTACGATTACCCTCTATAGCTTAAATAAACCTTTTCGACATGAAGGTTGATAGGTAATTTCCTCAATGAGGATGGTTTTTGATAAATACCGAAAAAAATATACGTTTTATCTTGACAATCGGCTGGGTAGATCTAAGAAAACCTTGTACGTTGGTAACTGATTAGTATGCAGAATAAAATTCAACATTGACAAAAAACTGTTGGATTGTCTTCAAGATTATATTGCTAAGGATTTTGTAGCTTTCTTTTAGTGAAATCAAAGAATTGCTTTAGGGCTAGAGCAGTACCATTATTTATATGAAAGAACCAGAAATAAAAAACTCTTTAAGAGTGAAAATAGAGTTAAAAACAAGATGATCCTCACGACTCAATTTCAGAACAAGTACCTTTTAACAATGATATGAACAGCATAATTCTCCCCTAAGACATTTGTAACCTATGTTTGCGTGCAAAGTACCTTAAGTATGTTGTTCTGATACCCTTTACCCTACTCCATACCGTGAGTAACGGAGCCTCAAGAAATCTATGAGCCTCTTTTTCACCATTGCCTCACTTACCGACGCTTTTTCAAATTGGGCGTCATCAGTTCAATTCAGAAGAATAATTTGCAAAGCTATTCATAGATTTCGTTTTCAGGAATGACCGCAACGGGGCTAAAGATTATCCTACCATGGTATGGTCATAGACATTTTTCAATATTCGAAACAAACGCGAGTAGTCAACAAATTCAATGGCAAGTCTTTCAACGATCTCCCAAGAAGAATAGCCGGTGAGCGTAGACGGGGAATTTAAAAGGAGGGCTGAACTGAAACACCATTTTACGATTTAAGGATATTTTTTAAAGGCATTTGACACAGGTAAAACTGGCTTACAGGCACTCGACCACGAGCGGTTGACCAATCAAATTGCACACCGAGAAAAACACGTGAACAATTTCCGTCTTTCTGCAAATCGGTGAAATCCTAGAGCAGCGCGCAGTGGTTTCACGTGAGCGCTTTTCAATACCTTTCTTGTGCGCGTGCTCTGATCAATTTGGCCTAAGTAATTTTTGGATTCGCTGTACTTATGCATGTCAAATGCCTTTAAGTTTCATCTCATCTCACTCATAAAGAGTCTATGCAGAGAAATTGGAGACTCGAATAATGAATATTTGTCTCTCCATGGGAAAGCGCTATGCATACATTTCTTGTTTCTCTTCGGTGAAATGTGATACTTGGTGCTCTAAAAACTCATGGCAAATTTGAAACCCTAGTGTGGAAAAAAGGTGGCGGTAATCAAAAAAATTATGAGAAGCAACAAATTAAAAGATCCTTTGTAGGCTGACTCTAAAATGTCTGCTAAAGCCCCCAACAACTTCTACAATGCTTGCCCGGAAAGAATTTGAACACCCGGATGAGTTTCAATCAATTCTAGATAATTTTCAGTTACCCCTCTAGAAAAACTGAGTTGCCTTCTTTCTCCCAATTCGAATGACAAAAATGCTTTTGGCGTTCCCAGATTTTTTGCAGGCATGTCCTTATTACATTCGTAATCAACGCGTGTCTATAAACATTAATTTGAATTTTAATTCAGTTATAGACAAAAAAGGACACGCATATTTTTATTACATTACTTAACGATATGATATCGTTTGAAATTCAATATTTTCTACCTCGAAATATCAAATAAGATAAAATTAATTCCCTAAAGCCTTTGACTGATTCCAATGTATAACTGTCATCGCATAATTTTTTAAAACAAACTCGTCGCTTGCAGAGGTTTTAGTTTCCCGATTAAACTATCTCTATGGATTAAACACAGAATCGACAGTTCAGTGCTTATTTCATCGAATATTCATACCTTTACATAAAAATACGTTCGCTTTGAATCTTAATTGAATCTAAATTGAACCTTTATCGAATCTAACATGAGCTTGTCTATGTCTATGCCCAAAGAGAACTGGGACGAGCAGAAGCTTTTCATGACGTCACTGTTGACTTCCTGCAGACACCAGTAACAACGAAGAGCCTTGAAAAATCAAAGCAAAGACGCTTGCAGAGGCTTGAGACCGAGCCTCGTAGCCTTGCTTGGACAAAATATTAATTGATTGTATTCTAAGAATTTGCTAATCTCTTAAAGGAACATGGAAAATTATAAAGGAAATGATAAATTTTCAGTGTGCAGAACTAAGTGCAAAAATTCGTAATTTCTGTCAGCAGGCCTGCTATAAGTAATGGTTTTATACAAAAACATCAATCGTCAGGCCATCATGATTCTTTAAAAGCTAGCAGGGATTCGCATGAACTCAAACGTTGATAAATCTCGTAAAAATCAAGGCATTTAGAAAGAAATTAAATTTCGGAAATAATTAAATCTCATTACAGCTTCCTTCTGGCCTATCTAACTTTGAGATTCTTAACATTAGATGCAATTAATTTGGTTTTGGACGGACTCAGCTACCAACAAGCCAATCAAATGAACACCATCTGATATACTGGATATACTTAAAAAGTATAATGTTGTAAGAATTTTGGGTTTGACAATGTTTCCTATATGGTTTCTTAATAAAAGCTGTCTGCTTTTAAATTTCCCAGTCCGATTCAGTCCAACCTGTGAGGGTTAATTATGAGCAACACTGAGATGAACAGAATTATGAATAAATTTTTGTGGCAAGAAGATAATTACGACTTTTCCAAACATTCGACGATCTTTAACCCTTTGTTATCGCTCCTATTTGCAATCAAACCTCACTGAATGATAAAGACAGACCCTATGTGTCTTTTCATATTCATAAAAACTAAGCTGAGCAGTTGGCCATAGGGAATTAGCTTGACAACTAAAAATAAGTTATGGTTTGAAAATTCCTCTCAGAAGAGAACGATGTTAGCATTGGATGTCTTTTCATCCATTTTTAGACGTCAATTGTAGCGACGATAGTAGCTGATTTACAGTTGCATGCAAGGCCTGGAAAATGGTAGTTAGTCCGTTTACCTGACTGTCCTCTCCTGAGAAACCGCTGTTCTTTAAAGATGCAAAAAGATCTTGGACGACCAGGAAATTTTAATACTAGTCTTTAAATGTGCATAATATTAATTCCAAAGTAATGCAGGAGTTTCTCAGCAATTGTTACTACTGTAGTCCCGCCTTGATGGGAAAATGATTCAAACTTTTGTTCTTAAAATCCTTTTGGTTAGGCAAGACTAATCCTTCTCAAAACACTGACTTCGATTGAAACTTTTCATCAAAACTCACTGGCTTATATTGCAAACGTAGCAACAGCATAACTTGGTAACATCTAGTTTATATTTATTTTGGTCCTTCTAGTGACACCTGCCTGCTTAATACGGATGGCCGATGTTTAGGTATCTGGAACACCGTGTGCAAGGCAACCGGGGTACAAAAGAAAGGTTTGTCTTATATTTATAACAACCATTTTGACGCGAAGCGGTTTTCGACGCGAATCTGACAATCATATCATTTTGAAACGATTTTAGCTTCAACAGGTACTCTTTAGCACTGCAAATGCAATGACATACATGAGCAATTGAACATCAAACGATGCAGAGCCACTGGCGAAAAGGATTACCTTGAAAATGGCATTCAGGATATCATATCAGTGCACAGTGCACAATAAATATCTTGCAATGGTCATCTACATGACACGATTTTTCAATTATGGGCTGCAGTAAAAACGCGTTCAAGTACTAGGGATTTAAGAACCTACTGGCAAAAATTTCCTTTTTTTAATACTCCAAATTATAAGAACCTGTTTAGCCAAACAATATCTAACGTGTTCTTATTGTGGGGTTTAACCATTTAATTTAAACACTTTATTACCAAAGACAAAAAGATGATAGAAAATTGAAGTTTTGAAAGAACGCTGGAAATACACTATGTATGTTAAATTTTAACTGTTTTAATGAAACAATTATTGCTACTTTATCACATACAGTACTGTATCATTGATCAATGATTATTGGTGGTTTTTGGAAACTTTGGTACATTAAAAAATATTCGAAATGAAGAACAGACTAGATTTATTCTGATAATCGACAACAATATATACTCTATAGAAATTAAAAACCTAAATAAGGACCTATTTAGCCTAAGCTGTCAATAAGTACCCTATAATGAATAAACATGTTTTGCCAAACTCTGAAAAAGTAGGTTCTCACACGCGGATTTTTATTGTATTTTTTATTACATTTCTGTGATTCAAATGAAAGGTAACCAAATGTTTTACAATAACTATCAACAGGGCAGTATAAATGCAAAATAAGACGTTTCTTCATTTCTTCGATTTAAAATTTGAGTAAAGGAGACTCATGATTACTGAAGAAATTTTTGTATTTCAAGGAGTAGGTGGAGGGTTAGCCTTTTCTACTTCATTCATTTGTTATTCACAGTCATATTTCATTTGTTATTCCAAAAATATACTAGCAAACAATTCATTTCAAACAAAAAACATGGATTTTCGATCTCTTCTTTACGATCGGTTATTCATTCATAAACTATAAAGTTTCGTTTCTTGAAAAGTAGCGTGTGATTTTGAGATATTTCCAATTTTTTCCAGCACAGCACGATACATTTCTGGAACCAAATTATACTGAGGCCAAGGTTTTCAAATGCAATTGAAATATGACGTCATACAGTGTCGTCGGAGCGAAATTCAAAACGGGGGAGAGGGGCTGCCTTTTGTAATGCTTCCCATTCAGTATACTATTATAAAGGAAACATAGTACAATTTGACAATTATTAGGGGAGGGGCTCTAGCCTCTCTCCCTACTCCCCCCTCCCCTGCTTTCTTTATAACACATTTTGGTTTTTAAGCAATTTACGCATCTAAAGAGGACAATCTTCCTTGCTGACTGCATGTATTTTTCCCTATTCAAGTTTAATACTAGAATTGAACTCAAATATATGTCGATAATAACTATTCCATTTTCACCGTTAATTTCCAGTATATCATTGATTGGTGACTTTTTTCTTGTCCACCGAAAGATTCAAACTTTTGAAATGTGTACCGAAGGGTGTCTTCAAAAATATATTTTTAGAATTTCTTAATTTTGACCACATAATCTGAAAAAAACGGCATAAAATTCCAACCAATATACAAAACAAGTTAGGTGTGTTGAAAATTGGGAAAAGTCTGATGAGGAAAGAGCCTGTCTCAGCCATTATGCTACACATTCAACTGAATCTGCACATTTGGAGGTATATTATAATTTCTTTTTGGGAAAATGAAATACTTTTGAAGGTTGATTTTTGTTTGATTGGGCATTATTTTTATACTTCTGTCTGGCATCTTGTTCATGCAATAAAGAAAGCACCAACATTTACCCCGGGGGCACTCCCATTATGGCCTAACAGGGGGTCCAGTCAGAGTCAAAGATGGCCAAAGCTAAAATGCTAAAAGTTTCCCTCAAATGGTAGTCTTTTGTAACAATGACCTTCAAATGTAGGTTATTTTATCCACAAATAATAAACTTTAACATCAACGCCCAGAAAACTTTGATATTATACTTTCAATGACCAGGATGTCATGTCTTGTTCTTAGGGTTAATGTGTTTTTAAATATCTCCTAGTCCTAATACGAATTAACTATATAGGAACTTTCATTCTTTAATTCTTTGATAAGCTCAGAAACTTCCATCTCTCTAATTCTAGTCCGGATCTATTTTATGAACATGTTAATTATGATCTTTTCATACCGAGAGGCATGCCACTTTGGGAAAATCTCGTAAAAAATCCTTTTTTCGAGACAAATTTCCAAAAAATCCCTCACAATCTTATTTTTTAAGAAAATCTTGTAGGCTGTTTGAAAAGAGTGATAAACCCCTCGTTTCAAACTATTAATGTTCCTCTCGACAACACACTTAGAAATTCTCTTTATCCAACGTCATCATTCTAGCGTCATTTTCTTCCACTCTTCTTAATTTATTTTTCTACCAACTTGTCTCTATCTTTCCTATGTTTCTTTTTCAATCTTTCTATACATTGTCTTTCATGCAAAATTCTTGTTCAAAATCTATACAAAAATCTCTTGCAGCCAATTAAGTATTTCCAAAATTTCGAGCTGTTAAGAGAAAAAAATCAACAGAGATCTCATAAGTTATTTTTGAAATAAAA